TCTAGGGCTAGTTTTGCCTAGTAGCTAACATAAAAGCTAAGTATAGTATCTAGAATAAAAACAGGTATAACTTTAATAAGTTAGGCTTTATAATAAGCTAGATATTAACTAAAGTAGTTATTATAGCTTTAGAGAGATAAAAACAGCTAAAGGTAATATAGTACAGTAATAAAAAGTAAATAATAGTTATTTAAGGCATTAACATAATAAAGTAGGCTATAAGATTATAAAGCTTTAAGTAGCAAATAAAGCTACTATATAACATAGATTATATAAAAAAAGTAGATTTAGGTAGAAAAAACTTTAATAGTTAAGAATAAGGCTTATCTAACTACTCTAAAGGAGTTTAGAGCGCGTAGTGATAGAAAGAAGCTAAAGACGCAGGTGCGCACTAAAGAAAGTAAGCTAAGTTAAAGGCAATGCAGGCAGTGTAATTAAACTAGGTAACATACTTTATAAGCAAGTTACTCACACACCTAAGTTGCTTACTTTTACTAAGACCCTACTACACTACTTTTTCTACACTAATGCATTTTTAATAACACTACTTAAACATGTTAAAAGAATATTAAATGTAGCTTATACTTTAAGCTTTTAAATAAAATATAAAAATAAAAATTTAAAAGTATATAAATAGTTTACTAACTTTTATAGTTAAAGTATTTAAAAAAGTTTTAAAAAAAGTAGTAATAATTATATATAAGCTAGTGTTAGTATAATAGAAAATTACTAAGCTTTAAGCAGCTAATAAGGCTACTATATAACATAAATTACATAAAAAAAAGTAGATTAAAGTAAAAAAAACCTTAATAATTTAAAAAAGCTTATACTTAACAGCTTTAAAAAAGTTTAAGGCGCACAGTAATAAAAAAAAAGCAAAGAAGCAGGTGTAAGCTAAAGTAGGTAAGCTATTCTAAAGGCGCTATAAACAGTGTAATTAGACTAGGCATAACACATAAATGTGTAAGTAAGAAGTAGAAGTAGTATCTAAATAATATTCTAGGCTATACTGTACTATATAGTGCTAGAGCGGGTTGTTATAGGCTATAATAGAGTTTGTTAGGGTGGGGTCTTAGCAAAAGTAAGCGACTCGGGTGTGTGAGCAACTCGCCCATGAAGTACGTTATAACTTGCGTATATGTAAGCAAGTAGCAGAAGTAGACTCTAAATAATATCTTATGTTATATTACTCTATATAGGGCTAAAGTGGGCTGTTTTGCGAGAGAATAGGGTGGTTTTAGTGGGGGCTTGGCAAAAGTGGCTGGCCAACCCGTGTGGCCAGCCAACCCGTTAGGTACGTTATTATAAAATAGAATATTTTAGTGGGAAATTAATTCAGGTTTGAGAAATGTATTGCTATAACGTACTTCATGGGCGAGTCGCTCACACACCTGAGTCGCTCACTTTTGCCAAGACCCCACCCTAACAAACTCTATTATAGCCTATAACAACCTGCTCTAGCACTATATAGTACAGTACAGCCTAGAATATTATTTAGATACTACTTCTACTTCTTACTTATATATTTGCGTGTTATGCCTAGTCTAATTGCACTATTTATAGCACCTTTAGAATAGCTTACCTACTTTAGCTTACACCTGCTTTTTTACTTTTTTTTTATTACTACGCACTTTAAACTTCTTTAAAGCTATTAAGTATAAGCTTTTTTAAATTATTAAAGTTTTTTTTACTTTAATTTACTTTTTTTTATATAATTTATATTATGTAGTAGCTTTATTAGCTACTTAAAGCTTAGTAATTTCTTATTACACTAATACTAGCTTATACATAATTATTACTACTCTTTTTAAGACTTTTTTAAACACTTTAACTATAGAAGTTAGTAAACTATTTATATACTTTTAAATTTTTATTTTTATAAGTACTAATTATAACCTAAGTTCTAAAGTATTACTTAGGGTTTATAACTACTAGGGCTTATTATATATAAGTAGTAGTAGTAATAAAGTGCATAACTTTATATTAAGGCTTATTATAACTTATTATAGGTTAAAAAAAACTAATTTAGCGCTTTAAAACTTTTCTTAAATATTACTAAAAGTAATTATAGCATTATAAGCTACTTTAAAGCATAGTAAGAACTTTATTTTTATAATATAAGTAATTTAGTTATGTATAAGGTTTTTAGCTTAGCGCCTATACACTTTTTTTAAAAAAGTAAAATAACTTATATTAAGTAGCTATAAAAAGTGTAATAAGTAAAAAAGTATATAAATAGTAATAATTTTATTATTTTTATAGTATTACTAAAAATAAAGTAAGTTATAGCTTTTATAGCTGTTAATAACTAGTAGATAGTAGCTACTAACAGTACACTTTTTTATATGCGCGTTAAAGTGCTTTAACTAGTCTAGACTAAGCTAATTAGTAGTCTAGCTACACTTAAAAATTATAATAACTTAATTTTAAAGTAAATTTTTTTATATACTAGTTTAAAAAGTAGTTACTACTTTAAAAAATAATAAAAAGTAAAATAGCTTACTTTTTAGCATTAATGCCTTAAATAGCTATTATTTACTCTTAGTTGCCTAGCTAGACTGCTTTTAGCTATTTTTATTTTTTTAAACTTATAATAACTGCTTTAGTAGATATTTAGCTTATTATAAACTTTATTTTATTAAAGTTATATATGTTATTATTTTAGATGCTATACTTAGCTTTAATATTCTTTATAAAGTTAAACTAGCTTTAAATTACTATAAAATTTTTATAAAAAGCTTTTTTATAGTTATACTTACACTTAAACTTTACTTTAAGCTTTAAGTAACACTTAATAAATATATTAAGCTAGTTTATACTAATATAGCTTATATTATACTTAGTGTGTAAAGAATTAGCTATATTAACTATAGCTACTAGCTAAGAGGGAAATTCTTACACATTTAGCTTAAGTATATGCTAAATAATTACCTATTTTTTATTATTATCTAGCTTTTATAAGTTAGCTATATAATTAGCTTAAAAAGGTTATTTAGTATATTAGTTACTTATTATTTTTTAAAGAACTTTATAAATAGCTGTAGCATATTAGTTAAAAAGTATTATATTTTATTTAAAAGCTTAAAGCATAAGCTATATCTAACATTCTTTTAACACATTTAAGTAGTATTGTTAGAAATGCATTAGTGTAAAAAGAGTAGTGTAGTAGGGTCTTAGCAAAAGTAAGTAACTTAGGTGTGTAAGTAACTTGCCTATAAAGTATGTTATTAAAATATTGTTTAATCGCGCATCGCGCTATCGAGAGTTGACTGTAGTATCTAACTCCTCTCTAGAAAATGCCGTAAAAGTATGCTGTCTGTTTCGGTGAGGCCAAGATCGAGTAATATATAACTATAACTACACAAGACAAATCCTACAGAATTCCGTTCGTATCATAACTTCAACCTTACTTCTCATCATCCATACTAATCGCCGTACTAAGATACCTCTCAAACACTCTCTTCTCGAGGTCTACCGAATCCCTCCTAGACCCAATTTTATGACCCCTCCTCCTAAAAAAGGCCCTTTTCCCCAACTTCCACATCTCAACACCCAAGAAAAACAAAATCGTCGCAATAAACACAATACCCCACTCCCAGCTAATCCCCTGATGCTTGAACACTACGGTATTGATAACCGGGATATACAGCACAGGGAAAATAGTGACGAATCCAGCGATTGTGGACCAGAAGAGGAATTGGTTGCGCCAGACGTCGAGAAACCATTGCGTGAAGTATTTCTTGGATTTGGGTTGCATGAGGAAGAAGGAGCGGCGCATGTCGACCATTTGCCAAGCGAGGAACAGAGAGAACCAGGTCAGGCAGGCAAAGCAAGTGGCGCGGGCGCGGTAGACCGTGTCGCAGCGGGAGGAGAATACGTCGTTGCAATTTATGCCTAGGTCGCCGTCGCCCCAGGCGTTGAGGACTAGTAGGAAGGAGCAGAGACATAAGGCAGCAACCCAAAGGCCATAGACGAGCATGTCGACCATGACTTCAAGGGTGAAGACGCCACGCTTTAGCTATATCGTGTTAATGTTTGTTGGAGAACGGGGAGGAGGCAGATACTTACGCTTTGAGGTGGCCGCGACATAATATCTGGTGCAGCGACCTCGAAACCAAGACCCATATCCGGAAGACCAGAAGTAATCATGATAATCCACATAACCTCTACAGGAGCGAGAGGGAACACCGAAAGTCGGTTTTCGTCCTTGAATGCAAGTCCAATGAGCAATATACAGGCTTGGGCAATGTTTTGGGCTAGGAGATGGAGGATAAACTTCTGGATATTATCAAACATGCGGCGGCCTTCTTCAACTGCATTGAGAATTGAGGCAAAGTTATCGTCGGTTAGGACAATGTCGGCTGCATCCTTCGCTACATCGGATCCAGTGCCCATGCCAATGCCAACGTCGGCACGTTTCAAAGATGGAGAGTCGTTTACACCGTCACCGGTCTGAGGTGCGTAAGTATAGCGGAGGGGGGTAAGGGAAATACGTTACTTACCATGGCTACAAAACATTTCCTTCGGTGCAGAGCTTCGATCATTCGGACCTTTGTGTTTGGGGCGCAACGCGCAATAACCAAGGGCAGTAGTGGAAGACCATCGATCTGGTGGTCTGAGAGCTTATCAAATTGGCCTGCTGTCATGACCATGGCGTCGGACACTTCCTTGCTCAACCGAGCCATGTTTGACGGCAAAATCCCAACTTCGGCCGCAATAGCTCGAGCTGTTCCAGGGTGGTCGCCCGTAAGCATGTGAACCTGGATACCCGCTTTCTGGCATTGCCGGACAGATGGAGCAGACTCAGGTCTAGGTGGGTCATAAAGTCCAACGAGACCCCGGAAGATCAAGCTCTCTTCGACTCCATTTCTATCAACATCTTCGCCCTTGGTAATCTGACCCTCCCAAGTCTTGCTTGCTAAGGCTAATACTCGAAGTCCGAGCGCTGCTAGGGATTCCATGTTTTGCAAAATATCTTCACGGATTTCGTCAGTTATCTCGACTACGCTCTCTTCCCCTATAGTGAACATTGAGGTGCACGAATAGATTACTCGTTCGACAGCGCCTTTCGTGAAGACATGTTTGTGAGAAGTCGCGGTTTCTTCGAAAATGACGGACATTTTCTTCACATCTGAGTCAAAGGGGAATTCGGCCAGCTGCACCCATTCCGGGCCATCACCTTGAGCGAATCGAAGACGATTCCAGTTAAATCGTGAGGCGAAGACTTGTATGGCAATCTCGGTAGGGTCGCCCCGAGCATTCCAATCACCTGCTTGGGTCTCGTGAACATTGGCAAGGTTGGCAAACGATGCGACTTTCAAGTAGTCCACTAGATGCCGGTTGTTCTTTAAGAGCTCTTTGTAGTTTTCAGACTTCCCATGATCAGCTTTATTGAAATCGATCTCCCTTGGCGGCTTCGGTACGAAGGTAAGATCACCAACCGTGGGGTTAAATGGATCATTCGTCGTCCCAACGGAATAGGTTCCTATGGCTGGAATCCAGGCCTTTTTCGCGACCATCTTTCCTTGAGTTAGGGTGCCGGTCTTATCGGAGCAGATGTCTGCGCAATCCTCAGCGGTTGTGTCATGGGATCATTAAGCCACTACCTTACCTGTAACTCCACCTAAGGCTTCAAGCGACTTTAAGTTTCGTACAATTACGTGTCTCTCAACCATTCGCTTTGTGCCAGCAGCCATAGTAATAGTCAAGACAACGATGAGCGAAGCGGGGATCATACTAAGGCCTGTAGCAACAGCGTAGATTATGACCTCCTGATCGCTCACGAACCTATTGGCAGCAAGGACAATGATTGCGCACACTACGGCGATGCCGAAGAGAAGGAGTGCAAGACGAGAGAGTTTTTTCTGTAGCGGAGTTCCAACATTTACACCAAGGAAATGTCCAATAGCATCCGTAGCAGTCAATCCCCATGCTTGTGCATATTGATGTGGTTTGGCCGAGCCATTTGGTTTACGCTTGACAGGTCGGCGACGAGACCCTTGGTTTCGGAGTGCGGCAGCGATGGAGCCAATCTCTGTATAAACCCCAGTAGCAAACACGACTCCACGTGCGCGCCCTTTAGTAACAGTGGAAGAGCTGTAGGCAACATTGAGGCGATCGCCAAGGCCAGTATCGTCGCTGAATTTGGCCTCGGCATCCTTTTGGACTGGAAGAGACTCACCCGTCAATAGAGCTTCGTCAGTCTCGAAGTTAACGGCCTCGATAAGACTTCGTGAGTAAGTTAAGATCGATTGTTAAAGCGAAGGATGCGTATACATACCGAATATCTGCAGGAATAGTATCGCCCATTATCATCTCCACCATGTCGCCTGGAACAATCTCAGCCGTCGGGACTGTAACGGTCTTACCATCTCGAACAGCATTCGCAGTCGGTGAACTGAGAGATCTCAAGGAGTCCATCGTCTTTTCAGCGTTGAACTCTTGCCAGAACCCTACCACAATGTTTAGGATGATAATGGCAGCTACTACACCACCTTCAATCCAGGATTGAATTCCAAAACTAACACCCATAGCGAGAATTAAGACCTAGATTTAGATTAGACTCTATAGGCAAAATTATTAGAGAAGGGTACTGACTAATGTCATAGCATTAGCTACTTGACGAAGGAGAATTTTCCCAGGTTGAACACCCCCATCATCTCCCAACTCGTTCCTCCCATACTCTTGTAGGCGAGATTGGGCTTCAGAGGATGTAAGGCCATCCTCTGAGTTACATTTAGTCTCTTCGATGACCTTGGAATATGGCAGGGTGTGTGCTGGGCGAGAGAGTGGCTTATTAGCCCGGCTAGATACGTGGCTCTTAATCGAGGGTTGGTTCTTCGTTCCCATTATGAACAGAGTAGCAGTTATGTGCTAAAGAGAGCTGAAGAAGATAAGGGCTTGAAGTCTAGGGGACATCAAGCTATTTAAACGCGGTCGTAGAACGTAGACAGAGCAGGGTGGGCGAAGGCCAAGAGGTAGTGGGCTGTTGGACTTGGCATGGTGTACGCTATCTCGGGACCGTTGGTAGATGGCCACGGATGTCACTGTTGGAACTATTCAACCGGCGAAGGACGACTTGGGCGGTGCCCACCCAAGGAAGCGTCACTACAAGAGATGGGAGCAATTGCCGTCAGGGGTTCAGAGTTCCATTCGAGCCGCCCCAATCGGCGTCACAGAAATGAGACAATGACACAATTTTATTTAACGCATGATTGATTGATATCGATGGAGGGGTAGCCTTCGAATTAAGGGAATAGTTGAAAAAGATGTAGTGGCGAAAACAGCGCGGGATGCTTGGCCTTTCCGCTCGCCTCTTTCAAGCCAAGCGCGACCAAGACACTAGCTAATCTTTGTGGACCTTCACTCTGCCTATCGCTCTGGACCAAGGCCTCAAGAACGGAACTCGGCAACCCAGCGTCACTCTGTTCACCAAATGCTAGACGAAGCCTATCCCGAGCGCCGGATGCCGATGAATGATTGGCTCAGTGGGAGAACACCTTGCCTTCTCCAAGATCTTGTCCAAGGGATGCCACAGACACGTGCTGACCTTTCGTGTCGCCTGTTGTCAAGCTGTGGACTGATGCTGGAGTTGTTTAGTGCAAAACGTACTTATGCTGCGGGATGTTGAATATTGGTTCTCTGGTCAGCCTCCCGTATCGCTTTCACTAGCTGTCTCTATAGTGCCTTCCTGGTTGATGTCCTATTCATCGCCGAAGGGATTATGTAGCAAGGGTAGAAGTAATCTCTCTTAGAAGCCTTCCACCACTTTCAGAGCGACATGCCTTCGTGGAATAATAATTAATTGTAATCAAGGTATCCTATTCCCTCAATTCAAAGCGTTTGACGTTTACTCATATGAAAGTTTTGGTTCTAAAGGGCATTTATATATGACATGCCGTGGAGATTTAGCTCAAATAAGAGAAAATAACAGTATATTCTGCTCCTCTTGTGAGCATGTCAGTCGATAAGTTGGATGGCTGATCTGATCCCCACGTGGTATTAGGTTTAGATATATGAAGAGGATTGAAAGCATAAGTGGGTAGTAGAGGGAGCTCTTCCACGTCATTAACCGGAAGCGGGAAATGCCCAGCAATTGCTTGGAGGCTTCGTAGCAGCGGATTCAACACAGATTGCTAATTCTTCTTTTCGAACAACTTCATCCACCTACTCACCGTAGAATCATAGAGCTTGCCACAATTGATGATCGGTACTGGCTACAAAACTGTCGTTGATAGCCAGATCCAGAAAGGATTTCACTTGTTCTCCTGTGTATGCGGTGGCAATTCCTGGTCTTTCTAGAAGCAATGTGACCAGGTAGGGTGTATACGAAACTTTTGATGACTTTTTGAGAAGGTCATAGTCGACAGTCGAGGCATATCCCGCAAGACCTTGAGTTTTTCTGTCCAGCATAGGGCACCGTCTAATTGCCTTAGCGGATCCTGCCATTGCAATGGCTTCACTCACAGACACTCTGCTAAAAATCAGAGTGCTCTGGGAATCCAATTTCCTAGGTGTGTTGATCTGCTTCCGTAGGAAGCCTGGAGATGGAGATGCTGAACTTTGTTCCTGTTGGTCTTGAAGCTTCAAAATTAGGCCACGCATTGGATTTAAACTTTAGAGAGAGACTCAAGCGAAAGATTTGTAGGCTCAGGGAAGTCGCCTAGGAAGTTGTAAATCCCAGACCAAGTCTAGATACGACGATATGGACGTTAAGAAGTGGTCGCTTATTGATATTGCCCGTATGCGATCCTAGCAGGCTTTCTAGTTGAAAGGGTTTAGTGAAAACGGTTTGCTGTGTCTATTGCGTAGGTGATCCACTGGGTATGGTTCCTTTGGCGTAGTGATTGATAAGCCCAGGCCCATTTAGGATGATCTTGAATGCCTCGTAGAGCTTCGGACACCTTCCCGTAGTGGCAGGTGTGAGAAGTATAGACCAATTCGATGCGTATCTTATAGATGATTCTTCGGTATCTGGGCTAGGAAACGGATGTCGTCTTTTCTATCTTACTATTGCCCTAGCTGTTGACAACGTTCCACATAAAACCCTTTGAATTTAACTCCCCATATTGCTTCTCACATTGCTTGGATATTCACTGGTAGGGTATGTATTGTTTTGGGGTCCATAGCGACATTTCACGAGTAGTCTTTTAGTTATTTGTGCTCTAGGGCCTGAGCCTGTGTTTTCCGGTGGCAATGAATCGGCAGGCGGCGATTGACTACGCGGCTATTAAAAATGATCTGGAAATCAAGCAATGGGGTTTGGCTCTCGGTTTGCCCTTCATGTTTTGTTGGCTGTCTTTGCTCGGCAAATTAGACCGATAATATCTCCACGCAGTCGTTTCAGTACGGGGTTAATAGGCTGCATTGTAATGGGAAGGAGTAGTATGTGGCAATTAGCCACTAGCTGGTAGTAGCCTGCCATTTTGGTAAGGTCTTAAAAGTTAACACGGGCTATTGCGGGTTCGAATATGTTTGGGGGCTTAAGGGAATGCTGGGAATGAAGTGAATTATTCGAGAGGAAAAACTTTGTGCACTTGGTTAATATGTTGAGGGTTGAGTGTAAGAACGTTCCAATGAGCATAGTGTACCCAAAAATGGTACTGAACACATAGTATTTCACACATTTTCCCGTAATGAGATTATTCACTACGATATTGCGTGGTAATCGGATGGTGAAAGGTCACGTGCAGGAACTCGAATTCAGGGCTGGTATGTCTATTTGGAAGTTGCGCTCAGCTAAACAGCCACTGTTTTTTGTGAGATCTTGAATATATATTATTTGGAGGTAGGTCCTCGATAGGATGTAATTCAGGTAAGTTTGCTGGCTAGCCTATAAATTCTATACCCTCTGCGGTTGAGGAGGGCCGCGTTCGATTATGAGCCGAGGATGTTCCCCATTAACCCCGACAAACTTTCATGAGGTGGTCAAAAAGGCAGATAACGGGAGGGGGGGTGCTTGGGGAATCATAGCTGAGGGGGCTCATCCCGGCGTTAAGGTTCGTTAAACCATTCAAAACCATTACCCGTAGGATAATATTCAGATTTATGATACTGCCATTTGGTCTCTAGAAGTCAATTGAGGTTACTCATTTTCTCAGGTCTGTTTCCTCGGTGTAATTTACTAAGTGAAAGATGTATTATCTACCAGCGGAAGTTGCGGGAAATTGACGTGGGGGTAAGTAGTCCTCATGGCAGATACACGGACATGTTTAAGGCTAGGCATTATTGCACAAGTCATGTGCTAGTGACAGGTGACCACCTTCCCCTCTAAATTTTTTAAGGGTTTAGTAAAGTACAGCATTCGGGTGATTATGTCTTGAGTCTACTGACTAGTCATAGGCACTGACGTGCTTCATGTCAGTCCCGCCTTTCCATTTGCTCAATCCTTCACGTCCTAAGAACGAGCTCTTTGGAAGCTATAGTTGAATATGCTTTTCCAAGATCCACGCCATGCTAAGTAAATATTAAATCCTGAACAACTACATACTAGGCTAGTTAGAATTTCCATCCGTTAGAGTAGAAGCGAGCACTTCTCAGGTGCAGGGTTATGTGCGGCGAACGCCTTCCCGAACATTGATATAGCACTATGGTCAAGATTCAGAGCCTTCTTTATAAAATACTGGCTACCCTCTGATACTATTTCCAGAACTACTTCTCACCTCATAACGTCACCGCCTCAGACTTGGGAAAGGGCCGCCAAAAGTATGGCCTGGCTTCCACACCATACTCCAAAGATTTTTCGCTCCATTACAGCATCGATTATCTATCTCCCACAGGGAATAGGGGCGATTGGTGTTATCAGAAAGCCAGGTCTACACGCTTCAATCCCCGTAGCCCTTGTTATATCTCAACAGCTCCACTATTCACCTGATCCCTTGCTAGACACTTCGCCCCCTTCCCGGGTTTCAACGCATCCAGATAGATATCTTTCTGGATCTGCGTATATTGGTTTTGGATCTTCTTCCATTCCGTTGAGATCCCAGACATACCGGTCATGGTGTGGAGGTCGACGAGCGCCATGACAGTTTCTTGGGCCAGATTCTCTAGCTGGTTTAAGGAAGCAACTGGGTTGCAGATGGCGGAGTCGTGGTTGTAGGCGTCAAGCCAGTTTTTGCTATCTAGGGTTAGGTTAGACTGGCAATTTGAGATGTTGAGGGAGATGGAGTGGAGATAGAGAGGAAGACAGGAAAGAAGGAAGTTTTACCAGAGTATGGCCCAACAATCCCTGGGTAACCATACATCGCAGTACTCTTCGCAACTGCGGCAAGCATATCATGGAAACTCGGATTCCCTTGCAAAACTACATTGTCGCGTTCATTGATTGCGGATTTCCCCCCGTGATTGGTTGCGGGAAGCGCGATAACGTGGTGGATGTGGGTGCGCATGTGGACGGGGATATGGCCGAAGTAGTATGAGGTATTCTGCATGCTATGGTAAATTTAGTATGATAGACGTGGATGCAGCCCAGAATTGGGATTGGTTGTGGTTGCTATTGTTGCTGTTTGAAGAAGTGCTTTACCTGTAGGGTGCGTTTTTGTGGCGACACATGACCCAGGGCTCGTCGCACTATTCTCCAGTTAGCAGCCTCGTAGTTCCTACCAACTGAGTCTGAGAGATATAAACATCAGGGTAAGTCACATTCCAAGTCTCCAAGTCCTTGGCATCTAGACTCAGCTTTGTGAACCAAGTCTTGCAAACGTTGATGGTGAGATTGCCGGGCCAGAGGTTGCCAATACAGCCGGGAAAATCCAGGTGTTTGGTGAGAATCTCGCTGATATCTATGATTGGTTGGTCGAGAACGAGTTTGTCGAGGATGTTAATTTCGCGTGTGACCTCAGTCACGGCATGAGCGTGATGCACGCCGAGGACGCCGAAGCTAGCGAAGGTAATAGCGATCAAGAGAGTGTGCCTGATGGAGATCATTTTGGAAGGAAAGAAGAGAGAGGGGGGGAAGGTAGATGAGGGCTGGGGATAAGGAATTATGGAATTCTGGAAGGATGGAGGTATAGGTAGTAGACAGGTAGCTGCCTTGAGCTTCGAGATGAAGGCGAGTGAATATAAATCCTTTGTTCGAATGTTCGAGGTTTGGGGGAAATTTTCATCCAAGCTCACTGTCAGTGTGGCTATGGCAGCAGCTCACAGGTTCCTTAGGAAACTACAGCCATATGCTCTTTCGCGTGAAAAAAATGCATAAGTTTAAGCAAAGTTGGTCCAATTGATAACATCATCGACTCCTTCGCACTTACCATTGATGACATGACAACCTTATAAGGAACATGCGATCCCAGGATCCTAAATTGTTACAAAATTAGCTTGCACTCAAGTTTACTATTGGCTGCAAATTATAGGCTAGTTTTGGGGGCTAGCAGTAGCTTAATAGAATATTAAGACAGGGCAAGAAAGGATTAGCGGAAAAAGAGTGGTTTATAGCTACCGCGTTGGCTGTGGTGAACGACTACCGATCCCACCGCCCAACCTACCCATAGTTAAACGGGTTCCTACAAAGTGGACAAGAACTACTTCCACTACTCTTAAACCACTTAAACAGACATCCCCCATGAAAAAGATTCCTACAAGTCCCACACCTCTTATCCGGCAACTTTTTATCACTCCCCACAATACTATAACAAATCGCGCACTCAGTCTGCCCCTTCATAGCACCATCCACATTCCGCTTAAACGTTGTTAGTGCATCGATTAAGGTTCCATTGAATAGCGTGATAGCGCCGAGGGAGGTCCGCATCCACGATTGCCATTTTTGTTCGTTCACAGCCACGCGGTTTGTGCCTTCGATGCGGGCGTTGGAGAGAGGGAAGGCGGAGGGTAGGGTTATACGCATGGATATTATTTGTTCATCGATGGTGTAGGATGCGTTTATTTCCCAGGCACGGGGTGAGACTTTGATGGTGAAAGGGGAGTCAGGGTCGGTGGTGGACTGGGCGGAGCTCCATTCAATGACAGATTGCAGGGCAGCGGTGACTACTGGAGGGGAAATCTGCGGAGGCTTAGATTAGAGAAGATAAAGGAGTTTGTGGAGTTGGGCGACTTACGTATTTTTGTGTCCAGGGCTCAAGAGTAACGGCGATCGGACGGGACTTGCAGTCGATCCACCAAGCTTTTGAAAGTGAGGGTATGTGGCGGAGACAGAGGAAGTACAGATGGGCCAGGAGCCATTGAGTGTCGCGTCGCGGGGGCTCTAGGTCTGGAGTGTAGGTAGTGACATCGAATTTAGAAACATCGACGGGCTTGTTGTGAGCATGGCCGAGGAAGTCGAACGTGAAGTTGAGCAATCCGGGCAGATATTCCCCTTCCTTGATGTGCTCAATGTAATCATTTTTGACCTTGAATGACTGCAGGTTTGTTAGCTTCTATGATCCGCAAAGTTGAAATGAAACTTACAGCATACTCAAGATGATCGAAGACAAGTAGCCAACTGAGCAAGTATCCTCGTAATGGTAAAGGAATACTGCGCTCAAAGTTCTCCTCTGCTAATGCTGACACAGTTGGTGACTCGAGGATGAGAGAGAGCAATTCTTCTGGTAGTCGAGCAGTCGTTTTCTCGAGTGCTGAATCAATTGAAATTTGCTCTTGCGCAGCTGGAATTTGCTTGTGTAATATGTCGAATGCTGTCTGTTGGACAGGCTGCGACTCGACATAAAGAAGGGGAAATAATTCCTCTCTTGACTCTAGGTGCTCTAGAGGAACTTTTGAAATCTGTCTCGCCAAGATATCGTTGACGATCTTCAGTGGCTGGTGAAATTCATCGGGGAAGTGCTGAGAGTGTTTTAGGAGATTGATCAACCCGTTGGCAACATCTCGCTCTGACTCCTTCCACGCTTCGAGGAGGTCATCGTTCGGTTCTTCCTCTTGCGTCAAGATTCGCAGTTGGGCGTAAAGCTTTAACGAAGCATGCACAAATGGAATGGGACTGTGATGAAGTTAGAGTGGGGACATAAACCTAACGGACGTATAAGGGATAGTCATAAATGCGGTAACATACCTATCTAACTCCGATTCATTCTCTTCCACCTCACTAGTCTTCACCCAGCTTGTGGACAATGAGTTCAGTATGCCCACCCAATGCTCACCATACATATCGCTCATTAGAGGGAGCAATACAGTGAGAGCACGACAAAGCTCGGACCGAATAGGGAGAGGGCATTGCGAATCTCCTAAAAATGGAAGAGCATGTTTGACGAAGAAAATGATACGTTGTTTAGCAATGCTTTGTGCTATTTCCTCTTGACTGGAGAGGATAGCATTAAGGAGGATGAGCTGCCGAAGTCCTACTAATTTGTTAGTATGATTCTAGGTAGACTTATGGAGCCTAAGGGGGGTATGGCTGCATATTTTAAAACTAGTTCAGGACGGCGCATTAGGACTCTCAAGAAACAGGCCGAACCACGAGGACTTCAACCAGGCAATAGGGATTTCGGTGGGTCAAACATACCGTCTTCTGGCTTCTTACCAATGTCTAGACCAGTAAGGTCAGCGACAAGCTCGTTGCACATTCTCTCGCATGACTTCGACCATGCTAAAGGTTCTTTAAAAGCACTTAAGAAGCCAAGCAGAGGAAGGATGTCTATTCAAAGGAGTTAGAAACATGGTACAAGGGCTGTTCTCCTATGCTTACCTTTATTCCTCTGGAGCACCTTCAACGAATTTTGAATGTCTTCGGCCAGGGAGGTATGAGAACCATGTAACTCAATTGCATCTGAGACGAGAGTGCTGTATACCCGAGCCCAGTAATAAGCCGTAGCTGAAGACTGCTTGCTACACTTTGACAGTAAATCAGAGGACCATGTTAGCAAAGGATTGATACCAACCCATATTGATCGCAGATGAGCTAGTTCTTGTTTGATGAAGTCTTGTGCATCCGTCATGAATGACATGACATCAGCCTCAACTTCGGGGTTGTACGCGGCCCACAGATCGTTTGCTCCGGCAAGCCCAAGGTTATCGCCTGCAAGCTGCACTGTGAGTGCAATGTTAGACAAGACAGAGTCTGAAATATCCGACGGCAGCTTCTTCGACTCGAAAAATTCGGGATTCTTAAAAAGTCTGATGACATATTGGGCAATCCTGAATGCAGGAGAATATCCATCAACGTCACGAGGGAGCTTCTCGGGTGTAGCTCGGGTCGAGCTAGACTGAACGACATACACGGCTCCGCCTAGCGGATTGGTAATAGCTAGTGAAGTCTTCGGAGGTGTGTCGAGGAAAGGTGTTAATGCAGAACCCCAGTCGTCCATACTCGGAAATGCCCCTGCCATTTCTTCCCATGTCGCACCAGGGACAATCGTCTGCTTGGCAAGATCGACTAATGTCTCAACTGACACCGATGTCTGTGTTGCATCTAGGAGGCCGTGCTGGATGACGTCGTATACGGACTGTTTCGAGGTGGATTCGGCGCCGAGAATGGTCTGAAGTGACGAGTTAACCGCCGCGGCTTCTTGGGAAATCTCATCATCTGGAGACTCTGATGCAAGAAGGAGCTGACGAAGTAGATCTGACCCATTCTGCGTTGATAAGAATGACCTGAGTAGTGACGGGTTTTGCTTTACGATCTGTCGGAATCCTTGTAGTGCAAACGGTGCCTGCGCAGATACGGAGAGAGATTTTGCCATGGATGATAGGATCTCGTCAGTTGTCTCTGGCGCTAGGATGTTTGAAGATGACTGGAGAATGCGATTGAAGGAGTCCCACTCTAGAGAACCTTCAAGTGTAGCTTGGACACTGGACTTTATGTAGCCTTGCAACTCTGTGTCTGACAAGGCAAGCTCAAATGTATTTGGGATTTTCGACGATGTAAGAAGGGCTTCAAGCGCTGCTACCTTGACCGGGGAATCCGGTTCGTTTAATGCACTTTTCAAACACGTACCCCATGTTTCCTCGAAGAACGGCGACTGAGAGAACGTGTACAAGATATCCACTAGATGAGAAGAGGAACGCGAAAGTATGAACTTCTGGATATCCTGTTGAACGAAATCTTCCAGTTGCTGTTTCGTTTCCTTATCGGCCAGTATGAAGGATCCATTCCTGTGAAGGAACTCCGCTATCGTGCCCGCCGCACCGTACGGTTTCCCGTTTCTATTCCTCACAACATGGAGTGCTTTATGGATGATCGAGGCGTTTGATTTCGTAAAGACAGCCCGTAATGGTGTTGCTGGGTTAGTAGACAGGGCAGACTTCTGTAGTGAAGCAAGCCGTTTTGCTTGCTGAATGAGCGAGGCTTGAGACCTTTCGTGATCCTTCGACTGCTCCGGAGCGGAGACTCTGATATCGCCGATGAATGCTTCGACATATCGCGGCCACTCTTCCTGAAGAACACTCTCTACACCTAATATAGTCAAGGCTCGAGATGCTAGCGCGAGTCCATCGGGAGGTAGAGTCCATTGTGCATTTTCGGGACTAGGCCGCAAGTACTGCGAGATAATGGGAAGGATCATATCTGCAGCAAGCTTCCGCCTATCCTGCTCAGGGAGCAATCTGCATACGATATTCGTGACTTCGAGGTATGAAAAAAGGGCAGTTTCAAGGTTGCTTCTTGGCTCATCCTTCTTGACGATTCCACTATGGAGGGCACTTAGAATTTCCGTTGCATCCGCTCCAGTTCGAGGTAAAATATTGCTAGGCAAAGCGTTGAACAAAGCGGCCAACCGTGCCCAGAAATCCCGGGGACCAGATTGAGATCCTTTCTTCAAAAACTGCCGCAATCTCCTGTCCGCTGAAGTCTTGCTCTTGTAATGCTCCGTCCAAACTGTAGGGTGAGCAGAAGTTAGCAAGACCAAAGCTTCCAAGTAATCATATGCCGAGCCTGTCTGATCCGAGTTCAGAGCGACAGAGAGGTAGGGTCTGCTGATTGCCTCGAGGTTGGCCGCCACGGCTTCTGGCTGCTTTGATAAACAGGTCTTAAGAAATCGATGTATCGAGCGTCGAATGGGCGCGTCGTTGTAGGATGCAAATCCCCAAAGCTTGTCGTCTGTTAAGAGGCCAGTATACTCGGACTGGAGTTTTGACAGATCTTCAGGTTTAAGATTGGACAGCAAACTACCTACTAAAGATATGCAAGCGGATATGACTCTGCTGTACTTTGCTTCCGCATCGTCAGGGCTGGTAGTCCGCTCGTCACTCAACGTGAGTGCAGTCTCCTTATCAATAGCGTCCCGACAATATTCCAGCAGTGGCTTGTGGTACGCCCTGCGGATATTCTGGATTTTCTCGGGGGTATTGAATACTTGGCGCAACGAATTCTGCGTCGCCTCAGCCACCGATCGATCGCTATCATAGAGCCCAGACAGCCATGCACCGACAGACTTTGGCATGTACTTGGCGATGCGCTTGCCGGCAGAAGCAGCTATTTGGCCATGCAGGGTATGGGCATTCTGGCGGACTGACTTCGCATTGTCTATCGAGGCACGAGGGTACATTTTGATCTGTGGAACAACTTAAATTACTACATGTAGCATGGATATGTACATCCGTGTATTGAACCCACCCATGCCTCCAGGATACCCTCCTCCACCGGCTCTTTCAGTGAAGAAATGCGTGCCTGCATGTCCTCCAACGCTTTCGCCTTTGTGGTGCTGTCCTTCTTGGAGAGATTTCTGAAGTAGACGACGACATTGGGATCGGATATGGAGGAAAGGTCTGGTGGTTCTGAGACGTAGGCCAATGGCGAAGAACTGACACTGAAGGCAGAGGACGAAGAGGTACTGAAGCCTGCGCCGAACGCACCTGAGGCAGCCCGAGCGCTGCTGGCTTGCGATTTGACCTGGCGCTTACTCATGCTTGCAGCTTGAAAGAGCGAAGGTATAAAAATGAAAAGTCAAGAGGGGGAAAGTGGCGGAGCGGTGAATTTCAATGTCTAAGGAAAGCTTGTGAATCGAAGCGATGCTTGCCCTTGCCCTGCCCTTGCCTTGCACTGCCCTTGCCTTGCCCTTGATGACGGAGCTGAAGGGCGGCGTGGCGTGGCGTGGGGCTTTCACCAGTGTCTGCAGCCGGAGAACTACCGAAGCCTTCCCTTATAGGTCCTAGTGCTTCTCATCTGAACTTCATCTCAAGGCAACCCAAAGGCTTCCTCCAGCAAGTAACAATACAACCTCAGCCCTATCCGCTGCAGGCGCAGTATACCAGGATGAAGTTCTTTATAGAGTACGTTTTTATTCTTGATCTCGATGACCGCTTTTGTTGCTTACCATATCCAGCGACCTACCAGTGCTCTTCCCATACCCCAGGATATATCCTGAGCAATATGCCTACATGTGCGACCTCAAGCGCACTCTTGACGCAAGGGGTCACTGCGTTCTCGAGATGCCTTCGGGTACGGGTAAAACCGTGTCTCTTCTTTCTCTCATCGTAGCGTACCAGCAGTTCCACCCCGAGACACGGAAACTGATCTACTGCTCGCGTACCATGTCAGAGATCGAAAAAGCTCTGGCCGAGCTGAAAGGCCTGATGAAGTATCGCACTGAGCAGCTAGGCTATGAAGAAGAGTTCCGCGGCCTCGGCTTAACTAGTCGGAAAAATCTCTGTCTGCATCCGTCTGTTAAGCGTGAGAAGAGTGGCGCCATAGTCGACGCGCGCTGTCGAAGCCTAACGGCTGGTTTCGTCAAGGAAAAGAAAGAGCGCGGGGAGGACGTCGATCTCTGCGTCTACCACGACAATCTTGATCTTCTGGAGCCGCATAATCTGATCCCGCCTGGCGTGTGGACGCTGGACGGTATGCAGAAGTACGGCGAGCAGCAGAAGCAATGTCCGTACTTCACCGCGCGCCGCATGATGCCGTATTGTAATGTTATTATTTACTCCTACCACTACCTGCTCGATCCTAAAATCGCAGAACGAGTGTCTAGAGAACTGTCGAAAGACTGCATCGTCGTGTTCGACGAAGCTCACAATATCGACAATGTGTGCATCGAATCCCTAAGTATCGATTTGACCGAAGATTCGCTGCGCAAAGCGGCCCGTGGTGTCAACAATCTAGACCGCAAGATCACAGAGATGAAGTCCACAGATGCCGAAAAACTCCAGAATGAATACGCCAAATTAGTAGAAGGCTTACGAGAAGCTGAAGAGGCTAGGGACGAGAACGCATTCATGGCTAACCCAGCCTTACCAGACGACCTGCTCAAAGAAGCCGTACCAGGCAACATCCGTCGCGCAGAGCACTTCGTCGCCTTCCTAAAACGCTTCATTGAGTACCTTAAAACTCGCATGAAAGTGCTTCATGTCATTTCCGAAACGCCCCCTTCCTTCCTCAGCCATCTTCGCGAACTCACATTCATCGAACGCAAACCCCTCCGATTCTGCGCCGAGCGACTCACGTCTCTCGTCCGCACCCTCGAGCTCACCAATATCGAAGACTACCAGCCCTTACAAGAAGTCGCGACCTTCGCGACCCTCATCTCCACCTACGAATCCGGCTTCCTCCTCATCCTTGAGCCCTTCGAAGCCGCCACCTCCACAGTGCCCAACCCCATCCTCCACTTCACCTGTCTCGACGCTGCCATCGCCATCGCCCCTGTCTTCGAGCGTTTCTCGTCCGTCATCGTCACTTCGGGCACCATGTCTCCGCTAGATATGTACCCCCGCATGCTGAACTTCTCCACCGTCGTCCAAGAATCTTTCACCATGACACTAACCCGCCGGTCCTTCCTCCCCATGATCGTGGACCGTGGCTCCGACCAAAACCAAATCACCTCCCAATTCGAACACCGCAACGACCCGCAAGTCGTCCGCAACTTCGGCAACCTACTCATCGAATTCTGCAAACTAACCCCGGATGGGGTTGTAGTGTTCTTCCCTTCCTACCTCTACATGGAGAGTATAATATCCATATGGCAAGGCTCGCACGTCCTCAACGAAGTCTGGAAATACAAACTCATACTGGTAGAAACTCCCGACGCTCAGGAAACTTCCCTCGCACTCGAAACCTACCGGACTGCGTGCAACAACGGGCGTGGGGCGGTGCTACTGTGCGTTGCGCGGGGCAAGGTCTCAGAGGGCATTGATTTTGACCATAACTACGGCCGCGCTGTGTTGTGCATGGGTGTGCCGTACCAATACACAGAATCTCGTATTCTTAAAGCAAGGCTGGAATTTCTCCGCGAAACATACAGGATTAAGGAATCTGATTTCCTGTCTTTCGACGCCATGCGCCACGCAGCACAATGTCTAGGCCGCGTTATCCGCGGGAAAGACGATTACGGGATCATGGTTCTCGCGGATAAACGGTTTGGCAAGAAAATCACCCAACTGCCTAAGTGGATTCAAATGGCACTAGATACGAGTAATACGAAGCTGAGTGTCGATCAAGCGGTATCCCATGCGAAAGCCTTTTTGCGCGATATGTCGGTGCCGTGGACAAGGAGTGAGCAAGAAGGTATAAGTACGTGGAGCTTGGTGGAGCTAGAGAGCCATCAGGCGAAGAAGAGGGTGGAGATTTTGCAAGGGAGGGAGGATAGGAGTGCGGAGGGGAGAGCCGTGGAGATTGGAGTTGGGGTGGAGGATGAGTTTGGCGATCAGGACATGGAAGCTATTATGGGGGATCTGGATGCTTGAGGGTGGTGGGACTGATGATATGTGGATGGTGACCTGAAATTGGATCTTGGAAGGTTTGGACGGCTGTATGATTAGGAGCTGTGGGGACTTGCCCAGCGTTTTGGCGTGTGGACGCGTGTTTGGATAATAATGCCTCGCATAAAACTATCTACTTGAGCCGGTATTGGTTATCCTTTCTCAGATAAGTGTCATAGGTACAAGAGGATTAAGTTAGCAGGCACTGAAAGTAATGACCTGCACATTACAAGATGCGCAATTTACACCAGCAAAATGTATGCAGGTATGACTAGAACTCTTGACGCCAGCCTTACTAACTTGATATATCACGATTCAAAGGCCCTCCACGCAGGAGAGGAAACTAGAATAGGAAATGATCGAATAGAGAAAAATCGAAAGCAAGTCGGAGAAGAAGCGGCCTATACATCCATATCCATGAAAAGCCACTGATTGCTGGTGATATCGTCCCCACTCGTGAAGTCGTTTAGTGTAGTGAGCTGGAAGCCTATCCAACCAAGGTCCTTGGTTAGGGCGTCCAGAGGTCGGGGGTCGGTGTGACGGTCGAGACAAGCGACAAGGTGGGAGCAGGAAAAGTAGGGTATGTCGCAGAGTTCAAGGAGGGCCATCAGGCTGCGTGATAGTCAGTATGGACATGTCCAAGAAGATTGGGGGTTGAACTGATTGGACGTACCCAGCTTTGAGATCGCCGCCAATGACACTGCCATCGAAAAAGACGAACATAGTCCTCTCGCTGCTCCCATCCTTCTCGGCAACAAAGCCTCGGAACTTATTCCCTCCAACATAGTCCCAAATCTCGATCCACTCGCCAACCAAGCCCCTCTTTTCCTCAAACAGATCCAGCCCCGTAATAGTTTCATCCTTTGTATCCGTATGGCGACGTACATGAACCCCATAGTCGTTGATATTGGTATTTGAATATTGATTTTGCACACCCAGCACAAGCGAGTCCTGACGAGCCAAGTTTCCCTCACCTAGAAAAACAGCCCGCAGTGTCTCGCAGAAGAGTCTCTCACACTCTTCCGTAATGGTGTATGCAGCCCCCCCTCCGTGCGCCCTTTCGCCCGATATCGACTTGGCGGCGGAAGTGTGTCTGGCGGAGAGGGGGGGACTCAGTGGAGGGGAAGGCATTCCCTAATATGAAGTCAGTGTTTGGCTTGTAGCATAGCAACGAGCACAAAACAAAAGCCAAAGCAAGACTCAGAAATGATGCCAGAATCAACTGGACAGTCAAAGGGTAGCAGACTCACCGAGCTCTCCTCAGGAACGCCAATCGACCCCGCCAGCCCCCGTAGTGGAGTAATGGAAGCCCTGGATTGCCGCCGTGGAGGTATTCACAGCATAACAGCTAGCGCGAATATTGGAGCTGATTTCGTAGTAATTCCCATGAGGATTACTACTACTACTGCTATGTAAACTGGGGGAAATGATTGCCATTGTTCTGGGTTGCCACGGTCGCTTTGGGTTGGGGTTTCGTTAGGAGCGAGGGTAGTTGTATCGACAGAGACGTCCGGCAGGAGGATACTAGGTGCTAGGTAGATGCAGCGGGTTGCTTTTGCAGAACGCGGTTGTGGGTGTCAGCGGTGGTGTGGTGAGGAGAGGGAGGAAGTGGGCTGGGCGGGATCGGAAATACTTGTGTGGGCCCGAGCTTCGCTACTAGCCGTGGCTGGTCAAGCGTTTCCAAAGTTTCTGTTCTTGCCACAGCAATCCACAGCAGCCTCTAACTGCCCGAACCGGAAGGTTTGGCTTAGCATCAAATATTTCTCATGGTGCAAATGTCAGGTGGGTGAACTTCTCTATTTACTACAATCCGCTAATTCACACATACTCCAAACTTTTTCGGGTATTAGCATCCTCAGCAATACTTCTCGTGGTATCACCTCGCTATGACACCCGCTCATAGCCCTCCGGGCGCAGAATCAGGAAAACAGAAAACCGGAAAACTAAAGGCTGGGAAAGAGGCGGCATCAGGCATTGGGTGAGAAATCCTTCCTTCCTGCACGAATCTATCGCATGCCCAAGATTATGCAAGTCGGATATCTCGTACGCTATGCATGTAAAGCAACATCAACGTAAGGAAATATATGAGAGAAGCGCAGCGGCCCAACACGCGCCAGTCACCTGCGCGAGCTGGTAAGCGCAGGAGTGGAGTCCGTTGGGTTGTACAAGAGGGAGGTGCGTCTCGTATACGTACGAGCCGTAGTGAATATAGATGAAGATGCTTCAGTTGACCGCCATGCACTTGACATCGAATATCAAGTCCGAGTTCGCGGGAATGCCAGGAAGAGCCTTCTTGCCGTATGCCAAATGGGCTGGGATTGTTATGCGACGCTCACCACCAGCGGTCATGCCAACTATACCAAGGTCCCAACCCTTGATAACCTCACCTGCACCGAGTTTGAATGCAAAAGGCTTGCCTTTCTTGTTGGCTAGAACTCTATTTAGCGATGCGCATGCTTAGATCAGGGGGATTGCTTACCATCAAACTGTTTGCCATTGCTCTTCAGCTTGCCAATATACCGCATCTCGATCCTGTTGCCCTTCTTTGCGGCGGGGCCCTTGCCCTGCTTCTTGTCCTCGATCGTCACGCCGTTGGCAACTCTCGGCCCAGCCTTAGCTGCTGGGGTCTCCTTCTTTTCCTCCTGCACCTTTGGCGAGCCAGTTGGGCCTTGCTCCAGGTTCTTGGCGAACTGAACCTTCTTCTTGTCACTGTTGGGTGCTGCTGCCTGTTCTTTCTTGGCCGGTTCTTGAGCAGTGGCGACAGCCTGGCCATCATTCTTCTTAAGTTTCTTGGCTTGCTTCTTGCTCAGCTTCTGCTCGCCATTGGTAGTAGTCGGAGCTTCGGCCTTGGCCGTCTTGCTAATCATGTCGTCGAGAGTGGTGGGCTCCTCTTCGCTCGCAGAGTCTTCAGCAGGCCGCTTGTTCTTGCCTTTCTTCTCGGCTTTGAGTAGCTTTGGAGGCTCTTCATCAGATGGGACTTCTTCGATCCTTGGATCCTGGAGCCCATCAAGCATATCCTCCTCCAAGTCAGACACTTCATCAAGCTCATCCGAATCCGGGGGAAGATCATATTCGTCCTCATCATAGTCATCCGAGTCATCTTCATTCTCAGGGTCATCCATAGGCAAGACGTAGTTGCCAGTGAGGTAGATGTCGTGGGTGCCATTGGAGCAGAAGTAGACCTGCTCGTGTTCACTGATGGTAATATCAAGTGGCTGTTGGTAGTTCTTCGAGAGCGTTAGTAAGACTGAAGGAACTAGAAGGGGATGAACGCTTACCTTTTCTGGGTCGAGAGTGCAAAGGACGAATTCTTCGACCTCACCCTCGCCCTCGCTCTCTCCATCCTCGTCGTCGCTGCTGATGTCGCCATCAATGGCCTTGGCTTTCCCTTTTGAGCCGACTCCATTGACGCCATTGGGCTGGTCGAGCTCCATCTCCTCGGCTTCAAGTTCTTCTTTCAGCTTCTTCGCAAATGCTTCCCGCTTGGCCTGCTTGGCCTTGGCAGGGTCGCTAGGGCCCCCGTTCTTCTCTGCTTCGCTGTCCTCATCGCTGTCATCCGACATGTCGGAATCTTCGTCGGAGATGACGCCGGCAAGGCGGGCTTTGATAGCCTCGATGTTATCAAAGTCGTCGTCGTCTTCGTCATCAGAGTCTTCCGGGCCAAGAGGCTCGCGGATGAGTTTCAAGGTAGCACGAGGGGTCTTGAAGGTCTCGTCAAGCTGGGGGACTGCGCTAGGGTCAATGGCAGCCATGGTGATGCGAAACTGGGACCGATTAGCTGAGGGCGCCCAGAAGCGCTGCGACGACGAACCGAAGCATGGTATTGAGCGAACAGCTCTTTCAGCCCGGATTCCTAAGGGATAAAGATCAGATGGGTTTACTCACAGTGGCGGGGAACTCTACCGCAGCGGGGATTGGGAGACCACCAGCTGGGACGCGGAGCCCATAAACGCTCGCGGGTAGCATGCCGGCCATTGCGACCAAGCGAAGCAACAACTGCTGGGGTAGGTAATGGAATGTATAATTGGAGAGAGAGGAAGCTTTGCACGAGCAGAGTGGGGGTTTGCAAAGGGCTGAGTGCAGTCTGGACTCTGGGAGAGGGGGGGATGTCTGGAGGGAGCAGAAAGCGAAGCAGAAAACAGAAAACGAAGATGGCGGGCAGCTCGAGATACAAAATCTTCGCCAAGATTTCTCGAGAAAAGCTGTGGATCGCGCTTGGGCCGCTGCTCACCGCCCGCCAGTGCTTGATTCACCCGGCAGAAAGACGGTGTTCGCTCGGGACGCGATGCCTGCACGCCACAGACGCGCCGACATTCACTCATCTCCCCGCCGACATGCGGGAGCCTGCCAGCGCCATCGCAGCATGACAATCCCTCCGGTGCACCCCCTACGACCCCCGCTGAGCACGCACCCTCTCTGAAGGCTACAATGGGGTCGCGCCTCGAAAGCAACTCGAGTGCCGTTCGGAAGCGTATTTCAAATCACTCTTTCGAGGATGAGGATGGCGACGAGTACGAGGGCTCCAAGTTCGGCGGGTTTTCCGACTATTTCAGGCGGAAGAAGATCAAGTTACAGAATCTGGACGCCGACCTGCGCAGCCAATCCGTCGACAAGCCGGCCATATTCAAAGGAATCGTAGCCCACGTCAATGGATACACGCAACCGTCGTTGAACGACCTGCACACCCTCATCGTCCAGCATGGAGGAGGCTTTATGCAGTACCTTGACGGCAAAACCACCGTCACGCACATCATCGCCAGCAGTCTGACCCCGAAGAAGGTGGTTGAGTTCAGGCGATATCGCATAGTCAAGCCAGGGTGGGTGGTGGCCAGCATAAAAGCAGGGAGACTGTTGCCTTGGAATGACTATCGAGTGGTAGACGAAGGCGACAGCCAGAGAGTCTTAGCATTTGACAACGGAAAAGTATTTAGCAAGGCCAATGTCAAGGCCAGGGGCTACAGGGACCAAACGGATACCAGCTGGTACACCAGCCAGTTGAGGGGCAGTCAGGCTGAGTCACCATCACCCCCACCCAGTAGCACAATGCCCTCCCGATTCTCTATGCAGAGGTCACCGATGTCACACGGCGGTATTGAAGAGCTCCCGCCTTCGCACCAGCCAGAGATGGAGTCTCGCGATACTAGCGTGCTCGACTCAGGGCCTGACAACGTTTCGAAACCGAGGAAGCTCGTCGCACCTCCTAAGACGAGCCCCTCACTCGGGTCACAGGTGCACCATGAAGAGAATGTCAATTCAAAATATCTAATCGCAGACCAAGATGACAGCCTCTATGCTGACCCCACCCCACCAGATGCCCCTCAAGCCCGGCCACGTTCTGTCTCTCCCGTGAAACGACCAGTTGAAGATGGAGACGAGGAACCCGTAGAACCCCCTCCGAAGAAAACTAAACTCACAGCTGAAGAGCACAATGCAATCCTCCTTCGTGACCCCAAAATCCGCAAATCTACCGTCGTTGACCCAAACTTTCTCGAGCAATACTACCGTGAGTCCCGCCTGCACCACCTATCCACCTGGAAAGCAGACCTTAAGTCTCAGCTCCAGGCATTAGCCAACGAGAGGACCTCGTCTCAGCAGCGGAAGCACAAAAGACCACCTGGTGCTAGACGATACGTTCTCCACGTCGACTTTGACAGTTTCTTCGCTTCAGTAAGTCTCAAGAAGAATCCACAGTATAAAGATAAACCTGCGGTCGTCGCTCACGGAAACGGCAACGGCTCCGAGATTGCAAGCTGCAACTACTCGGCGCGCAAATTTGGGGTTAAGAATGGTATGTGGATGAAGAGAGCCATGGAGCTCTGTCCGGATCTCAAGATCTTACCGTACGACTTTCCAGCCTACGAAGAAGCGAGTCGAGCGTTCTATGATGCTATCCTTGCAACCGGGGGGCTCGTTCAGAGCGTCAGCATCGATGAGGCGCTCATTGACGTCTCTAGTCTTTGCGCGGCCACAGGTGGTAGTGACGGGAGGAATGTATCCGAGGGAAGCGTCTACCGGGAACAGGCCAAGGCAGATGAGATCGCACAGTCGCTACGGAATCAAGTCAAGGAGAAAACAGACTGCAACGTGTCAGTCGGTATCGGTGGCAACATCTTGCTTGCCAAGGTCGCGCTTCGCAAGGCGAAACCAGCTGGTCAACATCAGATCAAGCATGAAGAGATCCTCGATTTTATCGGACAGCTACAGGTTCAAGATCTCCCTGGTGTAGCATGGTCAATTGGTGGCAAACTCGAAGAAATGGGGATCAAATTCGTCAAGGACATTCGAGAGTTCCCAAAGGAACGGCTAATCCAGACGTTGGGCCCGAAGACGGGAGAGAAGTTGTGGGAGTACTCGCGTGGCATTGACCGCACAGAAGTCGGCGAGCAAGTTGTCCGGAAATCCGTGTCCGCGGAAGTGAGTTGGGGTGTTCGGTTTGAGAACCAAGACCAAGCAGACGAGTTCATCGGAAGTCTCTGTGGCGAGTTGCAAAAACGTCTTATTAAAGAGAAGGTCAAGGGAAAGCAATTCACTATGAAGATCATGCGCCGTTCGCCAGATGCTCCTCTCGATCCGCCGAAGCATTTAGGCCACGGAAAATGCGATACGTATAATAAGAGTATGGTCCTTGGTGTTGCTACAAATGCAAAGGATGTCTTGACCAAGGAGGCCCTAAGTATCCTCAAAGGCTTCGGTTTCTCTCCGGGTGAGCTTCGAGGCATAGGCGTTCAAATGACGAAGCTCGAACATATCAAAAGCACCATAGACGGCCAATTCGAAAGCTCCCAACGCCGTCTCCAATTCAAAGTCAACGTCAACGCCGAAACCACCAGCACCCGCAAAGCCCCCAAAATTGCCGACGCAGACCCTATCCAGGACGACCCAGAGACGCCCAGGAAGCCAAAAGCTGTAGGAAGAGCGGATGCAGACCACATCTCCTTCGGCGCACAACAACTCAATCACTCAACGCCGTCCCGCCGCCCCCTTAATACTCTCGGAACGCAGTTTATTTTACCAACACAAGCCGATCCCAAAGTCCTCGCCGAACTCCCCGAAGACATCCGCTCGAAACTGCTCAGACAAGTGCGGCAATCGTCGCCGACGCCCGCGCCGCGGAACCCACCTGCCCCCCCAGCAGCACACAAATCCTGTGAATCCTTACCCCACGTTCCAAAGGGCAAGAGCAAAGAACATGAAGACAGAGATAGAATACCCCTAACCGCCCTCCCCGCCCACTCCCAACTCGACCCCTACATCCTCGCCGCCCTACCCGCAGACGTCCGCGCTGAGGTCCTTGCACAATACGCTGACTCTGCAACGCCTTCTACCATCCCTCTAACCATCCCTTCCTCCCCGCACGACAGAAAACCAGATCAAACACTTCTCCCCCAATCCCCACGCAAATCCAGGATCATTGGGATCCCCACCAAAAAACCCAACAGTGGATTGCCGGTGAAACGGGGGCGAGGCCGTCCGCCAAAATCCGCACAACTTGCAGCGGCCGCGGCCGCGAGTGTGAGGAGTAAGAGTGGGAAAATGTTAATGCAGGCAAGTTTTATTACGAATACTAGCATTAACATACGAGCGGGGCGAGGGGCCAGCGTCGACACCGCAGAACACAGTGGAGGTGGAGGCAGAAGTGGAAGCGGAGGTGGGGGCGTCGAGGAACTTGACCCGGACTTCCTCTCCGCGCTGCCCGAGGACCTACGGAGAGAAGTGGTGGAGGAACATCGCAGGAAGAAATTACAGGCTTCCAGACTCGCTGTCACGATCGCCAGGAAGCAGAAAGAAGCTGCGCTTCCCCCAGTGGTGAAAAGGCCACAACGTATTAAAATCCCTAGACCCCCCAAACCAACATTTACGACGCGCAGGCTGTGGGACGTGGTGGATTTGCGAACAGCGATTCGGGATTGGGTGAGGGAGTTCAGCGATGAGGGGCCGTATGGCGAGGATGTGGAGGCGTTGGGGAGGTATCTCGGGAGGGTTGTCGGCGAGGAGAGGGATTTGGGGAAGGCGGTGGGAGTTGTTAGGTGGTTGATTTGGGTGGTGGGAGAGGTTGACGATGAGGGGAGTGGGGATAGGGAAGGGAACGGGGGGTTTGAGAAGAACAAGTGGGACGATGCTGTGCAGAGGGTGAAGGAGGGTGTTAGGGAAGCTGGGAGGAGAAGGGGGTTGGGGAGTGTAATGTTTGATTGATTGATTAATTATGTGATGTGGTATGCTCAGATGAGTGGTGCTGAGTGTATTGCTATTATGTCCTATGTACAGTAACACATGCTTGCAATGACGAAATGAACCAACCTATTTTGCTAATCGTAGAGTATACGTAGACTAACTATATGTTCAAATATTGATGTGGGGTATAGAGTGTAGGGTATATGTATGTCCTGATCTGCTTTCTTCTGCCTACGCATCCGTCTTTGAGGGATGCGCGAGACTCGTGGCTGGCGAAATAGGGTATCTGTATGCCGAAGTGGATATGTAATATGCGTGAAAGCCAAAGTCCTGGGGAACGCCGCTCTCTGCCAACCCCTCATGATTAAACCTGTGTAGAGTAGAAAGTGGAAATGTTAAGCCGCGGTGCCTGCACAGGCCGGTATATATGCATGGTTCGATCATCCGCCTTTTGCCATCCTCTTTCGGAATGGGCTAGTATCGCATTCTCGCCCGCCAGCGAAACGATTCGGGTGGTGTCATCCTACTACTCCTCCTCCTCCTCCTCCCTCCCAAACCGCCTATTCTTCCTCCTCCGTCTCGCAAGCCCCGGACTCCAGATCCCGGAGAACAAATCCTCACACTCATCCTCATCTTCAGAGTCGAATTCAATCTCCCCATCCCCACCCGCACCGTTTCCCCCTCCCTGACCCTCTGTGCGTTCACCAACGCCTCCTCCTTCCACTATACTATCAGCATCATCATTCCCATTCTCCCAATCCACTCCCCTAACCACGCGCCGCGTTTCGAGAATGAATTTGCCGACTTTGTATTTCTGCGTCTCTTCCTCCGCATCCACGTACTTCCACCCCAACACCGTCGTACACGTCCTGCACGAAATATCCGACACCGTATGCGCGCCCGTAACCAGCTGCCTTGGAACTGGTTTTCCGGTGTTTGTATTAGGCAAACTCCCACTCCCACCTCCCGGCGGTAATTCAGTTGTTGGGAGTGTTTGAGGCGGTGGTGGAGCAACGAGGTATGCGCGACCGTGCCGTCCAGTAAAGCCTTTGCTGATGATAGAGGAGGCGGGGATGAGGTCTGTGAGGCATTTGTGGCAGCGGAGGTAGGAGTTTGAGGAACTAGAGAGGTAGGATGTTGGGTGCGTTGGGGGAGAGGTGGAGGGGGAGCTTGTGGGCGTGGTGGAGAGGGTTGAGGAGCGGCGACGAGAGCGGAAGGGGTTGCTGGGGAGGAGGTACAAGGGGAAGGGGGTTGTTGGGGCGGTGGCTGAGCGCGTCATCGTTGTCGCTTGTCGAAGAGTTCTCGTAGGCGTGAGAGAAGAGAGAACCGGGAAGATGTGGTCTCTTGTACCGCAAATAGAGCGGTGAACAGCCTGTCGCTATGATCGGACGAGAGCTCCTAGGAAATCAAGCGGGGTACACTTGTTCGTAATATCTCTGCAGCTTTCAACTCCCGCACAAAGCACTCGAACCGGAGCGCAATCTCGCCAGAGTGTGTAAAGGAGGATAGATGAGCTCTGGTCGAAGTTAGAAGTACCCGTCCCCTCCTCCCGAGGTCGGAAGTCGCGCAAACGGAGAACAGGTGAGCGTGTGACGCGATACTTGTCCGCACTAAGGGAGCTAGTGGTGAGCGATAACGCGATAACGGACGCCACAAGCGAGGGAGGGGCAGGTGAGGCTACTAGCTCTCCACTCTATTAAACAGCTGTGTGCGGTCCTTGATCAAGGAAATATCTTGATTGGGAGGAACAGGGAGAAGTCGTGAAGTCACGAAGCCGCGAAATCGCGAAGTGGTGAAAATCCGACTCGGAAGAAAGGATGCCCGAGCCACTTAGCACAGCAGACATAGTGATGGAGTAATAATTCTCATGCTTCAATCATACCGTCGAATCACCAGCAACGCACAACGGATCATGCGGGACTCGTCACGAGCGCTGCGTTGGCCCGTGAAGGCGTGACCATTCTGTTTGGCTAGTATGAATTTGGCTTGATTTATAGATGGAACTGTTTCTGTTGGCTTGGGGATTATTCCCTGAGCATCGCGGGGAATCTTGCGTCTCAAGACCAGATCGGCCTGATGAAGGTTGGCCGAGGTCGGCTGGAGAGGTATTGGTTGATGGGCTGTTGGGCTGTTGGGCTGTTGGGCTGTTAGGCTGTTGGGCTGTTGGGAGGTTCTGTGTAGGATGGGGTCGAGGTGCAGGGCTCGGGAACGCAAGGAAAAAGCGCATCTCAAAAGCACTGGAAGAGTGGCATGGTGGGGAAAGGCTGAGTGGGATGGGAGGTGAGATTGGCGCCTGTGAGGATATTTTTTTCACACTCATCTGCAGTTCCCCTTCTTGAAGACTGACGACATCTTTCGTTGCTAAGTTTTCCTCCATCAATTGTTAAGCTCTCAACTGCTCATCACACACTCTCCCCTTATCCTCACGAACACTTCCCCTCATATTTCACTCCCCCATTCACCGCATAGCAATCCACATACTGCTGCTTACACTTTGCGCTCGCTTCCTCATACGGCTCCGGCTGTCCGCCATTATTCCTGCTCTGGTCGGCATAGTTCATACACCAATCAAGCTGCGTTTTACACGCATCGTAGCATGCATCCTTGAGCTGTGAGGCCCTGTACGTGGGGCAAGTGAGCGAGTTGTCGGAGTTGAAGAGCTTGAAGGGGAGAAGTAGAACTTGGACAGGGTTATCGTTACAGCCTACACATGGCCTGTGGACAAGTCAGGTTCGTATAATTTCCGAAGAGAAATGGGAAGAAAGGAGGGGAAAGTATACAGAAAAATGCCTCCAACGCTCTTGTTCCCAGCCCACGGAGCTGGCGTCGAGCACAGACATGAGGAAGGAGGCTTGCTGGACACGGTAGGCGCGTATTGCGGGGCTGTGTACGTGTTCGACGGGATGTTATATACCCACGTTGTCTTGGAGGGAGTGGGAGTGGGTGATGGTTTTGGCGTTGATACCCAAGAAGAAGAAGAAGAAGAAGAAGAAGAAGAAGATGATGATGATGATGATGATGAAGAAGAAGAAGAAGAAGAGTATGGAGGTTCCTGATTTGTTCCGCAAGGCTGGTCCGATAGTCTACAGCACCGGTCAGGCTTACCTCCAGAATCGTTCATGAGAACCTTCCACTTACAAATTCTTAGCGACGTAAAGACTCAGCTTAGACGATCCTCCGCATATTTGTGATCTGTCTCCGCTGCAAGCCATGTTACACTTCCCAGCTGGAGCGCTGCTCTTCAGTTAGCCTTGGGCCGAAACATTCAATAGCACACTAACCTAGTGGGATTATAATCGAGCCTTACACCACAAAAACATTCATTTGCATATTCTAGGCCAGCATATGGATACCCTAATGCACCACATGCATTCAGACACACCTCAATAGTCATCTTACTAGATTGTGAAATTTTTTTCGGAGAAATAGCCAGCGCTCGACCACCATTTCCCTCTGTGTAACAACCAAGCGAGGTATAGTTGGAAGATTCAGCAACATTGTCGGGGAACGTAGGGTCTGCGTAGACCGAGAGCGTGTCATGGCCGCCACAAATCCCGGACTCGTCGCCAGTGCATGTGAGATTACAGTAAGTCTCGGGGGCAGAGTCGGAAGGGAGCGTGGCCCCGCAGAAGCATTCCCTGTAGTACTCTAGGCCAGCATACTGATATCCATTACTCTGGTTTCGCGGTCAGTGATCATGTGAGAAGAGAGGCCCAGAAGTGAAGTACCTTGCAGTACGCGGTGCATTTTTCGATGGTAATAGCGTCAAAGTCAACAGGTGGTTGATAAGGGAAGGTTCGGTCAGATGTTGAATCGAAAAAGCAGCCTTTGTAGGCGAAAGGAGTGTACGGATATGGGCAAGCTGGCTGCAGAACCGGGTTGGCTGATGTGAAAGTCAAGAAAAGAGCCACGAGCAGCCATGTCCCGAACGAAGCTGTGCACATCTTGGTTCGACGATGATGATAGCTATGACAGCGGTGATATTGATAACACTCAATGAAAATATAATAGAAAGTGCCTCGAGAAAGAAGATGCCTTGAACAGATGATAACATCCTACTTATACCTTTGTTCCCCTGCATCTGGTAGCAGGTGTTGGAGCTTAAAAAACAATAAATCCCAAGACCATGGACTGGCAGCTAAATACTGGGGAGACGCTCCCAGGTGAACATTGTCCCTTGGAATCTTTGGTGGATCATCCGATCTTTCGTCACAACATGACGTACTCGAATTGAATGGGTGAGTCTACTATTGTCGCAGGAGGAACTAGGGTTAGTATATGTACTGCATCCAAGGGGTGGAAATGAGAGTCAACCAGCTAATCCAACCAACCACCCTGAGGAATTGAGACTACGCAACACGTTGAGCTCATCGCTTATGCCAAGCTACTAACAACTACTTACCCCTGTGATCATAGTAGGTACGAAAAGCGGGAGAAATATGGTAATGGCCTTACCCCCTCCCTCCGGCCGTAAATCATGTTGCTGTCGTCTTGGTTCCTACCAATGCTTCAGCGTCGTAGTGCATGAACCTAATGCGAACTTAATGTAGAGGTCATGAAAACGAGAGCACAGCGCCTCGGGTGTGAGAAGACTCAATACAGGTTGCCAATACTGTTATCGTAATGTTCAGCTAATAGAGGTATGATTATTATTTAACATCGCCAACCTGGACCTAATTGGAACAAAAAAACATGTCATTGAGCTTGACCCATTCTGTTTTCCCAAGATCTCTAACATCTGTTGTTATCCTCTTACCGTCACCACTTTCTCACCAGGGGTATTTTTTTGTCGAAGTCGATTTCGGAGTACTCTTAGGAGTGCTCTTTGGCGTTGAACTACTCTTGCAGCTTGTCGTGGTCTTCAGAGTTGATGTCTTGGTCGAAGTTGAGGTCTTTGGCGTAGACTTTGGAGTGGAGGTCGATGTCTTGCATGTGATCGGCGGCGGGCATTTATATCCCACGCATTTCGACGTTGTCGTGGTCTTCAATGTGGAGCTAGATGTTGATGAAGACGGCGTCGGTGTTGGGGTCGTTGACGAACTACTTGAGGAGGATAAAACAGGTGGTGCACATGGGTTGGTAGATTCAAGGTTCTTAGCGACATAGAGTGAGAGATGATCAAGTCCACCACAATATTGTGTGCTGTTACCGGTGCAGGGAGTTGAACAAGACCCTGCATCACTCGGTGTCGTGCCGTTGCCTAAGACTACGCCACAGTAGCACTCGCGTCCGAATTCGGTACCAGCAAAAGGATATCCTTTGGCACCGCAGGCAGTGAGACATGTTTCAGTCGTCATGGCAGATATGTTAAGGTAGTCCCATTGGGAGTAGTCAAGAGAGCGGCCGCTTGTGCCTTCGGTGTAGCAACCTAGCGACATGTAATCGGAAGAGATTGCAATATCGTCGGCATCTGGGAACGTTGGATCTTGATAGATTGAAAGCCTATCCTGGCCTCCACAAGCCTGCGTCTTGTCGCCTTCACACAAAGGTCAGTACGCTGTTTGTTAATCTGAGATATAGGAGGTAGCCTACCATTACAGGGGAGATTGCAATCAGCCTCGGGGGCCGCGCCACTCGAGACACTCGCACCACAGTAGCATTGACCTGAAGAGTCGTTGTTAGCAGCGAGGTTGACTGAAGGGCACAACAAACAATAGTTCCTCACCATAGTATTCCAAGCCTGCGTAACGATAATTGTTGCCTTTGCAGTAAGCAGTGCACTGCTCTACAGTAGCATTGTTGAATTCTAACGCGGCTTGGAAGGGAAGCGAGCGAGTGGAAACAGAATCATAGAAACACCCCGAGTAGACGAAAGAAGTGTACGGGTAGACGCATGGTGGCTGGGGTGGGTTGTTTCTAGGGAAAAGAAAGGCTGATGTGGAAGACGCAAAGGCGGCAGCGCCAAACGCGAAAGACAACTTTTTGAAAGACATAATGAATTTAGGAGTAGAGGCGGTGCCTTGTCAAACTAGTAAATGAGAGATGGGGAAAGACGGTCAATTTATTCTAGCACAAACAACATCAGTCGATATCTGCACCAATGTTTACAGTCTTCAGCTCGTGTCTGCCTCCTGCAAGAAGTTATCGACTCTCGATGCATGGAGCAGATACCGACAGTGTGAGGGCAATTATCGTGGTGGCCTGTGATCTCAGGTCTGGACTGCCTGGCAATGGCTTTTCCCAACCGCATCGTTTCGATAAAAACGTCGACACAGCCAGGGTCCTGTCGCTTTTTAGGTCGAAGCTACACAGGGTATCTGCAGGTCGAGATTACGATGATGTATGAATATGCATAGGGTCACGGTTTCCACAGGGGTGATATCCGTTCAGTGTGCGGCACGGAGAAACCCCATGCGTTGTGATACGTGAGGCTTATTGGTTAATATGAGCGACATATTCTTTAGACGGAAGTGTACCTGGTCGGCATGCAGTGTTGATGTATTGCCAGGCGGCTGGAAAAGCCAGGGGGTTAGATATCGGTCTGAACACGTGCCGTTAAACGGTCCGTGCTCCCGTGATGAGCTTGTTCCCACGCCTCGGGACGAATCCTTCTGCACGGCTCCTACTTTCATCCATTACAGCCAGCCTCGATCAACGCCTTCGACCAACGAGGCTTCGATGCGTCGGAAAACACTATTATCTGTATTCAAGAAGTCGTCTGATGAGTGCCCCTCGATTTCGAAAGCTTTTCCCTTGGAGAATGGTTATCGTAGCCGGGCGTGACGAGAATGTTGAAGGCTAAGAAACGCCTCAGCCATCTAGGTTGATAACGTAGGAGGCAGTCTTACGAAGAGCATGTTCCCTAAAGTTCTATTCATCGTGAGATCAATCCACCTTAAACGATGGTTCTCCCACCAACTGCAACTTGGGAGCTATCAAGGAGGACCAGTTATTGGGGCAACAATGCGCTGAAGTGTTCAGAGAGGCTTCAATTTCACGACGCAATCTGTAACCTCAGTTTCTAGAAAGAGATCAATTCAATTCTCAGAAGAGATGATTCAGGAGGCGGCGAGTGTCCAACTGGTGCACTACTACCATGAAAGACGACTGCCTGTCGTCGTTAAGCAGGGGGATTTGTTCGTGCTTTCCTTGACGGCCGGCTTTCGTTCCCACCATCAGAGAATAACTCGCCATTCTTCTTGTCATCTTTATGTATCGCAACTTCCACCCCTCTGCATCAGGGTCACACATTCCTTATGATGTTTACCTGCTCGTCGACCCTACTTTCAATTTCTCTATCCATCCAACCGTCACCAGTCCAGGGCCTCGCTTTTCTCTCACACTGGCATTGATATTGGCACCATCGTATACCCATCCCTAAACGCCAGTATGATGTCTCTCGTTGCTTCCAGGAAGAGGAAAGATGCCCATAACCCTCGGATGATGTCCCATGACAAGGGCAAAGTCCGCATTATCGAACGTTCCGCCGACGGTACTCGCGAAACCTTGACTCGGTTCCCTCGCTTGCGGTCCAGCCTTCCCAACAATCGGGCATTTTCAAATCTTCGCCTCGGAAGCGTTAGGATTCTTTCCGTCTTCCGTAGCGGTAAAGGTATCTACCGCTCCCGGGTGAGAAATATGCTGGTGCTAACAGATGCTAGGTTCTGCCACAAATTCTGGTCAAGCAACAGCCGATAATCGTAGTTCAAAGTCAAACGCCTCGAATATCACTCAACGTCCACCTGCAGATCCACCAATCCAAAATGACAGCTTACATCCACCGGAATGCCAGAATATGCCTGAGATGATGTTGCCCCGGCTGGACATCTCTTTGCATAGGCCAGGGTCTTCTCTAACGCAGCTCACAAATGCTGCAGTTTTTGACGGCGAGTCAGAGCCAACGCTGGACGAAAAGCGCCCTCGCCCGATAACTTTGCACACAAGCAAGTCAACACCAGGGCTATCGAGACAGCTCACGACTAAGCTCTCAGAAGCCTTTCTTCACAATTCAACAGTCGTCCATCGGCCGAAGCTACAGTCAAGACCCACAGTCTTAACGTCAGATCCAAGGGAGTCCAAAAATATTCCTTCAGACATTTCAGTTACGCACGGTGTTGTGAAAACCGGAGACATTACACCTTTCCATTCTCAGCCTTCTAGCATCGCAGAGAGTAGCAGAGCTCCACTCAGCCTCCAATCGAAATCGACAGCGCCAACATCTCTCGTCTCATCTGGTGCCCCCCAATCGGCGGAGACAACACACATTCGCGGTGACAAAGGCGCTCAACAAATTTCAAGCGGAGGCTCCCCTCCATACGAGCACGCTGCAGAGCAGATCAACAGTCACTGGTTGGTATTCCCACGGCAAGACGCCCCGAGGTTCGCGGAACCCTCCATTGCCACGGTCGAAAATGCGGCAGCGGCAAAGATATACCTCGAATCGCATTTCAATGTTTTGCTCGGCACCAAGATCACGCCTCGCTCAATGCGACGCAGGAATCTGGAGCGGAAATTATTCGCCCTGGCATTCTCAAACGAAGAAAGACATCAAAACCGACAAGAATGGTACCGCGCCGAGAGCCATCATCTCCGTCAGACACGGGCGTTGAAATCGAAAACTCTCACTCGACAAAAGTTGAAAGGCGTTCATATTTCAAACTATGAGATGGTCAGGGTTCTTGGAAAGGGTAGCTTTGGTGTCGTGCGACTCGTTCGCGAAAAAAGTGATCCACATGGCCACTTAAGCAGTCCCGATTTCGAGCGGATGGAAAGTCTAGACGGCTATTTTGGTGCAGATTCTAAGATGACACCAAACGAAAAGAGAAAGGAAGTCTACGCTATGAAAGTCATACGGAAGTCCGATATGCTTCGGAACAGTCAAGAAGGCCACCTTCGCGCAGAGAGAGATTTTCTAGTTGCCTCAGAGAATTCGCGGTGGGTAGTTCCTCTCATTGCCAGCTTTCAGGATAATAACAACCTTTACCTCGTCATGGAATACATGGTTGGAGGAGACTTTCTGGGTCTGCTCCTCCGGGAAGATATCCTGGACGAGAAAGTTGCACAGTGGTACATTGCTGAGATGATTCTGTGTATTGAAGAAGCACACAAGATGAACTGGATCCACCGCGACGTGAAGCCAGATAATTTTCTCATCACTTCGTCAGGACATCTTAAAATATCTGACTTCGGCCTCGCCTTTGACGGCCACTGGACTCATAACCAGACCTATTACAACGAACAACGGTACAGCCTGCTTCGAGACCTAGACCTGCATATACAGGGCGATGAACAAGATTGCGAAGAAGAGAAGAGCCGGCAAGAAAACCAGAGGAAAATTGATTTTATCAATGGCAGAGTGTCTGGACGCGAACGGTTTGAAGCAAAGCAAGACGGTGTAAATGGTCCCATCCTAGACTGGCTAAACCGTACCCAAAGACGCAACTTCGCCAAAAGCGTAGTTGGGACGAGTCAGTACATGGCACCAGAAGTCATCAAAGGGGAGAACTATGATGGCCGGTGCGATTGGTGGAGCATTGGTATCATTCTGTACGAGGTATGTGCATTAGAGCCGAAATATTTTTGCTTGGTGCTTATCTATGAACAGTGTCTTTACGGATGCACACCCTTCTTCTGCGACAATAGAGCAGCAACAAAGGCCAGGATTCTCGTAAGTCACTTTCACTACACCCTTTCAACCATCTGACAGTTTCAGGAACATAAGCAGTGGCTCCGGTTCCCCCCCGATCAGCGATATGCTCGGCCAAACGTTGACCGCGTACCACTGCATCCTGTGACTCGAAATGCGATGGATCTTATGATAAGGCTATTAGAGGATAAGGAAGGACGCCTCTCTTCGAAGAAATTCCGGGAGAATGATTTTGTTATGCATCAGCGTGCTTTGCGAACCCGACATATGCGCAACTTCAACAACACAGGCCACGTTGTGTTTCAGAATGATGCCGAAGATATCAAAAATCATCCATGGTTTCGCAATATTCAGTGGTCAACGCTTCATCTGACACGCCCGCCGTTTGTCCCCCGGGTCCATGGCAATCAACCTATCACGAAATATTTTGATGATGAAGCAGAGATCATGAGCGCGTCAGATCATCTTGACTCATCAAGCTATCAAACAGGACCAGTGGGACCTTTACCATCTCCCGCGTCTCCAATACACTGTATAAGCAAGCCCCTTGATTCACCCAAACACCTACTCGAGGACAACTACAGTGTCACTCCGGACAGAACGAAGCGGCGCAGGAAGGAAAAGAAAAGGCCCCGGGATAAGTTGTTGCGAGACCCCCATGTCGGGCGAACCGTCCTGGAAATTCGCAAGAAAGGGGCTTTTATGGGATACACGTACCGAAGGCCTGACTTTACCCTTTCAGAGCTGGAGGATAGGGTTTCGAGGACACCTCTTCCAAGACCGAGCATGATACCAGTGAGTGCGTAGGGAGAAGCGCTTTGAGAAGGTGGATGATTCCCCCTTTTTTGTTCAGTATTCTGTCGTTTGTTTTGCATCACTAAATTAACCTACAAGTTCTCAATTCACGATTGCTTGCTATTATTGGTCGTGGTAGTATTAACCCGTCATGTCTTTAGTTAGCCGAGAAAAAACTCGTACTTCCCGTAGCTTATTGAGGGATGTAAGCGCAGCTGCAACGGTGCCGAATTTAAGCAATGCTGTTGGTCACTAGCAGTTTGTCTATTAACTCGAGATTTCGCGTTTACGATCTCCTAGATTGCACGCCACCAAATAACCTAAATACATGCATCATCTGAGGATAACGACTCACAACATTCACGAAAGCTTCCATCGCATGATACTGCTACTCGTCTTCTATTCGCCCATCGTTGAACAAACGACGAAGAAACTCGATTCGAATATGCGTTTGTTAGTCGAGGCTTGGTCTCCACCTTCAAATTTCAAACTCTTTTCTATCACCACTTTATCCATCAACCTTGCAGATCACAGCCTCTGAATCTTCAACGGAACAGGCTATTGCGCCGAACGATTAGGATGGCTGGGTTAGTCTGATGGAGAAAGGGCGCGCATGGATGATAAATCAAAGTGCTTATACAAATTCCAGGTCTTATATCAAAGTGGATATTCCTTGAAGCTTCAAGAACCCGAAGACAAGAGTGCGGACCTTTTCGACACAAGGCAATTCTCCCCCATTCTACTACAGCTTCGGTGCCTTCAGCTGGAAGGAGATTTCATGACAACTTAGGGGTTAGAGCCTCTTGCAATGCTCGGTTGAGAAACAGAGATCTACATACGGTAACAGGAGATGTCAACCGAGAGCAGTCTCACTAGAATCTCGAAATAATCCAGCCGGCTCCAGGTTGGTTGGCCCTCAAGATCAGGCCAATCTTGTAGGAAGGTCTCGGGGTTTCGGCGTACGTCTGGAGCCCACAACGCCAATTGTGTTTTGCATTGGCGCGATTTCACTCCCAATCTTGCGATATTTCCAAATGCACATCTTTAGACGATCGCAGAGATCCAACTCCTACACTGCACAATGTGGAGTACATGGGAACATATACTCAAGAGCTTCCGCAGCCTCCCCTGAGTCTAACTTCTCTATCTCAAAGAACGCTCCATAGCAAGATTCCAGTAGCGGATCTGAACAAGCCTTTGTCGACGGTTAGGTATGTACCTGTTGAGCGGGCTTCTGAGGAATCGCTGTTATGGGAAGAGAATATCTAATAGGTTGTTGATGCGCTACGGAGCGAGGTCGTAGGAGTCCCGGGCTACATCAGGAATATGTCGATGGTTGGATGGTAAGGGGATGTTAGGAAGGTGGCTTGAGGAAAGCTATTGTTGAAGAACTTGGAACACTCTGCCGGTCTCCTAGGATCTTAGTGCTGCGAGGATTGTTCGGGTAGGTCCATTAAAGATACTCTTGCTAGAGTAGGTTAGCTCGAGTGGGGCCACAATATGCCAAGTATGAAGCTCAGGTGGCGCTTGGAAGAGGGTTGTGTGGCATTTAGCAACACAACATGTCATGAAGAAATAAGCAGATATACTGACGTGGACCTTGCTCCATGACATATTCATCAACTACAACCTCGATAAACGCAGCGTAACTTAGAACACATTTCATTCCCACTTTCCAAAATTAGTAATTGTACTTGTAGCACAGCTTGTCCCCCATGGTGTTAATAATATCCCTAATCTGAACATTAGGTCGCATGCCATTCACAGACACCACTGTGTCTAGTGTGAGCGGGTTCCCAACCCTATCGGTTCCATCGATGTATCCCACACGCGCTGCGTCGGCGTTCTGCCAGATGCGGTAGTTGCGATCGACGAACGCATGGTGAAGCCAGAAGACTGGGTCCCCGGGCGACGCGTACACGTCGGACATAACAGCTCCTATCCCATTGTGGCCCCAGGCGTGTACACCCCCCTCTGCACAGGATGCCATATCTGCGTAGTCACTGCGCGAGTTGCAGGCGTCAACCATGGCCTGGTTACAATTTGCTGTCTTGCTAGCGTCCCCATTACGTGACAGACAGTGAGCGCCGTTTCCAGGACCAGGGCCAACGTTCAGCGTGAGGCCGGCGAATTGCTAGAATTTTGTTGGTGGGCGCATTCGGTTGCTCATCAAGGAGAATACTCACCCCATTCGTTACACAGTTTCCACCAATGCCAATGGCGCCAAACCATTCGTTTGAGAAGACAGATGACTGGGAGAATTTACCCGGATACCTCGTCTCATCGAACCAAGGCAAATTACGGTCGAAGCCGCACTCGGTGCGCAGGATATCTTCAAACGTCCACACAAAGTACCTGTGCCAGATCAAGAACTTTGAGTTACCGTGGACGTTGGGAGTGAGCGTTTGGTGCAAGGAAACTAGATCCTCGTATCGGTTTCTGGCCTGTGAGAATTGGCCTGCAGATGCGAAAGGACAAAGTCAGTGCCGTCTTTTGAAGGAGGATTCTGGTACCCCTATGTTCTATTTTGAAGCGCAATGCAGCTATCTGAAATACCATATGGGTGGCATCGCAGATAATTGCAACAAGCTTAAGACAAAACATCGAGTTTGTACCTGGGCCTTCGTACCTGAAGCCGGTTTGCCCAGCAGACATTTGAGGGCATTTACGAATGCTGTCCTGTCGCTAGTCGAGTATGAGTCCCATTCCGTCCGGACACGAGGATTAGTGCATGTCGCTGCGGCGGCGGCTACTAGAGCCGAATGAACTTCAGGACTGTGTTTCCCTCCTGATTGCGCTTCTTCAAGGGTGAGTGGCTTAACGATTGTGAAGTTGAATGCTGAAAGTGGTAGGGCCGGAGCGAGTGACGGTGAGGGGAGAGCAGCGGCAGACACCAAATCAGGAGCTGCTCCTAGGAGGGCTAAAAGAAACGAGTGACGCATGGTTATTGGTTGGGAATGTGATCCCAAAGACAAATAATTAAGGATTACTATTAACGAGAGAGGGCAGGAAATTCCGCTGCAGATTCATTTTTTGGGGACGGGTCGATCCTTATATGAATTCCCAAAGCAAATCTCCTAATTACTTTGCTGGTAGGGAACGAAAGTAAATTGAGCTTAGTAGAGCTGCAGCTATCAGGGTTGCTTCCTCTGGGCCGGCTAAACCGCTTTAGGACTGTGGCTTTACCAGGGATATCCTAGGGGCTGCGAATCTTCTCCCTCACAAACACCACAAAGTTGAAAAGGAAGATATCCATGCCTGTACTTCGATTAGTAGAGCGTCTTGTACTCTATACTTCTAGTCCACTTTCTTGTACTTCCCATACAAAGATGTCCTGGAATTATGCGCAGAACCGGGTGACTTTGAACACTTCTGAGAGAACTTAGGTGAGGAGACTTGGGGTGTTCATGACCCGAGTGCGCTCGATCTGACCAGTGAGAGGGCCAGTATACCTCGCTAAAGAGAAATCCCAGGCTCCAAGGCTACAGCGGAACTGCCTTATCGGGTTGGCGGAGGTTGAAATACGGGCGGGGGTTTATGAGTTTTTAATACATACGAGGTACCGAGTACAAGTTGGGCTGCTCTGCTGATGCCACTGACTTTTCCTGAGCTGATCAAGAACGTAATGGGATGCCGATATTTCCGTGCGTGGACCGACTACTGACCTCCCTTCTTTTGGCTCCGTATTCTCCACGCTCAGGTGTACGCTAACACAGCGCCCTCTGGACTCTTTCGGCTAAGTCTGAGGGGGTTGGAATTCTCCGGAAGTCAATCAAGGAATAGATTGGCCACAGAAGCGAGGCTAGCTCTTTCAGCTTTAGAGTACCAATTGACCCACATCGTGTCTAATAATAGATTTGTCGTATTTCATCTTCTCATGCCTTCATTCCCATGAGAAAGAGATCGCACACGAATCTGGTATCGAACGACATCCACTCAACACTCAGTAGAGTAGCGACAAGTACTTCGGGCTTGGAGGGCACCTGCAGTTGTTTAACGAATAAAGGCCTGACAAACAAGACTTCGATTACACCCTTCACGCCACTGCTAAAATTGTGCGGCGTGTGCATCTCGTTCCCCGCTTTGCCCACCGCTTTTGCTCGCCTGCCCACGCAAATATATGTATCACCTGGGACTCCCCTCTGATCATGGGATACCGTACTTTTCGTTTCACGCCTTCGGGGCCCCATTCGTAGTGGAAGCCGACGCAGTCTTCGCCTTATACATCCTTGTAATATCTCGCTTGATAGCGTCAAGATCCCAATCCGGATCGTAGCGGACAGACGTCGAATCATAGACGCCCTTACCCTCACCATCGAAATGCAATTTCCACGCTACAAGACATTAGCATTGATTTAATTCACTCCCAGGCGCTAAGCGTGACTTACTGGTCGGATCAAAAGTCAACCAACTCCAATTATCGTTCAAATAGCACCTCTCTTGGTTCACAGTGATATACTTACAAAGCCCCATCGGGCCCGGTGCACGACGCAGATTCTTCAGCCCGGCAACGACCTTGATCAAGCTGGTTACAAACGTGAGTGCAATCTCCCGACCGAAACATTCGTGCGGCCCAAAACCGAAGTGCATGTATGCATCTCGGTCACGGCCGGGTTGGAAGCTGGTTGGGTTGGGGATGCAAGTTTGGTCTTTGCAAGCGGGACCCAAAAGACAGACGACGACATCGCCTGGCATAAAGGCTTGGCCGTTGATGGTCACGGCTTGTTTGCAGATGCGCAGGTTGCGCTGGGAGCTGGTTAGGCGCTGGGCTTCAAGGACGTAGTCGCGGATCTTGGCGTCGGCTTTGGGGGAGTTTTCTGCAGCGAAACCTTGGATTTCCGCCCAGTAAGATTGGTTCTCGGGGTCAAGGAACCATTTTAAGGTCTCTGTGAACTTGGGGATGTTAGCACGCGAAAGAGTTAAAGATGATACAATGTTGACATACCACAGTGACGGGAGCACCAACCCCGGCGAGAGCCGTGAGCCAGCAGATATCACCAGCCTCTTCCACCGTCTTCCCAGCTTTGAGCATCTCCTTCACGATTTGGCGACCATACCATCGAAGACTGCCGGACTTGGCCTTACTGGGTCTGGGCGTCGTCCAACTCGAAGTCAACCATCCGTACATTGTCTCGCATTGGAGCTCCTTCTTCACACCTTTGAGAACTTCGTTGGTGGACTTGGTCAATGCGTCTGCTCCCTCGGTTGCCCACATTCGGCGTCGCCAGGCCATACCAGGGTCATTGTTGTTAAAGCCCCAGATGCGGACATTGAGCAAGTGCTTGTAGAGGGTAGGCAAGCTGAGTGACCCGTATGGGTTCTCGGTAGTTTTGAGATCGAGGGAGAAGAGATCCCCTAGGACGCGGGCGTTAACTGGAATGACAACACTAAAAATTATTAGCATGTGCAAGATTCTATGAGGGATAATATCTGTACTCTCGAAGTATATCAATCTGTCTCCCAGGGCCGCCGATAACAAACTCCTCAGACGTGAGGCATGTCTTCGCTAGATCGACGACAGTGTTCGACAGCAATTGCTTGAACTGCTGAGGACTGTAAATGATGTCGCCCACGAGGTTACGCTGCGCGGTATTAGCAGGCTGGTCTCCACCCAGCATGAATCCAGTGAAATCTCTCTCCCCCGGGAACATTGCATTGAGTGCAGGTGCCCAGGGTACCATGAATGAACGTTGGTCGACAAGAACCTTCTTCACCGCATCATGCCCCATAACAATCTTAGGCGTCGGTGGCTTCTTGGGGTCCGCTTCGGTGTAGTACTTGTACGTTCCAATTTCCTTCGCAATTTCGGCATTCTTCTCTTTGGTGTAGAATGGCTGCATAACATGAAGGGAATTGTACGGGAACCAACCAGGCAAAGCGCGTTGGATGAGCTTGTAGTACATGGACCCGGCTAGACTTCAGAAATTGGTCAGATCATTTTTCAGGATAGTGGAAAGACGGAGACTTACACTCTGTAGTCCGGTGCAACCTCTGTGATGCCCCAATTCGTGAGGGTAGCGGCAGTGTAATCGATCGTATAGAATCGATCCGATCGCACAAGAGTGACCGCATCGCTAAACACAGCTCGTCCTACTGTAAATGGTGGACAGCCCTGTGCTTTTAGTCAGACATCGAACAAGAGGTTGACAGGTCCACCTACTCCACAGCCAGGCTGCAACTCTGGCTTGCCTTCTTCGAGGAACAGACCAGGATAAAGTTCGACCATGTCTGGGTGGTCGTACAGGGCTCGAAGGATGTCCGCGATTTCTGGATTTGGGTTAATGTCTTCCATGGTTTTATGGCGTGCAAGGCCAAAAAAGTCTCGGAATTCGTTCAATGAAGCCAAACCCCTAGCCAATATTAGCATGGCCGAAACAAATTGCACACAGAAGTCTTACCATTTCCGCGATTGCAATATCCCAAGAATCTCCACAACACGCAAGGCTTTGGGTACCATTCTTGCGCCGAAGAGTCCTATATCGTGTCAGCCGAGTGTATTAATTTGGGGAAGGAATAATATACCTGCAGGTTCCTCAATTGCATCCTTCAAAATCTGAACCATTGCACCATCGTCAAAACGGCCGGTTTTCGGATCTCTCCGAAGACCTGCAAATGTGCGAATCTTTGGGTCATCTGGGATGTTCTTCTCGAAAGAAAGTAGCCCCATAAGCAACTCTTTTGGGTTCAGCTTTTCGAGCGGCTTGCTGATGTCCTTGAATACCTCCCTGCTGAGGAAATCTTCGAGCCACTTCTCGTCTCTCTGGGAGATGATCGAATGGAAACGATAAAGGAGATTGAACTCAGCAGATACTTGATTGCCGACGCCGCTATGATACGTCAGCTAGAATGGCCTCAAGAAGTTACTAGTCCTGAAATTTACCGGGGAGTGCCATGTCCATCGAAATGTTGGTCGATGGCAATTCGTGGGTCAAAAGCCCAGTCCGTGTCCGAGTGGTGGCAATTTGTCAGCCCACGAAGATAGTCGTGCAAGGAGATGTTGCAATACATCCCGCCTGTAATCCTAACATAATCATTAGCTGTCGGGCTAGGAACTGTGGGACGAAAGACTAACAATCTAGCGGTTTGGAAAAGATCTTCATCTAGCTTCTTCCTGGCAGCAGTGAGCTCGTCGGGTAAGAGTACATTGGCGTCAGGTTCCGGGAAACGGTTGCCTTCATTGATCTTGAACAAGATATCTGCAACGTAGTTGTGGAACCGATTATACATCACAAGCATTACATTCACCCCAGGTGGCTGAGCGAGGAGGCGTCGTTCATGGAAAGTGTCTGGCCAAAGCTTCCCTAGTTCCATAGTACGAACCTTCTCTTGTTCCGCCCTATTAGAACCGTAGAGCGGGGCCAGGTCTAGGTACGAGGAGGCATCGGAGATATTAGGGTCGACACGGTTAGTCCTAAAGATATCTAGGAGTATGAGCTACGTCTAAAATCTAGTAGGCAGATTCAATTAGGTACCGTGGATAATGATGGTCGCGTGATAGAAGAGCATTGACGAGACACCTGCTGGGTTCTTTTTAAACTCTCCCTCCGGGCGGGCCATGAGCACTATCATGAATGTTAATATCTCATAATTGATCAACTAGGAATTGCGACTGACTATCAAAAAGCATGCCAGGGTCAGGTCTAACTGCATGCTGTTTCTTTTCGGATTTGCAAGTCTTTGCATAAGCAGTGCCAGCCTTCCCGAGGTTAGGGTTCAGAACGTTCTAAGCAACCATTAGCGTCAATTTTCGGTGGAGGGATGGAATACAAACGTTGTTGCTCCCATCTGCAGTTCGATATTGGAATTCATCGCCCATGTAGCTTAGAGGTGGGTGTTGAAGGCTGTCCCATAGCGTATCAATGACGGTATCGGTAAGCTTGAGGCGAGTTTTCGAGGTACTGGGCAAGGATGCAGTGATTCCTATCAGCTTTTCCATCTACGTCCCTTGTAAGTCAGAGGAAAGCCTATACTAGGTCAGTACACGTACCGTCATTTTCTTGTCATCGATAGGTTGCCCCTTAGTTTTGGTGACCTCATACAAAGTCTGGACTGTTGACAGCAATCTCCCTTTCGCATGAAGAGCCTTGATATCTGTGAGGATGCCAGTCTGAACCTTAACGGGATCTGCATAGTCCTCCCCCCCTTGGTACTTCATCTCTTCGGCAGCGACTCTGCCAGCCATGGTGTTGAAAGCGAATCGTTCACACGAGCTCGGAAATAGGTGAGGGGTAAAGATAAAGTGCGTGGAGGAGGAAGGGAGCACATAAGCAGCAGAATATATATGAATATCTCAGCTGAAGGTCCAATTCTAAGGTTATTGGCTAGTTCTCATTCTCCGCTACGACGCAAGTCCAGCACTCATCAGTTCGGCTAGCGTTAAAGCATCGCGGGATGACCAAGTACCAAGTATTGTTGATATACCTCGCACAGAATATCGCTAGCTAATGCTTGCATGGTGTGCCTCATTGGGTCTACGGAGCGAATGACATTCTCTGAGGCGAGAAAAAGCCATGTTCTCAGTGGCTGTTTACAGCCAGCTGAGGGGAAGAGAGTGCAATGTGATGCAGTGCATTGCAGTTGTGTCTTCAACTATTGCACAGAAGCACATAGACACGTAGTAGGTGCATTTGTGTAATGTGGAAAGGTTGTAGCGAGGCCCGTGGGATGAGGATGGTTCCCGTTGGATGTGTGAATGCGTGGAGGTTGCGTCTTATGTATGAGGCGTTTATTGAGTGGTCGTGGGGCACATAACATTGGCTGGTTGATTTTCCGGGCCGCTCGGGAGCGGGAGATCCACCGAGCTAATTGGCCAATCTGCTTTGCTTCTGAATCGCTCGGAGAACCCGATTGTTGCACTTGCTTTGGTTTTTCTGTCGATCTCATGGTAGGTTCCGAGCGTGCCGAGAAGACTAGATTGGCCGCGCCATTTTGGTCATTCGGTAGTTGCAGATGGCGAGGACTGGATGAGCTGAATCTTCTTTGGGAGATGTAGTCATCTGAATATTTCATCTACGTCTCTTCACTTACCTGTCTCTCTTGTAGCTCCCTAATTTTTCCAAACTTTGCTTAAAATGGCTGATGCTAGCAAGACAACAGGGCCGCAACCAGCAAAGCCCAAGCGCCTTGTCTTGTGCTTTGATGGGACGGGTAACAAGTTCCTCGGAAACGAAGCCGACACCAACATAGTGAAACTATATCAGCTCTTAGATCGCCGTAATCCGGATCAATACCATTACTATCAACGTGAGTAGTTCTACTCGTTGAGACGGGCCTCTGATCTTGCTGACATCGGGCCAGCCGGCATAGGTACTTATATTGAGAATGATACTTCCAATGCGTCGTCCGGGGGAGGCCTTTGGCACCGAATCAAAGCATCGGTATACAGTAGCATCGACCAAGGTATTGCGACTTCTTTCGTGGACCACGTTGTCGCTGGGTATCGCTTCCTGATGCGCTACTATTCCGAAGGAGATCAGATATACATCTTCGGTTTCTCCCGCGGCGCCTACACCGCCCGCTTCCTGGCTGAAATGGTTTACAAGATCGGCCTTCTATCTCGCGGTAACGAGGAAATGGTGAAATTCGCATGGAACACCTTCTCAGATTATCAGCGTACCAAGGGAAATGTTCCGCAAACTAGAGAGGACATCGCTCGCGTCGAGTTTATGAGGAAGTTCAGACAAACCTTCTGTCACGTCAATGCGGAAGGGAAGCCTGTTAATGTTTACTTCCTCGGTCTCTTCGATTGTGTGAACAGTGTTGGGACATTTGAACTTCCTATGCACCAGAAATCCTATGAGGTCATCGCGTCCCCCCCTGCGAGGTGGATCCGTCACGCGATATCCATTCACGAACGAAGATTAAAATTCAAGCCAGCCTTGTTCAATATTGACGACGATGCGGCGAAGACCTATGAGTGCGATGTCAAGGAGGTTTGGTTTTCGGGTAATCATGGTGACGTCGGAGGTGGTTGGGGCCTCGCAGATGACCAAAAGAAGCTTCTCTCCGACATCCCGCTCCAATGGATGCTTCAGGAGCTCGATCAGCTACCCGATGAAGGCAAGCTTGCTTGGAAGAAACCTCGAATTTTGAGTTCCACCCCAGAGCCGCCAGAGAAGAGAGGTTGGTTTGCGAGCATATTTTTTAAGGGTCCGCTATCTCCTCATGAAGCACGCCTGAAGACAAGTAAGCCACACGATGTGCTTGCTTTCGGCGGCGGCATATCGCGCTTTGGGACAATTGGGTGGTGGGTGCTCGAAGTCCTCCCTTTCTTCTCACGTCTCGAGCTAGAAGATGGGAAATGGGTCCCTCGACATTTCCCACCCAATCTTGGCGCTTCGCGGGACATTCCTTCTAAGGCAATCATTCATCCTTCGGTTGAAGCGATGTATCGCGCAGGAGTTCTGACTACCGATCAAATGCCAGTCCTTGGTGGCACTGAGTCGGAAACGCAGAAACTCTTCCGGGTTAAGGCGTTCACGTCAACTTGGGATACCCTGCGGAAAACTCGGGCAAAGGAAGCAAAAGACCAGAACCTAGAACAGCTGGAAGCGAAGTGTTGGGATAACGTTGGGAATGTTGCAGCTCGAAACTGGAGCCTGGCTTAAGTGTTCTTTGAATAGTGAAGTCGGTGAGAAAGATGATGGATATATTATTTGTGTTCGCAGGAATTCGGAGCCATAACTCTTGCCAAGGATGGTACATGCACAGCACGTGAAAATCTGCTGCATGGATGGAGCTCCAGAACTTGCCAGCCATTGTCTAAGATATCCTATCTAATATTTATAGGGATACACGGAACATAAATTAAATTTTAAAACACCGTAATGTCAGAGAACTTCCTTTCCTACAGTAGAGGAATAATGTTACTGTTCTTCATGGCATGGGCTGTTCACGGCTGCCTTGGCTTAGTCACACATACATCGTGCTGGATGTATGCGAACGAATTCCGTCATGCACATCCTCCTGACTCTCGATCCTTGCCTTCTGGGCTTGGGTCCTCAATTTCAGCATATGTGCTTCCTCTATTCTTTAAGAAATTTACGAAGAGCAACGCGGAAACAATCCCGTAACTTACACGCCAACATACTTCCGTATCTAGCGTCTGACTAAAGTTGCGACACGGTTAGCGGCCCGCAACCCAAGAACTAAGGATGAGAGGGCTAGGTGTCACATGGCGTCGTGCTCATTTGCCAACTCGATGCACGCGACTTGTAGGCTATCCCTTTCCGGTCTATTAATCGCCATGGTTGTGGGAGGCAATATCGAGCTGGCAAATATGGCAGTGAGGATCCATGCCGGCGTCAAGGTTGACGTTGCAGTCAACTCGGCTTTCGATGCTGCCAGAGTCCAGTGCTCTCTCGCGTACCTGATGTCGCAGTTGAATCTCCTCTCAAGACAGCTACCAATGTGTTGTAGCTGGCAAACAGGTTATTGAAGTTGGTCTTGGAAGGTTCGGGGACCTCTCGCAATTATTTTTGATAAAAGATTTTACTCAGCGATTTAGATTCCATATCCTCCCAAACCTTAAAGAGAAAGCAGACCCTGGTTGGAGAGAGGACTACGGATCATAAATGTGGGGCAAACTGTTACCATCAAGCTCGACGAAGAAGAGGAAATGAGCAACCTGGTAGCGTGACTGGTGGTACATGACGCTCAATGCACAAATCATTCGATGGGCTGCAAGCCAGTGGACTCTCGCAGCCACTAATTTTTCCATTCTCGCCTCGCGTCTCTAGGTGGACTGTAAGTTTTGCCATGTTATATTATGGACATTCTGGACGAATCGATCGTGGTTTCACTACATTTCATCATTTCCACTCATGCATGAATTCGAAGTATCATTACTTCAAGGGGCACCCTCACCTCTTACCATTCTCGCAAGCACCATCGCCTTCTGTCCGCCTATTCTAGCCTCCTCTTCTTCTAACCGACTTAGTTCTACTGCTTCGGCAGACACTATGCCGGGTCTCTGCCCAACCCATTCACTCAACCCCTCACTCCGGCTAACCCGGATAAGTTCCCTGCCCTGTCGCCTTGGTTTAAACTTTGCAAATATAGTAGAAAAAGAAAGAGGAGATCCTGGTTGCTGAGAGCTGTTGGCCCATTCCGGCAGGTGACCTTCCTGCTGAATTAGAGCTGGCTTCTGCTCCTGCCCCTTCGTGTCTTTTCTCCCCTGTAAGTACCACAAAACTCCGAGTAGGAGTATAAAAAATATTCCTGCCGCACCCAATACGACTTTAAATTCATGTGCTAGGCCTGTACTGGAGGAATCTGATGCGCCAATATCGGCTGGATGAACTCCTACAGTGGAGTTTGTTAGCGTTGGGCTAGGGATTAGAAACGGGTGGAAGCGTGTCGTTGTCACGAATGCTGAGATTGAGATAGAAGAGGGTCTCGTAGAAGTAGTAGCTGTCGATGGGGTGAAGTCGGCAATGTTTTGCGAGAGTGGGTTGCTAGGATCGATCAATTCATACGCGAGAATGCCCTGACTGCGACATTCTGAAGAAGCTTCGAGACTTCGAATTATAGTTGCAAATGCTCTCAAATACTAGTCAGGGGGTGGGGGACGTGGCAGATATCCGAGCATGCCTGACTGATTCTCGAGACCACACCTTGACTTGATACATGGAGCAGGGCGATTTATGAACTCAGAAGCAATCGCAGAACTACTACAGAAACATTCAGCAACATATGGAGCTGGACAAGGTCAGAAGGTGGCATTAGCGCATGATGACTATGCTTCGATAAGGATTCTCATCTAGTCGACAAGGAAGTGATAGCATACAATACAGTCAAAGGACATTTTGAGCTGACCGTTTCCAATAAAACCCCACCGATTACACAGTATCCGTATTGAGAAAGAAAGTATGTGAGATATGACGGAAGACCACATGGTGAGAATCTTGGAAGGGAGGTGCGTCCGCGGGATATAAAGGCGAGTTGAAAACCGCTTCTGCGAGCATGATACACTTTCTAACCGCCCCCACCATCTTTTGTCCCAATCATTAGAGAACCTTCATGGGGCGGTGAAACGTGAAATGCATGCATAAATGATGTCCGTTTGGTGTCCATACCGTGCCGCCTCCCTTTTCTTAGCATCACTCCTCTCCACATTAGGCCCTCTATAACAGTGACCAGTGTATAGAAGATCGGGTGTTACTACAACCTCTAACGCATGGCCGCAGGGAAGTCTATCTAAGCCTTTACTAACTCTGTGGGTGGTTGTGGGGTTCCACCAACTCTCTACGATTTTTCGTTCTCCCCCAGCTAGGGTTTGAACTCGGTATTGATTTGTCCGTCCTTTACCAACAGTGGGGTCTTGAGAATCTACTAGCTTTTTGTGTTTCCTTTTTTTCCCGTTGTTCATTGTCGACCGTCTCGTTTTGCCCCATGCAGTACTATCTTGTATAGGTTGAGTTGCTGAAGATCACCTCGGGTTGAACGGGGCAAAGAGCTGAAGATAAAATACCCACTCCCAAACTATGCAACGCTAATTTTTCTGGCGCACATAGATTGACCGCAGGGAGATGTGGTGAGTGGAGAGGTTCTCTATAATGATTCGGAGCGCGGGACTGGCTCAATCGCGTCGACATCGGAAACCTGCCCCTTTGTGCCACTTAAGGTTGGCAATCTTTTACCATTCTTAATTTCTTAAACTTCACCTCTATCCCCAGATTTAACGGCTAACCCGTGACTTCCACGCCTGGTTACTGCGGTTGATTCGACTTCCAAACGTCACCAAGAGCATTCCCGTTCCATTCTGCACTGGATTCTCCCTACCCTGCTCTGATGATAGGGTAAGCTAAGTGCACAATTAATTGCGAGACCCCATATTCCTGCGTCTGAGATTACCACGCTTTTGGACACTGGGTTCAATTTCGTCCATTGTGGTTCCATTGGTGCTATAGGTGGTAAGGGCTGGGAAGTGAAGTCAAGGAATCTTCGTGTATGAAGCTACTAGAGTTGTTCATTATACCCAATGCAATATCTAGAATCTGAAGTGTTAAAAACGAGTGGGTAGTGGGATCTGTGGTTGTAAAGAGTATGATTATGTTCAAGTCGCTCTCGCCGTAGATCAGGGAACGCTAACTATAAGACGGAAGGGGCGTCACAGACATTCTGTACGGACTGCAACTATGGGATGGGAGGGCGGCCTCCGATACTGGAAAGCATCTTTTACACTTACAACTTGAGTCACACATAACGTTTCAGTTCTCCTTGTAGACTTAAGCGGGAGAATGAGTCTGTTAGGTGATGGAAAGATTGAGCAGTGAGCGTATTGGAGTACTAAAAACCAATTAGCATGTTCAACTGCACTTAGTACTTGGCCAGTAGTGGCACTAGTTCCTGTGTCCTTAAAATCCTTTGCCTTCTCAAACCCGCCCCTAACGGATCATCAAGTTCCTCCGGAGGCATTACTTCCACGTCCGTGACACCGCTGGGCCTTTACTCCAAAACCAAGCTCCAGTAACTTATCTTCACTGAGTCCTCTTTAAACACTACTTTTCCCTAAGTGTCGACGGACCTTCTCAAGTCTAGACATCATGAATGGGACCGAACGATCTCAAGGATTCAGTCGATCGATACGTTCCCAAAGTCCTCCTTATCTAATTGGTCTTCATTTGCGTAGAGTATCACCCACATGGTCGCCATCGGCTTGGGGGCACACGTAAGCACGTATCCACCGTAAACTACCACTTCATGCGGTGCCGTCACACGTATTACCTCTAGGCCTATAACCACAACAATTTTGAGCTCTAGAGGTATATCCTAGTTACTGTGGATAAGAAAACTAGGTCCGAAAAGGTCTTGAGCCGTTCTCTAGACGCTGCTATGGCCGGCTCGTAGCTCATAAGGCCAGAAACTAGAAACGGATGCCAGGTCTGCATCCACGTGTAGGGGGAGGAGGCAATGGTGCTCCGTGGATTCATCGGCTTGAGTGGCAGGAATAGGGCTGTTTACTTGGCAGTACTTTACAAATTCACGCCCTATTCTTTACCAGAGCACGTATCCTCAAGATGCACAATTCTGCGGTGTAATAATATCCCTCTGCATCTACCCGCTTCTGAGTAACACTTATGGCAGCCATTGGCCATAGACCTCTGTGTAAGGTGCAACACTGGTCACCCGATGAGGCAGTGCAAGGCTTTAAGAAAACCAAATGAGAAGTTTCTTGTCGACAAAGAGGAATAATAGCCATTATTTGGGGTTTCGAACCGGATTCAGCGTTCAAAGCACCTCTTTCACTCCATATGAAAGCCGTTCAGGCATAGGGAGCATCGGGATGGTTATATTATCTTGTTCCACGATCTACGCATCGACCCTGCAACACCAAAGCACAGGGTCCGAAAACGAACATTATATTACAGCCTTTATCATGATTACGCCCCCTGAACTGCACTCAAACCGAATGTCTTTATCTGAAATAATTCGAAATTATTCCATCAAGACATCATCAGGCCCCGCCAAGGTCGTTCTTAATCTTTGTTCAATGAGCTCGGCTTGTATCTCTTAAGTTTCTCCTCCAAAGCATAGCAGAACTCATTTCCCAGGTGAACAGCGATACGTAGGTGCATGAAATACACCGCTTTCTTCTCTCCCTAGGAACCTGAACTTTCCCTCCATCTATCATCATCCAAACACAGGCGAAACCAACGCCACAACCCCCATGACAACCATCAGAACCACAAACTGCAGTGGCTTCACTTCCAAACTATCCGAAGTAGAGTGAGGTGCACCCGTGGTATGCGACGCATGCACAGACGCTGAGAACGATGTAATAGCAGGTATCGTAGCATTTCCTTCCCTTGACAGAGCGCCTGTAGTAGTCGGCAAATCGGTCGCTGGAGTCGGCATCGGAGACGGAGCGGTGTCGATTTGGAGTGTTTCGATCGACAGATCCATGGATGTAGGAGTCGGCGTTGGCGTGGGTACGGATGGTGGTAGGTCTGGTAGCGTAGGCATGGGCATGGAAGATACAGCAGGCGCGGAGATGAAACCTGGTAGTTGCGAAGACTTGGGGCTCGCTGTTAGGACCGAAGAAGTGTCTACCAACACTCTCCCTATTCTCTTAGACAGACTCAAAGTGACGACATGGTTCTGCTTCTCGGATAGGCTCGGGGCTTCGGTTGAATGGGGGCTTGTTATGTTTAATCGGATACAGGTTGCTTCGAAGATGGACATAAACTCTTCAACAACATAATCAGCAAGCCTGATCTTAGGACAGGCTGTATCAGAGTAGGGAATATATCATACTTACCGTACTGCTCACCAGGATCGCACTTCCGGAGGATACATTTCGTAAAGGCGGCGAAGAATGGTTGGATTGTGCTTGGATGGGTGCATAGGCATTCGAGATCGGTGGCGCAGCATTCAGAAATGGCTTGGCCTTTAATACAGGTTTGCTAGATAGAGACATAGAGTAAGCTTTACAATGGAGTAAGGACAAGCGAGAGTTGAGGGAGAGTATTAGAGCGGAAGGGGGACGTACGATGCATTCCGGAATCTGGGGAATATCTGCTTGGCTGTTTGAAATCGCAGAACCTACGAGGGCACATATAAGCAGTGGAAGTTTCATCATGTTGCAGACTGGAGTGGACCGAGTTAAGTACGCATCCGACTACATGCATGCTGCCAACCTAGTAAGACCTCCAGCCAACTTAAGTATAACGCCTGCTAATCTAGATGTCACTAGCACCAAAGTCCCGCTCAATGTATCCGTTGCATCATTCGGCCGCACGTAACGGATGAAGGTGTGATCGTGTTGCTGAGAGTTGTTACTATTGTTACACCGTACTGGTGAATGTGATATTCCTGCATTGAGTCCTGTATGGTATCGAATTAGCACTTCCCAAACAAACGCTCACCCTCAAGAAATGGCCTGTCATACTGCAGCACATCACTGATGGTGGAACATTGCAGGTGGATTAATTTAAGATTAAATAGAACTCGTATCTTTTTACTACTCTCCTTGATTTCGGCATCGCTGATAACCAAGAGACTTTCCCTTGGTCATATTCCACGTTCCGTGATAGATAACATGGTGCAACACGCTCTCAGACTTCCTCTCCACCCCAGAAAACGAAGAAAACTGCACCATTCCGTTAAATATTCCGACCAACTCAACACTAGCACTCCTATCAACTCTATCCCCGTACCCAATTCTACCCTCACCTCCCCTCTCATACTCCCTCTAACGAACTCACTCACATCCAACATATCCCCCCCCTCTCTCTCTCTTGAGCTCCCCAGACATCGAATCATACATAGCCAACTGTTGTTCAGTTAGTCTCTGTACCCGCTACTTCCTCCCCCACCTAATATATACTAGAACCCTGATGAGCGCATCACGGGTACCACACATTCGACCGCGATTCCGACGATTTCTGGATTGAAGAGAAGGCGACGAAGAGGTGGTATGAATTAGTTGGCTTAGATGATGGGTAGTGAGATGGGAGAAGGGTTGGTAGTTGCGGGGGAAGGCGAGGCGGCTAGTGTGGGACTAGAATGGAGAAGAGGTTGAGGAGCGAGCTGGTGTACCGAGATCGTAGCTGATAATGCGTCCACCGTAAGCCTCAATTTTTTCAACCATTCTTAAAATCTCCCACTCGCGAAACAAACCGCAGAATCCTTGTAATTGGCGTGGTCTCCACGCCAATTGAAACGCACGCTGTTTTCGAATATCCCCGCAAATTCTACAGGTTCAATCCACACCTTACCTATCCTGTGAAAGTGGGAGAGAACAAACCATATCGATCCTGATCATTCGGGGCGTCATTCAACACATCGAGAGATAACCAAGATACTCCTGAACGCCGCTGGAGAGTGTGCAAATCCAACGAGACTGTTGGCACAGCTTCCGTCGAGGAAGACTTCCTCGATGGGAGGGATAGGAGTGAGCTGTTTAGCAGTAGTGGTTTGAAAGGGCATTGTTGAGCTTACTATGCATTCCGGGAGAGCCTTGGGTGGGCTCGGTGGACGGCAGAATGTATTTATTGAAAGAAAGGGGAATAAGGATTAAGAGGTACTTCATCATCTTGCAATTCGAATTTCCAAGTGTCGTATAAGGCGAAGGGCTCTACAGTTGGCTGAATAACTCAGGACTTGTCGTCATACACTACTATATATATCAACAATATATCAATTCAGACACTCAGGCCCATAAGACATCTGTTTGCAGTAACAGAGCTCTCCATGCTCTAGTCACCTACACTCCTTTGACCCACTGCTGCTTAGCTACGCCACATGCTGCGGCCCAGAGCTATTGCTGGTCTTAAGTCACATGACGAGCTCATCTAGTACTATATAAACCCGTAGTTGCCCTCCTTTAGCAATCAATCCAGTTCCTCATGCCTCTGGTGCTCCCCCTAGCTTCACAACATCACTTCTCTCATAACTCATGCCCTCTTCAAGACTAAATACTAAGTAATCCGTACCCTATCGCCAAACTCGACGGCAGCCAATGCTACCCTCATACACCCACCCAGCCAGTCCAAGCCTCTCTTCCGCTAGCATGTTATATGTTTCTAATCTCGCAAGTTTGCAGCCCAGATACCGACGTACGGGTCACATTCCGCCATTGCCAGTATGCTCGACGCAAACGATGTGATGCACGATTGAATGATACGTAAAACCACCTCTCGCATATGCGGGATTCATGACTAAATATATAACGAAATGAGACGTGTCTTCCATTTGAAGCTCTCAGCTGGTTTCTAATTGGAAGAGATTCAACGTAAATGCAGGTGAGCGGAACGGAAACCATATTAGGTGGTTGGCGATAGGCGTATGGTTGCTGTCATTCCAGGCTGATAGATGTAAGCTCCTAGCTATGGATCGATAGGAGACTCGAAGGAAGGATCCCCTGTGGGTTCTCTTACGAGCGGAGATTGTATGGTCTACCCTATTTATAGAGACTTCGTTGCTTGGACGCTTTCTCAAGGGGTTATTATAAAGACACACTTGCAAATTGCGGTGGGGCGTTCACTTCTGATTTGGGAGCAAGAGCAGGCAGCCAAGCTTGATATAGCCCTTTATCAGTTGTGCGCTGAGTCTATCACCACTAATATAAATCCTTAAGGAGTGAGGCCGGGGTTGGAGCTCTCAGGATTTCCAGGGGAATAACCAAGATGACTTGGATGATCCGCCATGGGGGTCTGAGGTGTAACTCCCTCAAAAGCGTGGTAAATACCTATGACAGTCGAGTGTAGCACCTAAGACAATCGGGAATCTAAATTGTTAAATATTTGCCCTGCATGTGACCTTCGCCCCTGGCACGCTATGGCTTTGCCTCTACACTCTAATGGCCACACAACCCTACCTTCCTGTTCACCATCCGCTGCGTGCATGTAGTGAGGGTAACCGACTTTAAAGATTCACGTGCGTGGAAAATTTAGCTAAATCAACAAAATTTCATAGTGGATTAATAATAGTGTTGATCTCCACAGAGTACAAGCACTACTGATGTATGGCCAAGAATGCTGACATCACGATTTTCTTGTATGCCACTGATGGCCATCCGTGAACACTTAGGGTTGAGTCACTATGATTCTTAGTCTGTAACACCCCGACCGAGCAAATGGGCCCTGAATGTACCTCAAAGAAGCCCTGATATATCCGGTGTGTAACACTCTTACCTGGTTGTTACAACCAGGAAACCCGGGCGCAACACTACTGATTAGGCCACTACGGTGGGTTACACCCCGGACATAATCCAGTAGGGTGCAACGTCAGGCGCTTCCCATATCCCTTACAAACACTCTTTAAACGGTCGATATACTCTACACATGGTCAGAATACATCGCTTACTCCTTGCTTAGACTGTTCCTCAGATGTAGACTTACGAATAACAACATCAATGTCGCATCTCTCCCTCCTTTCCTTACTGTAGTCCAAACATGGCTTAACGGCCTTCGCAAACTTATCCAACCGCAGTTCATCCAACTGGCACAGGCAATGAAAATCGGCGGGTCCACAGCCGTCGAATTGGCCACCTTTGAGGCATTTTTCCTGTTTGAGACTTAGTGAGAAATGTTGGGTGGGGGACGCGGAGAGGTGTACAGCTCCGCAACTATCGGTTCGGACTGCTTGAACTGTGGGGAAAAGAGTAGAGATAAGGACGAGGGAGGGCGTGAGGAGCTTCATCCCGACGAGTGTTGAAGAAGGGCTTGTCGCCAATTGCGGATTTCAGGAATTGTTAACTTCACAACACTTTTGAAAACGGCCACCTTCTCTTTTATATCGTCCAAACGGCCTAAACGTATCCACCACGTGCAGCATCTACATTCTACGACCTTTACTCCTGTCATAGTTCCCCCATTTGTAACGATTTTCCGTGCGCGGTTCTGTGGTATGTCTGTCGTACGACAGAGAAAGGAAGGGAGGGTACTGTTGGGATATTGTGTTGTTTTCTCCACGTTTTTCTTCGCACGGTACAGAAATCATCCGACAATATCTCATAATATCCACCGAAGCGGAGGTATCGCGGGGAAGGAGGGTTAAAGTACTGTGGTTGCAAGGATACGTAGGGTTAGTACGTTCTGGTTCAAAGAAGAGCAATGGACAGTCAACCAGCCAATCTGACCAACCATTAAAGGGGATAGAGACTCGGAAACCACGTTGAGCTCATAGCGCTTCCAAACCTACTAACGCTACTTGCCCTAGCAACCACAGGGCTTCGATAGAACAAATCCCTGAAAGTCTGCTTAGTTGTCAGACTGTTTGTCCGCGGACCTTTGGAGGAAACTGAGGGTGGGGTAGTGGGAGAGCTGGACATGAGGATGTGGGTTTTTTATTGGGTTGAGAGGCTGTTGATGTTTTTGGTGCTTTACCTTTGGTCTAGTGGGCATGGTGGACCGCAAATCTCGATGGCTGGGCAGGTGCAGTGCAGATTGCATGTGACATCTTGCTACAAATATCCGTCTAGAGCGTACCGGCTAGGGCAGCCATACAAGCGTGCTCCCATCATATTGATTTTCAATAGATATTGAGTTCAATAGGCTGCACGCACGACGTTGCGCTCAACATGGTCTCAGAGGACAGGAAGGAGTGCACCTGCATGCCTTATCTCAATTCTTTTGCCTCTATGATCCACCTTTGTTTAAAAGTTTCTGCAAGCCTATTTTGGGCCACAATCTGTCTCTGAACTTTATTCAACGCGGTACAGCCACAGTGGGTTGGTGTTGACCCTAGAGCTCATCCGAGCTCTACCAAGAAGTAGGAACGCTTGATCTTTTTGTAGAATGAGCAGAAATGGAAGGATCCCCCGACTAGAGGTCTCGACACTCAGCTGGCTTCATTGAAACGTATAATTGTACAATTCTATTCACCCTCATGAACCTGACACATCCCAATACACGTACAAAGCACGTGGCATGATCCACCTATTCCTTCTTCCTTACATAGGGCGACCAATGCTCCGCCGGAACCCAAGGCCTCTCATCCAGCACACGATCCAACCCACAACTCTTCGATTTCCACCCCTCCCCCCTCAAATTCCGCGCCATATCCCAAGCACCTGTAATACAATCATTGACCCCAATCCCGTTAAACTGATTGCTAACAACTCTTAACCTCCCCCCAAATTCGTTCTGCGCTCCGATCGCAAAACCTTTCAATCGTTCCTCATACCCAACCGTATACTGTGGGATACAATTTTCGGATAGCGTCGCATTGACAGCGATAGGTTCTTCTGTGATTTTGAGGTGGCGACGGATGACTGATTTGGCCATTTCAACGCCTTCAGAGGAGGAAGGAAAGGATTGCCATCCACTCCACCAATGCCCGCCGAGCATCACGGTGAGTTTTGTGCCAGGGGCTGTGTCTTGGCCGGTGATAGCGTCGGAGTCGAATATTACGCCCAGAGCGCGCTCAGGGTTCTGCTCAAAGGGGACGCTTTGGGGGATTAGGTAGCCGAAGCCTTGGACGGGAGTGAGGTTGGGGGTTGGAAAGTAGAGGTTGACGGTCATAACGGTGACGTAGTCTGTCACGTCTGGGGTGGGGAGGGTGGAAATGACGAGGTCGTAGTTATGGGTTGTTCGGTTTGGGTCGTCCTATTTAATCGTATTAACGTCAGGATGTGGAAAGTGATACGAGATGTGAGGAACATACCCCAACATCGACGACAACCTGCTGCAAACCGTCTTTTGCTTTTGTAAACGAATTAACACGACAGCCCTTCTTGATGGTGACATTCGAGTCCTTCTCGAGCCACGCCTCCAGGCTATCAGTCAACTGGCACAAGCCATTCTTGAAGCTGAAAGTGCTGCAAGACGCCAGCTGCTGTATGAAGTCCGTAGGAATACCATCCGTTTCCGCGCGCATCTCTCTAAATAGGTCCACATCGTATGGATGCCGCAACGCCAGAAAGCCTTTTACGGGCGGATCAACCTCATTCATCCTCCATAATCCCCTCGTTATACTCCCTGACCTGCCCTCTTGGTGCCACAACCAACCCGCCAGAGTTTTCGCACTCAACTGCCATATATCTCCAGCGTATATGCCATGCATGACGGCAGAGGCGATGTTCTGCACAGGCCGTTTATCGATTCTGCGGCTGAGGAACGACCCGAGGGACTCGTCAGTCATGTTTGCCGGCCGACCTGGTTTCCACGCCTCTGTTAGAACTTTCCATACTCCATCCAGCAGCCCGCTGTTAGCTAGCCTCAGCCAGTTGACCAGTGGATCATTGCTACCAGGGGCCGGTAGGAGGAGGAGTCTGTCGGGGTAGTAAATGTAGCGGTTTCGTGCTGCAGCGGAATTTTGTTGTGTGAATAGGACCTGGGAACGGAGGTCTAGATAATCAATCTTATTTCGCATTAGCCCCAATTGGAACACTCCTAAGTTCAGCATACCATCATCGCCGTGACCAAGCTGTTCTGCGCAGGACGCAGCGTCCTCGGACCCTGTTCAAACACGACTTCCCCGCCGGGCACCTTGACCCGCTTCGACCTTATCCAACCCCCAAGCTCTTCGCTTCTCTCATATATGGTTATCTTAGTGTTCGGGAACTCTAAAGCAGTGAAGTATGCGCTTGAAAGTCCAGAGATGCCGCCGCCCAGGACAGCAATCTGCTCTGGGGAGCTGGCCCCCGATGTTGAGGAGAAGTGGCAACGATTGCATTGCGATGAGAGGAATGGGCGGGCCGAGACATGTTTCAATGTCGACTCAAGGAGCTGGACATGTCTCTTGAGCCGCATTGCAGCGGATGGGATAGGCGAGGGGGCGCAAGGCTCTTTTCCATTCAAAGCTACAGTCAACGGAAGTTTCTCATTTGGGAACTGACGTGACGACTAGGGAAAAGAAATGTCCGAGCTCGCCTCACTGGCGAAATTTAAAAAGGCTCTCTTAGCACTCAATTCTCATACCAATCATTCACATTCACATTCACGGCTTGCAATGGATTCAGTGTAGGAGAGCGCAGCCCCCAGGCCGCCGCAAGAAAAATCATCGCCATTTCACAGAAAAAAAAAGAGCCTCGCATCATGAGCAGGCCATCCAGATCGACAATCCCCGAAGCGATGCCTAACCAATGCCATACCACCCTGATCATCAACGCCGTAACCGTGAATATCCTAATCCCAGATATAATACAAAGTTGTACGACAGCCCACCTAGAAGAAAGATACCATGTGTTTTTCTGTATCTCGCCAACTGCCGTTATTCCCACCAATTCAACCTTCACTAATCAAGCGCAATTGCACACAAACCCGATTAGGTGGTAATAGGGGTATCCTCAACCATCTTGCCCGGGAGAATAAGCTCCTCCTCCGCATCGTCTGCTACAAATTTCCTCTCACTAACGTGCTCCTTGCCCTCCTCTCCGTTCTTCGGGGCTACCCACACCTTATCTTTGACGATCTTTTTCTGGCCCTCGGTGTGTTTGAATGTGCAATAATTGTTCGTGCACGGGTTGAATTTGCACATAACCTGGCTATGGAAGAATTTGCAACCAGGCGTGGTGCAGTCGGCTCCATTGCGGCATGGCGGCATGGTCGGATGTCGATATGGGCAATTGGCCATGTCTCTGCAATTCGGATAAAACACGCAATCCGTCTCGGCCTTGTGCTGGGTTCGCTGAGCTGGAGAAGGGTGTTTTCCTGCACATTTCCTATTCATACATGCCGCCCCAAAAGAGCAGGTGTCGTCCATGTCTACGGGCTGTCCCTCGTTTGCGGCAGGGGATTGATGCACAAAGGGACAATCTAGCTTGCTGCATCTCAGATTGAACTTACACATCGTCCGAGAGGGATCGAAGCGAGCATTGTCGACTTCCATAGCTGACGCGCCCTCAGCGTTCTCGGCACCCGGTGCAGTGTCGGTCATGGTTTCATCCTGTCCCTCCTTCTTGGAAAATTTGGTGGACGGGGGAAGACGTTGTTTGTTGCCAGGTTGAAAAGGTTTGTCGATGCGCTCACTGAGAGGCTTTCCTTGGCCGCTGCGGTTCCCGCGCTGGTTGCCATGTTGGAAGTTCGGGTTGACAAAGGGAGATGGCGTTTGGCCGGAGAAAATTTGCTGCATCATGCGGGCTTGCTGCTCATACATCTGCATGAGAGCCATTTGTTGCTGCGGGTCCAGCAGACCGGGCATGCCATTCTGGGCCGGGGGCATTGGCATTGGGGGCATTCCTCCCATGTTGTTCATGGGCATGGCATTCATACCATTCATACCGCCCATGCCCATTCCGCCGGTGCTACCCATTCTGCCATTAGCCATTGCAGCGAGTCCTCGTCCTACTTGTTGGCTTCGGGGGCCCTTTGGTGGATCGCGCGAAGAATGCGAGTTAATACGGCCAGAACCAGCCGAGCCTCGGACGCGGTGGAGCGGGGAGTCGTCAGATGCCGATGCAGTCCGGTCCATCTGCCTGTTGAGTTGGTTGAGCATACGTTTCGGGCCCTTTGAACCGCTGCCGCTGGTATTGCCGCTGCCGTTGCGCATGGCTTTGGGTCCGGTGGGTCTAGGATGAACTGTCAGCTTTGCGCATCATGGAGCAGATAATGGGGCACTGTTCCAGCGCGGGAAAATCCCACCTAGGCGTTCCACGGGTGCTGCCAATAGGCAAACTGGGCGAAGCGCAGTAGAACGTGGACTGGGGATGAAAGTGGAGAGGGGATGCGTACATGTTAGGTTCGCCAGCGCCTTCCATCTCGGTATCTTGCGCAGACAACGAGACATTGTTGGAGGCGCTGTCGGCGCGATTGTCATTTGGTTGCGAAGCTTCGGCGCCACCACCGCTCGCGCCATTCAGTTGTTGGCGGAGGAGCTCTAGCTGCTCGAACAGCCAGTGCGCAAACTGAGGGGTCTCGGTGTTGTCAGGGCCAAGGTCGAGGAGGTCGTTCGCAAGCTCGGAGGCGATCTGCGACTCGTTCTTGCCGTTGGACAGCATTGCGAGGATGTACTCGAACAGGGTGGAGTCGTTTGCGTCGCCGGTAGTCCACCCGCACTCGGCGAGCTTGGGCTGAACGACCTGCTGAAGCGCAGCTGCGAACGGCGAATCCATGGCAAAATCGGTAGCCATAGTGGGGAGATGAGCGGATGGTGGGTTCGTGGTGCTGGTTCGGGGAGTGGGTGGAGCTGGACGGGCTGAGAGAAACAAAGGAAGTGGTAACTGCGCCCTCGGTCGCGTCCGTTTTCGTTATTATTAGGGCTCAAAGGACCACGACAAACACAAGGCGGTCCTGGTGAGAGAAGGGCCGCGGGAAGTGGCAAAGAGTAGTGTAAAGACGATTGTGTTGTCTCCGTGAAGACGCTGTGAGGAATTGCGTCGGGACGGCTTGGCAAGACACTGACTAAGACCGGAGCTTGCCGTTGTGCGCTTGCTGCTGCCTTCCCGGATGCGGAAGGGGCCGTGCGTGCGACGCCTTTTTCTTAGCCCAGTCCCGTTTACAATCCTTCTCTCTTCTTCCACCCTCCTCCATCGCGACAACACCCCTCCTTCTCCTCCCCCACCCTCTCCGCTGAAGCAACTGGTGCTCTACGAGCCTCCTCCCAGCATGTCTCGCGGCGGAACCACCCTCTACGTCACCGGCTTCGGCCACGGCACTCGCGCGCGCGACCTCGCGTACGAATTCGAACGGTATGTCTCCTAACGCCTCGTACATCGCCCATCGCCCATTACCGCGGACCATCGTCGCGTCCTCCCTCGTCGTCCTGCATCGCGCCCGTGTATTATTACCTACCCCCCCCTCTATCGTCCGACCGCCCCTCGGTGCCGTGCCTCCCTTCCCTCCCCATCCCTCCTGTCCAGCCTCGTCCATGCGCGAGTCGACTTCCGGCCTCACCTTCCTTCCTCGTCGTCCCTTCCGCATTCGCGTCATCGTAACAGCCATCTCTAACGTCCTCGCCAAGGTATGGACGGCTTGTCCGCTGCGACATTCCAGCCCCGCGTTCCGCTACAAGCAGACTGTGAGTGTCACATACCCCCTCCCGGCAACAAACTGCTCATCGGACAGCAGCTTCGCTTTCGTTGAGTACGAGAGCCGTCGTGATGCCGATGATGCATATCACGAGATGCACAACAAGCGCATCGGCCGCGATGATCTCTTGAAGATCGAGGCGAGTTCGCAATCCCCGACACACTATACCCATCTGACCTCTCGTAGTGGGCCCGCACTCCCCCATCGGCCTCCTGGCGCTTCGACTCTGGTACTGGACGCGACCGCGGTGACCGTGGTAGTGACCGACCCCCCCGCCGTGACCGCTCTCCTCGCCGTCGAAGTGTCTCCCCGGGTCCCCGTCGTGGCCGTGGCGACTACTCCCCACGCAAGGACGACCGTCGCGAGCGCGACTATGATCGCCGTGACCGAGACCGCTCTAGGAGCCCTGATGACCGTGACCGTGATCGGGACCGCGAGATGAAGGATGTTGTCCGTGATGATGACCGTGAGCGCGACCGCGACCGCGACCGTGACCGGGAGCGAGAGCGAGAGCGCGAGAACGGTGCCAACGGCGAGGAACGCAAGAGTGAGCCCCTTGCCACGGCCGACGACGAGCCACTCTGATCTATTGCAGTCGCAGTCGAATCACCTCCAGCAGGAGGCCATGACGATCTTGACACCGCCGAGTAGACTTTGGTCCTAGGCCTTTTCCGGACCGACGCTCACCTTCCTAGGGCAATCTGGCGTGTTTTATCGTCAATGTGACAGTACTCAGGTTCGATATGCAGCTCAGGGAACCCGCGAGAGAAATTTCTTGGTTTCCCTGTTGTGGTTAAAGGTTTCTTTCCTATCTCTCTTTAGGCGGATGTCTCGAGGAATGCCCTCGAGCAAAATTCTTCAAAATTGATCAAGTCAACAGTCCGATTTCGATACGGAACCCTGATTCTGGCGAACGATGCCGGCGGAATTCCTTGCGAGCGATCCAGTATCCCTCTTTGTCGGTCGGTCGGTCGGTTCGGTTTAGCGAATTTCAATCTTCCTGTACTTTACCACGATCGAATCCACTACTTTCCCCATCCAACGTCGTCGATGCCATTTACCCCGAAGCGAAACGTCCCCCTACCCAAGGTTTGTATATGGTCCATTGACTCCACCTTGATAGCTTTTACAAATAATCATGTGTGATGCTACACTTGATGTGCTTGTGATGACTGCTATTGGTTACATGTGTACTTAATTTCCTGCCGAGAGTTTGTGCAAGCTAGGTTTGCCCAAGGTCTAAAATGACAATCACTTCATACACACCTTTAAGAACATTCTCGACCTTGCTCATAACTCTATCACTACTGGCTATAAGTGGGAGCGAACAGCTTCGGGGGAAATGCTTGTCATTCAACGTAGCATGAGGGCGCAGCTCGAGTTACACATTTGCACAACCCCGGGATGGGAAATGAACAGTCGGCACGTCCAGATCTCTGATCACGCATTTCACTATAGGACTAGGCTTGTGACGCGGAGTGTTAGCTCCCCAGTTCACAGTCTGACGGGGGTTGGATAGGAAAGTTACTGATTGATGGATACGAGGATGGCGTTTATGGACGAATCAGAGAGGGCAAAGAGACCGGTGAAGGCTGAATCAACCTCAACTTCGACGCTTGTACGTTGTGTCGATTTTCAGATTGGTCGTATATCAAGGTAACTTTCTCCTCTTTGTTCTTCAGATGTTCTTCATGTCATCTGTGATCATGCAGTATGCCATTCATTCACACCTTTCCTGTTCGGCACCTCCTATACTGGCTACTCCCTAGCCTCGTTTCAGCCATAGCTCTCCACAACATCACACTTCCCCTCCCCCTCGGCACATCCACCCACAACTCCCCAGGTCTGCTCTGCACACCTACAAAATGGTCCGATTTAGCCTCTTTTTACCTCTTCAACTACATCGCCCATGCAGCCACGGTACTAACCCGTCCTGGAGAACGTTCTTTCGATTTCGTAGCGACAGTGTTGGGATGTTTGCTTTTTCCTGCTCTGGGCCTGTACAGAGGGATTGAGGCAATTCTGAGTGGTAGTGTGTTTGCCAAAGACGATCTGACGAAAGCGGCGAGGAGTGGGGCTTTGTGCATGCTTGTTAGAAGTCCTGGGTGGACGCCATCTGGAGGTGAGATCGTTGGGCATGTGATTATGAGGAAGTGTGAAGTAGGCGATCATGGTGAGTTTTGAGTTTTTGTCTATACGACTACGAAAGACACGGTACTGATAGATTAGATGGACATCCCGGGAGTATACCGCAGCATGGTTCAGCCCATATCGTAACATACCAAGCGCCATGGACCTTCTCTCGATTCGGTAGGCCTATCGCCGCGCACCGCCAGCTTATCCACGGAACCTATGTTATCCCTCAAGGCTACCATTTTGCCATTGTGCCAGGGTCAGCGCATTTTACCTCCCCCGCCTTACCTTTAGCATCTAATCCCGCAGCTCAAACGACATCTACATGCACGTCTGCCTGCTCATCTTCACCGACTGTCTCCATATCTTCGACGTATAATCTCGTCAAAGCCCTCATAGCACTCGCGCAAACTGGTTACGCTTCTCTGACTTTGTATCGGTCCCGAGGTGATCAGATTCAGCAATTCGGCTTTGCTGCTTTTGGTCTCACGGTGGCACCTTACGCCGTCATGAGCATTGTGAATTTGGTCGGCAACCTTTGCCGGCCTGAATATGCGAGTTTGTGGATGGTGGAGAGTGCGATTATGGACGAGGCAAGGGGAAGAGGCGGGGTGTTCTATGGAGCTGTTGGGAGGGTAGAAGAGGAGGGGGCTGGAGGTGTATTAAAATGCGAGATGGCCTTGGGTGAAGATGTTGAGGACTTGAAGTTCGAGAAAGATGGGAATGGGGTGTTGATTGCTAGATTTTCAACGGCTCGAACAAATACGACTGTGAGGAAGGACGACGACGGGAAGGGCGAAAACGATTCCTATTCCGAGAAAACCGCCTCCACCCTTGTTTCCCACATCGAATGCACATTACGAATACAAGATTTACCAGAAAACCTCGACTACGCGCACACCTCACACTCCACGCTCATGCTCATCCCATCCTGCACTCCACTCAAAACCCCTACCCTCTCCCCGCCGTCCACCGACGACGCCCTCCCACCCCGCTATACACTCACCAACACTGTCCTCAGCAAACCGTCCATCTTCACCCGCCACCTCTCTTGGACCCCCACCTTCTCCTCCTCCAACAAACCCCACTTTCTCCGTTGGCGCTCCCTCAAATACTGCCTTACCTTCCTGATCTCCCTCCTCCCCCTCCTCATCAACGGCACGCTCTCGCACTTCCGCGCCGGCACCACATCGTCTCCTAACTACGAGACGTGGAAATCGTACACGATGCAGTGGCTAGCTTCGGGGGTAGTCTCGGGGCTAGCGTTTGTGTTGGATCAGGAGTCTAAAGAGGCGAATCCTCGTCAGAGGAGTTTATTGGGACCGATGGGGAGAGTGGTGGTGTATATTTTGAGCGCGAGTCCAGCTATTGGGGGGTTTATTGTGGTTGGACAGATGGTTAGGGAGTATGGGGTTTGTAGTTGGGTTGGGTAGGAGGAATGGGAATACGTCCGATGCGGAGGACTATACAGCATAGGGAATGTCCATGAGATTAGAAGTGCTTTGAGTGACTGACGGAGTTTTCGAGTCCGGGGCCGAGCTTGGATGAAGGGCAAATGAGGTGATTTAAATTCGGAAATATTTTGAAAGCAAGGTGAAAATAAGCAAATTATGCATATGGGGTGTGGGTATGGGGTTCGTGGTTTGTTTGGGGAGCCCGGAATGGACGAGCCCAAATTCACGACTGGCCGACTCCCTGCCCTCGGTCCCGAGCTTAGATTCCGAGTGAATTGCGCGCACAAAAGGCTTTGGAATCAACCGAATCCAAAGCCTTAATAAGCACATTCATTCGACCGTTTTGCGACAAAACGCGTTCGAGGCTTAGCTCGAAGCGATGCTTGCGTGTGTCTGCCAACGCCGGGGAGTGGCTGAGCGACAGGGCTTAGCAACGCCCAGCGCTGCCACTACTTCAAACTCTCTTCCGGCACTTGCAGAGTCCACCACCATCGAACGTCCTCTTTACTCAAAAGATTTATTTATTTATTTATTTGGCTTTGTTTGTTGGATTCTTTAATTGGAGGAAAGTTGAGTTGATAGAACAACACGAGATTGGGAGAAGAGAGACAAAGAGAAGTTTGAAAGGGAACGTGGCTTGAGAAGGCGACAGTCAGCCAGAGCGAACGAGCCATTGCCCAGCCTGACCGCTCACACCAACGCTGAGGATAGCGACGAGAGGCTACTTATACAGTCATCCAACACCTTCAACCTGCTTTCCATTCCACTCTCAACACCATCGCTCACAACACAATATCGATATGGCATCTCAGAAATATGTACGTCACTCCCCACCCTACCTCAGACCCTCCCACAGCCTTCCCACCATCCCTCTTCCCACCCAAACTGACATACATGACCTCTTTAGGACGCTCCCGGTGCACCCCCAGCCTACCCACAATCACCGCCTCCCGCCCACACCGACTCCTCCTCACCCTATCCACACTCGGAGTCCCCCTACCCACCGCCCGGCCAACCCCAACCCTACCAACAGCCATACTACGGAGGCACCAACTCTCCTCCGCCCGCAAACGCAGACTACTACGGCGCATCACCGAATCCGTATCAACAACAGGGGCCGCCCGGCCCGTACCAACAGGGACCGTATGGGCCTCCCCAGCCGGGCATGTATTATCAGCAGGGACCGCCACCGCCGGGGGGCTATTATGGGGATAGGAGGGGTGGGGGGGCTGGAGGAGGATTGGCTGCCGGGCTGTTGGCGGCGTTGGCGTGTTGTTGTTGTTTGGATTGTTTGTTTTAAGGGAGGGAATAGCACGGGAGTGGTGAGGATATAAGAAGATGCTAGGGATGGAGGAGAGAGGCGGTATCTTGCGCCTGCTGGACGGGTTAATACTTGGGATGAATCTCTACATGTTTGTGTGGGCAGAAAAGTGACTAAGATGCCGTCGCTTTGTCATTTGGTTTCCTTTGGCATGGATGGAATAAAACTGAGGATGGTAGAATCGCGGATTGGGCTCGGTTTCTTTGGCGTCGAATTGCGGTACTGTGTGTACTCACAGTTTTTTTTGAGTTTTTTTTTGCAATGCATAGGTATATATAATCCTTAAAGAATGTTGATTGTGGTTGTGGCTCAGTGTCTCTACACCTGTTGTAGGATGGGCTAGAATGATGGCATAATCAGGAACGGATCCTGCCTTGCGACTGATTTCTGTCTTACTTTCCAACACTATCGGATGATACTATAGAATACAAATGTTATCAGGGGGAATCTAGGGAATCTGAGACTTCTTTCCTGAGGGAGGCGAGACGAGAATGGTGTGTCTTCACTATTCCTCAACACCAAAATTAGGGCCCAAGCCGCAAACTCCCTAAAAATTTGGTTTGATCTGCAGGCATCAGGACACTAGTCCAGGTATGTCTACTGAATGTTCGTGTCTATTCAAAGATAAATCGTTCTTCTAGAATTAGGAGGATGAAAACAGGATATTCAGGCAGTTCCAGCTTCGATAGAGAGTCGGCCTCCCAAGGTGGTGCAGCGTTAATGCATAGCTGTCCCAAACTGGCAAACTTTCGGAATGAGAGCGGAAGAAAAATCAAACATGAATTCATATATACAGAGAAGCCTCAAAAGGTGCCTACCAGCGGACTTTCCAAAGAACCATCCTTAACCCTTTATCCTTCCACTATAAACCCATCATCCCTCAACAGTGAACAGTTTACCCTATTCTCCTCTCCAGTCTCTCCTCAATCCCACCCACAGCCTCAATTGGACTCCTGGCCCCAGTCTCAATCCCCACCTTCGCCATCAGCTCCTCATCTCTCACCGCATCTCCATCCTGAAGCACGCTATCCGCTCTATCCCTACCGGAATCTATACCCCCCTCCTCCTCCTCCCCATCTACCACTCTCCTCTTTTCCTCCTCTTCCCTCTCCATCTCCCACCGACACCTCTCGTTACAATCCCAGCAAACGCTCCTCTTACAAACCAGCACATCATACTTCCACTCCGTCCGATTAAGCATCTCCCTGCAATGACAACATTCCAGCGGAATCACTACTGTTTCGGGTTCCCCTCTCCTGCGGGCAATGCTCAAGCCCTTTGAACTCCTCGTTCGGAACTTCAACTTCTTCTCCCCTTCTGCCTCCTCTGCAACCCCATCAAAAACAACAACCCGATCAACCTTGCACCACCATGCCGGCCTCCCCCTTCCTCCTTCCACTCCCTCCGTCCTTGCCCGCACCTCCCGCCCACTAAACGGCATCAACTGCGCCTGCGGCGCTGGCAGAATACATCCATTCAGCATTGGCCGCGGCGGCGTGAAGATGCGAGTTTTCTCGTGCAGGGGCTTTTTGGGGCTGAGGTTGAGCCGGTCCTTTAAGAGCTGGGTGGGGGATTTCAGCGCCGCCCGGGATTGCGTGGTGCTGTTGCGGATGAGGTCATAACGCAGCTCGAGCTCGGATTTAGGTTTGGGTTGCGAGGGTTTGAGGTTGAGTTCTGCGGGACGGCGGAGGCGGCGTGGTGCTGGGGAGTCGGATGTGGTGGTAGAGTTGGATTTTAGGGAGTCAGTTCTTGTGAGGGTTGCTGTTGGTTTGGTAGATGGGGCGAAGGCCTGGGATAGAGAGGATTTCCGCCTCGGTATGAGTGTGGGTAGTGAAGGTGGGGGAGCGTCGTCCTCAGTGTCGGAAAGGAATACGCCTGAATCGCGGTCTCGAGGGTTGGGGTCTTGGTGTTTGTCATTTTGCTGTGTGGTACTCGAGGCCAGACTGTGGGTATAAACAGAGGATTGGGCGTCGTAGGCATTGAAGGCAAGGACGTTCGCGAGTTCAGCCATTGTGAAAGAGTGTGAGTGTCTGTTATGAATATCTAGACTGACAATAATATTTTTTTTTCAAAGGAGTGACAAGATAGAAGCAAGAAAGGATACTCGACTCCGTACTTCTCTGCGCATAGAAGTAAAAGCCAGGGAACGCTCACAAGACACAGGTGCAAAGGGCCATCTTATTCAAATACAAACACACCCTGAGCTTTGCTCCTCAACGTACCACCCCTCCAGTCGCCCAACCTTCATCAGGCATTCCTATTTTTACGCCCTGCGCTTCCTGCATAACGACGCAATCCAATCTGACACAAACATCGTTTCTACGAGCAAGGGTGCTAATCCCTCCCAACCAACCACATCCCTGCCAGACATGTTTCAAGCCACAACCGCGGTCTCTTCGAACCACTTGCCGGCATGTTATGCCCTTGGCCTGGGATTAAGCCAGCCACGGGTCCCCTTCCAGAAGCCAAACGTTCATCAGCCGACGGCAATATTGAACGTATCGCGGCTGAAGCATCCAGGGCAGATGTACCTGCAGTTCCTTCTGCTTCATAATGCGGGGGGGGCGGGTAGAACGAACGCTGGAGTTCAGGTGAGTTGCAGGTTGTTAGAGATCGCGAACTTGTGTCGGGATTTGTAGAATGAGCGCGCTATTGCTACTGTGGTATTCGCGACGTTTTCTTGCGAACACAGTTTCATGGTTTCTTCAACAGGTGGAAAAATAAAAATAATTTCGGTCGTCGATACGGTTTACAAAGTGCAAACGCGGCCATGGGTCATTGGATCTGGAGCTGACGTGTGGTCGTGATGGGAGTGGAGTTGCAACCCTGATGGTTTGCTACGGATCAATTGTCGGACCGGCGAGTTCATGCGTTTCATGATCATGTTGATTGAGGCTGAGTTCCGTCGAAGGGTACTTTCATTTCGGGCTGGTTGCTGCGTGATTGAGGCCTTATGGGGAGATAAGGCATTACGTTGGGTTGTACGTTGGTGGTCTATTGTAATTCGTCGTGGATGACGACCACTCCTATTCATCCCGAGGCTACCACCTCTCTCGTAGCAAGCCTCTGTCCCACCGCAGTCATCGTCACTTTGACTTTCATCTTCTCCGCTGCCTCTCTCATATCCACCATCATCGGAACCTCAGCGACCGTGGCTCGATCTTGAGGCGTAAGTCCATGGAACAAGAGTGGCAGACTCGACGACTTCCAAGGGTGATCGCATCTCGTTAAAAAGATCGTCAGAACGAGGAAGAGGAAGCTGCCCCCAACAACGAAGTGTGTAATACCGAGGTAGTAGAAATGGATGTTGTAAAAGGTTTCGTACTGCCACACAGTCCCGTTTGCAGGGGACCAGGTATAGTTGTTCGTTTCATCTATCGTGGGTAGCTGACGAACCCCTTGGGACATCATGATTGCGGTATTGTTAATAGTCAGTTCCAGGACATTGTAGGTTTCGTTTCGAAGAGCGGTGTCCGTCGAGTAATAGGCAGCATTGGCGAACAGATTGCTAACAGACCATCCCTTCTTCGTTTTGTACACTTCACCAGTCATTCCAATCGAATCATGGGTGAGGAGATTCTGGAGGCCTAGCTGTGCCATCGGAGTTATCCAATTAATGCATCGATCGTCCTTCGCTGGGTCCTTGATCTGAGTTCCGTTGAGATAGCACTCTGGTGGTATCAACCATATGCCGTGCTTTTGCTTGTACTCTGTTTTCGCTGCTTCGGAGGTATTTGTCCACCGAGATGTTTCAACCTCGTACAATGTATAGTTCGTCATATTTGTAGAGCCGAAGGTGTTAACAGACCAGTACATCACGCATTGGATAGCAACTGGCTTGTCGAGACTTGGATTTGCGATAGCCTGGAAGTTCAGGATGAGGGGACCGATTCCTGGAAAAAGGTCATTAGAAGGGTACTTAGTTGTGGAAGAGATGTTGAGTAAGCCATCCTCTTTGCGCAAGTAGAGACCATCCGGCATTTTGTAAACATCCGCATCGCTTGTGTCTAGATATTTAGTCATGTCGTGGCACTGGGGCTCGACCACGAGGGATTGGTAAGTCCCAAATGTGCAATTTCCAGTCAGACAGTAGACAAACAAGTTACTTCCAGCCCAGAAGTAACTCGCGGTGTATTGCATGCCAAAATCAATTGCCGTTACCATGGTTGTCCAAGGTAATTGATCCCCCGGATCTTCTCCAGACGTGTACATATTAAAGGTCGCATAATTGTTCGTTCGAGGAAGAGTTGCGACACCTCTTGTAATTTCCAGCTTATGCTCGGTATCAACGACGTTCTGGACAAGGGTATCCATTGTAAAGGCAGCGAGAGTCAGAATTGCTCCGAAAGAAGCAAAATGCCAGAATTTCAAATGCCAAAGCAATCTGAGCGATCCCAACGTTCCTCTGCTAGCGTCATCGAAGAAATCCATGTCGGTCTACCCAGGTGCATCAGGTCATGTAAAATTAAGATATCTGAGGTCTGGTCAACGTACCAGCTTCCGATAGTTCCAAAAGCGTCTCCATTTCAACTGGCTTAGAGCACCCCCGACTGGAATCAGGGCAGCGCCTTTAATGATAGTAATCATGAACGAAATGTTACTGTTAAGGGACCAGGACCCCGTCCAGCTGGATACTCTCGAGCCATCATATACTCCCAACAAGGCGATCATAGCAAAGTGGGCGCATACAGCAACGACACAGGCACTCGCCTCCCAAAGCCAGAGCCTCTGGATATGGTGGCTAATCCTCTTTCGGAGACTTCGAGGACGAGGTGGAAGATCGCTAGGAGCATGCTGTTCAAACGGCTGCTGGTAGCCTTTACCCGAAGGACTCTGCGGGTATGGCCATTGTCCGCCGGAGGGATACTCGGTATTCGGCGAGAACAGTGGATGTTGCGAATTGAAGGAATCTGTTGTAGAAGGCGGGTAGGGGGAGTATGGCGCCGTCGGCGAGAATGGACCCCCCGCAGACGGAGGCACATTGTAGTACTGAGCCATTCGCAGTCGACGAGAAGGATAACGGAAGTTGAGAGCAGTCACGAGGCTGAGGAGTTCGAGAAGGCCCTTGCCTTAAATACGACCTTATCCGCCCGTTCCATTAGCGCAATCCAGGGTTAGGCGATGGTGTTCGTGGAGCCGCATCGCTGTCGCCAATTCGAGAGCGAAATCGGTTCGTCCCAGGTGGCTTGCGCCACTCAATAAAAGGCGACATGGCGTGCTAGAACACAAACTGTGACTCGCAGAAATCAATGGCAAAGACCGTGCGTATTCCGATGTCTTGATGCTTATGGGTCTAGATCAGGACACAAGAGCCTCATTGCTTCTAATTCTGATCTTGAGTTCGGTAAAATTTCCTGAATATGTTAATACTGAACGAAAAGAGGGCCGTGTTGCGCTGCAGGTACCACAGAGGCTGAGCACCTACCTCCACCCGCAAAGCATGTTCTAAGGTGTGGAGTGAAGAATAGGTCATAATTCATCCAACCACTGAACAGAAAGTCTACCAAATGCAAGGAGACGGGGAGGGTCAACGTGAGTGAACAATTGTACACAATTTCGCGGAGGGTCCTGTCGTTTAGACTCGTTGGACAAGGTGGAAGTAGGGAGTTCGTTGGACTTGAGCTGAAGCCTGAGGGCTAGCGTAACAACCAATCGCAGCAGGAGAAATCGCAAATAGAAGAAGGAACAGGAATATTGTGTAACTTGTATTTACGAAAGAAACAGCCAAGTCTATATATAAATGCTGGCGCTGAATGGAAGGGTATCACAACGTAGTAAGATTTGATGGCCTTGGGGGAAGTCATAACGGTCTGGAACCCGGAAATGGAAACTGTCTCGAAGTACACGCCGAGGCACCTCCTTATCAATAAGGTTCCACGCCAGCTGATGATTTCGTCCTCTAAATCGGTCTCGCCTCAATCGACACGACTTTTGACATCTCTTCCTTGTTCTCGTGCTACTCTAAAAGACTATTGTAGCAAGAGAAGTCTCTTATCGCACATCGCTCCACAACTCACTTGGCCGCTGCCTCACATATCGGGCTTCACCTTCGTCGTCACTTACGATGCTCAAGGGTCTCTCGGAGGCCGCTCGTCCACCGTTATTAACGGTACTAGTTCCGATAGTAGTCGTGGATGCTACTAGAGGTCCCCTACTTGGCGCGTTACGCTCGTAATCATTCCCATATGGGGCGTTTCCGCCATCGAAGTTGCCCTGAGACTGATCCCTAACCGGTAGATTGATCTGGGGATTTGTTGCATTGTCCCGTATGTATGGGTCCGCTTCGGGTGCAGGTCTCAACGGCTCAGAGGTCTGCGGAACCTCTGTTTTTCTGTGGACATCCCAAGTGTTACCGGAGAAGAATTTCTTGTAAATGAACCATCCCGCAAGGCCGAGTAGAGCAAGGCCAAGTAGGGTCCCGATTGCGATACCGGCATTTCGTCCTCGATTATCCGCTGCCTTCTTCATGCCCGGTTCTGCAGTCTTGGTTGGGGTTTGATTCCCAGTACTTGCAGTCCTCACCGTGCTGAAGCCAGACCCCGTCACCGAGGCCGTTTTCGAGGCACCAACGGATATCGTAGACGTTTGGGTATGCTCCAAACCAACAATGCCAATAATTGTCTGCACTATCCCGGGGTTTATGCTGAAGGCGCCATTCGTACAGTCACAGGATTGGTCATGGGCGCAACAAAACTTGTTATCACCACAAGCCTTCAACGATCCGTCAACGTCGCTCCCCTTCTGTACTTAGGTCAGGTCCTGTGGGACTTGGTTCAATGCAAGTCAACTCACCAGACAATAGTCTCCGCAAATCGCGTTGTTCCAGACCGGATTTGTGCACGTACCACGCATAGAAGTCCCGATCGGATGCGATGAGTTGGCAGTTGATGGGTCGGTCACAACACACATGCTGTTCGAGTAGCAAGTCCATCCCTGGGGGCAGCACGAAGTGATATATGCGGTAGGATCGCATGCAAAATAGCCGGTCGCTCGAGCACCATTTGGTGAATAGCATGGCGCATCGGTGTCCGCAAATGCTATACGAACCAGTAGCCAGAGAAGTGGAAATGCTCTACAACTTCTTAGAGACCACATTCCTAACACCACTGCTCTAGCAGAGCAAAAATCAACCAGACTATTCGCAAGTGAGAGAAAGATTGCTCGTTCAGGAACGTGGGTGTCAAGCTCCACTATATAGAGTCGCGTCGTATCAATGGCGCGGCTCTTGAGCTTTGAAAGCCCGCCTCGCACTCCCTAAAAATCTGAGCGAGGCGCAGCAGGGCATAAACGATAGGCTACAATATTTATTGGGACTACAATCCGAGAAGGCTGAATATCTTGGCAATGCATGGCCGGATTGGGGTGCGCTACAGCTACCTCTTGATGCGTGATTCGCACATATTGAAATCGCATGATTTGATCACAGCCCACAGCCTCTCGGAAGGCAAATGGAACCGAGTCTGCCTTCGCCGACGCAGGATGCAAGTTTAGGTTATTTTCATTCGGTGCTAATCAATCCAATGGACAGACACTGAGGCGACCAAGCGCCAGCCTCGTTGGCGGCAAGGCACTCAACTGATTGACATTTTAGAGGCAGTGTTGTTGAGATTGTTTCGACAAAGACACTCCCGCTAGATTTGTAACTAACAGAAAAACAAGAAGAACCCCCAAAGATCGTAGGGAGGCTTACAGGACTCTGTAAATGAAGAAGCTGCAGCTTTGTCATAACCCCTAAATCTTCCTGTGTGCAAGCTAGGGCGCCACATTTGTCCTCCTCTCCGGGATAGGTCAGGATATGCCTCAGCCTGGCCTACCTTTTTCCCTTGCCCTTCCATTAAGAAGAGGTTTGTTGCCCTCCTTCGTATGTGTCTCGAGCCTTGTCCTCGCTCGTCCTTTTTACCAAGCTACCCGTGCTGAGTGGATGACACTGCCATGGATCGGTACCCTCTTCGAGATGCCATTGACGGCGGTCAGGGACACCCCAATAACCCTTACCTGAACCACTCTCTGCCATCCCAGTCGACAGTCAATGATTCGCCATACATAGCATATCCTGGACCGGGCCGACCCCCGCCACCACCTCCCGATACCCCCTCATCGACCCCAAGCATTCCAAGACGTCCACCCCCATCTGTTCCTCTTCCGAACCTGAGAGGGTTTGGAAGTGGATCAAACGATGAAGGCCCCAACCCTTCTGCCCCGCTATCGATGGGTGGCATAGAGCGTGCGTTGCCAACAGACTCTGAAAGTCTTCTCGATGGAGAGAGCAGCATATCGGACGATCATACATTCGTTGGTTCTAGCTCAGACCACCATGGAGATGCTAAGTTGCGGTACAAGAAAGGTCTTGAAGTGATATCGTACATTAAAGAGAAGAGTCACTACACTGAAGATGCATCTCAGATTATTCAGCGATTGCAGATGGCAGCGGATCAGAAGCTGAAGAGAAGTTATATCAGTGGAATACCAGCGCTTGACAATTATGACACCGCACCAGTAATCAAAGTTGGCATTGTGTTCCTCCCTGGCGTTGACAGGCCTACAGTCACCCAGTTAGAACAAGGTATGCAGTCCCCGGTACAAATGCAAGTCTCTTTCTCGTACTTTGATCAAGAGAGTTGCTACCGAAACGCTTCACGAAAAGCGTTTTACCGAAAACTTTCCAAAGTCGCAAGTAATGGGCAGGGGCTGGTAGTACTAAAACCTTTCCCTGCTTTCCAGTAGAACACATACTCACTATACCTCCAGACATGCTAATGGGTGACTATAAGCCGGATCAAATGACTTCCGAATGGAGAGTCAACACAGCAGGACACTTGCTATGGGATTTTGAAGTCCGACAAGATCTTAGGGTCATATCTAGAGACACCACTCCTCAGGTGCTTAAGCATGCTAGAGCCAGGAGAGACAAGATGCTCCCGTCTTTTATTCCTGGACAGAAAACGGAAGCACTCGTCATCTCGGGTAGAGAGAAAAGACCGGCGGTCAATATTGACAGTGACGAGGTCACGCTCGTGCAGGACTTACGATATTACCAAGGCCAATTTGATCTAGAGAGTACCTTGATTGAAGTTGATTCCACCTCAATGGTGAGCTTGCTAGTTAACTTCCAGCTCATTATCCAAAACAGGAACGCGGCTCAGGACCTTGATGAGACTAGAAAGCTACTTGAAGCGATGATGGAAGACGTGCGCAGACTTTGCACTCGTAGTGCTATTTTGTTTCGAATGTCTACGCGCGTCAAGATCATCACCTCCAAGGACATTCGCTATGGAGTAAACAACGGTCGAGAGTTCACGACGCTTACCACAAGCAAGGGTATCAGGAAGATAATCAATCTTTCATCTGCATACTACACATCCCTCGATCCTTCGGACAAGGTACAGCAACTGCTCAGACCACGCTTTCTTCAAATGCTAGTTCTCCTGCTTTCATTCCTCAACGACGATGACCTTCAAAATATCCGAGAATTCCTGGAGAAAACCTTTCACTTCCGAGCCGATCGACCCAGCATGGAGTTGCTATTCCTCAAGGTAATACCATTCTATTCGATCAATTCTCACGTGTTCCTCACCTCGATGGTTCCAGCGTTCGAAGGCTGGTCTCCTAGGAAGCCAGATAACCAGGATCATACCTACTACTGGGAGACCTTTATAACCCGCATCGCACCCCTGGGTTATATCCTTCCCGGTACCGTTGACCAGCTTTGTCGAGCGCAGAAGTCCTGGATTGTTCAGTGGCCAGAGAAGGGCTTCAAAGACTCGCTGGCCTTTCGCAACCTCCAATACGGCGCACTCGACCACATGAGAACCTTCAATGATATCCCGCCCATTGAGAGAGACCACGAGGGCCGTAATGAAAATACGCTGTTGAACGCCATCTTCACAGACGGCAAACAGTATCTGATCCGAGTTGCAGACTATGAAGGTATTCTCTGCGTGCGTAAAGGCGTCTACACGGCCCAAGAAGTCGACATTAACGGCCAACGGTACGACCTCATCATCGAGGAAAGTACTCTCAACGATGCCACTTATCAAGCCGTCGATCACATTAACGAGGTCATCCGGCGTGTGAACCACTGGCTCACAGGCTTCAAAGGACAAGCTCTACGCCGCCGCGGCACAATCTTCAAACACGTAAAAGTTCCTGGTATGGCTCGTCCAGATATCGAAATGCTTGAGGAACTCCGTGTGACCGGTCGTCTGAACCGCTTCCGGGCTACACTTGGGAACTCCGATCTGGCTATTGCTTACAAGCTCGACAAGCGCAAAATCACGCTCGAGGACACGCTGGCGATCCTCGCGCGCAACAATCAGGAAATCCAGAGCGTGGTAGATTACTACCAATCGCGACTTCAGAGCTATGGATCTGCCTTCAGCGCAGAAACGCTCCGCAAAATCACCAGCACGCTCAACACCGTGACCGCCGAAATCGGCATGGCGGAAGCCATTCGACAACGCATCGCCTCCGACCCTGCCATCTCCGACGAGCCTATCGTCACGTTGATTGAGCCTCCAGGCGGAACGTTCTATTCCAATCCGATCTGGAATGACTACAAAGTTGGGTTGACTGCGGGCAATATGCTGACGATTGAAGCCAAGAAGAGTTATGTGACGGGAGTGTACTGGGACCAAGAGATTGTAGTCACATTACATAATGATGCGAACCAGTATATCGTTGTGCCGTTAGAATATGTGGATGAGAAGGATCGTGATGACCAGGTGCAAGATGGAGATGTTGCAGTGCTAGCAGGGCAGTATATGATCCTTGCTGAGCCCGTTGAAGAAGAGGGGACGGATGCGCTGATCATGTCGAATTATCTCAAGGTAAGCTGACAGTTCAGTAGTAGATGTTGGGCGATTAAAGTGCTAACCCAGGAACAGATCGTCCGTGTTGAGCAGGGGACGAAGATTTCTAAGCGACAACAACGTAGGATGCAAACTATTGCCATGAGTAGGTCGGTGTTTGTGTAGATATGGGGAAGCAGTTTTATGTGCATAGATAGCATTTTTCTCGTTAATACGCTCGCTTTCCGATTGTAATGATTTACGATTACATTATTTATGTGCTGTACATCAACTCCGGAGCTTTTGTCAACACCACTCTTCCCGTGCTAAGTCCACTATGTTCATCCCCCACCCATAATGAATAAAACATTCTCCCAGTCTCATGATCTCCTCACTCTTCCCACCCTCGCCTCGGACTTCTCTCGGCACCTATCTCACTCCTGTGCCCTCATCCCGCCACACTCTCCACCAGTTCAACCTAAACTCTCCGAAAAATCTTATGACATCACAATGTCGCTCAGACCACCCTTGAAATCCCATATCGGCACCGGCAAACCGAACTTACCATATCCTCGGGCTGCTTCTGCGCAATGCTAGCAATCACAAGACCCTGCGATATCCGAAGCTTCCGGAGCTTTTCCGGGATTAGACGGGGGCAGGGATTCCATGTCACCTGTTGAACTGATCGCTCTCGCTGCTTCAACAATACATCGGCATGCCGGCAATATCCCAAACAAATCCACGCCATCTCAACAAAGTCACACATCATTACCGGAAAGAGAATAGGAATTACTGAAAGGGGGTTTCTGTCAGGTCGAAATCTACATTAGAGGAATTAAGAGGTACACACGCACAGGTTTGCTGCCTTGAAGACCGTGGGCTGCTTGGGGCACGCTATTTCCGGCACATTCCGCCAGCCAATGCGATCAGTCAGATATGTGTGAAATCATCCAACGAACAACGTCAAACGTGAACGAGGAGTCATGAGTGGGTAATACAGGGCTGCAAGAAACTTGCTTTGCACATCGATGTTGGGGCGGATTGGCATGGTTTTGGGCTCGATGGGTGATGTGAATAAGGCATCACGCCATGACACCAGGGTTGAGTGGGTTAGTAATGCAGGACTGCCCTTGTTCGAATGTCACGATATCTGAGGATGCTGGCCAGAACGGGGGTTGGATGGAGATAATGAGCAAATAGGACGCTGACGGAATCGTGAGTGGACCGGCTGAAGATGGGGGGGCCTGTGATGTGGCACGATAAGCATCAGTCAAGACATGGCGATCGAAATGTGATGATGCATGGTTGGTCCGGTTGTCCCACAGGATAGCAGACTTGATGGAATGGAGGGTGAGGATATAAAGGTCACTCTATCTGGCCTTGTCGGATGGATGACAGCCTCGACCTTCAGACAGATCCGGAGCTCTCTCCCTTGAAACAAACATACAGAGTAACAGCAAATCTAAAAACCTCCATTGTACTTTCGAGACCTGCATTCTCGTAGAAAATCATATTCTAAAAAGCAAACGAGCACAATGGTTTCCGCAAGCATCCCCGCAGGCACATCGCGCCTCCTCCTCGCATGCTCGCACTTTATGACGTGGGCTAGCTCTGCTATCGTCGTTGGCATCACTGGGTATTTCCTCAATGACTTTGACCACAACCAGCACCTTATTTTCTGGATCGTCATTGTATGTCTCACTTCCCTAATAACAACTATCACCACCACCACACCCTCCTTTCTCTATCAATCACAATTCGCCCTGCTGACATAACACCCATAGGCCGCCATGACCCTCTGCTTCTGGCTCCCATCGTTCGCTCTTCCATTCATGGGAAGTTATAAGAACTGGTATTTGCCAATGAACTTCGTGTTTAGCTATCTGTAAGAAATGCCTCCCTCATCCTAGCCCCCTTTCACTTGGGGGCTCTGGATATGTTACATGAACTAATAATCTTGGGGAATAGCTGGCTCACATCCTTCATCTTCGCGGCCCAAGACTACAACTGGCACGAATGTGAATTCAACTCACCAACCGATACGAAGAAATGCTCGCTGAAGAAGGCGAATGAAGCGTTCATTTTCTTGGCTTTGTAAGAGAGACCCATTGATTCCTCCCTCATACCCCTAATTACACCCCGGTCTAGAATCTTACTATAAAACGAACAAGACATGATGCTAATGAGATGTTACAACAGCTTCTTCACCCTCTTGGGCCTGATCGTAGAAACCTTGCGCTGGAAGGGCACCGAGACTTCAGCTGCTGAGCATCCAGGCAAAGAGCGTGCAAGTGTGGAGACTGGTGCGACTGCGTAGACGCGTGGAGGTAGATGGGCTGGAGGAGAATTGGGGAGCACAGAGATTGATACCATATCCAGACGGCTAACAAGAAATGGAGGAGCCTCCTGCTGGTTTACGTTGATGACATAGGTTTGATATCCTGGCGTGCGGATGAGGGTGGGGATGGAGGATGTAGGAAATGGTAGGAAGGAGAATATATGTATGCTGCATGATGAAAGTTGTTAGGGTGGAGAGTGGGTCGTGTCTGTACTATAATGTTTAATACTACCCGCACAGTTATAAAGATAAAGGTGACGAGTTGATGCACTCAGAGTCCTCTAGTTGAAATTTAACACTCCGACCCTCTTCGAACTCCTAGTCCGTTTCCTTCGCCGGCGGTATCGAATCAAACATGGCCGTCATATACGTAAGGGAATATATCGTCGCTTGACGATGCAATGACCAACACCATATCCTAGTCGTCAAGACTCAAGGAAAACGCCGCCCGCCATCCGAAGCAAGAAGAAAAGGGTATCTAAACATATGGTCCCACCTCGGTGGATATACACCTGGGCGACATCATTGAGGCCACAATAATGATGTACCTACCTTCTGAAAAACAAATAAACATAGCTAGCATCGTCTTCGTCTCAATCCAGGTCCATTGGGTCGTACATGTATTCATAAGGCATGGAATCATCGTCGATGTCGACATCTCGTTGATATAAAAGCATGCCACTGTTTCCCTTCAGAAGACTATTAGAAAGGCCCATAGAAATAGCTTTCCTACTTACAAGGCTTTGGTTAACAACACTTTGGGCGTGCTCCAAGCCTCCGAAGATGGTCGAGAGCATTCTCTCGAGGTCGAGGTCCCTGAGTTTAATCGGGTCATCTTCGGGAGTCCACTTCGAGACTGTTAACTTCTCGTCGGCATCCTTCCATTTGTTGCGATATTCCTTTGCGCGACCAAGTTGGATACGAACGTCTTGGCGGCCGAGGGCTTGATGCAGCGGGTTATCCCCCTGATCTAGCATTTCTAGAAGATTCTCATGAAAGCGATGAGACGAATGGACCTGGTTCATGCCATTGCTCTGAACGGTTCGAGGTGCATTCGGGTTCGTGAGCAAACGGAGACCGATATTAGGGCCAAGAGCATTAGCAGTCACATGGACACCAAGTATAGACAAACACTGAGTAATATATCGCTCAAGAAGGGCGTAGAATTCGAAGAAGTCGAGCTTGAACATAGATTCGGCTCGCCTCTTCTGCATCTCAGCCTCTCGTGCTTGCTCATGGGGGGTCACGGCGGGACTCACGACCCCGAGACCCAACATGAATGGATATCTCAGATGCCGGCCATCAAGGTTCCCTGGTGCTGTACTCAGAATATCCAGTGCGCGATTGTATGATGCAATCAACGATTCAGCTTTCCAACGCAGGCGCCCTAGCAAACGCGTTGCCTTCTCCTTCTCCTGTGCGATGCGCTGCTCTTGCGTGAAGACATGTGCCTCGGCCGGAGTCCGGTCTGCCCACTTAGAGTTCTTTAGGGATCCAAGGGCCATTGCAGGGAGTGGTATGCAGAAGGGAGGGTGTATTCTAGCGGTGATGACGTTAGCCGTCTTAAGAATTGCAGTTAAAACCAATGCAAAACCAATGCGAAAGTGAGTGCAATAGAAAGAGAAGACTCTAGAGCGTAGTTATGTAGGGGTCTTCTCATGGTCGTGGGTCGGCAGGTACAATGCAGTGAATGCGGGAAGCGCTGCTGTGCCCAAGTTTCATGAGGGTGGCAGTGCCAAGAGCTGTGTCAACTGGTCCAACACAGACCACGCTCGTGGAATTCACGTGAGTGCGTGTTAGGCGCGATTTCACGCTCCACTTTCACCGTTGCTGCCTGCCCTCTTCACCCATTCGAGGCAAAGCCCCTTCGTATCCCACCACATAAATACCCCCAATGTTCCTCGATCGAGGCTATCGAACTTGACTGCCCCTTTCTTTGTGCCCATTTCATTGCAATGGCACCTACTCTCCGGAATCGCCCTGCCCTGAAGCGTTCTGAGACCTCACGCCGTGCTAAAGGCAAAGGCAAAGCAAGCCTCATCTCCAAATCCTCGAAATCTCGAGTGTCACGCAAACCCCGGGTCCAGAGGGTTGTGCTGCGCCCTCCCTCTCCCTCCCCTGCCCCGTCTCAACCGAAGAATCCGCGTGCAACTTTCCTCGGATTACCCGCTGAACTGCGCCTACTCATCTACCATCACGTCTTTCACTCGGCCCTCATACACGTTCACCATCACCCAGAAGCGAATCTGGAAGATGGGGGCTGGCGTCGTGCTTGGTTTTCCTGGACTCCTTGCCTCGCGCCAAATCCTAAGTCTCCGCTACTTTGTGCTAATCCTAAGTGGTCTGGTCTATGCAAGGACTCTGAACGATGTACCTATAATCCGAAACTGAAGCCAAACCCAACCAGCTCTATCGCCATTATGTGGACATGTAAATTCGTATACCAGGAAGCCCAGAATCTTCTACTCAGGGAGACGGTAGTCTCCGTTTCAAGCCAAGACCTCAACCCTTGGGTGAGGTATCTCTCACATATTTGTCCGAAACATCTCCAATCTCTCCGGCGGATCACCATTACCGGGCCCGACCGCTTCGCCCCACAGATAATAGGTGACACAATGGAGATGGTCCGTAAGCACTTCCCAGACCTCGAAGCTGTTGCTTTCCAAGGACAGGTCCCCATTTGGTTGGCCCTAGGAAACAACATTCTTCATTTTCCAAAGCCTGTATGGCACCTGTGGGCAATGCAGATCCGTATGCACCATTTTGACCCTCGGGTTGCAGTCGCAATAGAAGGCTTTGGCTGGAATAAACCCCGTCTTCCCTGGAAAGATATCCAGGAGGAACATGTTGTCCATCGTATATATAGGGAAGGGAAGACAGTCGGGCAGGAGATCAAGGACCGTGGGTGGAGTGAGGAAGATGTAGTGGTAGAGGTTCAGAGGGGGCCCCTTGTCGAGGCAAAAAGGAATGCAAGGTGGCGGCAATGGTGGCGTGGAGAGAGATGCCGTCACATGTACTGAGGTACCTTCACTGGTCCTGTTGGACATTGTTTTCGACTATTGCTTTTTCCTCAGCAGCCGTACTATGGCGGGTACAACGATATGAACGGGCAGCCGAGACAGACTCTGGGTCGCTGACCTCTGCGAGATTGGCATGGGCAGGGACTAATGTAAGTTGAATATCAGGGAACACCGCGAGCACCATATCCAAGAAGCAGGCAGAAGGGATACTGCGTCGTAAATCTTCGTCTAGACGAAAGTACCCCATTCGTTGTCCCTTCAGAATCCCATTTAGTTATCTACCAGCATTCTACATTCTTGATATGTTTACAATAGACGATGGAAAGAGATTCCAATGATTTGAGGTTATGCTGAAACCACGAAAGAGCTGAGTGAGATGGGATCGGGGCATGCATGGCACCACCTGATCCTTAGACTTCGAAGACTCACTATCGCAGCCGTCATTCTATAATCAACTGCTATTTAGGTCCAATGGGAACGTTGTCCCGCTCAGGGTTCCACTTTAAATCATCAGTCTCTCCTGAACCACTATTCCTTTCTCCCACTACCCCTAGCTCTCAAGAAACGGAATGAAGGTAATCTAGTTCTCGCTGGCAGCTTGCGTTTTAGGCTTATCAGACGAATTAGTGGGACAAACATTCAAAAAATATCGATCAAGCCGAGCGGTCACAGGGTAGATTACCTATCTAAGCAAGCGCTCACGAGCAAGCGCCTCTATTACATTGTTACTCCATTCTTGTATAAGCATGTCGTCTCGCTGCGAGGCAATCCATTTATTGCTCCTTGGAACCATTTTGAAAGTCCCGGACTTTGCAATGCATTCAAGTTTATAGCTGGGACTGCCGTACCTCTCCCAAACAGATAACTTTAGAATTGGACTGATCGCTCGTTATTGTTAAGTCAAAGCCCCTGGACAAACCGCTAGCAAGAAAATAGCAAACCATTTAATCAACCCAAGCCCCAAAATGAGGTCGCTCTATCTGCAACCCTGATTCTCACTTCAAATCGCAGATACACGGCCATTTATGGCATGTGGCACACGCTGTCCTTTCAGAGAGTTCTTGGATATCTCTTGCTAGATTTTACCGAGATAACTGCTAGAATTAGTGGGGCACAGGTAAAACTCGCGGAGTTGATTCCCCTCTTGCAAATCTCACCCAGGCATAAGGATTGTACTAGCGATAGAGAATAAGGAGGGCTGCTCGAAATTTCCATATCAAATCTAAAGTGTAGAACGGTTGTGGCTTTCTAGAAATTGCTTTGAAAAAAGTCTTGGCGTGGCTCCTCTCAGCGTGTCGAACACTCAAGTCGTTGTATACGAAATGGACTTTCCTCTGAACTACACCAAATTATTTCCAGTATTGGAACTACATGCATGCGCTCTCCGACATCTTGCAATAGCTACTCTCCAGGTACAATATTAAATGACATCCCCTGTTCCCCTGACCGATTTCGATGTTTGTTGAGTGTCCTCTAGAAGCCTTTTGCTTTCCCCAGTTTCAACACCCTCTACCGTTTCTCCATATCGTACCCTTGTGCGTGCCACCGAGTCTTAATTACCTAATATTCTTTATGTATGACGCCCTGATGAATTCGATCGTCGTTAATTACGAGGGCTTCGTTTGAAGTCTGAACCTGCTTAACGTTAAAGAGCATCTATCCCTGTGGGCAAGAGGACATTCCTAAGGAGCAACTAGTGAGCATCTAGAAGATTTGCACCAAGTCTAGAGCCGGCTTCAAGTCAAGAGAAATATCTTCAGAGGACGGTCATAGCGTAGACTAGTGGTACAGGGTCGACGGGTCCAGCGTCCAGTGTGTAACCGGGCCAAGCCAGGCTGCTCCTAGACGCTCCACCTAAATAAGACTCTTCCGCTGTACCACCATCCAGGCTTACACAATGGAAAGTCATTGAGGAGAGTCTTGGAGAGTGGGACTAATTCTTTACGCACGCAATCGACTCGTCGCTCTACCCAAGGGCGTGATGTTAACTGAATGGACAAGTTCTTTGGGCTATAGCTGGATTTTGGGATGTTGGAATTTAGTGACGGAATGTGTTAGATGACCCCCCTTCCGTGACTAAACTAAAGAACTGGGCTTGACGAGTATGCGAACTGATGTATGTTATTATCATTCTTTCTTCCTCTGTTCGAGTAGGGAAAGTATTCGCGATCTGACAAGCAGAATCTTCGTTGCTCATTCCTACTAGAGCTACATTTCCCTTTCGCACATGACTGTTTTTGCAGAGAGATACTTGGTTGGGTCCGCTCGTTCCACGCAGGGACCCACATCGCAATTTATAACGGGGCGGAGCGCGATTGTCCAATATACAACCCGACTCAAAGCCGATCTTAGTTCTTACCTCACCTTATTGTCCGATCCTTCTACTCGAACTAGCGAATCAAGTCCCTTTGAAGCATCCTTAAACCCGGCGGCGAATACCGAATGCATTTTTAAAGCATCCGATAATGAAACACCCTGGCTGATTTTTGCATGGGGGATGCCGGAAGCGAACGTCAGGCCGAAATCCTTCCCTTTGCCAAGTGCTTCTAGTCTACATTTCTCAACTTCATAAAGAGGATGGAGGGGAGCTTGCGGGATCCTCAGCTTAGCGCTCCATCGCTCAACGCCTCCCGCGCAGGTACTTCCGATGTTGGTTTGCAGCTTGGGCGTTCTGCTCGCTCTGGCTTCTTTGAACTTCGCACAAATCGTCTCGAGTAATTATTTTCCGAAAAATGAAGATGGCAAATACGATCATATGCTAATTCGCGTAGATTTGACGATTTCATCTATGTTCAATAGCTCGACTGCGGCTTCTTCGTTCGTCAACAACACTGCGTCGGTTTCGGGTAGTGCTACTCTTAGTTTTACGTCTACTGGTACGCTGTCGGCCCAATTCCTTCTCAATCATTTCTTTGCGAATATCCTCGCCTGTTTAGGAAAGAAGAAAAATCTAAGGAGACAATAGCTGTAGGAAACAATTCAGGATCTGCCTGCAACGCTGAATATGTCTCGTGGTCAAAGGCTTCCCAGGCCTACTCAAGTAGCAACCGTTATGTTACTTCCAAAATCAACACCGCAAACTATACGTCTACGATATTTTACAAAGAAAATTATAACATCACGCGAGTGTGCGGTACCGGCATCGGGGCTATTTCATATGCCGGTCCGGTCACGACAACGATTTCAACAACAGCCATTTATTCTACATATCCAGTCGTATATACCACCGGAAGTGAATACCCTAGCGCTCCACCAAACTGCAGCATAGGATTCAGCGATTGCTTAGGTCTTCAGACCAGCTATTCATCGTATTTCAGTTCGTATTGGAAAGTGCCAGGGTCGGTGCGAGTAACTATGACTGAGCCGGTTCGGCCGTCCTGCTCAGCATGTGTATCAACTTCGTGCACATTCCAACATGGAGGCATGAGCCTGTATTTTTGGCCTGTTACAACATCCGTGAGTCGGGATTATTGTGCCTGGGATCCAATTGGGGGCATAGCAACTTCGTATATCCCGGATATCAATCATAGTAAGTCGACTCGCCTGGACGTGGGGACCAGAAGCTAATGTGGTTCTAGCATATGTTCCAACAACAACAGGGCCATACGCTGTAGTTGATGGAATTACGATGTATCAGGGAAATGTCTACCTCTCAATGATGGAACCATATGTCATTGACAACTGTGGAAAGCAAATTACCCGTCAGGTTTCTGGGCCTAACGTTGTAACAATTGCTTCAACAGATCTCTACAGCGTCAGGAAGTATCCCCATAATCTCTTACCGTGGTCTGTGAACTACGATGATTTCAACGACCCTACACCATGGAGGTAAGTCAATTATTAGACACCCATAAAGCTTGAACTAAATGTGTCAATAGTGCATACTACGGCCAGCGTAACTGTGCAAACAATCGGCCTCTATGCTCCGTAGTCTTCCCTCACAATTACTATCCTGTAATGGTCATGCCTCCACAAGTCCGAAATCTTGATCCAAACTGGAACTCTTGCGCGTTCGACATGTACGGGATCTTTGACCCGCCAGTCGCGCTCCATAGCGTAGGTAATATATTCCCGACAAGCGCAATTGTAGAGCCCACATCTCCAGCAACTGCCGAGCCAGTCCGTACGCCTCCGCAACCAGGTCAATCAGGGACTGGTAGTGTACCTGTGGTAACTCCGCCTCCCACGAACCAGAATCCGGATCCACCAAGCAGTTCTCAAGCCCCTCCCAATACAAACCCAAACCCAAACCCAAATCCGAATACGAATCCACCAAACAACAATAATGACCCGCCGAGTGCTAACCCGAATCCAAACTCCAGCCCCAACCCTGGACAAAATCCGGCTCCGACCCCAACCCCAAACCCCACAAACCCGGCATTAAATCCTCCCTCCAACCCCCAACTCCCTACAATAACCGTCGGACCCACTGTCATCCCTGTAGACCCCTCCGGCGGCCTCATCATCAATCCCGGAACCACACTCACACGCGGCGGCGCACCCCTCGTCATATCCAGCACAACCTTCAGCATCGGCGATGGCGGTCTCACTATAATTTCCCCTAGCACCAGTACTAACATCCCCTTTAGCAATAATCCCGTGACCGTGACCCTTGGCCCTGGTAACTCTCCACTGACCATTGATCCTGCTGGCAGTGTTATCCTCGCACTGGGTACTACACTTCGACCCGGGGATCCCGCGATCACCGTCAGCGGCAGCACGTTAAGTATTGGTCCTAGTGGTATCGTGGTCATAGGCCCACAAGGAACCTCCACAATCCCAATTCCCACCAGCGGCCCACAAATCCTCACAATCGGCGCATCTACATACACGCTCGCAAACGGCGCCTTAGTCCTCGGACCAGGGACGACACTCAGTTTCGGAGACCCAGCTATTACCATCTCCGGAACTATATATAGCATAGGAACTGCTGGTGTCGTGATCGTGGGTCCGTCAGGGACTTCCACAATCCCGGTTGCGATTTCGACGCAGGTTATTACGATTGGCTCGAATACGTACACGATGTACAATGGGGAGTTGGTGCTGGGGCCGGGGACGACGATAGGGGTAGGGGATCCGGCGGTTACGATTGGGGGAACGACGTTTAGTGTTGCGTCGACAGGTGTGGTAGTTTTGAGTGATGGGGGAGGGACCACGGTGCCGGTTACGGGGACGGATACAGGGGTTGTGAGGCCTACGGGGACATCAAACCCTACGGGGGCGGCAACGGGAGGGGGTGGAAACGTGAAGAGTGAAGGGAGGTGGATGGTGGCTGTGGCTGTGGCTGTTGCATTGGTGGCCTTGATAGCGTGAAATCATGCATATGATATCAGTACGGCATAATAAGGTTGCATTAAAAATAGATCTCTAAAATGTAGGATATAATCAAGAGGTTCGGCATTTTATCATGGTCAGTTAGGTATTGTACGGATTACGACGAACTGTATCATGAGTCAGTCATACACGACAACAAGCGCATTTATTAAGAAACTTTGTGCGTTAATGAAAGATTTGAAGTCTCTTTAACTGCTTCTACATCAACCCTTAAGATATTACGACTGATCTTGACCCTCGATACCAAGATCCTCATCCTGGCCCATGCCAATGGTTTCCCTATGGAATTAGTCGAGCCTATATTAAAAGGCTGACTTGCAGATAGTCGGTCATTTGTGAATTCTTTAGGGCGTTGACCAAAGGGAAGCCATCTCTCTGGAACGGTTCGAACATGTATGCAGTAACTGGGAAGAGGGCGAGCTGCAGCTGCAATCATCATGCCTTTGCAGAAGTGGTAGAGTGTGCTCACCTAGGAGTGACGCATGCTCCATCTAGCTAGTGGAATGCCTGGCCCAAGGCAAGGTCACCGATAATTTCTATAGAAAAGAAGTTGACTAGCCTAGCATGTTCACGACGGCATGATCTTTGTCATCCTTACCCTAGTCATACTTCACTTTGATGCGCTTGATTACGATGTTTGTGTCTCCTTCCAGAAAAGGTTCTTATTTCCGCAAAGACTGCTCGTTGAATGATCAAGCTAGGAGTCTCCACATACGAGCGCAAACATGAATATCTGTCGTAGTCACAGCATATCGTTTGGTACTAAAACTCACTATCAGGTCCATACACGGTAGAACACGAAGTGTTCCGTACCTATGTTCCAGATCGCACCCTTCTTGTCTCCTTTCTGCCCTGGGCGATACATGTAGGTGTCCCTCCAAGCATCTACAACCGCGAAGGAGAGTTTGTTAGGACCAAGCTAGATGACATCTCTGTACTTCTCGTGCAGTTTAAGCATATCTCCCTTCAACGCCCCCCGTAGTAAAGACATAATATAAAGTATCTGGGTTGCTGCACAGATTTTAGGATCTAGATGCTTTGAGGATGAAACCATATTTGCTTGATGGATACGCCTCCTACTAGCTAAAGAAGAATAGACCAGCAGAATTTTCCATGTATTTGCATCAGTGGTGGAAATCTTTTAAGCTCATGGCGTAAATAACAACATAAAATGATAGAACATATCTAAAGGAGCTAGGCATTTACATCAATGGCATCATAGATGTGGGCATACGCAGGCGGGTGAAAGTCAATCTCCCCTCGCGTAAGATGTTAGGAGCGAAAAGCTGACGTATTTAAAGCTGGCTCAACCCTCTATGCTGCCGCTCCATTGGCGGAAGTCTTCATTTTGGGTCGGGCGATCGTAGGGATAGGCGCTGCTGGTCTTCTTCAAGATGCAATGGGGATTCTCACGTACATTTCCGAGTTAGAGAAGCGTCCCCTGTACATTACAGTCGGGATTATTGCATTCGGGATTACCTGCAGTGTCGGACTGGTTGTTGGAAGAGTCTTCACGGACAAAGTTAATGAGGGTGGTGTTTCTGGATGTAAGTGGATCTAATTTGGAATAACAGGCTCTGACATCTGTGTAGAAACCTCCCACTGGGCTTCGTCGCCACCGTTCTTGTCACTTTCTCTTTGAACCCTAGGCAACTCGCAGGAGTCTCAGAGCGACAATTTCCGTTGAAGACAAACTAAAGAGAGTCGACCCGATTGGTGTGGCTCTGCTCCTAGGCATTGTGTCATATTTGTGTATTGCACTCCAATATGGTGGGAACACTGATCCTTGGAGCTGGTCTCGGGTGATTAGGCTGCTTGTTGGTTTCGATGTCCTGAAGACTTTGTTCTGGGTCACGCAGTGGAGATTGAACGAGCATGCGCTAATTCCGGTGTGCTTCCTTCGCCAACGAACTGCTGTTTTCGGATCTCTGTTCCTGTTTTGCTATAACATTCGTACTATCTGGTCAGTATTAATTAGTTAATACTGGTGCTAAACTAGAGGCGATGAAGCTGGTAACGAACAGAAACTATACTACCTTCGATTTTATTTCCAGGCTGTGCCAGGCACATCTGCAATTCAGAGCGGAGTCAACTACATCGCGCTGACCGTCCCTCAATTCTTTGCTTTCTTGCTGTCTGAAGGTTTGGTAGCACGATTTGGTCACTATGTAGGGAATAGCTCTTTCCGTGCACGAAATATCGAGTATCTTGGATGATCGTTGATACAAGAACCGTGTAAATGCCCACAATTATGATTGGCCCAGTTATTTGCGCCATCGGAACTGGGCTAAAGACTCAAATATCCCCAACGACGTCAACCCTTCAACGGGCGTTGCTCTTAGCGGTAACGGGAATTGGACTGGTATGGGTATAAATATGCCTCATATCGCAATCCAAGCCGTGATGCAGGTAGGTCGATCGGAGGTTATTCGGTGGAGAATATTGGCTAATACTTAACAGTGATACTGATGTTTTTCTCGCAAATGGTAACAGCCCTTACGAATGCTTTTGGGTTAAAATGCTGACTGACTGGATTTGATGTGTCGCAACATTTTTTTTTTTGCAGCTCGGGGGGTATGCAAGCCATAGCTTAGAAATATGCGTTCCTGACCTGATACTAGAACAGTCGCCATACTAATTGGCAATGCAATCCTCCTCAACGGCCCTGGGAAAATACATCCCAAAAAATTGCCCAAGAGATTGCGGTGGATGCCATTGTCCATGCTGGCCCACTGACTTTAAATGATCTTTCCCCGTCGGCCGACGTGGTTCGTGGCCTTCGCTGGGCCTATTCCAAGGCAATCCAGAACATCTTCATATTCGCGGTGAGGTGTTGTTTGCTTTTCAATTCTCGCTGCACCTGGGATGCAATGGTTGAACATCAAGAGAGTATCCCATGAGCGGGGTAAGCGTAAGGCAACGAACCATGCGAACGATTATGAACAAGGTAATGCGGACGAGAAGACATAGTATCGGGAGAGTGTGAGGGGTTGCTGAGATTGGAATGGATAGCGTGGGTAGAAATTCAATATGGTGAGGTGCTGCCCTTAATGGTTCGTATCGATAACTGGATGACGATGTGTAACGTTTTATGTGATACTGTTGTTGCCCGAATATAGGCTTCTTAAGAGATAGAGAAATGAATCTGAGTAGAAGGAGAAGTTGATTTACCTGTACTATCTACCAAAGCTTTCAAATACTAGTCTAGAATACTTGTATACGTTTATCACAGGAATTACTCCGCGCACGTTCAGCCTATCTACCGCATCGACTACCTAAGTTACGAAAGAAATCTCTATAACAGAGTTGTATAAATATTTATGAAGTTTTTACTAGTGTTATATTTGTTCAACTCCTTTTAGACTTGGGCAAGATAAAAGTACTTGAGATTTTCGAGAGCTTAGCGCGGTACTAACTCTGGAGCCCTAGAGCACTACAGAGCTTCCCTGAGATTTCCTACTTCTAGGCAATCTATGTTACTACTATAGTAGTAGAAAAGGTAATTCCACGACAGTAGTAGGAACCAGATCCGGAATGCTATTAGGCTCTATTTTCCGAACTTCTATTGACAAAGAGTACGTCAGGCCACTTCTTCGACGGCAAAGGCATCTCCAATAATGACTCCATCTTTCCGAGAACCTTATCGAAGAATGCAGTTGTGAAAGCTATCATAATATCGTGCATGCGCCTGCCCTTGATCGTCCCCGTCAGAGTCGCGTTGACCCGCCCCTCCAAGCTCAACAGGTCGAACCACATGGAGACGTCTGAGAAGTCGAGATGGTGGGAGCCCTTGACGAGCAGATGCTCCCACCACCCGGTTTGGTTCCCCTGGAACTCAACCCAGTGCATGCTGTCCTCAGATCTGTTCTGGTCATCACGAAGCATTAGGAATGGTTTCCCAACATCGACAGTTTCACCAAAGATATAATCGATGAATGCACCATCATAATTAATTCCGCCCATAACACTCTCGTGCGAGGACACTAGGTCGGTGCCGATGCTGCCCCCCATTGAGAAGCCAAAGTGGATATACGTGGACTTGTTGAAAGGTGCGCCGAACTGGTCGACGAGTGCTGGGTACAGCTTAAGCAGGGCATCATAATCGGATTTACGGTTTTTGTTGATTTTATAGAGGAAGTCGTAGTTGGCCCAGTCGTAATTGATTGGTATTCCGTACTGGCCACCGCCGTCGTATGGGAGCTTTAGGTAGGGAGGCTCTCCGGGGTGGTCGATGCACAGAACGGTGTAGCCTTGCGAGGCCATATTTGCAGTGATCATTGTGCTAGATGAGCAGGGCATCCCAGCGCCGGGGGAGAATAGAAGTGTCGGGAGTTTGTTCTCGCCTGGAAGGCCTGGGAGGACTGGCGGCTGCCACTGAAGAGGGGTCCATAGCTTCTGTAGCTCTCCCTCTGGGATTCCCCAACCTTTCTCTATCAGATCGGCGAGCGTATGGTCCATATACTTTAGGGAGGTTTCTGGATTTGGCGCTTGTGTGGTCGGATATAGGATCGTGACAACAATGAAGTTTCCAGTGTGGTTGGATCCATCCGGCGCCACAGGGTCGTCGTGAGTGGTATGATTGAACACATGCTGAGTCTTTCCAACATGGTACCTGCCGGACGGGTTGGGGAAAAAGACTTTGTCGGTCGCGGCTGTAGCAAACGCCACAAATGCTGTCAATAGTACCTGCAGCAGCATCGCAAGCTTTGGAAGTGTGATAGATGAGGGTAGATTTACGAAATATCCGATGCGTGAAGAGCGAAGTAGAAGACACCTGCACGGTCATTGCTATATGTACCACCAAGCATGCGATGCGACCGCAGCAAACTTATCCTGGAGCTTTTTTATTAAGCAATATTCTTATCTGTTTCTAGAAGGTGGAGGAATACATCCTGGGACTGCTCTACTCGAATTAATCAGAGACTAGAAAAGAAGGATGCCTGATGCGGAATCGTCCAACGCCACCCGCATCCTAGGCTGATAGAATACCGATATTTCCGGGCTGGAGCACCAGAGCCCCGCATTTCACATTTTCATCACCTAGCAACGCTTGCGTGTTATAGGAGCTGGAATGTTCAAAATCGATTATCTACTGCTCACGAGTCCTAGGCGATCACAGTACATTGTTTGGCGTTGCGCGGTCTAGCTGTGTGATATGCCGTGCGAATACTGTTGGTGCTCCCCTCGCTGGCGCCTTCCTCTTTAGGCTTAAGTGGTGAAGGGGCTGCTAATTACCGAGGTGCGCGAAGAACATTGCCTATATAACTAGAGGCCTAAATCTTGAGAGACAACTTGGTAACTTTTGCGAATTACACTTTGATTACTCCTAAGCGAAAGTTGAAAGGAAACTACTACAGGTGGTATTCCAGTCCTTAGCTCTTGAATGAGGGTACCAAGAGGTGTTGGGGAGTTTGTCTGATCCAAACAAACTCACTTTTATGCCAATTTACTGTCACTACTCGTGTGAAAAACTCTGTAGGCTCTAAGGTGAGCACATTAACGCATTTTAAAGGGTGCCATCACGACTCTTTCCGACAGCATTACCCTCTGCTCCTCTCACTTCTTGATCCCTCAACGACGCATTTTAGCGCTAGCCGTGTCTGAAATATCTCACTTCACTCGGGCCAAGCTGAGGCGAAGCATATTCCAGGGCCGAAACGAATTTTGGGATCTCTGATGGCCATCCTTTGAGAAACTCTCCTGCCAACGACTAAAGAGTTTGAAATGATTCTCGTTGGGCGCCTCAACGCTTGGCCAATTTGACGAACCAGATGAAATGACGTTCGGAACATTTGAAATACAGATGGGGTCTGCAGTGTATACAACGTGAGAAGCATTGACCAAGAAACTCCAGTGGCGTAGAAAAATCGTATCGCCTCAACTAAGCTGTAGCGCGACCAGTGGGAATGGATTGAAGAATATCCATAGAAGGCGTCTTTGCGGATCCCTGACAGCCGAAGGAATGGGACGCATAGTTCAGGATGTCATGCGATTTAAGCAGAACGGAATTAATATGCAAGGTCTGGTGGTAGGTAATCCTCGATTGGCAAGAGGATAAGAAGCTTTAATTGAAATCCGGTTCGGAAGGTCTTCACATTGTGCAGTGTTGTTGGCCGCCATTCCGAATAAAGCTAGCCATCTTTCGCATAGAACTCATTCATTACTTACTACCACCACCATCTCTTAGGCGGCCCTATCGGCAACATTAACAATGAGGCTTTCTGGTTCTGAAAAAAAAGACTAACGGTAGGCGACGGCCGACAGTTGGCTGACAATAGAGAAACTGTCAAAAGTAAAGTGTTGCCGCCTACTCCTCATCCATGAAAACTTCCTCGGTTGCCAGCTCTTACATCGCCCCTCCCTTCAACAGACACTCTAAAAAAGAAGCCTCAGGCGATTTTGTTAGGTCTCCCGACTAGGTTGCGTCTGCACATTTCTTAATTCTTCCCAACTGCACTTATCCACCTTCATCGAGGTCCTTCGGCACTCCCTCAGACATACAGGCAGATCTACCAAGAAAGCCATGACGTCGCCTGCAAATCCTGGACGAGGTGGTCTATTGCTTGGCCAAATCTCCACCATTTTGTCGTCTCCTTCCACCTAGAACGCCTAGTTTTGATAGCCCACCTGGCTTTAAATGGCATCTATCAAAACATATATCTAGCAGACAAAGAATATACACACTCTCTAAAGTCTCCACACTCTACCGTTGAAATAATCCAGAACAGCTTCCCAGATCTTCAACTTTTCGTGTACAAAGTTCAAACTTCCCTGACAATAATGCGTCAAATACTGTTCGGTTCATGGCTATTAAGAACCTTGCTGGAGAAGAAGCTTGATCCACACGTGAAGATCATCATACAAGCATGGGCATGGATTCTGAACAAACACCAAAATGGAGAGAGACCTAGGGAAATCTCAGGTATACTCGGTTCAACTCAGAAGCGAATCGGGATCCGGACCTTTATGAAAATCGGGGATCCACTTTTGAAATATTTGATGCAATGGCTTACAGAGGAGATTGGAGTTAGAAAAGTGGAGGTTGCGTTACGGAAATATTGGGTAGACGCTACGATTATAATCCCCCAAAGAATATAATTAGAGTATATCTTCCTACTAGTATACTACGCTCCAGACATCCGACTATCTAGAAACATAAGCAGACCTACATGTTAAACAAATTAGAGATTATGAAGGAACAAGTGATGTTATGTTATAATCGCCACCTCATAATGGTTTAGCTAGAGTAGGCCAGTTGTCAAATGACAGCTCGCAAAGAGCGTCTCTTGATTTTACCTCTGGGAACCTCCGCCACCGTTCCATGCAAAACACCGCACTGACTGCCTGAGCCTCCAAAGTACATTCATAGATAGGATCTAAAACGGCATGTTCCTAGTACCGCGGATTCCTTCTCCTGTCTCCACTCCTGTAAAGTCTCGATTGATGAGAGAGTATTAGGATGCATAGAACCGAGAACCTCTCTCTGCAGCCTACAACAGTCCTCCATGAGCCTGGTAGCATTAATGTCGCGACCTTGAGATTTCCAAGTGAATGCTAGGTTCGCCATGCTGTGTAGCGTATCGGGATGCCGCTCGCCGAGCTCCTTTGCACTCGCCTTAATTACTTGCACAAACAGCTGCTCGGCCTCCTTCAACCGTCCTTGATTCCAGTACGTCGACGCCAAGTTCGCCATGCTGGTCAGTGTAGAGGGATGCCTCTCGCCGAGCTCTTTCGCACTCGTCTCTACTACTTGCACAAACAGCTGCTCAGCCTCCTTCCATCGCCTATCATTCCAGTACATCGACGCTAGGTTCGCCATGCTGGTCAGCGTGGAGGGATGCCTCTCGCCGAGGTCCTTCTTTCTCGCCTCCATCACTTGCACAAATAGCTGCTCGGCTTCCTCCCACCGCCCCTGATTACAGTACGTTGAAGCTAGGTTCCCCATGCTGGTCAGCGTAGAGGGGTGCCTTTCGCCAAGTACCTTCTCTCTTGCCTCCATAACTTGCATTTCCAGCTGCTCAGCTTCCTTCCACCGCCTCTGATTCCTGTACGTCAACGCCAGATTCGCCAAGCTGGTCAGCGTAGAGGGGTGCCTTTCGCCGAGTTCCTTCGCACTCGTCTCCGCCACTTGCACAAACAGTTGCTCGGCCTCCTTCCACCGCCCCTGATTCCTGTATGTTGACGCTAGGTTCCCCATGCTTGTTAGCGTAGAGGTGTGCCTCTCGCCGAGGTCCTTCTTTCTTGCCTCAATCACTTGCACTTCCAGCCGCTCGGCCTCTTTCCATCGCGCCTGATTCCTGTACATCGACGCCAGGTTCGCCATGCTGGTCAGCGTGTCGGGATGCCTCTCGCCGAGTTCCTTCCCACTCGCCTCTATCACTTGCACAAACAGCTGCTCGGCCTCCTTCCACCGCCCTTGATTCCTGTACGTCGACGCCAGGTTCGCCATGCTGGTTAGCGTGTAGGGATGCCTCTCACCAAGGTCCTTTGCATTCTCTTCCATCACTTGTAATTCCAGCCGCTCTGCCTCCTTCCACCGCCCTTGATTTCTGTACATTGACGCCAGGTTCGCTATAGTCAGCGTGTCAGGATGCTTCTCGCTGAGCTCCTTCGTACACGTCTCCATCACTTTCACGTCTAGCTGCTCGGCCTCCTTCCACCGCCCCTGATTCCAGTACGTCGACGCCAGGTTCGCCATGCTGGTCAGCGTAGAGGGATGCCTCTCGCCGAGTTCCTTCGCACTCTCCTCCATCACATGCACTTCCAGCTGTTCGGCCTCCTTCCACCGCCCCTGATTCCTGTACGTCGACGCCAGGCTCGCCATACTAGTCAGCGTGCCAGGGTGCCTCTCGCCGAGCTCCTTCACACTCGCCTCCATTACATTCATCTCCAATTGCTCGGCTTCCTTCCACCGCCCCTGATTCCTGTACGTTGATGCCAGATTCGCCATACTGGTCAGCGTGTCAGGGTGCCTCTCCCCGAGTTCCTTTGCACTCGCCTTTATCACTTGGACTTCTAGCTGCTCGGCCTCCTTCCACTGCCCTTGATTTCTATACGTTGACGCCAGGTTTGCGATGCTGGTTAGCGTAGAGGGATGCCTTTCGCCAAGCTCTTTCTTTCTCGCCTCCATCACTTGCACATCCAACTGCTCAGCCTCCTTCCACCTCCCCTGATTCCAGTACGTTGACGCCAGATTCGCCATGCTGTCCAGCGTATCATGATGCATCTCGCCAAGCGTGTTCTTTCTCGCCTCTATTACTTGAACCTCCAGTTGCTCGGCCTCCTTCCACCGCCCCTGATCCCTGTACGTCGACGCCAGGTTCGCCATGCTGGTTAGCGTGTCGGGATGCATCCTTCCAATCTCCTTCTTTCTTGTCTCTATCACTTGCAAAAACACTTGCTCGGCCTCCTTCCACCTCCCTTGATTCCTGTACGTTAACGCCAGGTTCGCCATGCTGGTCAGCGTGTTAGGATGCCTCTCACCGAGCTCCTTCGCACTCGCCTCTATCACTTGCACAAACAGCTGCTCGGCCTCCTTCCACCGCCCCTGATTCCTGTACGTTGACGCCAGGTTCGCCATACTAGTCAGGGTGTTCGGATGCCCCTCGCCGAGCTCTTTTGCACTCGCCTCCACGACTTGCACTTCCAGTTGCTCAGCCTCCTTCCACCGCCCCTGATTCCTGTACGTCGACGCCAGGTTCGCCATACTAGCCAGAGTGTCGGGATGCCTCTCGCCAATCCCCTTCTTTCTCGCCTCTATCACTTGCACAAATAGCTGTTCGGCTTCCTGCCACCTCCCCTGATTCATGTACGTTGATGCTAGGTTTGCCATGCTGGTTAGCGTAGATGGATGTCTTTCGCCAAGCTCCTTCTTTCTCGCCTCCATCACTTGCATATCAAGCTGCTCGGCCTCGTGCCACCTCCCCTGATTCCAGTACGTTGACGCCAGGTTCGCCATACTGGCCAGCGTATCAGGATGTCTCTCGCCGAGCTCCTTCGTACTCGCCTCCATCACTTGCAATTCAAGCTGCTCGGCCTCCTTCCACCGCCCCTGATTCCTGTATGTCGACGCCAGGTTCGCCATGCAGGTCAGCGTGTCAGGATGCCTCTCGCCGAGCTCCTTCGTAGTCGCCTCCATCACTTGTACAAATAGCTGCTCAGCCTCCTTCCACCGCCCCTGATTCCAGTACGTCGAAGCCACGTTCGCCATACTAGCCAGCGTGTAGGGATGCCTCTCACCAAGTTCATTTGTACTCTCCTCCATCACTTGCACTTCCAACTTCTCGGCCTCCTTCCACCGCCCCTGATACCTGTACGTTGACGCCAGGTTCGCCATACTAGCTAGCGTAGAGGGATGCCTCTCGCCAAGTTTGTTCTTTCTCGCCTCCATCACTTTCACCTCCAGTTGCTCGGCCTCACCCCACCTCCCCTGATTCCTGTACGTTGACGCCAGGTTCGCCATACTAGCTAGTGTAGAGGGATGTCTCTCGCCAAGCTCGTTCTTTCTCGCTTCCATCACTTGCACCTCCAGTTGCTCGGCCTCGCTCCACCTCCCCTGATTCCTGTACGTTGACGCCAGGTTCGCCATACTGGTCAGCGTGTCAGGGTGCCTCTCGCCAAACTCCTTCTTTCTTGTCTCCATCACTTGCACTTCTAGCCGCTCAGCCTCCTTCCACCTCCCCTGATTCCTGTACGTTGACGCCAGGTTTGCCATGCTGGTCAGCGTGTCAGGATGCCTCTCGCCAAGCTCCTTCTCTTTCACCTCCATCACTTGCACTTCCAGCTGCTCTGCCTCCTTCCACCTCCCTTGATTCCTGAATGTTGACGCCAGGCTCACCATACTAGTTAGCGTGTCAGGATGCCTCTTGCCGAGCTTCTTCGCACTCGCCTTTACTACTTGCATTTCCAGCTGGTTGGGTTCATTCCACCGCCCCTGATTCAAGTACGTTGACGTCATGTTTACCATTCTGGCCAACGTGTCTGGGTGCCTCTCTGCATGCGGTAAAAGCGCTCGGCATCTCTCCCAGTTTTTATACTCCCCTGTCGGACATGCCCTGCTAAGATTCGTCATAAACGTCTCCTTCCACCGCTCGGTTTTCCCCTGGCCCTTTAGCCATTTCTGGGTAGCTAGCTGCACTAACCTGTGCATGTCAACCGTGTCTGTATCTCTAGTTATAGAGATCAAAGAGTAGTCTCTTAGCAGAAGAATATCATCTTCCAACCTATTCTTGACTCTTGCTTCTCGGGCGTTGTCATCCGTGTCATCCCCTTCTTTATTATTATTATTTTCATCACACCTATTTCCTGTGTAGCCCTGGCGGCCAAGTAATGCTTTGTGGATGCCTTGTCTGTTGAAGAAGCTCATAAGCGACAGTAGATCAGCCGCTGATTGTCTTGTGTTGCGTATGTAGTCAAACGATATCTGCCATGTTGTCATAATGGAATTCTCGGCTTTTTCGTCTCTCCGGAGATGCCCTGCTCCCTGGTCCAGCAGGGTCGTATTTCTTATATCGCTCTTACGGAACTCGTCCAAATACTGTCGCAATGACCATTTCGGAGCTTGCTGATGGATATATGCCGACGCCTGGACAAGAGCGAGTGGCATGAACTCGAGCGCCGCCACCAGCTCGACAATACCGTCCTTGTCTATCTCCTCTTTTAGCTTCCTGTGAAGAAGCTCCTGCGCGCTCGCATCGTGCATCGGCTCAATCCGTATGATATCACTGCTCTCCACCAGCTTCTCCGCTACGGCTCTTGTCCGGGACGTCACCAGAACGGAGCCGTACCTGCTGGAAGGCAAATACTTCGACAGGTGCCACCGAGGAGCGCCGTCCTCAGTGGTCTGGGTACTCTGGTGCCTGTTCAAGGGTCGAGAAAGAACATCTGCGTCGTCAGCACTGTCGACGACTACCAGCCACTTTCTGTTCCCCTCGTTGCGGAACCAGTTATGAACCAGCTTGAACACATCCGCTTGTGGGTCGTTCCGGCCAGCCAATTTGACTCTATCCGCGATATCTCGGAAGCTTTGCTCGACGCGCGCCGCGTTGCTGGCATGCACCCAGAACACCCATGTGTCTGGTGATGCCTCCGCGGTGCGATAGCAGTGTTCGATGGCGAGCTGCGACTTCCCCACGCCGCCTAGGCCCACCAGCGCTACACGCGATGCTGGCACGGAGCATCTCTCGCGTATCTGATCGAGCAGCGTCCCACGGTTGACGAAGTCTGGATCGCGGCGAAAGGGGATGGTGCAAGAAGGGCTCGGTCGGGTCTCTGGTCTTGCTGTGGGGAGAAGGCGCCGTCAGCACCAGTCTGCAAGCAGCAGGATAACCCGCAGCGACTTGCCAAGGTTGTGGTTGTTGTTGTTTGATTGCGTGCCTATCTGATGTTAGTATGAGATAGACTATGGCAGCCGAAAGGACCCACCGAATATGTGTGCATGCGCTGATGCATCGCCGGGCACGACCCCGCGGTTGTCACAAATGGCGGCGAAAACCTTTGCGCCCGTAGTGAGCACCGGTGCATGGTCAGACATGGCTACTTGGGGTTGTCGCACACTCTACAAGCGAGAAGTCGTACCAAAACTATCACTTGCTAACAATATCCTGCGAAGTGTCGGCATCGCGATGTTAGCTGGTGCGGCAGCGTTTTGCACTAGTGTTACAAACCCAGCTCTTCCCCTCGCCGATCATTAGTCATTTATGCACCTATTTCTATACAGAGTGTATAACGGCTTACTGCCCTACTATTTGTAACACTTTGCTTGTCGGACTACCTACCCCTTCTGCTGCGGCGTTACGAAAAATGGCTAAAGTTTACGGACTAGGAACCCTCCTTTCAACTCTCCAGAAGCGAAAGTAGAGTATTCGCGACTCACATTCCTCACCCCAACCTAAGCCGCAACGTAGTATCGTCTTCATCCACGGATCTAGCTGAAAGATCTCCTGGTGCAAGCTGTTCCATCGGCTCGAATTCTTTGTTTTGGCTACAATGCTGAATTTGCCCTCTTCTTCCCATTCAGCGTTCCCACCAGTCCGCGAGACGTAGTCTTCGTAACCTCTAGTGGTGAATACGGCCGAATTGCGAGCGACGTACTTTACGTACATAATAGGGGACCTTTACGTTACGCAGCGTAGTTTCTACGTCGTATACGGACCCTAGACTATACTATTCTGTTGCTGCTGGTAAAAGGCCACAGGTGATCTTTGTAAGGTTGTTTAGGCTGCTGTTAAACAGTTCACTACGTAGAGATTGACCTTAAAAAAAGGCTCTGGACTAGCCTTCTTCAACGCCGAAAGTATAGACGCAGTATGCGTATGCGGTACCTCCTACGTGCTCTACGGCCGCCCAAACCACTGCGTACGACCTTCACACGTGATCCGTAGTTCGCTATTACTACCAGTACTACGGACTGTTTAGCATGCGGTTCCCGTTCAACGGCCTGAAGTTCGTGCCGGACAATTGCCGATCATTCGACTGCGCTATTCTAGAGCCTGGTTAATCTGCAAGAAAACCAAGGCGGTAAGACAGACTAGTGTGTCAAATCTTCTGCGGCAATCCTGTTGATGTGTGATGGCTAGAAGATTTATAAATCCATAAAGCGGACAGCTCTTTAGATATGCATATAGTATTCACCAGACGATGAATAACACACGAGCTGGGGGACTAGGACACGAAAGTTATGAAAACAACCTTTTCGCCATTTAAACTGTCGCTATGCAAGCCTCCACACGTTTCAACAGCAAATCTTTTGGCATGCTTCTCCTCCCTCAAGGGGGAACTTCTCTGCACAATTATGCATCATATATGACAAGAACTTAGTTCCCCTCGTCTCACTATGGCAAGAGCATACACTACTCTGAGTTTCCGATGTTATGATCCTCCCACGTTCTGGAACATTATGTCTCTTCGAGCAAGATATGTTATACGGTAGGATGCTGGATGGCTACAGCTCCACTATGTGTATATCTAACGGCATATTTTAGTAGTGGGGAATTGCTGAAGATTTGTGTTTTGAAGCTTTTGAAGCTGAGAAATAATAGAAAGACTCTGGATCGTTACCGATTTTGTTGGAATTGGTTTAGCTTTTACTATACATATTTCAATTTGAAAATGCTGTTTCGGGAACTGAGTCGAGGCGTTGGATCAGAGAATGTGGAGTGGTCTGAGGGTTTACTACAGTTGTATTTTTGCTACCTTTTGGGGATGCGGTACTGGGTCCGGGTTTTGAAAGCGTGTTATAGAAACTGGAAAAGCTCCGAAGGTCGGCCCTATTACATATCTTTTGTCCCATATCAATGGCTATATCAAAAAGGAGCTTAATATAAGTATATATAAGAAGCGTTGGCATATTTAATTCTCCTTTAGTAAGTTAATTTTGTGTTTGGGCCCTCTTATTGTCGCCATCAATAGATGAAGGCTTCGACAGACTACAGCGCTAGCACGAGGGTTTAGTGTAGGAAAGGGAAAGGAAGTCATAGAATCAACCGCATACCACTGTACTATGGAAAAATATTGAGTGTATCTATCCTGAATGCAATTGAGATTAGTTCCTTCACCTATTTAAACTCAGGTTTCCGTAAAGAGTCTGTCATTCTCCATTATACACCATGATTTACCATACGCATGAGTCCAGGCGACGGTTAGCGCAGCCCACCAACGCTTCTACTTTTAGTCTCCATCCCTCATCCCCCCTTCATATCCAACGACCTTGCCTGTCATTCGAAAACCACCATGTCTCTACCGAAACCTAAACTCCAACACACTGGCCCCTAATCCTCGAATACATCGCCGATAGCTTCCCAGCAACGCTGCTCTCCCTCTTCCTCGTCTTCAAATCCCTAGACTCCGCCACACAATGCATACAATACCGCAACCTCCATCTTAATTTCCCCACAGACTCCGGAGCGTTCTCCAGAAGCCCCACTCTCTCTATTCTAGCTAAATATCTCTCATCACCTGACACATATCGCTCTGCCCATCGCCTCTACATTTCCAACGTCATCCCGACCACCCTCGAAGTCACAGACCTCGCAAGACTAGTAGCAAAATGTAATCATCATTATTTACTATCCTGAGATGTCCCTTCCTTAATTCCACCGGAAGTCCTTGTTACGGTACACAACCACCACCCCAAGGCTAGCCTCCACCTCTCGAGCTGGACCTGTGGTACCCACATCTCAGACCAGTAGACGAGAACAAACCCCCGCTTTCGAAATCCCTGCCACTGACATCTTTGCATGCGAATTTCTGCCCTAGATATGGGTTCCCAGAAGGCGCTGCCGACTTGCGCTTCGCAGCTATCAAACGCATTTTTGCAAATGTGCCCAATCTGCATTGCGTGGCCGTATACCCCTGGCAATCGGAGAACTGGGACAATCCTCCCGCAAAAGCGCTATGGTATCAAGTGCCAGGGATAGTTTCAAGAGTCCAGAAGCAACGGGCTGCCGAGTTTTATGTTGGGGCGGGACGAAGCTCGTCGATTACGCACCTGTCACTACAAGGGAATATTGATACGTTGGTTAATATGTGCGCTAGGTTTTTGGATTTTGGGATGGTTGAGAGCTTAAACTTGTACCATTGACGCGTGAATACACCGGAATTTTTTCAGAGAGCGGCAGTATTGCTGCCGAAGCTTAGGTGTTTGGCATTGGCTCTTCCACCCGGTCCAAAAAAAAAAAAAGACCTGTATTGGCCTATTCAATTATCCATCAAAAGAGCAATAGAACGATATCTAACATCCGAATTTGCACCCCTCTCGATGCTGAACCTCTGGTTATGGCCAGCTATACTCACACTACTCACACTTCTCACCCACCACAGACAAACTCTCACCTTCCTAGAAGTCCATCACCGAACCCGAACGCGCGGCCCTCGGGTTCAGCACCTTAGCATCTCCAACATCCAGCTAATCCACTCTTCATGCCCCAATCTAAAGGTCCTCGTATTCGATCTTCACCGTCGCAGCGACTCTCTTCCCAAGGATTTAGACCACTTTAGACCACTCCCTGAAGCCGTGTCCAACATGTCTCTCTATACTCTCCGCATTCATATCGACATCGGCTTAGAGCGTCTCGGATACCCTGAATGGCATCTGCTAATCCCGCCTTTCGGCTTTTCAAAAGAGGCAAAGTTGCAATTCCTGCCTCCAGTGCATACTCAGGTGTGGATGGCAGGAAGGTCGGAACCGTACACCCCAGAGTCACCGGAGACTGAAATAAGGCCTTTTATAGAAGGGATTTGGCGGGCAGTCTTTGGGAGGAAGGATCTTCTCGAGAGTAAAGAACTAATGGCACAGTTTGAAGAGGGGAATTATTGATGACGGATTCATCGAGGGAAGAGAATTGTGCGAGGAGATTTTTGAAGACGAAGGGGAAACAGGATGGGGAATGTTGTGTGCAGAATGTGAGGACGACATGTGGAGCTGGGATTGAGGGAAGGGTGTATCCTAGTGAGGAGTTCTTGGGGTAGAGGAGGTGAATAGAAACTTGAAAGATGAGAAGAGTCTCGATTCGAGTTTTTAAAAGACCAAGCGAACTGCATCACTGGGCGACGATGAAAATGTACACCTCTTGAGCTTCAACTCCGACGGTAAGGAAAGCGTGTTAGAGTTGAGCTCGAGCCGTCTGGTGTTTTGCTGCGCGGAAACCAAATAACTGATGCTCCTGACTGTTAAAGAAGACATTGCTATCGCGGGGTGAAGTCAAATGCGGAAAAGAGTTCAGGAAAAAAGGGATTGAGGAGGTTGAGAAACAAAATAGGCACGGGAAGGAAACTTTGGGGTTGAGGGCAACCACACGGTATGCCAAGCGAAGAGCGAACATCATCGTCCGGCCCACAGTGCTTTGGAACAAACTATGGCCTTGGCGTAAGATTGAACGGACACCTGTCGACCGGTCCCGCTGGCCATTGCTCGAGAGAACCCGCCCCGGGTGTGGCCCCGTGCTGAAGGGTAATGTGTTGTTTTGGCTCGTTTCATGTCGACCCGGCGATGCTGCGTAGACTAACCGTCTGCAAGCTAGGCGTATTCATTCAGCCAATGCAGGCGAGCTTTGGGCGGGCCATAGTAATAGGTGGTGATAGATGGTGATAGGTGGGTGGTGTTGAGGTGCGAGCTCAAGCCTCCCGATTATTTGCGGAAACTACCCCAGCCACCCGCAACCTTGGGGAGGCGAATTGCATCACCATGCCGTCGCACGCTGTGCCGCCATCTTACCACCACCTTTTGTTTCTTCTGCCTGTCCTTCACTCTTCACACTTCTTCGCCGTTTCTAGCTGCACTTACGCCCTTCTTTCTCTCGCTCATTTCGTCGCCTGTTTATTGTTGTTTTGCGCATTGAAACCCCTCCCCTCTAGCGCCGGAAGATCCGGCCAAGCCAACCAGGCACCGCACGCAATCAGCGACGCGCATGTCATCGGCCTCTCATCCCTCAGAACAATCGCCTTCACCACCGCATCGTCACTCCTACATACCCGCACTCCTACGACTTCTTCGCCTCTAGAGGGCCTCCACGATGCCAACCATACCCAACACCCGCGACCTCCCCGCGCCGCAGCCCGACAGCCTTGCGCCTCGCGATCCTGGCGTCTCTTCCCTGCTAAGCCGGGAACCCGCACTAGAAGTGAAGGAGGACACAGTAATCGCTCTCAATGCGCTCGAAGGAAGATCATTCAACAAACGCGACGTTGTCCCCGGAATCATCCCCACATACTACAGCACCAGTGGCCCAACCCCAGGCACCGTTGTCGGCATCGTCCTCGGCAGCGTCGCAGGATTCCTCTTGATAGTGTGGCTCCTCTGGTCGCTTACAAATCTGTCGGGCCGCTCGGCAATTGCAGGAGAGGAAGAGATTGTGGTTCGCAGAAGGCGCGGATCGCATTCACCACATTCGCGTCGCTCGCGCCGGAGCACCCGCACCGAGGTGCGGGAATTCAGCAGGAGCCCAAGGAGGAGAGAGCACATCATTGTCGATGAGAGAAGAGCGGGGCCGCCGCCGCCACGGGCACGCAGTATTATCGTCGAGGAGAGAATCAGGGTGCCGAACGATGATGTGGTTGAGGTAATCGAGGAACACGATGATTACCGAACACGGAGGGGCAGTCGCAGGAGCGGAAACTATAGGTGAGAGCCTGCTCTAGTTAAGGTGGAGGTCAGTTGTACCTTGTTAAAGCTGCGTTATGATATGATTGATCGGGACGAGCTCGACTGTCCATTCTTGTGGGCCCTTGCTAACTCTTAAAACGAACTAGATATTGAGACCTCCCTCTCATCCGAATCCAACAATCAGTAGCCATCAAACTCACGTTATATTGCAACGCGCACACTCAGGTGTACGAATGCAGATCTGAGCTCCGTCGGGATAACCGGTTGTCCTTATTTTGGCTTTTCTTTTTCCTGTATGAAGTTACTCCTGCGTTCTATTCAAACTTTATATCCAATCCTCCAGATTTTTGTGTACTATATTTCGGCCTTTTCCCTCGTCTGGCATTGGTGGATGATCAAACATGGATGGTGACTCTAGGAGGACTCGCCGGTTAGGTAGGAGGTCTAAGCATGGGGGATGAAGGGTCAGGTGAATTCATGGAAAGGGACTACTGACGGGATGGAACTAAGCGCAGATTGGTTGGCACGGGGTGTCGTGCATCACGGCATATCCATTGTGTGCAAACAAATGGTCATGGTAGCAAGCTCAATTGCGTCCTTTTTATCCTTAGCCCTAGTTTCTACTGCGGCAAACCCGGAGGGTTATGTGCTTGTTGAACAGACTAGTCTATCCTTGAGCCAGGTTTGGGGGACCGGGATTGCGTTCTACCTTGGTAGGTTCTCTTTTCAACAACTCCAGTCAGAGATCTCCCGAGAGAATATCCCTAACATGAAACAATTCTACTAGGGACAGGAATAAAATCAGTGTATCCCGGTACACCTTAAACCTTGGAAGTGTGTGAATTACTGCCCGCACGTGAATTCGTGTTTCTATATCTCAATAGGTCCGTGCGCGTCTTGGCAACGTGACTTCCCCCTACATTTCGAATCTTGCCCCACCCTTTCTACTTCGTTCTTACACTGAATTCTTCCATCACGAAACTGTGGGGGCTCAGTCGTCCGGTGTTAACGCTTCTGGGAACAGCGCTCAAATTGATGATACAGTTACAAGAAAACAGACAACACGTCTCGCAGCCTCGAATATGACGCCAAATGAAGAATGCGAGCTTCCGGAATCTGGAAGTCGCCATCGGTCGGATCAACGGCAGTCGCGATTTTCTAGCCTTCCAGCTGAGCTTCTTCAGAACATCATCGCTCGCGTACCTGCTAAATCAGATCTACGCAGCTTGTCACAAACATGTTGGAGGGTTTTTGTTGTGGCCAATGAGTTCTTATATCGGAGCTACGAATACCACACAACTCGTGGAAATGGGGAGACTTCTTGTCATTCGCCTGCCTACCTTCTTCGAACTCTCATGCTTCGACCTCATTTGGGCGAAAATTTCGAGTCAATCAATATTGCGTACAGCAACTCGGCTTATTCCGGTGGCTCTAATGAAACGATGAAAACCCTATTGCACCGATCAACCATTGGAGATCAATATGCACAGTTTTCGAGACTCAAGAAGAGTCTTTACCAGCTGGACTTGGACTCACAATCGGCGTATCTTCTTCTCTTCACCCCAAAAGTCAGATCACTCACCCTGCACGACAGAGGGGACGGGCTTAGACCTTGGGTTTTCAAATTGCTCGAAGATGCAGCCCGGCCTTCTATCGCACAAACATTCCACGGATTTTCCTACCTCCGTAGCCTTACTATCCGGTTCAATCACTCGTCAATTGGCAGGCAGATGGATTGGGCACATTCACCACCCGTTCCGTCGTATTCTGAATGTCTCCTTATTCCAGCTTTGCGGGACCTAACCCTGGTTAATGCAGATATCGGGAGCCTTTTCAACCCTCATTGGGATCCACTTCGCCTTTGGAATTGTCCACCACGCAGTTCGCCTGTGACCAATTTCACCCTGTCAAACCCGTACTACATAGATGGATTTTGGGGAAAACTTCTGGGCAGCTTTGCAGGTCTCGAGCGGGTCGAGGTCGCATGGAACAATTGTCGCGGTATCAAAGATCAAATATCTTGCGTATATGCCTTGGAGATCCACAATGAGACCCTTCGAGTCCTTGATCTTAATGCCCGGCAGTTGGGGGACCGAAAGATAGTGGAGCCGTGGCCATTTATTTCGGACTGGACTCAGATTTTCGATCATCTAAAGTCCCTTACACTCAACGGGAAAGTCGTGCTGCCCAAGACCTGAAAAGCCGGTACGCCTAGCGCGACTGGTACATGTTGTGGAGCATGGATTTCGAAATTTCTTTCAATCATTTGCAAATTTTGGAACATTCATGGAATATGGCGACCCCGACCTCCCGACGAGAATGTACATCTATCAACATTCAAGCAACTTCGAGTGTCAAGATAGACTAGACTGACAACCACTATTCTAGAGCATCTCATTACGTGAGATTTCAATCGATAGGCGCAGCTACTAGTTCAAAAATATTTACTTTGGTGACATCGGCCTCCTGAGTCAATAGATAAATGAAGCGACACGATGGTGTTTTCACGGTGCTAGGGTGGCTTCTCATCAAATCCCATCCAAGTGCGTATATCTGCTCATAATCCTTTTCCTTCAAGCACCGTCATCTTTCCCTCCTACTCATTTCTTATGTGCGCCATTTTCGGGCGAATTCGTCATGGATCAGGGTCATCGTCTCTTCCAAGTTTCGTGGAAAAAAATCTTCCTCAACTTTACCTCTAGGTTGCATATTAGCGGCCCTTGGAATTCGTATTGGTGTTGGCATCGGCTGAGCTGATTGTTGTAATGAAATTAGGAACAGGTCATATTCTAGCAGGTGTGTCTGCCTCTGCGACTCATGCTCTCATTATGCAAGTAGGTATTTGCCCTCGTGACTCATGCTCTGATCACACAACACAGTGCTCCACAGCCTGAGGACCCGCACGAACTCAGGTCTCTATCCACTGGGATCTCTTTCGTTCCCCTTTTGATCCAGCAAACTTCTACCAATCGTCCGCCAATGGCCTCCCACTGTGCTTCCCAACTACACTCAAGGCTACGGTGACATCCTTGGTTCACTAGATCTAGGATCAAGAGATGGACGAAAATACCAAGATAGGAGCCATACGACTCATGTTCAAAATTTACAGCACTGGGATTAAACTGTGTTACGGTTCTCTGTCTTGGTCTCCTTGCAAGATCTTGCTACTGGTCCACCCTTCGAGCATTCGGCTCACAGAGAGAATTCCCGATCCTGTTATGCCTTCTAGACAACTTCAACACGTCACTGGGGAATTTAGGGGCTCCAAGAGCAAGCTAGAAATGTCCACCACACAGTTCTGGAATAAAGGCCATTGAATTTGAATAGCAAACCAACACTGAATAAGGACGGGAAGCTTTCCTGGCAGCTCTTAGGGCGTCGCTGACGCCAGTAGTTTACTCAATCACTAGACAAAGATGCACAGCCAGATGACTGGTGAGGCTTACCAGCAACCACATCTCAACCGTATGCTGGAAAGTCCAAAGATACTCTTAAGTTTCTCTCCATATATGGCCTACTCAGGCCATCACCCATTGGATCTCAGTGGATCTCGCTGGAATATCCCTCAGTTCTCTCCCGGAAACTTCCATCTCCTCGAAGGCTTATCAACCAACAATTGCACGACTGCAACAGCCCATAGGATTTTAATGGTGAGTCGCCTATTTCTTCGATATCGGCCTTGCTGTCACAATTGGTCCCGGACTGCGTATTGGAAATATGGTTTACATATATGTGGGATGGCGGCACATTCATACGAACAGCTAACCAAATGGTCAAGACGGAAGATTGGGATCCTTTAGCGTTTACACTTTCATTTAGAAGTCTGAAACAAGCCCGAGTATTTCATACATTTACTCCCGATGGTGATAGCCGCCGTATTATGTGAAAGATGGCCTGATTACTCATGGACTCAGGAAGGCTGCTGGCAGGCTTTAAATAGTAGAACAGTCACATATATCATATTGACATTCTCTCTAACCTTTAAAAGGGGTTTAACTAATAGATTCTATTATGCTCATGTCCCACGTCAGGTGATAATGCGCTGTACAGACTTCACGCCACCCGAAAGCTCACTGCTCACATGCAGGGACAATTATCAGAAGTTGAGGAAATCTTACTACTCACATCACAACACCCACTGCTACAATATGAGATCTTCTCAAATATCTTCTCGCCACTTAGAGGGTTTGATGTGGTTGCCGAAGGCGGCGGGCCCGCTGATTCCACCTGCGGTAAGTTCTCCGGGCTCTTATATGTGCCTTTTTAGGATTCGAGCAGATATGACTCTGCACATCGCAGCAACCAGAACGCCCTCAGAACTCGCTGTGAATTGCCTCACTCCGGAACTACTAGGATCCATACAGCCCAGCCATGCACCCAGGACCCAATAACGGCAGATCCGTCGTGGAAGGATTATTGTCCCTCTTAGACACGTCGCAAGTGCACTGCGTGCATTCGGTGTTACGAGTACCATAATAGGTAGGAAAGCGAGTGGTAGCTGGAAGCTTGCACCCTCCCCCGGACATCACGTATTTCTCACACGGGTCGCAGTCGAACTTCGTCCCTTCAGGCAAGCTTGTGTTAGGTTCGACATCCGCCGTGTTTTCGTCAATGGGGTCACCAATTTGCTCTTCGACAGCTCCGCCCCTCTGGTCCTGTTTTCTGAGGAAGAGCAGGTTGATTCTGTGGAATACACCTTCGTCGTTCCAGCCAAATGCGTTCTTGGAAACAGTTGTAGGAAGCCATCCAAGCACAAATGGCAGCTCTTGGGTGACTTACCAACGAATATTAGTCTGAATAGTGATACTACATTAGAAGTGGAGGGGAAGGCGGAAAGCGAAATTGGGTATGGTAGGATGGTCTCGCCGCTTGAGATAAACGCTCGGAGACACAAGTGACAGCAAAACCTACCGTTCAGCACTGTCCTGTAATATAGATCCCTATTAGGTCCCCTTACTAAGGTTTTTGCCCAATCGTAGGCCTAGGAGTCATATGATCAATACACTTTATTTTCATATCCGTCTAGTAACCAGTGATATCCAAGACTAAACAAGCGTCAGGCCTCTGTATCGAAAAACGACATCTGCCTGTCTCTAACTCACCACGGTGCTGGGCACTGTCGGTTTTTGTACTGCGAAATCACTCGTGGATAAGAGCATGAAGATAGGAATGCAAGTCGTCGATAGCTTCGATCGCCTGCCTATCGTGAGGTCGTTCAAGTGGCGGAAGCGCTTTATATCCCAGAACTTCAGGTAGATGATGATATTGCCGGTCGGGGGGAAAAATTTTTTTTTTTGGCGGGTTGGATTCGTTGGCGTCTATACTGGCAAGGCATCTCACAGCCTACGCCGGCCTAGTCGGGCTGATTGTAGTAGTAGCCTGTCTTATATTAGCAAATTATCTTGTATTGAGATAATCAATTAATGGAAAGGAACTTCACTTTTGCATCTCACTTTGCTTCTTCTGAGGGTGCATCAGCGAGGGTTGAGGTGCAAGAAAAGAGAAAGGAAGCGGACAGGAGGTGATTGTAATGATTGGATCCACCACCTTGGTGGCAAAAGGTCGACCCTAGTTAATAAAATGGAAAGCTGAAGGCAAGTGGCTGAGAGAATGACGGATTCCATTTTGAAGGATAGTTAGTAACATTTCTTTAGCGCTTCAATTCGGCTCATTACAGCAAAAACTAAATGGGGGGGTTCAGTTAGAAAGTCACTGTAATAGAGCATTAGTCTCCACTAGGGTGGTGGGGCTGGAATGTCCTCAGAGTTTCCCCTTACTTAGTAGCGGTAGAGTCGGAAGGGACGGCGGTTCTTGCAGTCTCAACGAGGACCAAGCGAGAATTTGGTGCTGCATGGGTAAAATACAGACACCACGTCGCATCCTCTCTTCTTGGCCATTGAAGGCGCTGTCATATTCATTCTATGCCATAAAAGTCGCTACAACCTTCGCCGATAGAACGCTTATATTGATGCGATGAGATCCCCATATTACCAACGGAGGTATGCATACGCCAAACGGAAGCCCCAAATATCGTACCTTGTCACAAATGCGCACCACAGGAAAGGATTCGCACTATTGATGACTTCATGTGAAAGACACCATGAGTGCACTCCTTGGGTGGATTGTTCTTTTTGACACCTAATATGGAACATAACAGTATTATTTCAACACAGAAATGTGCATCATGTTCGAACTAGGTAGCAGGCACCGGAAAATTGGCGTCGAAACTAGGAGTATGTAAGTATAGCAGCCCTCGCTAGCATTCTAGTGCCTGGTGAATGTTCGCTTTGTGCATCACCAATCATGGCTATGGTGCTTAGATTGCCAAGTGTCTCTTTAGGAAACCAGTTTTATGTTCTGAGCGTGCGTGTGCGCTCGAGACTCACGCCTGCATCATACCAGCAATGATTGTGATTATGTGAAACGCATGCTCGGACATATTGGACATACTCGGACGCCGCCATTCCTACCAAAAATCCCCCAAATATTACTCGCTATTTTCCCTTATTTGTTTCTAAGATCACAATTATCAATATAAGGGAATTTTACGCTTATTTATACAATCTGACACTGCAAAAATGGCTAGTGAGGATAATGCACGCCTTGCCGACAAACCAATAAGACTCTCATGATAATGACGTTGAGAAGAGAGCGATAATTCATGACCCAACCACGAAGTCGCTAATGATTATACTCGGAAATCCCAGCACACAGAAAAGATTTTGGGGTATATCGCTGGTATCGAAATGACTTATTGTATTACGAAAAAGCTCTTGTACTACGAATACTAACCGCTAATGGACTAATATCCGATTTACCTCAAGAGAACTTGAAGAGAGCCTTATATCCTACTCCAAACCCTTTTGTCGAATCAAAATCCGCTAAACGGGCTAATAACCTCGAACTACGCTTCGTCTCCTCTGTTGCACGACTCGATGGAACCCTCATTGAAGAGTCCCAGAGACATTTTTCTAGAGGCGACTACGTCCACCTAGAGGACCCTAAATTGGGAATTGCAACGCAAGGCTTAGACACCGAACTAGCTGAACTTCTCTTCTTGTGCTCCAAGGTTGAATTATTCTTCTTTGAACATTCAGCATTGGGCTTCGATACCTATCTGGTCAGAATCTTGGATATGCTTAGAACGTCCGTTCTTTTCATAAATTTTCAAATCTGACAGGACCAAATTTCGATTCGGCCCCTCCCAGAAACGGGCTCCCAAACCATGTTGTTCCTCGGCCTCGTTTATCCCCACATTGCGAGACTACATAACCTCAACTTTAGTTCTCAAAGGGTCATCTGGATATGCTCAACTTGCCTGCTTCTCCAAGAAAGTCACTCGAGAATCAAATTGTGGCAAAGTTCGCGCGAAAAGGAATTTGAGAGACCTACCCAAAGCAATAACATACTGGTCATCTGTGGCCGTTCAAATATTATATTGTGGACTGGAACTTATGAGAATCTTCCAAAATAGCATCTTTAAAAATAGAACCCCTAGTCCATCCTAAGATGACATAAATAGCTTATTTGGCTTCTACCCTTGCTAATATCGCAGGGTTAGAGCTGATTGATGGTGGAGGGCATGGAGCAGTCAACTAAGTATTGAGAGACGACCTAGGTAGATTGAGGTGAGATGTAAGGTGAGGTGTAGGGTCTCTGGAGCTCGATAGAGCTCAGAGGTAAATATATAGTAGCTAAAAGAGAGCTAGCCCTAAACAGGAAACGGGTGAGAGGTGAAGGACCACATTCACCATGCGCTAGGTCACGTGAACCAGTTTCACGTGCGACAGCTAAGACTCTGTTCCGTGAATCAAATTGCTCCACACCTCCCTCGCTTCCTTTATGGCATCAAACCCCATCAGTATTCCTTGGTATTTGACATCAATGAATACGAAATTCTCGTTGGCTTCCTTCCGGACCCAGCTGGCGCTCTTTAAAATTCGATCTCTTTCCCTCTGTTCAGGGCCATCGGGCATATGATACATATGCTGGTTCGATATTGATCCTTTCACCTGGGTCGTGGTTCTTTTCTTCTGCAACCCCTCATACATCTTCAATACATCAGGAATTCCTACATTCGGTGACGGGGATGGTGAGCCCGTTATTGAGTCCTGGTATAATCCTAGTAATATCCCCAACACCGCCCCATCTTCTACCGCCATTGCCCCGCCTTGCGCCTGGTATGGCAAACTTGGATGACACGCATCGCCCAATAATGCTACGTTTCCCTTCGTCCACGACTCTAGCTCTTCATGATGGCACAATTTCCACTTGGTCACTGTTTCTATCTTTGAGATTATCTTGTTGATAGTACTGTCCCATCCTTTGAAGATTTCTCGGATTTGCTGGACATCACCTGGCTGGGTCCGCACATTTGCTGGAAGGTCGTCGGGAGTGATGAGAACGAGGTTAAATTCTTGCCCATTCCGGAGAGGGTAAAACACTGCATGGCTAGATCCGCCGAGCCACAGAGTGCAGACCGGCTGTTCAATGAGATGATTGATAGAGGGGTCGTTGAGGGATGTGAGAGCTTCTCGGGAGAAGGTGCCACGGTACGCGAGGTCGCCTGTCTCTAAGGGTGGGGAGGGGTGCGTGAGGAGTTGTTCACGGATTGTGGACCAAAGGCCTCGAAGTGCTCAGCGAGGAGAAGAAGACGGAAGCCGGCAGCCATCCTTCAACTTACCGTCTGCACCGATAACAACGTCTCCCGAAACTACATCTCCATCTTCCAATGTAACCGCAGCCTTCTCAAAATCTACACTACCTACATGGGCCCCGAGGCGGATCCTAACCCCTAAACGTTTCGCTTCATCAATAATAACACGCTGATAATCTGCTCGGTGGATCGCGCTCAGTCAATTAGCCTCATTTTCCAAGTGTGGCTACGGGAATTCTCACATCCAAGGACTTCCAGTATTCAGCGGACTGTCCCGACTCACACTACGATCACATAGCAAGTCCCCATTTTCCCACCGGCGAAGCTGTATACCATCCATGATGACCGCGTGCTTCAGAAGCTCGTCTAATACTCCATAGTGCCGCCATACTCGCGTCGCGTTTGAGGGGGTTTGGATTCCGGCTCCGACCTAGATCTTTCAGTGAAGAAAACACGTGGGAGGTAGCTTTACAGCTAAGATTTCAGTCACTCTTTCAAGAATAAGAACATCGATGTTGGAATGGCGACATGCGACTGCACAAGCCAGCCCACCTATCCCAGCGCCGACAATGATAACTTTTAAAGGTCGGCGCGACATCCTTGAGTGGGCTGCTAATTCGCGGCAAAAGGCTTGAAATATAAGCTCCTCCAGCTCCCAGTAATCCGTTCCATTTGTCATCCTATCATCCACGCCCTATTCCAAACAGCCGCATGATTGGTTACGCCCAGCTTGAAGAGGAATCTACTGCCGAAGGATTCCGCGTTGTCACAAATCATTGCATGGTTTTCTACGGACCCGATGCCCGCTGGATCATCTGCGACTTGTATGTGGTTGGAGCTAGCATGCTGACAACGGGAGTGGAAGCTCGTCTAATTAACAGTGAGGGGACATGAGAATGCACCTTTTGATTGGCTGGTGCGTTCGCCTCGGCCGAGGTGATGAAAGCACGAAACGGAGGACGACAAGGGAAAGAGACTAGATCAGGATGTTACTTCGCGAATTCCGAGTAAGAGACCAATGATAACGAGATGAAAACTACGTATTCTAGGGCCCAATAAACCTCCATTTACGGTCCAAAATCTAAATCCCTTCTCTCAAGTCCTTTTCTTCGCTTCCTTCCAGATTCCCCAGAAGGTAACCCCATGCCCCTCCTAAAGTTCCGCCCCACCTGCAACCCTTGGTGTCCCTCTCTGTTGTGATGAGTCATCCGCAATTGCATCCTTGCAACAACGTCACTCATAAACTAATCTTAGTCTTTGCCTGCTTAAAGCAGAGCCAAGTAGGCCTCAGTGTCAATCTGCTCGAGCTGAGATATCTCGTCCTTGAAAACTCCTGCTGATGGACTTTTGTCTCCAGCAAAGGAAATAGACCTACTAGATTGTTAGTTGAACTGTGCATATTAGGTCCAAAGTTGCAGCAAGGCGAACAAGCCAGAACTATTGGGTGGCAATGATGAAGAGAGATTTAAGACGAATGCCACTGGAGAAGAGTCCGTCAAGCTCCGCCATACTAGGAGAATGAGAGGAAGAATGTAGCAAGCAGCGTTTGGGCAAAATACTGTGCTTTCAATTTGGCTGTGTTCTAGTTAGAAACAAGCCGAGTTTCAATATATCTGGCAATCGAGAGCCTGCAAGTAGTAGACAACCCGCTGTAGATTGCTATAGACTGCTGTTAGAAGTCATGGGACGCTATTCATGGTTAATTCATAAAGCGAAATGCTAGCTGGCATATCTTCCCGTCATTTACTTCAAGAGGCTGTGCCATCCATGGAAGTTTAGTCATCTGTCATCGTAGGGATGCTGAGAAAGTCATCAAGAAGAGACTTATTCAAGAGTACTTTGAAGTCTCCATTTGATTTGAGGTAATGAAAGGATGTCTGATGAAGAATATAAGACATCATGATTCACGGTAGTTATAAAATCAACCTGTATTTAGGATGAAATTTGCCAATAACCTCAATTCAGGAGCGGACAACAGGAAATGTGCAGTAATATAAGAATACCAAGACCAACTAGGGTGGAATAACGGAGAAGAGAAATATGTAACTACCCTATTACCTGAAAGGTACTCTCGAGGGTAGGTCAGGATAAGAAACGGGGTAGAGTTTGATAGAGCCGAGCGCCTTAAGGACAGTAGTACTACACCAAGTGGACTTCCAGTCCATTTAACCACGCAAAAAGAGTAGAATAGCAGTGTTGGTAACGCATTTAAGGCGATCCAAGCAACAGGAAATCGCCAAGGAGGTATTGAAACCCAAGTTGCAAAGTTGACTATTACTATTCGGGATATAAATGTTGCTAATATCGTTAGTTGAGGTGAACTCAGTGTGTCCAACCGTTAGTTACGGAGCCTTTTGGAGGTTGTATAGTACAGTTACGGAAGAGTCAGCTGTTACTAACTAACTGTACGGAGAAGATAACGTCGGTGTATGGTTTAGATACAGTAACTAAAGTATTATGAAGTAATTGTGCTAAAGCTAAAGACTATACCTAATTAGGAAGTTGTGATACCCCTTGTGAGATCTATAGTTGTTAATCTTACTAGTAACAGCAATGTTATGTAACTAATTCTTCTACAGTTAAGGAGCCTCTATTATTAACACTAATAGTTAATTCCTCCTTATTATAATAGTCTTCTTAGCCTGTAAGAAGCACTGCTCGCACTCACATAAGGTTCCTAGGATTAATAGGAAATTAAAGGCAATGTTAATCTTAAAGGCGATTCTAACGTTATAGCGGGCATTATTTAGGTGCTCCTTAGCCTGGGTATCTTGCATATGCTTTAAGGGAGTTGCTTTACGCGAGGACGGCCTAGATGGGCCAGGTGAGGCCATGCGGGCCTTCTCTAAGCGTCGGGATGAGGCAGCATGATATATCTGGGTGGCAGAACGGCTGGATGAGGCATGTGAGGATGAGGCCCGCGAGGATGGGGCCTGCGAGGTGGTAACACGCTGAGATGACCGCGTCATTGATTGGGATAGGAATTAGGACATCATAATGGGCAAAAGAATAAGGTAGATGGCATAGTTGCTGAATTTGTTAGAAGATTGCTAACAAAACAGGCACTAACAGCATTCTCCGCATTAATCTCTGAACACGAGCCCCCTGGCCCTCAGCAACCTGCCTTTAACTGCCTAAAACCACTAAAAATCCTATATAACTACTGTAAACGGTTAGTACAGCAGCCTCATGTATAGTACAGTATACTGAGTAGATGCCCTGTACGTACGTACGTGACCAAAATCGCTGTACTGCAGTACTGTACTATTAGGTGTACTAACGGTTGGACACACTGGGTGAACTCAATTTAATATTGGAGCCAAACTGACGGTATTGAGCGATAGTATCAAGTCTGAAAGGCGAGAGAGAGTGCTAAGGTGAAAGAAAAGTAAACGCAGAGGGGCTAGTCCGAATATGTGACTGGTCTAGCGTATGCATGCAGAATCACCTGCAACAATAAAGGAGGTTCCCGCCAACTTGAGGAACTTCATAAGCAGAGAAGTCCCTAATGCAGGGTCCAAGAGTTAGAGATTTAGCTACTATTAGTATTTGCCTACCATCTCTTCTCTGCCTTAATGCGTTTTGGCATTTTAAACCTTATCGAAGAGAGTTGGCGTACCCAACAACATGTCGTATATCCCAAATATCTAAATTAACAAAACTACAGTATGTACATATTTACAAAGATCCAAGGAAAGAAAGTATCTAATAGCAGATACTTCATCAAGTCCCCATATTAAGCCGTAGCTGATGTGAGGAATGGAGTTTCGTCCCACTCACAGACTGTATTTGGAGGCGGAAGGGTCGCATCGGCCATGTACGCCATCGTGTATTTGTCAAGGCATTTAGAGCAAAGACCAGAAGTAGTATGCTAAAGCGCACATAGTCAGCGTCATTTCACATGCGTAGGTTGATAGGAGCCACTGACACCGACCGCATCAACTGTTATAACCTCAGATCCAGCGAATAGCGAAGACATCTTCTTTGCGCTCGAAAGGGGGGTGATAGGATCCAATTTGTTTCCGATGAAGAGGATCGGGTTGCTGGTTTTGTTTGCTGACGGTATGCCTTTAATGAAATTTAGCATATGCCGGATATTTTCGAAGGAAGTGCGTCGTTACCTTTAAATAGTTGACTCTCTGGAGGGTAGATATTAACCGACCGACAAGCGGGGCCGACAATCGATCCAATGATCGGTCCGCCGTAATAACTCTGATTGAATAGGTATTCAATGTGCTCCTCGTACGTTTCAAAGGTGGATGTGTTGAATCGGCCGGCATTGTCAATGCACGCAATAAGTGTTCTCGAATCTTGGAAGTTTTCCGTGGGCGGGACGAGAATTTGAGCTTTCATTGTTGATATGGCCGCCAATGTTGCATTTCCCTTTTCTAATCCAGTCAATACCAAATCCCAGCCCGGGAATCCTGAGATCGGTGAATAGCTGATGGAGAAGGCGATTGCGATGACATCTTGCCAAGTTACAATGACTGGAGCAACACCAGTTGCAGGATCGGCAAAAACAATTGGGGATTTCTTCAGAGATTCTAAGGTCGCAATCGCACGCTTTTCCAGTTCTTCCGGAGAGGTCGCGTTTTGGTGGAATAAGCAGAGTTCGGGTCCAGCTTCGTAACAGTATTTGTAGAATGTCTTCATGTCTTCATCTGTTGTTTCAAGTGCTGTCCTCCAGCCATTATAATAATAGTCTTCGGAGTCGACGACGCCGTCGATGACTAATCTTCCAATGCGGTTGGGAAATAGTGCAGCATATGTAGCGCCGAGAACGCTTCCGTAACTCATACCATAGTACCAGAGCTTTGCTTCTTCGGGTGGGTGTCCAAGCTCCTTCGCGCGCAGCTCAATGTAGTGAAGCATGTCATTGGCAACAGCCACTGTTCCAGCATATTGAGCAGTTCCATTAATGGCGAGTACTTCGGTACACCACTTGCCAAATGCAGCCGATCTCTGAAAAGATTTCGCTAATGAAGACTCAGTGCTATCGTCGACAGCCGTGAACATTTCTGCGTCAAAGATGTTTCGGGCTATCGGAAACCCAGGAAAGCAATCTAGACTAGGGCCACTTCTGCTCACACCCCTGGGATCGAAACCGACGTAATTGTACTGCGGACCGAATTTGGTTTCGAGGACCTCGAGGTTTGCCATAATATAACCTACCCCAGAGCCACCGGGTCCGCCTGAACAATGCTGTTAGCTCCGCTGCTTCTAAGGAGGGATCCAGAGGACCTACCTGGGTTGACTAGGATATCCTCAGCAGAAGAGTTTTGGGACCACTTTTTTATGAAAGCGATGTTCGTTGTTCCAATTGAGGAGTTTGCGTAGTCGAGGGGAACCTACATCCGTCAGCACGCTATCATAGTTTTTGAGGTAGATTTGAGTAACCTCTAGGTATGCGCATGTGAAGTTGTCGTAACAAGGAGCCCAATTTAGTTCAGGGGATGGGGTGAGCTGGACACGCATTGTCAGCATTCGCGTAAGGAATGAAGACCTTGTGCGAAGTAATTACATCGGTAAACTCATATACCATCGTTCCATTGTTTCTTGGTTTCAAGGGGCTTGCAGAAGCGATGGAAAGTACGCCCGCTGCCGCGGTACAAAACATTGGCGTCCTCATCGCAAGTACAAAGTGAATGAGAAAGGAGGGGAGAGTAGTAGGGGGTGCTGAGGTGTCAAGTTTGAGCGACGATGCTAGAACGTGGGAGAGAAGGCGGAAGTGAACCGCCTTAAATATATAAAAGATTCATCTCCGTTTCGCAGTAGCTTGAGTTCTATGATGCCGTCCCACAAATATGGATATTGTACCTGCATCGCCACATTCGACGGAATCCTCGTATTAAGAACTAGATTCGAGCCAGTAGGCGTCAAACAATGTGAGATGTGTATTTCAGCCGAAACAACCGTGTTGGGAGAAGCTCGTTCAACCCTGAATTTGCCAGCTGTTCCGTAGACCGAGCGACGCCGATCCATCTGGGGCTGTGGTAGTCATCCCTGTGAACATCCTCCATCGGCAGGCTGAACCGTGAAAGCATTTTGCTAGCAGCGTCCACACGACAGAGTCTTGAACTTGATTTAATCATCGAAATCGACGTATCCACCAAAGTACGCTTGGTATATATGGTGCACTCGACCATGAAGCGATAAGACCTCCTCTGTAAATTAAATTTGCGTTTTGTGCTTCTACAATTCATGTCAGTAAACAATCTTCCAAGCTAACACCAAAAGAGAAAGAGACATGGCCAAGACTTCGTGGCTGAGTTAGCCCCGATGGACCTCAGCCCTCCGTGGCACGGCTTCGAGGCGGCGCGGGGATGCCTAAAATTTACCGAAGTGGGAATGACGCGAGGCTGAAAAATGCCAGAAGATCCTCGCTACCATGTCAGGCACGTCCGACTCGTTCCAGGATCTCTGCGTCTAATTGAAGGACCGTTCCGTTACTCAGTACCTTCATTGGCCGCCAACCCCGCTCACTAGATTCTTTAGTCGTGGAAAGTCGAATTAATTCGGTCAGCTTTCGTGCCCTATGACCCGTCTCTAGTTTTCAATGTAGGAATCCTCTTAAGGCCCAACCACGGTTTACCATCGCTTTAATCTGTCTGGGGAAGGTTTTTTCTTCGCAAATTGTGTCTGTTTCGCGGAAGACGTAGCTAGGAGACACCGAAGAGGTTAGGGAAGTAGCAAATACCGAGGCCAATGACGCCATCGGCAACGACGCTAGCCCGAACACTAGGAAGCAATTTATACATGTTGTGAGCCTTGTGGTGGTGCAGCGGGAGAGAGTTGTATTGATGTGGAGCCTCTACGGCGACCATATTACGGAGAGAGATATAAGCGCTAGTAGATAGCTGCTTTGTCCAGTTTCACATTTCCTATTTTAAAATAAAATTTGGTGTGCAGCTAGAATTGGGATCGGGCTTGGCCAAGCTACATATCCCCCACCACAACGAGACTTGCAGTTCTTCGGGCACGGGCAATTTGCAGGTAAGCAAATAGGGGCAGCACCCGTGCCAAGCTCTACCTAATAAGGAATATATCTTGCAAAAATCTCGCGCTGTCTCACTGTTCCCTCCGCTACTCCAGCTTCATGGATATCCCACCACGATGACGAAAACGCTTGGGCCACTAGAGTTCGGCAGGTGAGTGTCATTATTCTGTGCTGGTGCCTTTGCACTCTGTTCATCTGGCGTATTTACAAAGAGCCTAAATCTGACGTAATAAGTTGATGCTGCTCAAACGAGGTGTTTCTTTCTCACATAAAATTGAAATTCTGAATGAAGGAAGGATAGATTTGTCAAGACTGGGAACTTCGAACATGCAGGTAGCATGGCTAAATCGTCCGCTCTAGTAGCAAGAACCAATGATAACGAACTAGCAAAAGCGCCATGAAGGACTCCTGTGAATTTTTAGGGGTTAAATACATGATCCGTAGGGAAATCACGAAAACTGAAGCCTACGTTGTCGGCTGCGGCTTGCGAAGAGATTACGTGAAGGAATATGCCTGGTTCTGGATGCCATTTGCTCAGGACAAGGCTGGCGAACTTTTTCGTTTTCAATGTCATCTATGGTAGGTACATGCTATTTAGCTTAGGGCTATGTCAGTCTACGAAAATTAATCGTCTGAGGGCATGATGGAACAGCTCTCTGGCGAAGAGTTAGAATGACGCTCTAGCCTCGTAATGGCATACCCCACATAGCGAGCCTCTGTTCGGTGCATCACGTGCGTTCTGTCCTGTACCCCAATCTCCATGCAGTATAAGCTCGGCGGGTGCTCCCAGCAGTATAATTCCAGGTAAAGGAACCCGGCTTAACCATTGAGAGACGTTTATCTGGACAGTTCTTGTGTCAGTTTCGGGACTGGGCTTGGCGTGGCGGAAAAGTTCCCACTGCACGGACATTTTAATCGTCGTGGGGCTCATCTCGAGAGCCACACCTGCTTGCACTCTCTTTCACCCTCTCAATCTCACCACACCTTAGCATATTATTTCGCGTCTTCTATTCCGCTCTCTACATATATTTGCCTCCCAAAATAGGTCGCAAACACAAAGCTCACCGCCAGCAGCTGCAGCAAGGTAAGCGTTGGTGCAAGGGCGAGAAAGGTGAAGGAAAGCGAAAAGGCAAGGGAGGAAGGGGCAAGATGGGACAAGACCAGTCCATTCCTCTAGTGGATGAGAACACCCCGACACAGACGCTCGAAAACCGGTCTGTGGAGGCTGTTGCTAAATACATCAAGGATGGACGCGCTCGACGGATTGTCGTCATGGTAAGCTCTACATGCCGGGTAAGGTAGCACACTCATATTGACTTTGGATAGACTGGCGCGGGAATCAGTACTTCAGCAGGAATTCCTGATTTTCGGTCTCCAGAAACCGGTCTTTACGCCAATCTCGCGCGCCTAAACCTCCCGTATGCAGAAGCGGTCTTCAATATCAGCTACTTCCGAAGCAACCCCCTCCCGTTTTACACACTCGCACAGGAGCTGTACCCCGGGAATTACAGGCCTACAATTACTCACTCGTTCATCAACCTGCTACACCAGAAGGGGTTGCTGCTGAAGTTGTTCACGCAGAACATTGACTGCCTAGAGCGGGAAGCAGGGCTGCCCGACGACATGATTGTGGAGGCACACGGTAGTTTTGCCAAGTAAATCACCAAGGCCTCACCCTTAAAGCAAGTACTGACTCCATCCCAGACAAAGCTGCATCGAATGCAAGACCCCCTACCCCGAAGAACTCATGAAGAAAGCCATCCGCGAAAAGAGTGTACCCCGCTGCCTGTCTGACTCATGCGACGGCCTCGTGAAACCCGAAATCGTCTTCTTTGGCGAATCCCTTCCTGAAGAGTTCTTCATGAACAGGCATTTACCCAGTCAGGCGGACCTCTGCATTATAATGGGGACGAGTCTGAGCGTCCATCCTTTCGCGGGGCTGCCGCAATTGTGCGCGGATGAGACCCCCAGAGTCCTGATAAACCAGGATCAGGTTGGCGAGGTAGGATCAAGGACAGATGACGTACTCTTGTTAGGAGACTGCGATGATGGTGTCAAGAGGCTTGCAGAAGCTTGTGGGTGGCTTGAAGAGCTTGAAGAGATGTGGAGAAGGACCGCCCCAGAGAAGGCAAAAGAGGAGGAGAAGCCAAAGAAGACCCGAGATGAAGAATTGGAGGATGAGGTCGAGAAGCTTACGAGGGAGGTCGAGCAGAGCCTGAAGCTGGGCGAGGCACAATACAAGTGGTTGGAGAATCACGTCGACAACAAGCTCTCCCGGTTACAGGAGGAGGAGAAGAACGGAACGCTACCGGAATCCGCGACCACCGAACCGGGGAAGAAGGGAGAGCAGGGAGCACCTAGTATTACACTGAAGCCAGAAACTGCTCCAAATGAGTCCAACGGCGATGTGTTGAAGCTCTCGTCCCTACTTCTAGAGAAGAAGTCGTCACCTTGAGTACCAGTCGAATTCTCTTGCAAGGGCTTGTATCTGGCGTTGTGTCTAATCTTGGAGAGACTCATGGGCATATTCAGTGAAGGTTGATACGATACCCCGTAGTGACGCTTCGTGAATTTATCTCCTATTGCCTTTCCATATTCTCTGTCGTTCTTAGGATAGCTTTGCTTAATTTCTTCTGCTTGCCAGGTAAACCTCCCAACCTTCGTTGTAGCCTAGGGGATAATTATATATACCTGGATCTTACGGTGCTCATCATCAACCTAGACCCTCCCCTCCCTTGGTTGCCTGCATCTTTTTCTACGGCTGAGGCATCCAAGCCGAACATTTCTTTTCTCCTTGCGGCTTTTTTCAACTCTACGTTTCTATTTCTATAAAATTCTACGGAGACTTCTTCCCTTAATTCATTCCTTTGTCTTTGATCAGTCCCTTTCGTATCAACAGCGATTATGTCAAGCCATTCAAAGATGATCCTTCTAAACTCCTTTAGATGCTTAGCCTCTGTCTTGGAATTTATTCACTCGAACAACATGAAGCCCGAAGGCATCACATTTCGCAGCATTTCCATTTGCAAAGATTCAGTCCCATTCATAGCATTTAGTATTACTAGCGATTTCTCGAACAAGACGAATAGCCTTAGCAACGGCCCGATGGCTTACACTACAATTGTATGTCATCTCACCAGATCCAGAGGGAAGACCCATGAACCGTTTCTGCGATATCGATTTGTTCGGTTGTATCTTCATCGAGATCCTAACTATGCTGGGGATGAAGTCTGTCATCGAGTGCATTGAATGTTGGACGGATCGTAGGATCGAATCCTTCGTGCAGAATCTCGATAGTGGCCATGCTTGGCTTGACTAGATCAAGCCTACGTTTTAACCTCGACGCCGGGCATTTCTAGACTTTGTCCGGAGGATGATAAGAGTGGATCCCTCGGCCAGATCAACCGCAAATTCAATATGACAAGTTGCCGCTCCTTCGTCAAGGGATGGTGCGGGCTTCATCTACGGTCCATTTGCAATGCCGCTGTTGCAGAACAGCCTCCACCAGATCCATCTGGCCTCATAGCTTCCTAAAACGACGCGCTCCGTGCTACGGCGGAGCCATTATAAGATGGTCAGTAAGCCCACAGTTTACCGCGCCATCGTTGGGGACAGTAGTTGATATATATCTATAGGGAGCATTCCAAACCCTCCCCAAATGCCTTTTCAAACGCCTCTTTGCCCACCTGATTGCCAAATTGGCCACCAAACACCAATATAAGAGGGTTTGCCTACTGTAGACTTGTTCCTAATTTTCCAGGCAACGATTTGGTCTTTTCATTCGATACCTTCAATTTTTGTCACCGCAGAGTTTGGCCATCAGCACCAATACAAGAGGTTTTACCTACTGTAAGCTTCACCATAGACATCCGAATTAACGAGTTGGTTTCTCATTTCAACTCCTCATATGTTCTAGAGAACGAACCAATGCATGCACATTCAACGTCTGAAACCTTCGCGAGACATCCGGTTTCAAAGCCCAGAGGGAGAAAACTCGGAACTCATCCGCATTCAGCGACTGAGATGACCTGATACGAAAAGTAGCTGCATGCTAGCATTGTGTGCTGCAGCGAGATCGCGTATAACACACCTGAATTCTATTATATCATCTAGTGGCTAAGAAATTATACGGTGTAGCGCCGGTGATGTCAGTGAACAACACATGGAACGCTCTTGGTGGCCATGTCAGCCTTGCGTAGGGTTTCATTTTGAAGGATTTAGCTCTTCGCTTTATCCCTGGTATGCTTCTAATCTAATAATCGAAAAGAAGTCAACTTTCAATTGCTGGTACTCTTTAGAAATCTCTGATCGGAGCGCTACCTTCTCCAAGTACAGCGAACGTGGATGCAAAGAATCGACACTCGGCGCGCGGGGGGGGAACCCACGTTCTCACTTTAAATTTGGATTTCTTGTCACCATTAATTGAAGAGAATATTACGGGGGCGTTCTGGTCAATAATTCTCAAAAATCTCCACACGAAACAACACCAAATTAGTCCGAGAGATTGTTCTGGGCGGAGACTTGCCTCCAGGGCTTCCAAAGGGCCGTACTACGGTCCTTACAAAGTGAACCGTAACGGTCAAGTGTTCAGTACGAACGTACCCAGTTCGTGAGCCGCACCGTACGTTTAATAATGCCCTAGGTACAGTACAGATTGTATTACCCTCTTAGGAAGTTTGTATAGGGATTCTAAACAATTAGGATGGCTAGCAAGTAGTAGGCCTATAAGGAGCGTTTAAAGAGGTTTCTAGAGTTCTAATTAATTAAAAGTTTTAACTAGACGCTTAAACTTTTTCTAAGTGTTTTAATTTACCCTATCTACTATCTATTATCTTAATAATGCCTAATACTAACTATTTTCTATTATAGAGTTATTTATCTGCGCTTCTCACTACCTTTTAGGCCTTATCTAGTTAATTAGCTACTAGCCTTGTAGGCTGTAGTAGTAGGTAGCTATAACTATATTGTTTAATACTTACTACAGGAGTATAAGGTTAACGTTAATAGAGAGCTCTTACCTACTAGTGTACAGCTACTGTAGCACCTATAGGAGGCATCTAAAGGAGAATTAGTTATCTTATAGTTAATTAGACTTTAGTTTTACTCCTTTAAAAACCTATAATCTTAGCTGTTTTAACTAGAGTACAGCGCAATTTAACTAAATTATACTACTTACACAGATTGTGTGAGCTGTAACAGTTATAATACGTACACCTACCTCTTATCCACCCTGTCGCACGAACGTACACAAAATCTCACTCGTACACGCCTCAAAATTGCCCAATCGTACAGTACTACGACTCGTTGGAAGCCCTACTTGCCGCAGGACAATGCATCTTCAAAATATTTCTAGTACATCTCGTATGCGATATACAGAGGAACCATGGACATTCCATCGGCCTCCTATCCCGGGAAGAGCGAGGCGAGCGTTTTCTGTAAGAACATCCTTTCATATCTCCTTACATATGGTGAAGATATGGTTGGTAACCTGAGCAAAAGCAACATTAAGCAGTCTGGTGGCGGTACGCAGACAAAAGAAAGACTTGTCAAGATGTTTAAGCTTCTCTTGATCAATCACCATTTTCCTCACTCCCCTAACCTCATTCAGAGTATTCCAAAATTAGACGGTGCTTCTCGGACGGATCATGTCCCAGGAGCAGAAATCAGTGACCTAGAATTGCTCTCCGAGCAAGCCAAGCACACCTCGCAGTACTTCAAAAAGACCAAGTGGGTATATTGCCACTACATTGCTATGAACTGTTTCGCTCGTCTACTTCACTCCAAATCTCCATGGAATTCGCGGTACTCTCAACCTTCATTGGGCTGGCCATGATACTAGGGCGAATTTAGGAAGCCTCTCATCATGCTCATGCCTATGATGGATCCTTTCTCAACCAGGAAATCCTCCAGGGTTACTGCTTCAACATAACGAAGGCTACAGCTACTTCATATCAATATGCAAATTGAAATATCGGGACTGTCCCTTGCACACTTGAAAGATCACCTAGTTGAGGACCATAGCCTCGCTAACCATGCACTTGTATTCAAACTACAAACCCTCATATTAGGCCACAGTATATATAAATTCTTGTTACAGCCTGGACTGGGCTAGTTGCGAGGAAGTTCCTTTTCTGAGAACCCACTCAAAAGTGGCATTACCGACTACCGACCCTGAACTTTACTCTACTCGCCTCCTTTCTGGATTTTTCCTTTGGGTTGGCGAAATTCTGGAGAAAAGATAAGACCCTGCTGATCCGAGGAACCATTTGCATGATAGCAGCTAACGATACAAGTCTGCAGCTATGAATTAAAGAATTTTTAAGCCATGAAATCGCAAATTCTCAATAGATATTCATACCCTCCGTAATCCACGGACCACACAAAGTATCCCTTTACTACCCCGACAAGCTTGCATGCCCCCATCTCCCTTCCCAGATACTTCTCCTCAGCGTCTCATTTGTAATATGGCACTTCAGCGCCCCGCAAGCGGTCATAGTATGCACTGCCCTGATCTTCCCTCCTTCTACCCTAAACATGTGGCTGTCTGGTAGCCCCGCGAAGTCCATCGACACCTGTACCGTGCCATACTCCTCATCGATCACATACGCTCTGTCCCGAAGATGTTGTGGATGCGCGGCATCAGGAATACCAAGGACGCATGTATTTGCACCAAGCATCGTGCTGTTCGCGCAAGTACTTGCACCTCCTTCCACACGACAGCACGGAGTTCCGAACGGAACCACGACAGAATGATTGCTGAAGATATCTGCGTATGCATCTGCAGCCGCCTTCAAAGTCGCTCTCGTATCGCGCTTCGGTTCCGGGATAATTGTCCAAGGCTTCTCGCGTTGGAAATAGATCAATGTTTGACTTGCATTAAACAGCCAATCCCCCGTCGTCGTAACAAGTGCATCCATCGCCTGAATTTCTTCGCCCTTCTCGTCATCAAACTTCATCGTCATTCCAAGCACATATGGTTGCCGGCTTTTCAAGTCCGTGCCCACGAGTTCCACGAAAGATTTACAAGACGTAGGATCGTATATGGTGTGGTTCCAATCGAGGATGAGGCTATGACTGATGATGCCCCAAAGAAAGTCGGTCTTGTTCCGGTTTTCAGTGTAAGGGACCGAATCAATGACAGAAAGCGTGTCAATCTGGCCTTGCTGCTGGGCTAATATGTAGTATTCAGTGCCGTATGTCATAGATTCTCGCGTGCATTTTGCAGTGGCAGAGCCGCCGCGAGGTAACGAAAGCGAGAAGGCCAATCCAAGCGTGAACGTTTTGACACAGCATACCGAAGATCGAACTTTCCGACACTAAGTGAGGATTATCCTGAGAAATGGGCTGGCAGCAGAAATGATGGAATCTATCGCATCCTGTTGGAGTTGAGATGGGCGTCTGCCAGATATTGCCGGAAGCCCCACCACCCATATATCAATCTAGACTCTAATATAACAGCCCCACCAACATCGCATTTCTGAGATCATTGAGTGATAGCTTGGCTTTTTCACTGGAAGATACTACTATCTAATGGCGCGAGGTTGAACACTGGGGTGCGAGATTCCCGACAATTCCAATCAAGAACGAAGAGTTTCAGACTGAACGAATTAAAACTAAAGGATGAGAAGAGATCTCGGGAGATGCTTTGGATTCAAAGCATCGGTACCATTCTGAATCTTCGAAATTAAGTTTGCGGCCCTTGCACCAAGAGTTGGATCGGTAGTCTCACAGAACAGAATTGGGAATCTTGCTCAACTGTGCAGCTTCCACGTAGCTTCAAGCAGCGTTCCCCAGAAATCCGAGCAGCGACACTGATGAGAGAATAACCGGACAATTTTTTCTAAAGAACACTAGCTAATACGCGAACAGGAAGTGATCTAAATAGGATGGAGCGAGCAAGGGTTCTCATAGGTACTGCGCAGGAGTGTTGCAATTAGTAGTAGTGATGCAAATGTCTTGCGGTAATAGTACAGAAAACAGGACACTAGTAGGAACGTACTTACTAGGCTGCATGGGTGTGAATGAGATACCACAGAGAAGATTGCCTGTATCCACTATAGTAGGCATCCCTTTCCTTACAATGCAATCCTTAGGGGTTTTTGTTAGTAGTTAATCCCAAGGCACGAATAGGAGACATTATAAGAAACCTGTTTACATCAGTCTTCCTATAATTCTGGTTAAAATACAGAAGTCCTGTGGCTCACCAATACCGCAGAAGTCCTGAGCAGCCTAATTTATGTCGCGAAATAAATTGCTGATGTGTATTCCTCCCTTAGTTCCACCTTAGCATATGTTCCCTCTTCATTTACTTCTCCAGCGTTTCTTTCTCCCTATATGCGAACCATTTTACTTCTCTGTTATTGTATGCGCAGACCCTTTTTGGAGGGGGGAAGAAACCTGTGTTGACCGTTCGGGCTATGCTGACAACTAGCTCCTTTCTAATAATATCTGTTCCTCCCAGGTAGTAGCCCCAAAGAACCAGAGAGGTCAACCTTCCGGTATTCGTTGAATCATGACTCAATTTACCAAGTAGCTTTATTTCTTCTCTCTAAATGAACACGTGGGGGCAAATGTCTCATTCATCGCCAAACAAATGTTCAAATACCAAAACGAGTGCAAAGTCATGGTATGGAGTCCACAAATAGGAATAGTATCTATGATCAACAACTCATTTGATAAGCAACGATCCTGGGTTGATTAGCCCCAACCCATTGAATGCTAGCAACTGCCTCCGTATAACGAAGGTACAGATTGAGATTTTCCATCTCACTAGTTTTCCTACACAAGGAACCAATCCTATGGTAGATTAGCCGCTCCTTCTCTAGCATGGAAAAAACCATCAAATACGAATACCCCCCGACACTCGCCATTTTTAAGACATTTAGTTTTGGGCCAGGCTCATGAAAACCAGAGGATTACAAATCCCAATACTCAAAACAGGGCTTCAAACAAGGCGTAGTACTGCACGATTAGGCGATTTTAAGGCCTGTACAAGTGAGGTTTTGTGTACGTTTGTACAACAGGGAGGAGGAGAGGTAGGTGTACATATTGTAACTGTTCTAGCTCACGTGATCTGTACAAATAGTATAATTTAATTAAAGTACACTATACTTTTGTTAAAATAGCTTAGACTATAGGCCTCTAAAGACATAAAATAAGGTCTAACTAACTATAAGATAACTAATTCTCCTCTAGGTGCCTTTTATAGGTGTTGTAGTAGCTGTACGCTGTTAAGTAAGTGCTCTCTATTAACATTAACCTTATGCTCCTTTAGTAAAGGTTAGACAATATATGTCGGTTGGCTCACTCCTCTAGATGGCTACGCATCTGGTGGTGGGTCCCTTCTCTGCGTGGCTACGCACGCGGTAGGTGGTGGGCAGCTGTACGCTAAGCGTACAGCCTGTAACAAGGGTAAGCAGGCAAGAATCTTCTTATAATTAACTACTGCCCTCTCTCTTTGTACAAAGAAAGAGGGTTGTTAAGTACACATAGCCCCTAACTCAAGGCTAGATAGCTAACTGTTTCAGGCAACTTAATTCAGCTGTACGCATGTACAGACGCAGCTGTACTTACGTACGGATAATATAGCTATCTACTGCTACAGCTTACAGGACTAGCATCTAATTAACTAGATAAGGTCTATAAGGCAGTAAGGTGCGTAGATAGATAACCCTAGAATAAAAAATAGTTAGTAATAAGCATTTTTAAGACAGTAGATTGCAAATAAATAAATTAAAATACTTAAAAAAAGATTTAAGAGTCTGCTTAAACCTTTTAGTTAATTAGAACCTTAGAAACCTAGAAACCCCCTAAACGCTTTTTATAAGCCTACTACTTCCTAACCCTCCTACTTCTCCTAAATTACTATTTAAACTTTCTAAAAGGGTAATACAATTTGTACTACGTACTGTACCTAGGGTATTATTAGACGTACGGTACGGCTCACGAACTCGGTACGTTCGTACTGAACACGTGACCGTTACGGTTCACTTTGTACGGACCGTAGTACGGCCTGTTGGAAGCCCTGACTCAAAATCAGGGGAGATTTCAAATCTCAGATATGGATCTGTAAAACCAACCCGTGGACATAAATAGCCATTCCGCCCATGAATCAACAAGGCGATGGTTTCCCTTCTACCGTTATAAGGCCTGACAGGACTTCCCCAAACGGACTGCCTTGGCAGTACTTGCATGAGAAATGAAGGATATCGAAGTAAAAGAGAGTCTCTACAGGGAACCCAAGAAATCTATAATAAGTTGTACATCCGATGGGGCTCAAGACCAGCTTCGAATATTCTGAAACAATTTGGAACCATCCAGTGTCAATAACTGCTGGGGAGTGAAGAGATCAATCGTGTTTTATTTTTACGTGATCGAAGGCTATGGGGAGGTTCGAACGGATGTCCGAATTTCCATGGCGCATCATATCCACGCATTCGCAGTCTTTGTTTTCACGGTACTCCGATGCAAGCTCGTCACTAGTAAAGTGGAGTAGGCGCGGTGGAAACAAGCGTTCCTAGTAGATCCATGCCATACTAAAGAGGGGATAAATAGTTTCCATTGGAGAGATCTCCGTGAATGGAAACTAGGAAACGAATTCCTCGCATAGAGCTGGCATTTCTTGCCACCATCCCAAAGCTCAGAAATTTTATGTGACCTGTTATAGAACTCATCTTTGCGAAGATTCCTGTGTAGCAGTTTTCTGGATGTATAGCAGCAAGTGTAAGAAGTGGGTTTCCATAGATATCGGTCATCTTACTGTACTGGGTCCGCCAATCTTCTGCGTCATCTTGGACAATGCATATGCTATCGATCCAAATACACCAGATCCCAAGACTCCGTGTGAATAATATGGCTTCCTGAAATGTGCGTGGCATGATTTTCCATGAAATCGAAATCTTCTACTTACTTAAGGTTTCTTTTGTTGTAAGACACGAAGGCATTTCGCCTCCCCAACAGCGGCTTAACTTAATGTAACGCTAGGGCTGCAGATCGGAGGAAATCACTCTGAGTTAAACATCTTTCGTTTCAAAGGAAAAGTTGACATAGAAGATTCGATTTGGCAACGCTGAGCTGATGTCCCCTCTACATCTGGAATGGGTTTTAACGCATTCTTAAAACCTCCAATGCGCCCACTCCATCTCTACTTTGCCAAGCTTCAGAATACAATCTGGTGGATCAATTTCAGTTACTAGGCAAACACCTATATGTTGCCAGAGAAGAAGCATCCTGGTACATCGTAGGCTAAGGAACCACAAATCTAAATCTCATGGAAGTAGTTACCTTGACTCTGTGGCGAGATTTTCAGGCGGTCGAGGATAATCGCACAGGAAGGACAGCATTGTTCTGCATACATCCAGATATCGTCGCGAGAGGTATGAGAGTCGCAGCACAGAGGACCCATGCCCGTCAGCCCTACAAAAAAGACGCAACGCTCTGGCTAACTAAAATTAATCTGGCTTGTTCAGATGTGTTCGAGAGCTGGGGAACATGACGGTGAATCTCCAGTGAATCAGTTGTGTTGCGAAATGCCCTTAATGGGGTTGTTAAACGTAATTGGGCAAACCTACGAGAGGATATTTTAAGGATAAGTGAGCACCTCTCAGGAATTTAAAATGCATAATTATGTCTTATGTGGGCGTGTTGGTCGGAAAGTAGATATAGATGGATAGCTAACCGGATTTGACCTGCAAGGTCCTGGGCACGTGATTTGAGATACTTCACCGTTGAATATTGCTCTCATATAAATAAGGCTAGTAGAAAGGAACGGTGACTCATGATTACAAATAAAAAATTCTCTAACGTGACAATGATGGCTACGAAACAGTGGGACATATTCACGTGACATTTGAATTCACTCTACTGAGGTAGCTTACTTCTCCAGAAGGAATTTCAAGAGGAATTGGAATGATTTGTTTAAGGCGCTTCCTTTAATTTCACGAAGCGTTAGACATCATTCCCACTTTCAGCAAGGACGAGGTATCCATGTTTCCAAGAAAGCCCATGTCTTCTCCGCCCGTAAACCATACAAGGCTACATCTGCACTCTCTACATATACGAAGAATAATTTCGAGACACAATCTAGTAACTCTAGTTCTCCACGACAGAATTCCACCTGCCATTCACACTCTCCAATTTCACTCTCCTATCTTCTAAAACTCTCTCACGCACCCCATTCTCCTTCTTTCTCACCACCCTTCAAGTTGCCCGTTGCCAGTTGTAACTAGAAGTGCGGTGGTATATCGACAATTCGATTTCGAGTGTACAAGTTGTAAAATTCGTATAATTTGCGTCCAGCAAGAAGGTAGAGATGGCGAAATTTCGGAAGAGCTCTGGCACGGCGGTAACGAGGTCTTGTTGTCGATTGAAATTGAAGCCTGTGATTTGCACCAAAGGTGTACATTGAATCTGGATTTTTAGGAGTATTTTGAGGGCGTTTCCTGCAAGCGTGTATTTGTAGAGTTGGATGGAGCCCGCGAGCCAGACGAGGTGGAAGTATTGGAAGAGCCCGCGAGCAGCTACTTCGAGGCCCTAGAGGCGTTGATCTCCAGCTCTTCCCGGTATTTTTGTACTCGGCATGGAATTCATCTGGAAGTTAGAATGGTCTGGCAGATATTTTGTGTGTAGGGATGTCGTTATTGCATGTCACGGGGAGACTGTAGTAGCACTGGGTGTAGCCCCATATTATTTTCTTGTAGTTCATACGCAAGTGGTAGTCATCAGGAATCTAGTATGTCTAGCGTAGGTAACGTTAAAAGAGTTGCCAGTGCTATCCAATACAGAATTTTTCATGCTAGGTGAACCGTAAAGCTAGCACCCTTGGCTGCTATTTAGATCGTAGCGATGCTAATCGGCCGGATCGCTTCGGTCAATTTCCTGGGGAATGATGTCGTTTGTGTAGTAGCATGTCATGACCAGTGCAACGAATGTATATGAATAGGAACAATTCGTACCACAAAAGGTTCCAGAGGGCAGGAAGTTGATGCGACTAGGGACCACAGTTTCGTAGCTCCACCGATGAAAATCTAGAGTAACCATAACTTTGACGCCGAGCCCTCCAGAGAGCCAAATACTGCCAGGGGTGTTGTTGAAAGTCGGAACGTGACACTAGCTATTGGTAGTTTCTTGAGTCGATATGAGAAAATTGAGTGTACTTGGTCCAAAGACGGCAGCAAGAGGAATTTACCATTGAATTGCAGCTAGCAGCAACGCTTCGGGGTCAGTTCGAAATGCATCGAAAGAGAAGAAACTGAGAGGGTTCGACTAGACTGTGAATAGTTTATCGAGAGCTTCGATCTTGGTCTACTTGGACAGGAGAGCCTTCCAAAGGGTTTCCTAGAATGCTAAGCTAATTACAGAGGCAAGTGGACGCCTGACAAGGCATGCGGCAGCAAGTACAAGATTCTTAGCCCATACCTGAGGATACGCATCTATAGGCTTCCCCGATAGAAACATGTTGCTTAAATTATGGACTATGGCGATCGCTGAACCTCGTATCATCAAGGACACCACAGCCCCAATCCGTTTCGGAATAACCCTCGATATCAGGCCGCGAAGCTTGCAGGAGCACCTGAGGTATGAGGAACTGGAATGACTGCTAAAGAGGGTAACTACGGGTTTATATAGTACCAGTGAATCTATCACGTGACCTAAAGCTGACAGGTGAAAGTAATGTCAGGTGACTAGAGCTTTGAGAGCTCCGTAACTGCAAACACATACTCTGTCTGTGTACGGGTTGACCTCCTCAGAAGATAGATCTAGTGCTGTCATTTCCCCAAGTGTGAGAAGTACTGTAGGATTCAATGCCCTGAACGTCTACGAGAGTAAAAGCATCTCCATTCCCGTTTGAGTAGTATTATCGCCTTTGCTGAATGAAGGGACCTGATATGGATCTCGAGACACGACTCGTTCGGTAGCATTCCCTGTAGAGTGTTGTGGGGAGGTTGAAGAGGCAAAATTAAACATGTTCCTTACAAACTAAATGCAAAAGTAGAAGGATGGATGGGATTAAAGCGATAGCTCGATCCTTCTAATTCCTTTGACGAGGGTTGCTGGTCGTGAGGCAGTGTACAATATTGATATCAGGGTCCAGTCTCCACAAAAGAGGTATCTGCAGGTGCAATCTTATTACACCAAAAACCAGAACCTACTGTGGGCGGCAACCGGTAGTAGGATATGCGTGGATCGCATGGTGGCCTGTTTGAAGAGAACCAGTCGCCTACATGTCTCACTGCCGAATACCGCATATAGTTAGGCTTCGTGGACCACTCCTCATCTTCCTACGGACGAAAATGAAGGGTCACCAATGTGAGAAGAACACGGGGATTGAGGCCCGAAAGCTGTAGTTGTCTCATGTGCCAAAGTCTGGAAGGCATTGAATATTTTTGGGCATGCTTCCTAGCGTGACTCCATTGGTCAGCCTTACGACCTCGTCTACTAAACCTACATTTACCCCCACGAAAAGGAAATATTTCCTCGGGGTACACGTAACTAAGTTTAGAGAGAACTTGAATCTAGTATGCCGTAGTGTGATATTTTCATTCGCAAACCTCCCGGAAGGTAGTTGTTTCATGCTTCGAAAGATGCGCTCAAGGAAAATTTTAGCAAACCAAGGGGAAGAATTCAGGAACTCGAGCACTATTCGCTAGCCTTACTAATTCCACAAGAAAAGGTGCAGCAATCAGGGCACCCCCGCTCTTCCGTTACCCGCCAGCCATTTGCATTGGAAGAACGACGGTCATCTTTATTTTGCGCTAATAACCTTCCAAAATTATCTTATCGGCCGGATGAAATTCTCATCGTCGAGAATTTGCCGAGCGTCTGCTACTTTGGACGTTTCCTCTTCCGCTCCAGCTATCATGTCTAATGAACTAAAAGTTTCAGGCAGCGCCCCTAGTGAGAGGTCAACCAAGCCCTCAGTGGGTGGTGTGAATTGACGTAGACGGACGCCACCCTCTGCAAATATCTCAGCTGTCTTTGTATCCACCAGATATCCTTGATTATAGACGACCTCACTAATACCGACTTGGGTGATCTTGACACTGCATGTGAGGCAGGGGCAGGTATTGCAGTAGAGAATGGACCCTGCTCCAATGCGGTCTCGTCCAGCTTCTAGTAGTGCGTTTTCTTCCGCGTGGAGACACAAACAGGTTGATAACCCAACCCCAGCGCTTGATGCGTTATTGCACCGTGAACAACCGCCTTCACTGCAGTTGGTCATGCCCCGGGGTGTGCCATTGTATCCAGTACTAATGACCCTCTTTTCTCTGGCAACTACGCATCCGACGCGCCTCTTCATGCAATTACTTCTGTGCGCAGCCAAGTCTGCCAATTGCATGAAATACTGATCCCAGCTGGGCCGGAGACGAGCTTCGTTAGGAAGGTTGAGTAAGCCTAGAGCGGTCCATAAGGAAGAGATTGAATTTGTAGAATTCAGAAGCTTCAGCTGCGCCCGTTGGATGAGAGCCCCCAAACCAGTTCCCGGGGCAAAAAGGTGGTCGTCGTTGCGGAGAACGAATTGTTCTAGAGTCGGAGGTGTGAGCTGATTTGCCACACATCTGAACAAAGTCAGCATATTATACCGTTAATGGCCGCAGGCCTGTAGTGCGCATACCTTGCCTTGAATCTCTGCCATCGGACGCTCACTGGTGCGTCGACGCTAATCAAGAGGAAGAATGGGCGGCGAAGCAAAACATCAACGGATTCTTCATCCCATACATCAGTAGTCACCCAACGTTCTCGCCATCGCAAGGTTACAAATTCAAGTAGAGTGTCGATATCGGGAAAGTTGAATTCGCCTTCTGCTTTTCCGGATGGCACGTGAGCGTCTGAGGCTGATTTCTCCACAGCAGGGGTTCCAGTAGTACGGGAAAGATATATTCGTTTAAAGCCGTATTCTTCAATAAGATAGGAGGCGATAGACGACTTGCCGGCGCATATGCCTCGAGCACGTTAGCTTCTAGTAGCAATGTTGGGTGGGGAGGCTACCTCCGCAAAGACCGATGAACATGTTAACGATTGGACCAATTGGGCAAGACGACGTGTATTTCCAGGAGGACGATATTATTTCGACAGTCTCCGGTTGTTGCGAGCATGTACAGCCTTGCTTCCGAGAGACGTGAAGTAGGAGCTTGGACGCGACGACCAATTTCAGGAACGCGTCCGGGGCTTGGCGTTCTTGGCGCAATACCCCGCCTTGCTAGAACGCCCACAGTTTATCCACGGAAGGCCCCGCGCTATTCAGCTACACACTCTGCAGGCACCCGCGACCTAAGACATTCACCACCACCCCCTACTAACCACGCACACGTGCCTAGGATCTCTAATGTTTGTCCCTCTGACTCTGAGCCGCATCGCCTTGCCCGCGTCCTCATAAATACGGCACAGTACCCCCATCGCCGGCGCTCAAGCTACAATCTACAGCACCATGTCAGCCATCAAATTCGCAACCTGGGCGAGCGACGTCGAGGTCCAGTTCTATGCTGCCTTGGCGCATATCAAGATCAACCATGACAAGCTCGACGACTCGGCGCGAAAGGTCCTGGGGCTCTACGAAGTACGCCCGGGCGACCACGAGTCCCGATCCCACCGCATGCAGATTCATGGAAACGCGTTGACGACTGACGAGTTAGTACTTCTCTTCCCACACCGCTGCCGCATGTCGCACTAATCTTGTTCCTCGTTCAGTGTCCCTGCAAACTACATCCGTGCTGAGGGCATCATAAAGAACTGCAATACTATGGAGGACTACAAGAACCTGGATCGCACCGCCGTCATAGAGCGGGCTGCGCGAACAGTAGGCTCAGCAAACACTTCTATCTGTGCTCCGCTGACATCCGCAAGATATGGGAAGCCATCCATGATGGATCTATCTACGAATGTCCCTCCCTTCTCTCCTCGTTCGCCGTTATCTTCTTCGCCAATCTAAAGAAGTATAAATTCACATATCACTTCGCGTTTCCCGCCATACACTCCGACCCAGTCTGGAAACAGGCAGCAGAGCCCACAAAACTCACGACAAGGGAAACCACCTACTTGGTGGATGCTGTGCAGACTTGGCGCTATAGCTCTGATGCGCGACAAAGAGGCTTTTTCCTCGTAAAGAAAGACCGAGGCGAAGCGAGTACGGACGAGCAACCCAAGACGCCCGCCACGCCTCCTGAAGAAATTGGATACAAGTGGGTGGTCGGAAGGTTAGAGCTGTTTGAGAAGGGATTCTTCAATGGCGTAGACAAGTCGGACCGCTTCGTGGGCTTCGCGGACCCTTCGACGTACCCAGACAATCCTGGGTGGATGCTCAGGAATCTTCTCATTCTCATACGACACCGATGGCGCCTCGATGAAGCCCAGATCATATGCTATCGCGACACTCACCTGCGGCGCGACCAAGCGAACTCTCTCATTCTCCATGTGAAATCCGACCCTTCCACTGACTCATCGCCAACTCCCTCAGAAGAAACTTCTTCCCGGCCACGAACTCCAAAATTGCCGAAGGTGACGGGCTGGGAGCGAAACAATGCTGGGAAAGTGAACTCCCGCCACGTGGATCTTTCCGAGTACATGGACGAGCGAAAGCTAGCCGACCAGGCTGTGGACCTAAACCTCAAACTCATCAAGTGGCGGATTTCCCCGGGCATCGATCTTGACGCTATCAAGAACTGCAAATGTCTTCTGCTCGGTGCCGGAACTCTAGGATCTTACGTTTCGAGGACCTTGATGGGATGGGGCGTGAGGAAGATTACCTTCGTCGATAATGCGAATGTCAGCTTTTCGAATCCCGTGCGGCAGCCTTTGTTTAATTTCAAGGACTGCATAAACGGCGGAGCAAAGAAGGCAGTGAGAGCGGCAGAGGCCTTAGCAGAAATATATCCAGGAGTAGATGCGTCGGGTTACGTGATATCGGTCCCAATGGCTGGCCACCCGATTACGGATGGCGCCCAGACCAAAGCAGACTTCGATTTATTGAAGAAGCTAATAGATGAACACGATGCCATATTCTTACTCATGGATACGAGAGAGAGCAGGTGGCTTCCAACAGTTATGGGCAAGGCCGCTGGAAAGATTGTTTTGAATTCTGCACTCGGATTTGATACATACGTTGTCATGCGACATGGCCTGAAGGCTACCGAGGAGGGCCATCATGAGTTAGGCTGCTACTTTTGCAACGACGTCGTAGCGCCTGCAGATGTAGGTTTCTCTTCCACTCCATTCCCTCCTTTAGTCTGACAGTCTTGCGATTAGTCCCTCAAGGATGCTACGCTAGATCAGCAATGCACCGTTACTCGTCCAGGGGTAGCACCTCTCGCATCAAGTCTCTTAGTCGAGCTTCTTGTTAGTATACTTCAGCATCCTTACAAGGCCCTCGCCCCAACCGACCCTTCAAAGCACCCCGTTGCTACATCCCCATCTCACCCATCTCTCCCTGCCCCTTTTGTACATCCGCTAGGTACTATCCCACATACAATACGTGGGTACCTGAACAACTTTAGCAATATCCAAGTCGAGGGTAAGCCGTATGATTGCTGCTCGGCGTGCAGCGACAAAGTCTTGAAGCCTTACCAGGAAGATCCGTGGGACTTTGTCCAAAGAGCTTTGAACGAGAGGGGGTGGGTTGAAGAGATTTCGGGCTTAGCAGATGTGCAAAGAAAGGCTGATGCCGCAGCAGACGATCTAGAGTGGGATGAAGAAGGAGAAATAGAGGATGAGGGAGAAGGTGAGCTGATCTAAAGCCTTGAAAGTGCTGACTCAAGGACGTGGGGAGTATGGCGCATTATGCTCCGTCAGCGTTTGGTTGCCAAGGATCTACGGTGTTTTCCATTTCTCTAGTTGCTTTCCTATGATCTTCGATTTTTTTTTTTTTCGCGTGCACTGTTTATGAGCTCTTCTACTGGTATTTTCGGGGTATGCAGCTGTCCCGTTCATAGCTGCCACCTTCGGCTCCCCGAGGCGAAGGTTGGACATGTGTAATTGAAGGCTGAGACAACAACACACCCTTTAAACCTATACCCCCTTTTAAAGGCCGCCACTGTGACACGACTGTCTAGGACACCGAATGGCGTTACGACGGAGTTTCGCGCTTTTTTGAAATATTCCTCCAGAATCAAATTCTTATTTGAGCGAAGAAAAACCAGCGACGGCAGCTGGCGGAACTACTAAGTTGATTTCAGGTCCTGTTTCAAAGGAATTCCACAATACTGCTGCAAGGCAGGGAAATCGATGGAGCTAAATGTGAAAGCCCAAACTTAGAAGTTACCGGTGGGCCTGTGCGAGGAGGCTGACCACTTTTGGTACTGTGCTTCTCCCTTTCTGGCCCGATAGGCAAGGCTAATCTCAATGTCCAGGCTTCAACGTCTCTCAAGCATCCCTAGGGCCTCCGCCTGTGCAACACCGAGCCTGTTGCTAGTCAAACTAACCCCCGTACAACGCCCCCCGTACAACACCAGTTCTCTGCTCGGAATCTGTTATGATACACTACCTGAAGGAACCATGCATATATCTGTTGGTAGTGTGATGACAACATTCCTCGATATCTCATGAGCTCGGCTGTATCTCTCTCTCAACTTCGTAAGATTTAATGATCATCACCATAACGTGAGGGGAGCTTTGAACTCGACACATTCCGCAGTATGTTAGCCTAGTAAAGTATTCGGCCCTAAAGATAAAAGCGCTCCTAGGACATGGCCTGAAGATGATATCCGGCTGCACCCCTTCAAAAATCTCAAATCTTGTCTTTTAATACGCTAGTTAGGGTGTTGGGTGTAAGGAGCTGGGTGGTAGGTAGTGCGACACTTAGAGTATTCTCTGACAGTTTTCAACTGGGTGATGGTGCGAAAGCGTGTGCACCGTATGACTCTATGACCAGACGTTAGTATTTCAAATGCTCGGGCGAGCACAACCCAATAAGGATTCGGGTACAAAAACCAATCAGCCTTCTAAAAGGATATATGGTTCATATGATCTCTCCTTGCAGGACAAAAAATACTGCTCTCTCATTCTCATCGGTGATCCATCGAAGCACGAAATTTCATGGCGCAGCCATCGCCACAATCAGCTCCCCACTTAGCCTCGCCGCCAAAGGCTGGCCCTTTGTTCCCGTTCACGCTTTAAGTGGGGAGCAGCCTCTTGGTCCCTAAATTCAGGAAGCATTATGGTCTCCCCCGAATCAAGCGAGCATCTTCCCCGTTACCTTCAACAACCGACAGAGTTAGGTACTCTCCGTACCCCGTACTCCATGAAAGGAAGTGCCACCGAACGGCCCTGTACCTCCTTCAACACCAAGTTCAGCTACTTTTGACTGGTGATGTTCAGGAACAATCTTGTCTGTATGACGGCGCCTCCAGCCCCAATTCATCAGACGGTTCAACACACCAATTCCTACCTTCCCTGTCCTTCTTTCAAATAGATACCCTCCTATAGCTTTTCCGTTACAGCTATCACTCAAGCTTTCATGGCACCCTTTCGCTTTTCTTTTCCTTTGAAAATGGCCCTTCTTTTGGGATTATTGAATATTTTCCTTCCTATGCATGTATCGGCCCTCAGTGGCACGGATACGATAACTTGGGGAGGAGACAATACCCGTGCAGGGTATCAAGCGTGCGCTGAGCACTGGAATCCCACACCGCTCTCGACCGAGCACTAATAAGCTCCCAGGAACCACAATATGGACCCTAAAGTTGTCGGTAGTGCTGATTTTGGCCAGATATTCAGGACTCTATTACCTGGAAACTTCAACGGTCTTGCCGCAGAACAGATCTTTTCGCAGCCCCTTGTATATACCGGAGCCGACAGAGTACAATACGTATACGTTGCGACAACACAGAATAATATCTACAAACTAGACGCGAAGACGGGTGCGATAGTCAAGTCAAGGAATTTGCACGTTCCCTTTCTTCAAGCTGAACTAGAAAGTACGTTAACTCAAACGGGATGCCTCGGTATTTGTAGACCAGGGCTAACCACCTTCAGGTTGTGTCGACATTAACCCTCTTATCGGTGTAACTGCGACTGGAGTAATCGACCCAGATACAGGAATTTGGTATCTCACGGCAAAGACCTACGCAGATCAGTTTCAAGATGGCAAATTCGGTCCTCAGAATCCCCCGGGAAGACTTAATGGTCGGTACTGGCAGCACGCCATTCATACCGAGGACTTGTCGGAAGCTCAGAACTGGCCGGTTCTAGTGGACGGAACCATTTTCCGCAACAATCCGAATCGAATGTTTATCGGCGGCAATCAGCACTCCCGCCCCGGCGCGCTGCTAGTAGGCAATTATGTATTTACAGGATATGCCTCTCATTGTGTGCAGTACAATTACACTGGCGCCATCATAGGATTTCACAAGGCTACTGGAAAGATTGTCGAGGCATTTGCAATGCAAGGCGGTCCTGAGGCGAATACGGTCAGAGGAGGCGGGATTTGGATGAGTGGCGGTGGTCTTGCTTATGATGGCAAAGGGAGCATGTACTTTGTGACAGGCAACGGGTACGCTTCCCAGCTGAAAGCTACGGGGAATTCAGTCCTTGGACGCTTCCCTCCGACATCGTTGGAAGAGGCTGCTGTTAATGCCAAGATTAACGACGATGGTACTCTGACGATCGTAGACTTCTTTATGCCGTGGGAGAAAACTCAGCTAGATGGTGCAGATAAGGACCTGGGATCCAGTCCTCTGGAAATTCTCCCATCCGATGTATTCTCTTGTCCGAATCATCGCCGAATTGGAGTCGTCACTGGAAAATCAGGAAAAACATATTGGCTAGATCTCGACAATATGGGCGGTTATCAAAACGGTCCAAACAAATTGGATGCGATCATTGGGACGTTCCAAAACGAAAACTCCGTGTATGCGGGAGCTGCAGTCTTGCCCCTGGGCGGCGGCTATGTGTATATCAGTGTTACGCAGTATCAAACTCATGTCTTCAAATTCTCCTGCGATATGTCTGGAAAGGCTCTCTTCACGAAAGTTTCGGACTCGCCGGACAAGAACGCAAACATTCTCGGGACAGGTCACGGGACCACAACGTCCCTAAACGGCCAGGAAGGAACGGGCCTGCTTTGGGTTTCAGATGTTCAAGGCTCTAACCTCCGCATCTATGATCCAATTCCCCCATCAAGTGGCCCTCTGAAGCTGCTCAATTCCTTTGTTATTCCGGGAGTTACCAAGTTCACACGACCCGTCTTTGGAAATGGGAGGGCCTACATTGGCACTACTCAAGGATATCTATATGGTTTTGGTTCTCCCGCCAACCTTCCGCTCAATTGCTCATCTCCATACACTTTCGGATCGGTAGAAGTGGGTAATGCGTCTGCACCAGTCACAGTTGGTTGTATTGCGCTCACAGCTACCTCGGTGACGCTAGTCGAAGTCTCGGGCACGAAGGATTTTAATATCTCGAATGTCCCTACCCTACCAATGAGCCTGAAGGCCGAGCAGTCTTTTACATTTTCTGCTATATTCAGTCCTTCACACGTCGGATCCTTATCTACGGATGTCACTATCCATGCGGTCAGTGCAACCCCGGGGTATTCATCAAGTGTCCCTGTAGTTTTAAAAGGAACCGGTGACTCTATGAAGCCAATACTCGCAATCGTCCCAAACATCAATTCATTCAATATCATTTTCGGACAGCCTAGCCCAACGCAGTCATCTCTCCTCTGGAATTTGGGCAATAGTCTCCTAACTTTTACCAACATCAGTTTCTCACTTACTTCAGAACAGGGTCCTTGGGTGACTCCGAATTCGACTGATGATGGGAATCTGCAGGTTGGGCAATTCGAGTTTCTCTCTGTTCGGACGACAATCCAGCCGAAGTCCTCAGAACCTATCAGTATAACATACAAACCAAATGCCCCGGGTAACCATGCCGTCTATATAAGAGGCTTTTCGGACGGAGGTACTGCTGTCTTGGATGTGTTTGGTGCTGCGGGGACATACCCGAAGGCCGTCATTGGGTTCCAAACTATAGATGGGTCAGCATGGGTGTCATACTCCAACACTACCCCTTTCAACTTTGGCACAGTATACGAGGCGCAGTCGAGAAGCCTTCAGATGCGTATCACCAACGGCGGTGGGCCGAATGCAGTGCCATTGTCAGTCACAGTGTCCAAGCCACCATATGGCATTCCTGGTATCATTGGAGCAGCCAATAACATCGACCTTGCAGAAGGGACCATTATACTTGCGAACCAAAGCCAGACTGCAGTCTTGTACTGTGCTGTACCCAAATCCCAGGTCAATTTGCCATTCTACAATGGGTCAGCCGTCTGGGTACTAAACACAGGCGATCCGAATCTTGGAAAGCAGGAGGTTGGATTCTTCTGTCAGGCAGCTGCTGAGCAAGTCGGTCCTCTATTTCCAAATGGCACCGCGAGATATGGGTACGTTGGCTGCTTCAAGGAAAACAATCCCGGGCGACAGCTTGGAACCAATGTGTATTCAGATACCGCAAACAACACCAACGACCGCTGCATTGCTGCATGTTTCCAACAAGGCTACGTTTTTGCCGGAACCCAGTACTCCCAAGAATGCTGGTGCGGCCAGGCACTCCCCGTTCAACGAGACAACGAGCGGGACTGCAACTTTGGCTGCACAGGAAACCGCAACCAAATCTGCGGAGGCGACGGACACCTCCACGACACAGCACATATCTCACTCTTCGCAGACTTGACAAAGTTCAACGGCAATACGACTTCGCCTCCTCTTCAGATCACACCCAGTGTGGGTGCGTACAATTTCATCGGCTGTTTTGCGGAGTCGGCTGGGAGGGCGCTGGGTGATAATTCGACGACAAGTAACGTTATGACTGTTGAGGTTTGTGCGGCGTTTTGTTCGGCCTACACGTACTTTGGGTTGGAGTTTAGTGCGGAGTGTTATTGTGGGGCGAAGTTGAATCCAGCGGCTACGATTACGAATTCGTCTCAGTGCAATATGCCGTGTAAAGGCAGTAATAGCGAGTTCTGTGGTGCAGGGAATAGGATGCAGATTTATCAAGTCAATGGGGTGTCGCCGATTTCGAGTAGCTCCAGCACATCTAGCACGTCCAGTGTGATGATCCATACCTCGGCGATGAACACGACTAACACGCTTTCGACATCGGGGTCAGCGACAACGGCAACATCTGTATCGTCAAGCTCATCCGTCTTAATTTCCACAAGCCTTCCGGTATCCTCATCACTGACACCCAGCTTGCCAAATATTTCCATCTCTTCAACGACATCAAACATGCCTAACTCGTCACTCTCCACACCATCGACATCCGTCTCACCAGGCTCATTTCCGCTCACTTCAACAACATCTGACTCTGTACCCACATCATCGGCAACTGGCCCAGTGGTTGTTCCATCGGCTGGTGAATACAACTATATTGGGTGTTACAACGAGATTTCAGGAGGGGCGTTCTCAGCTAAGTCCATCGCAATCAGCACGATGACCGTCAAAGTCTGCGCGACTTATTGCTCTGGATACATGTATTTCGGCGTGGAGAACGGACAGGAATGCTACTGTGGCAATGCAATTCCGGTCATGTCTTTGCCGGTTACAGATAACCAGTGTAACATACCGTGCGCAGATCATGTGTTAGAAATTTGTGGTGGCTCGAATAGATTAGGCGTTTATCAGTTGGCGTCGAGTCTGTTGACTAGCTCGTTGAGCTCGTTCACGGGACCGATGTCGGGATCTCGTTCCAGTTCAATACTGATGTCTTCACCCCTTCCTTCATTTAGCCCTGGCTCATCATCTCTGTCTTCCACATCAACTCCCACTTCCACTTTCACTTCCAATTCCACTTTCACCTCTGTCTCATCCCCTTCAACATCCTCAGTAACAACATCTACTTCGCCCCCAGCGCCATCAAACCCCCCTAGCTGCCCAGTCTGGAACTCCACAACCTACACAACACCCTCAGGATCCAGTTATCGCATCGAGTGCTTCATCGACAGAGCATACAACGACATCAGCTGGAAGTATGAAATGAGCTTCGAGTCTTGTCTAGCCCTGTGCGACGTCACGCCACAATGTAAAGCCGTATCATGGATTGGGTTCCCTGGAGCACCGTGTTATTTGAAGAGGGCTGCTGGGACGCCAGGGAATGATAAGAGGATTTGGGGCGCTGTGCAGGTGGGTCCATCGAAGGTGAGCTCGAGTGGGGCGGGAGGGAGCATTGGGGCAGCTACTTCGAGTGTGGTGTCTTCAACCTTCACTTTGGCACCTAACTCTTCTTCAACGCCCCATTCTCTTTCAGATTTGACGCTGAGCTCGCCGGCTTCAAGCCTTCTTTCGATTTCAATAAGCACTCCAAGCCCAACTCCAGTTCCGGGTCCATCAGTATCGACATTATCTCCCACGAGTTCAGCAGCTTCGTCGACGTCTTCGTCCATTTCAAGCTCTCCACCCAATTCAGCCCCACTTCCAGCGACAACGGCCCTCAACGTTACCACATCCCCCCCACCATCCTCCTCTTTCTCGACCCCTACCTCCTCCCTTTTCTCCCTTCCACTCTCCGGCATCCAAACAGTAGGCTCCTACATCTATCAAGGCTGCTGGACCGAAGGCCCCAACGGCGTCCGTGCCCTCTCCGGCATTCCCGCCCTCGTGAACACCACTTCCATGACACCCTCCCTCTGCGCACAATACTGTTACCAATTTTCCTATTTCGGTCTTGAATACAGCCAAGAATGTTTCTGTGGCCCCTACCCCTCCGTCAACTCCACTCGCGCTCCCAAAGATTCTGACTGCAACATGCGCTGCACAGGCGACAAGTCCTTACTCTGCGGCGCGGGGAACAGGCTTTCTTTGTACAAGAGCAACGACCCGTCCAAGGTCTCCACGGACCCAGGCATCCCTGCGAATGGAGGCGTAGGGAACTATTCGTATCAAGCTTGCATGAGGGATTTGGCGAATCCGCGGCTTTTACCTGTTTTGCTAGCGAGTGATGATATGTCGGTGGAAGCGTGTTTGGCGGTGGCGGAAGCGGGCAGGTATGCGTATGCGGGATTGGAGTTTGGGAGGGAGTGTTGGCTGGGGAATGTGCTTCAAGGGATGGGAACGGTAGGAAGTAGTGGTGGTAGCGATGGGACGAATGGAGTGGCGGTGAGTGAGGCTGAGTGTAGACAAAGTTGCTTGGGTGCAAGAGGGGAGCTCTGTGGTGGTCCGTCGAGACTGAATTTATGGGTTAGGAATCCGGTCGGTGAGTTGCCTAACATTAAGGTTCATGTGGGTGACAAAGACGATTCCTAGAGGACTGGGACGACCATGACGACCATGAAGAGAGTAGGAACGGTGAGCGTGAGTCCAAGTCCGAGAGGGGGAAACATAGTGAAGAGTCCTTGGGCCGGTGGAAGTGAGTAGGCACTTCTTCTCCGTTTAAGCCTCGTCCCCAAATCCCCTTTTCCTGCTAAGGCACCCATCCTTCCATTCAATCTCTTCTCGGAGTAGTGGGATTCCTTCCTTTCCTTCGCTTTTAAATCCTTATGCTCGTTTTCGATTTCCGCCCTATTGCACGAGATTTTGGATGACAGTCTCTGGCCGATCTTTTTTGGAGGAGAGGGCAAGTCCGAGTTAATATTTAATCTTAGTGGACTAGTATTGCTTTTGCCTTACAGTTTAATAGACGTGGAGATTTCGCGTTTCCGCCCTCAGGTCGAGTGGATATGAAACACTAGGCCAATAGAATGGTTGGTGGTTCGACATGCCTAACATGAAACAACGACGCGCTGACGTCGACATTTATCAGCCGTGCTCTGGAAAACCCCCAATGGACCAGGCGGTGTACGAGTCAGCCATGATGCATGTGACAATCTGATATATGAGTCTAGACAAATGGCCCATCCCGCGAGTATTTGGCACACTTCCGCTAACTGCAGCTGTCGTGGGAATATATTTCCCGGTTTTTAGTAGTTTGGGGGGGGATCAAAGGTTGCATGTCTGCTGCAGATTTCATGAAGCGCGCAGCAGACGCGTGACGTGATAAGAGGAGAACGGGACGTGAGCGGCGTGAGGAGCGATATATGTGCTGTGCTGACGGAAAATAATGTATGTGCTGCAGTGGGGTTGAAGGAAGATGGAAAGGTCATCCTGGGTAGGTAATATGGAGATGCACCTGCGCATGCATCATGCCGTGGGGGCGTGATATATACATATTCCCCCAAGCCCGTAATGCTTCTTGTGTTATATGTTGTGTTCCTTATTACTGCTCAATCATTTTCGCCGTTTTTGGCGTCCCTTTCGTCGACCTGTTGACATGGAAATATACCGGCTTGTTGAACAAGAAACCTTGAAGTACTAATCTCTCCTTCGGTCCATTTCCTTAAGACCAGGCCCTATCTTCCCACGATCTTCAAGCACAAATCTCCGGGCTTCCGCATACTCAACGTTCCACCAAAAAGCCCCGAATCCCGGACTAGCGCTAACACCTCCTTTCTACAGACCTCCAGGTCCGCTACCTTCTTCCCTTTCGGATTAGACTCCGTACTCGGTTCCACACGACTACCTCTCAACACAGTAGCCAACACCGCCGTGAACTCAACCTGAGAAAACTTCATGCCCGGGCAGACTCTCGGGCCAAGAGACCACGCTTGGTAACCAAGAGGGGCAGGAAGTAGAACTTCGTCGTTCAGGTGTTCGTTTGCTTGGATCCAACGGCTAGGGGTGAAAGACTGTGGGGTAGGGAAGACGGAGGATGATGTGTGGGAGCCGTGGTAATTCAGGGAGATTTGAGTGTTGGGTGGTGGGATGATAATGGTTGGGGTTAAGGGGTCATTTGGGTTGGTGAGGTGGATTGGTGTATTAGGGTTGAGGATGCCGCGGGGAACTAGAGGCGCCGGGCCATAAAGGCGGAGGGTTTCGTACTGGATATCGTCAGCTTCTTCGTGGAGAGGCAGCCAGCATCTGGAAATGGCGGGTTGGGAAGGATCCCTGCCAGTTATATGGTAAATTTGGGGCGGGGTTTAGAGAATCAGAGGCTGAACAACCTCGAATAGTAACTGAACTGGTAGGTGCTGCTTACCATAACGGCCTGCACCCGCTTCAATTTTGGATACGCCTCCTCATATATCGGATAGTCCTCCTTTCCCAGCACTTGATCCACTTCCTCAGCAACCCACTCTTGAATCTCGGGATACACAGCCAAGAGGGAAATCGCGTAAGCCAACGTATTTGCGGTAGTATCATGTCCAGCAAAGTTGAAGATGAAGATATTGCCTTTGATCTCTTCATCCGTCAACCTCACAGTAGAGTTAACACCTTCGTCTTTGGATTGGTCAGAAGTTCGGATTAGTGTGCTGATCAGATTGGGTTTGGACAGGCCTTGGTCTTTCTCCATGGCATCCCGCTCATGGGCAATCATTTCATCCATATATTGCCCGAACTCTTTAATAGCAAGTCGGATATTCTGAAGTTTTTTCGGAAGCAGCGGAGCCAAGTCCCCCATCTGCGAGACAAGCAGGACCGTGACCAAGTTATGCAAGATTGTCATCAAAGACTCGCGGTGGGACATGCTATGGTTCTTAGCTGGCTTCCCCATACCTGCAGAAAAGTCGTGAGAGATGCCGAGGCCTGCAGCGGAAAGAACATGGAGCGCTACAGTTCGCGTGTCATCTGGCATATTGGAGACTTTGTTATCAGGAGACGAAAGCCAGGATGAGAGCATTGACCGTGCTTGTCGTAGGGATTCATCCCAAACGAGACCAGAAACACGTTCGTTGAAGCATGGAGCTGTGAGTTTGCGCTGGCGAGCCCACTCCTCGCCGTTGACCTAAATGATCAGCCACTTTACTAGAGAGAGGCACTTGTGGAGCTCACAGTATCTACGTTCCGGCCAAAGATATCCATAATTTCTGAATACTCGTCAACTCCAACATTCAATCTGAAACTTAGGCCAACTCGCTGTAAAGGTCCGGCTTTATAAACTCCTTTCTTCTCTGTAGCATATAAGCAAGTGCCACTGGATCTGCTGTGACTAGAACATTCCCTGAAGGAGTAGCAATGATGAAATTAAGTCCGAGCTCTTTATGAACCGTGTCGCCCGCTTTCCACGACCACTCGAAGTCCATGACTTTAATCCCAAGTGTCAAGAAATCAGGTAATTGCATTATAACTGGGCGGAAGAGGCCTGTTAGCACCTGGAAGGAGAGGCTGTAGGGATCTAGAGGTGCGCAAATAACACGGAGCCCGGTCTTTCGAGCATTGCGGTAGTTGACAGAAAGCTTGCGAAGTTGGGCGAACCAGAACAATACGGCAGCAAGGATTAGGATTTGGATGAAAGCCATCGTGTAATGGAGTGGTAGAGCGAAGCCTACGGGTGGGAGGTAATGTTAGATAAGTGAATTTGTGAGACAGGCTTTAGTTTTAGATATTGCCGCCAAGAAATAGGTTTTAAGAGGAAACCATGACTGGAGAAAACACGGAGCAGGAAACCCTCCAGGTTGCTACTATTAATTTTATAAAACAGCTTGGAAACCATATCATGATGGCGTCGAAGGTACATGCGGTGTGACAAAGATTTGACGAATTTAGCGTCAAAAGGAACTACGAGCCCAGCCCTCCGAACGTCGAAGGCTTCAGCCCACCCCAAGGAGAAGGAGTTTATCATGCCCCCCAATGCAGGCATCTTAACTCTTCCAATAAGTTGTACCTAGGGTACGAGGTTTGAAGTCTTGGGAAGTGAGACAGGAAATGTCTCTTAGAACAAGACATGATTGGTTGGTCCATTCGGCAAATTTCACGTGACCCACGAAGCCACCAGAATTCACGCTGGCTTAGTCAGGCGCCGTTGATTGCCGCCATGTAAAACCTATCCCGAGGATGCTCTCGGGTATTCGCATTTGCTTTGCACTGCATGTGTACGGGCTTTTTGTTGCAGTATGCAAGAATACAAGTCGTGCAGGATGCGGTCGACCAGGTGCATGCAGATGAATCCAACTTCCCATCGTTTAAAAGTGGTTATTTTGATGCATTTAATCGGCTGTGAGGTGTCAAAACTGTGACAAGTTCTCGATCAGTGCTCTTTGAGATATTGACAAATATCAAAATGAGCCTAAGAACGAAGCACGTCCTGATCTGAGATCTCAAAAGCCTAGGTCCGCAACTAATGCATTCTTCAATACCAGCGCAATTCACTCAACTATAAAGGCCCCTAGTTCATGCAACATTAATTCAACTTTCGCTCCGGGCCACCCTTTCCATCTTCGAACTTCCAGGTCAAACCATAACCTAGCCTTCTACTAACCTCCAAATCCATTCATCAACACGCCGTATCATCCTATGCATTATCGGTTTCACATGCTCCCGTACGTGGCTGCACGTTGCATCCGCAATTTGAGATCTAGTCGACCTTCAGTAGCAATAGTATATCCATTAGTAGCCCCACAGTGGAGAAAACGTGGGCAAACTAGAGCCGTGAGAGGATAAGAGTTGCAAGAGTGGATGGTGGTGCGTACGTGGCCATAAAGGTCAATTGAAAAGCTCTGGTATGTGGAAGGAGCCGTGGTTCATTCTTCTCAAATTATCATGAGCTTGGCGGCATCGTTCGATATCTGATAACTTGGGCAATTCCTTCTCGTAACACTTTGTCAGAAGCCTTGCGCGAGCTTCTTCAGCCATGTGAAGGGCCAGAATATTTCGCGCCAGCCACCTCCCCACTAAACTCCAATTCTGAGAAGCCGTAGACTCTCCCGACAATCTCTCATGGCGTTGGTGTCTACGTGGTGGGGTACCTTAAACCATGGTTGAGATTCCAAAGGTTAGCCTGCCAGCTGGCGGACAAAGCGTGCAAGGGCATGGTTTGGATCGGGGTGCGGTCTGGTGGCAGACACGAGACGTCAGATGCTTTTCCCATGGAAATTTTTGATCTGTAACCGGAGATCGCAGTTTTGAGCCTCGGAAGGGACACCCAGTCAAGTGCGTGAACTGATGTTCGAAAGCGAGTCGTGTCGATTGAGTTCTGATATTGATGTCAGGGATGGCCGAAATGAGCGAAATGGCACATGCAATTTACCCAACCGCCGCATGTTCGCTTCATCTTGCAAAAGGAGTTAGTTGAGGAAAGATGTTTCTCCCTCAATCAACAAGATAGGGAAAAGAAACCGGGAGGAAGTAGCATATTACTTCCCATAGTGGACAATAGCGCTTGGAAGAAGTGGCTAGATGCCCCTTCGTCCGAGCAATCAGATTTGAATAATGGGGATTGACAATTCTCTATCAATAAGCGCTGTGGACATTGTATCGCAGGAAACGGCGAAAGCAACAGCAACGAGCAAAATCGAGAACGAGATTCAAAGTCCTATACGTACGATACGAACTCCTACCGCATTTGCATTGCATCGTGGGTCGTAGTGATCCGTAGCTTTGGGCTTCCAAGATGTGAAAGTCGTCTGGGCGAATTGGCGGACAGGCAGAATGACTGCATGTGCATGGTACATCCCAACCTGCATTCATATATGCCGCCGAGGCATTGTATAGAACGCGTGTTCGAGAGGGGTAGCTGCCTGGAACGGATATATAGATCAGTACGTTGCACTATTATCCAGCTGGCACTGTGGCTCTTTCAGCCCTGAAGCAAAAAGCATGTTGTTTGAGACAGCCGACGTAATTTCGCTTCACGCCATCTGGCAAACTGCAGTGTACCCTGAAGAAACGGCGACGGACGCATGTGATGCAAGCAGGTATGTCGTGCTTAGCATGCGGGTAATAGCAACCGAATGTGCTGTGATGAGCGGCGCCCCTTCGATGCCTGGGAGGAATCTGAATCTGGCCAGGCAGGCTGCTGCGGGAAGGGCAGAGTCACGATGCTGCACAGGAGCGGCACTCGATAAGCGTCAGAGCTGCTTCAAAAAAAAAAAATGCACCGGCACGATTGCGGGGAAAGCAAGTTTGTCGAGCGAGCCCGGATTCAGAAAAAGCTCTGCGGCCCCCAAGAGCAGAAGGATGCAGAGAGGATGCTTGCGGCGTCGGGGCAGGACCTGCCGTGTATCGCAATCCATGCCTGCTGGGACACTTATATTGAGAGATCCCAGTCTATCCAGCAGAACGGGGTCAGAGGGCTCAAGAATAGAATAGCGGTGAGAGAAGATGGAGTGAGGACCTGCTGCGATGGTGTTGACAGAGTCTGACGGCAAAAACGGAGGAAACGTTTTAGGACAGACTCGGGCAAACGTGGAGAGCGGCCCTTCTCGTCCAGCTCCAGGTCCAGCTTCCAGCTGAACATTCTTGGAATTGTTGGGGACCAAGGTGAGGAGTGTCTGGACGAGAGGATACCGCAGCGCACGCTAGAAAACGGAGGAGCAGAGCATGAGGTGAGATGACAAGCGGCCGTGAAGCCAATCCGGTGAAGGCCTCAGCCATTCAAACCAGGGGCCAATCAACGGGAGAGCTGACCATCCCTCGAGCCTGTTTCGGACTGCAAGGAGAGGCCCGTGTCGCCTGCAAACGCCAGCCGTGGCTTCAAGACGACAACAAGCCCCCGATAACGGCTCTGCGTGAGTTTGACGTGGCCCGCGCTGATTGGCAGAGCAGCGCCTATCTGATCGATCCGCTGTGCGTGCCGTGCCCCCCATCCGAAGAGGTGCGGAGGCCTGGCGGCGGCGAGGAGGGCAGGCTGATGCTGCTCTGCTGCTGTTGTTGAAGTTGCCGCGACGTGTGGTGTGTCGATGTGTGCGACGGCGGCCAATATCGCGCACTGTTGCCCGCTGAAGTTCGTGCTGGGGCTGGGCAGGCGGCTTGGCTTGGTGGGGGGAGGGCCGTGCAAGGATACCTCTTCATCACGCGCATATGCAACGACGGGTGAATGCAGGAAGAACATGGCCAATCATCTACTCGATCCGTACCAGGCGTGGCCGTATTGCGGGACGGCCTCATAAATGCAGGAACGCTGGCGACAGATTGCAGCTGATCGCGGCCTGGAGCACGCTTGCTTCTGCGGGTTGAATCGCCATCAACGTTGAGCGTTTCTGGAAGCTGGACCTTCTTCATCTCCCCAACCTCACGCCTTGATTAGCGAGGATAGCCATTCGTAGCGTGTAACGGCTGTGTCGGGAGACTCAGACGAGAAAGGACGACACTGTCTAATCTCGGGCGCGGCGAGACACCCCCGCCGTCCTACGGATTCCGATTCTAGATTGCTCGTCCTGTGCTGTTGGACGGACAAGAGACACAGTCCCCACATTGTGGTCGGCCTCACGAGAACAATATCTCAAGGGAGTCGAAGCTGATCCAGGAGGTCGCTAATTTGATATCCCCCAACTCCCCCATATCTGAGAATAGACGGTGGTCGTGTGCTGAGTAGCCGTCGTGACCTACCTCGACACTGCTGGCTCGTGTCCAGTCCTAATCGGTCAATGGCCATATCAAATATTGTCGGTTTTAATATTGACTTTCCTATCTCGCCGTCGAGGGTGGTCAGCAAAGTTACATGTAGAGCCGGCGCGGGCCTCGCTCCACGATCCGCGCCTTCCACATCGCGCCGGATGCGCTGCACGTTTATTTCCACCTTTGCATTTCCTCAGCAAGGCACTTTGGCCCACGCGAGAGATGTGCAACTGGCCCTTACAGAGGGGACGACCTTCTGTTGGCCCTCAGCAACAGACTGCTGCACATGGTGCGACTGCGCGGGTCGGTTGAGGGCGCCACTGTCCTACAGCCTCATCCTCGGGTGCAGTCAAGGACCTTAGGCCTGTGCCTGTTTCACTGGGCCGCGAGAGCAAATGCCGGCCTCCCATGCTCGATGATGTGCTGCAGAGCCGATTGATGCCGGATGCTTTTCGATTGCTGTCCACCAGCTGCTGCCACCAAATGCCGTCAGTCGTCGCACAAGGTGGAGGAATGGCCATTGTCCGACGGCCAGGGCTTCCACCATGTCTCACTTTGCGCCGGCGCTGACAAGAGGACATTCAGGGAAGAGTGATTCGTTAGCTACGAGGAATGAACAATGGTGCGCGGCTAGCAGGATCGAATCACGGGCACTGCGAACGGCAAGTTTGGCGCCTGAGGCGACTAGCTGGCTGAGATGGGATGCCATCTGTCAAAGGATGGCTGGCATGCTTTTCTTCCCACAGTTGGGGCTGTCATGGGCAAGGTTCGCATTGAAACCTTGGGAGGGGTGGCAGGTGTCAATGCTGCCCCGTGCTAGAAAACCCGTGATAGGAAACTTCAACACCACCCTGGATCTGGGCAACTCTTCGCTCCCGCCTCTTCGCAACAAGGACTTGTTGGCGATAAAGACGCCTCAGCGGATTGCGCCGTATTGCAATGAATGTTTCAGCTGGCCAGAACGAACGGCTTTGTGTCTCCGCGACACGCCCCACCCATGGTGCTGGGACATTGATCACGGCCCCGTCGTCCTGAGGCCGCGAGGAATTGCACGGTTCTGAATATTGAGTTCGAGGTGGAGATGTGTGTGAGTGTGAGGGCGGGTGGCTTGAGGGGGCCGAAAAGCGTTAGCATCGGCCAGCACATCACTCACACCGCAACAGCTCTGGGCCTATCACCGCCTCCAGCGTCCCACGTCCAACACCAAGCAAGTGGTACAGTCGGCACGTTTGGTCAAGGGAACTCCCCGTGAAGGGAGGCCCAGCAACGTCGAGTGGAGACAGCGCTCGATTCGCAGCCGTGAACTTTCTCATCATTTGCTCGCGCTAACATGACATGATCGTCGCACTCTCTCGAGTCTCCACGTTGCACCAGCCTCCCTGTTGACGATGATTCCGGCAATGTCGCTTCCTTGGGGAGTCTCGACGGCCAGCGGATCTATTGAGCGTGCTGGCCGCCTGGTGTTGGTGGAGACGAGGGGATGGCGAGCAAGAGACGGGCGTGACGGACTCGCCTCAGCCTGGGAATTGTAGACGTCGTCCCCAAGTTGTCGGATTGCGAGAACAGCCAGCCAACCAGACTCAAGAGGTCTGAATAATGCCCAGACTTGAGCCCTGCACGGCCGGCCGTCCGTCCATCCCGTTCGCCTTTGGGAATATCCCTGCGCAAGGAGTGGTGTCGTCGTTGGATTGCGGATGGCGGGCATTTAGCCTGAGTGCAATGTCGCTATTCACGGTCTATGCCCCGGCCACGTCTGTTCTCTTTTCTTCTTGTCGGCCAACCTGATACTGGAGCATCTGTAGCCCGTTTTGAAAGCGGAAAAGAGGAGGGCAAGTCAGCGCAGCAGAGCACGCGGCAGTTCTGCACACGTTTCAGGACAGGAAGTGGCTTGCCATGCCTCCCGACGGTGCTTTTTTCGACAATTGAGTTTTGCGCCAGCTTTGACTCGCAGCAGCAGTGCAAATCATCGCGTTTGCCGGCCCACTTACCGTAGGCAGAGGGCTATGAAAATGCTTTTGCTTCCAGCCCAGTAGCAAAACAGTTCAGACAGGGAGGATGCCGAAGAGGGTGCTCATCCAGCAACAAGCGCTTGCTCAGTGCTCATCCGGCCTCCGTTCCATTACAGCTTAATAAGGACGAGGTGTTTCTGGCCCAGAAAACGGTTCACTCGCCGCCCGCGTATTCTGCTTTGCACGATGAATATCTCCGGCCGCCATCACTGGCTGCCGCCATTCAGCCGTCTTCTCCCTATCGGGACCCCGGCCAACGCCAGAGCCAGCGCGGCCACAGTGGTGTTGTAAAAAAAGTAGACGCCCGCTAAACTTGGGTGCCAACAAATCCTTGCCGTGATATGATTCTCCAATTGACCTCGCCGCGGACTTTGATATCGACGAGGACGAGGACGCAAAAATAGCATTCCTCACCCCTCACCCCTCTCTCATCTCTCCTGATCACCACCACCACTACTACTCCTGGCGTCTATTGATGGCACAGGAGCAAACGGCGCTGCAGTGCTCTCGTGCTGGCGGCCGTGGCCAGTCGTCAGGTGGCTGGTGCGCGTTGCCGGTGGTGGTCGTGTGGAGTCGCAGGCTCGCTTGCGTGCATGGCGGACGCTGTCGAGCGCTTCCCTGTCTCCTCCCACCCCATGTCTCTATCCCATGTCCCCATGTCTGCGGCATCGACGGTGGATCAGCCCAGTCAGCATCTGAGCAGCGTCCGTCCACCTGGCCAGGCTGTCTGTGCTTGCCAGCGCGAAACGGCCTTTGCCCTTTCACGGGACTCTGGAGCGCGCTGTCCGGCCCACCCCCCAGCACCCCCATCCCACATGTTCTGCTAGCCCGAATTGATTTTAGATTGTGCTGCTCCGGGCGGCGAGTCGTGGGCGTGCGTTGCAAAGCTCCCAGTCCCCAGAGATCTCCACCACCCGTCTTTTAGGTACAGTGACGCCTGCGCCCTCCACGCACTCGTCTTTGGTCTCTGGCATACTGGCATCGTGCTCTGCAGCGGCCTCATCTCGCTGCTGGCTTCGCGTCCGCCGCACGTCTGCGAACTCGCGCCGTCCCGCCCACGCAGACGCTCCCTCAGCAGCGCTGCCATCCTGCCATTCCGCCAGCGCCGTTCCCAGACGACCAAGAGAGCCACACCGGACGGACTGCCCTGCGGTGTGTGCGTGCCTCGCCTGTCTCGGTCAGCCTTCTTAGCCTGCGGCCTGCCTGCTCTCTGCGCTGCAGAGAATCCTGCACTGCAGCATCGCCGACGAGAACGACTTTGTCCTTCTCCCTCCGCAAAACACCACGCAAACATCGCAGCATTGCTCCCGCGCGCAGAGGCTCCGCGTCCGCTCGTTGTCGTCTCAGTCCAGCGTCAGTCCTTCCTTTCGTTGCTTTTCTGCCGTCCAGTGTCTTGCCGGGCCTCGCCCTAGCATTTCCCGTGCTCGCCTATCTCTCTCTGGCTGGTTGGTTCTCGGCGCTAGCATCACCGTCACATCCCAACCACCTCCACCTCTAAACCTCCGCCTCCTCACCGCAGCCTGCGAAAAAGCCTCTCTCTGGCTCTGCATTGTCTCTCTTCTCTATAGACGGCGGTGGTGCGTGTGACTGTCAATGCCATTGTGCCTCTATGTCTCTTTGCTAACCTTGACGCACAGTGTTCTTGCTTCCGCCATATCTACTGGTCGGCCCGCAGCTGCTTCCGAGCGCAACGACTACGACGTGACAACCTGATCCGGCTTCGACGACGACCTCGCTGGAAACATCTCCGGCCAGCCTAGCTCATGAGATAGGATATTGCACTGTCACCCCGCCCTCCAGCTTATTCTTCCCGGCCGGCTGTCGTCATTTTCTGTCTTTGTGTGTTTTGAATCGAGCGTCCAAAAGCATTTCCGCTATCCTTTCTAGGATTTACGACTGCGACGACGTAACGACGTGCTTTGTGTCCGTTTAGCATTGATTGCAGCGTTTGGTTTCTCAGTACGCAGCCTCAGACGCGGACCTCGCATTCCTTCCGCTCCTGCCAGAAATCGCACAGTGTTTCACCAAACATCCAAACATCCGTACCACTGCGAGACCTCTGCCAAGTCAAAACGCGAAAATCTTCAGTCCGAGAAGTCGCAGATTATTATCGCACGCTCGGGATCGCTGCGACTCTGAATTGCCGCGAGCCTGTTTGCCCACGTGTTTGGCCGCCTGCCGCTGTGCCCGACCGACGACAGCCCTCAATAGCAAACAACCGACCGACTTGCGGTGAGAGTTTCTTCGTCTCCACCTCCGCTTGATCCCCGGGCCAGTATCAAACTATATCAGCGTCCAGCTATCGTCTCTCCGGCTACGTGCGCAGATTCTGCAACCTACTGTTGTAGACCGTTGTCCGCCCGTTTCCACCCTTGAGCTGTCTCGGTTATCTGGTGAATTGACTCGAGAGACTTCCCCACGCGGACTTTCTCGGTTTCCCAATATTGCGGCGACCTTCTAGCCGACTTCTCGTTAACACCGTAAAGCTGGAGCTCCCATCGATCTCGTCGGTCCACTCCCGAGGCCCAGTCGACACCTGGTACAACTCCCATTACGCCCCAAGACCCGCAGTGTCCAGCGAGCGATTGCCTGCTTTGCCTCAGATACAAGCGCAAGCCAGTGGCTCCTCCACTTCTTCTTCGCCTCGGGGTGGTTCATTGAGCTCGGGCTCTGTGGTAAACAGCAGCGGCAGCTCCAATACTTCTTATTCGTCCTCCGTCAACGGACAGGCAGGCTACAAGACTCCCTCGCCAGAGCAGACTCCGCAATCCCTCAACCGTGACGGGCAGCCTTTGAATGTGCAATCGCAGCAGCAAGGCTCTCCGTACGGCGCACAGCAAAGCTACGGGTATACCCCAGAGGGCTACAACAGCATGAACCAGATGCAATCGTATGCCGACGTGCATCAACCACACATGTCTGCTGCAACTGCTCATGCGCCTGTCTCGGCCGCTCCCTCAAGTCTGTCGCACTATTCATATCCACCACAACCTTCAATTCTGCAGCCAGGCCCACAATACGCATCCGCTCCAGCTGGATATCCTCCATATGGCTACCCAAATGGTGTTCCATCCCAGCTCCCCGCGTCATCCTCCATGAGCAATGCCTTGGTGCCTCAGGCCATTCAGCTTCCCGGTGAGTCTTCCATTTGGTTCCTTTAACCGAAATTGGCTAATTGTTCGCAGCAATGACCTCCGGTGCGCCGACATCATCACTTTCTGGCTCACAAAGCTACCCGCAGCATCAATTCGATCACACAGGACAGATCGCACCTCCTGGGATGAAACCCAGGGTCACCGCAACACTGTGGGAAGATGAGGGTAGTTTGTGCTTTCAGGTTGAAGCTAAAGGAGTATGTGTTGCTCGACGTGAAGGTAGAACCATTCTTGTCAATACACTTCACACCATTGGCTGACAATCGGCTAGACAATCACATGATTAATGGCACCAAGCTTCTGAATGTGGCTGGCATGACACGAGGGCGTAGAGATGGCATTCTTAAGAGCGAGAAGACTAGGCACGTGGTCAAGATCGGCCCGATGCATTTGAAGGGCGTTTGGTACGTTGTATTGCACTAAGCTTAATTCTGTCTTATTTCTAATTCCATACAGGATTCCATTCGATCGCGCATTGGAGTTTGCAAACAAGGAGAAGATTACAGAGCAACTATATCCTCTCTTTGTGCATGACATTGGGGCTTTGCTCTACCACCCTTCAAATCAAACAAGGGCAAGTGTAGGAGGCGCCGCGATGGCCGCGGTAGAACGCAACCGTAGACCTGACCCCATGCAGACCCAAAGATATCTGACTGGGCCCACTACGTCGCAGCCCCCGTCGCTGCACCATCACCATTCGATGAGCAATCCCATTGGAGCGGCGATGTCACAACCGCCACACGCCATCCAGCCACACCCCTCGGCGGGCCGTCCTGGCCTCGATCGGGCGCATACGTTCCCCACTCCTCCCACCAGTGCTTCAAGTCTCATGGGCATGGGTTACCAGGGCAGCTCTTCCGAGTGGAGCAGTTCTAATGTGCAGAATATCCAAGGCAGCCAACCGCTGTCTATTGATACTGGTCTGAGCAACACGCGCTCCGTTCCGACCACTCCAGCGAGCACACCCCCAGGCCAAGTCCAGCCCGGTATGGCCTATCCGACTGCTCAGAGCTATGACAACTCAAGGCCGATGTATTCCGCGCCACCTTCTCAGCCTTCGCAGTACAATACTCAGTCACAGCAGATGATGGGTTATCGTCCACCTGTACAAGATGGCCCTTATCCCAAGACTGAGATGGCACCACCTGCGCGAACCACAGATCAGGGAGACGTGAAGCCTTCGGAAGGTATGCTTGCTCAGAATAACGAGCAGGTGAGCCATGCAGCAGGCGAAGATGAGGGTGATCACGACAACGAGAACGAGTATACGCACACGAACGCCCCTTACAACGCGAATCGTGGCTCATACGCATATGCCTCCAGCACGGCGCCTGGTCCCATCCACGGCGACCATCCGCATCTGTCCCCGGAGATGACGGGATCTCCGCACCAGAATGGTTCAGGCCGTGCAACTCCCCGTACAACAACCACCGGACAGACTCAATGGAATTCGGGTTATCCAACTCCACAGCGCCAAACAGGACCATCCAGCAATCTCTATAGTGTTATGAGCGACACTAGGGGTAGTGCCACGAACGGTAACCCCCCTCCAGAGAGTTACCAACCACCAGGTGCTGTCGCTCAATACCCCAGCCAAGCATATGCTACCCCCAATGGTGTCTCCGTGAACCCTAAACGAGCCCGAGACGATGAAGATGATCAAGATCCATACGCTCGCTCTAACAGTGCCGCAGGGGACGATATTGATGGCCTCAAAAGACGCAAGACTGTTGAAGGCGGGGCTGGTGGTGGTGCAGCGTACTCTCGGGATCCCAACCATGGAATTCAACGAACACGATCTACAATTACGCAGCGTGCCCGGAGGTAGCCGGATTGAATCTGCTTATCTGCTTGGGCGGCGGCTTTCAGCCTATCTCGAAGTTTGCAATAGACGGCGGGGTTTCCTATGAGGTCCGGTGACTTTGCGCGCATTCAGCAGGCGTTCTTTTAGTGTCACTGCTTGTTTGCCGCCAGCACACGAGCCCCTCCAGCAAACACCACCCGCTTATCCTATTTTCCTGTTTTCCTCCGAAGCGAGGATCTAAACCTGAACGACTGAACCACCAATCAACAAGAACTACATTCTCTCACCATTACGGACTTTTCTTTGTGTCAAATTTCCCTTTCATTTCCTGTGTTTTCTCCAACTTTCTCCATATTGGGGGCATTTTACGACTTTTAACGACTGTTTCATTCTTCTGGAACCTCGACGTTCCCGCGGCCACACCATTGGATCTTTTCTTTTAACTTACGATATACGACTCCCTGCATGCAGCATAAAGCATATGCAACACTCCTGTTTAGCTATATTGCTTAATGTGTTGCGGGTGACGATTCTGTACCTTCTACAAACCGACTTTATTTCTTTGTTACGGCCTGGAACGGGAATGCAGAATGCTGATTGAAGGGCCGCCCTGCCACTCCTCACTACCTCACTCCCACACCCACCTCGGTAGAAGGACAATATTGATAATTCCTGATATACTCGAATTCTGAGGCAGCGCGGCCGACGATAAAGGAACGACACGACATGGTGGAGATTTGACGACATTTTGCAAACAACGCACGTGGCGGCTGAAAAATCTCATTCTCTCATTATCCCGCACTCCGGTGTCCTAGCACGCGCTTTTGACGAAGACCTAAGTTCAAACGACGTGAAGGATCCCTTTTTCGAAATCTACGATGATGAATGTTTGCTAGTTGGAAATAGTGTATGCTCGTGGAACACGCCCTTATTACTTAAAACCTTATCCTTCTTTTTATCTTCTATTGGAGGGGACCTGGGCGGGTTGGTTGGGGTTTGGAATACACAATCAGCAGCCTTGAGTCTCACGACATTTTTTATTCCACGGATGAGAACTTTGTTAAAGATGAGGCGGTGGTGACGGGCCTTTTATGAATGATAATGAGGAATCAAAAGCTGTTCTTTCTACTTGATATGACTCTTTGCGAGACGGTCCATGGATATGTCACGCCGTGTTGAAGGCCTGCCACGTGGGCCTGAATAGTCGCACCTGTTAGCTCTCCACTGCTCCATCTCAACGCAACAGTTATTTATTCTAGAATCTATACGGACACCTCTCAGATTGCTCTTAACGCCCTAATCGCTTCTCTATACCAACCGGACAGCACGAGAACCTCCTGGCCAACGACTACAAACCTCACTGCCACAACTTACCAGTGAAAGACGTAAGGTATGACTACAGGGACTATTACCGTGTCTTGGTATTCCGAACGCTACTTATCGGAAACGAAGACGGTGCATTCTCAAACAACTCTGCCCCCCATTTTACCCTTCGCAACCTTTTAGAATTCTCTGCTTATGTTGCTGGGGTCTAATATATAGTCCTTAATCTTGCTTTTCTAGAGACCTATAACCTGAGATTTTTAACTAGAGCACGGCGCACTTTTAATCAAATTGTACTACCCGTTCAGATCACGTGAGCCGTATCAGTTACGATACATACATCTACGTCTCATCCTCCCTGCCATACGAACGTACACAAAACCTCACCCGTACAAGCATCAAAATTGCCTAATCGTACAGTAATATGCCTCGTTGGAAGCGTTGGCCATTTCCTCATCGAGTAACATCGCCCCTTTCCCCCTGGGCAACTCCACGGCCGCCAGACGATCAAATTTGACGGCTTCGCTGAGAAGCTTCGATCAGAGGGGAGATTTCCCTGTGTAAGCTGTGGTTTCTAGTCCACAATCAAGCGAGAATTATCCGAATTTCTCTACTCTGTTGCCATCACAAGGCCCTGTTGGACCATGTCCTGCATGCGCACGCTACGGGATCGTTTGAGTATCATTTCCACAAGTTTAGCCTTCTGATTCGAGGCTGGCCAGGAGTATACTAGACTTGCAATATCAGTGTTACCATACCTGACGCCAGAGAGAATGGCAGCTTCGCGAAGTTGCCTAGAATGAAAGCGATGGTATATCGGGTTGACATCCATCTGAACGATAGGATGGTGAGCAACGATTCTGTACCGCGATGGCGAGCACATGATTGTGGTGGTAGAATTGGAACAATCCCCTCTCTGAATTCCAACAGACACTGAAAAGCAGCAATATCGCTGCGCTTACTGGCGATGAGCAACGGCAAATCCATTCAATGCAAAAAGTACCTCGGTACTAGTACGACGCTTAGGCATGTAGGTGCTACGTATATCTCCGACAGGCCACTTGCCACAGCAACTACTAGGATAGGATTCGTCGCCTCAACATTTTCGTATAAATATCTCCACTCTAGTGGGGGTTGGACCAGATGTACGAATATCTCTACCTTTAATCCATGGCTAGCAAGCGCGTGGACAGTGTATTCCTAGACTTCGTGCTTCAGCGCTGCATCCCTGAAAGTCGTGAGGCGCTCGTCAGGAGCATTTGCGACTTGTCGCAAACTACGAACAAGGTGACTATCACTCGAAGGAGATGTTTGCAGGCTATGCGCAGCAGATGCCGCATAATAGAGCATAGAGCCATTATTCTGTTTCCATAACTCCACGATGTCAGGCCTTTTAGTCTGGTGCGAGGAAGACAGAAGATTAGCTCGTCTGCAAAAAAATCTACTCACAGTCATTCTGTGGTTTCATAACAGCTAGTAGAGGGAAGGGTATTACAGTTTACGCGACGGGGTGAGAATGTCCTTGAAGATGTATTCTTGACAAAGTAGCGTGAAGTCTCACACAATAGCCAGAGAAAGGTCTAGTAATGGCATGATCTAACAGCCAGTCCCCGGCGTACGACATTCTAAGGCAGAAATCTCGAGGGGCTTTTCGGATACTAGTTTTTGAGTTGAGAGGGGGCAAGGCAGGAGCTTTAGTGTGGCGTGTTTCCAGAAGCGGCAAAGGGCTCCTTCATTTAAATGAAACTTCGAGAACGAGATGTAGATAGTCCAGTTGAGGAGTTGAAATAGGGGACTGGGATGAGTGATTGAGTTGGCAAATATCTCAGCAGCCGAGATACGTGATTCCACCGCTAGGCCCCGACTTTGGTTCCATTTGCGGCACAGGCGCCGCACCTCCATGGGTGTTGGACGTGGATAGAAATGAGTTTGAGACAAGAATTGCACCTAGGTTATGTGGAGGCAGGCCTGCTAACAAGAAGACGCGAAAACTACTCCCTAGAATCAAGACGATCGATGCTGAATGAAGGGCGAAGAATGGAGTGAGGTAATCCAGGAAGAAGACAGGGAGCGTACGTAAGCGGACCAGCCACTGTGGCACGCACCTGCCCCTCGGGCAGCATGAGTTCCTTGGCAGCCCCACGTATCGTCATCGGGGGTAAGCAAAGCAAGGACCTGCAACGCCAAAACGCGCACAACGAAGAGGCTGAGCCAGGCAGAGATCGAGCGCCCGCTATATCTGTTCGACCCGAGACACGCACCTTCTCCACACACCTTTTCCTCCAACCATGAACATCATCAAGATTCAGAGGTAGGCCGCCCGTCCGTCCCCTGGTGGTTCCATGCATCTCCCCCGGGTTCCACGGTACATAGCATAACAGCGCAGCTAACAATGGCCTGCACACAGAAAGTATCCGCAGTTCCAGCAGTCGGAGATCTTTAGCCTGCAGGATGCCTTCCGCAAGCTGGACGTCGACGACAAGGGCTACCTCGACGAGGCCACGGTCATCAAGTCGACGCAGCAGACGGAGCACCAGCCGTACGACGTCGTACGCCAGGCCCTGAAGGAGGTCGAATTGGACAGCTCGCGGCGCGTCGAGCTAGAAGACTATGTTGATGTGCGTATTCTGCCCGATCGGCGCACTTTTTTCTTAAGACGCACATAACTGACGGCTGTCGGCCAGCTCATCTCCAAGCTCCGCGAGTCCTCGCCCGCCCAGCAGCGTATGAACACGGGGCCGACTCGTCCGCGGGGCGGCACAGGCAGCGCGCCCTCCACCCCTGGCCACGCCCACAAGACCAGCCATGGCGGCGGCAGGATCCAGGTCCAGGGCTCCTCGGCCAACGTCACCCACACCATCAACGAGGACGAGCGCACCGAGTTCACGCGCCACATCAATGCCGTGCTTGCCGGTGATCCCGATATTGGCGACCGGCTGCCCTTCCCGACCGACACATTCGAGATGTTCGACGAGTGCAAGGACGGCCTGGTGCTCGCCAAGTTGATCAACGACAGCGTCCCGGACACGATTGATGAGCGCGTGCTGAACAGGGTCGGCAGGAAGATCAAGACGCTGAATGCCTTCCACATGACGGAGAACAACAACATCGTCATCGAGTCTGCAAAGGGTATCGGATGCTCCGTGGTGAACATTGGCAGCGGAGATATCATTGAAGTGCGCGAGCATCTGATTCTTGGTCTGATTTGGCAGATCATCCGACGGGGTCTGCTGGGTAAGATCGACATTAAGCTTCATCCCGAGTTGTATCGGCTGTTGGAGGAGGATGAGACTCTCGAACAGTTTTTGCGCCTTCCTCCCGAGCAGATCTTGCTCAGGTGGTTCAACTACCATTTAAAGAATGCCAAGTGGCACAGGACGTAAGGACACCCGCCTTCCAGCAAATGGGTGCGACATGCTAACTAGAATAGCGTCACCAACTTCTCCACTGACGTCAAAGATGGCGAGAACTACACTGTCCTCCTCAACCAGCTCGCCCCAGATATCTGCTCCCGTGCCCCTCTCCAAACCCGCGATCTCCTCCAACGTGCGGAGCAAGTCCTCCAGAACGCCGACAGCCTGGATTGCCGCAAGTTCTTGACTCCTACTTCCCTCGTAGCCGGAAACCCCAAGCTCAACCTCGCCTTCGTCGCCAATCTCTTTAACACTCACCCCGGCCTTGATCCCATCACCGAGGAAGAGAAGGCCGACATTGACGATTTTGATGCGGAGGGCGAACGCGAAGCCCGCGTCTTCACCCTATGGCTCAACTCCTTAGATGTCCAGCCCGTCGTGCAATCCTTCTTCGAAGATCTAAAGGACGGCACAGTCCTCCTACAAGCCTACGATAAAGTCATACCCGGCAGTGTCCAATGGCGCCACGTCAATAAACCTCGCCCAGGAGCCGAACTAATGCGCTTCAAGGCCCTCGAAAACACGAACTACTGCGTCGAACTCGGAAAAGCGAACTCGTTTTCCCTACCCGGCATGCAAGGCGCAGACATTACCGATGGTCAGCGAACTCTCACTCTCGGCCTCGTCTGGCAACTCATGCGAAAAGACATCGTATCTACTTTGCGCGGCCTCGCACAACGCCTAGGCAAGCGCGAAATCAACGACCAGGATATGATCAAATGGGCTAATGATATGGCGCGTAAGGGCGGGAAAGGTTCGCAGATCCGGTCCTTCAAGGACTCGAACCTCTCCTCGGCGGTGTTTTTATTAGATGTTCTGGCCGGCATGAAGAGCAGCTATGTGGATTATGATCTTGTGGCGCAAGGCAGAAATGAGGAAGAATGCTATTTGAATGCGAAGTTGGCGATTAGTATTGCGAGAAAAATGGGCGCGACGATTTGGCTTGTGCCGGAGGATATTGTGGCGGTGCAGAGTAGGCTGATAACGACGTTTATTGGGAGCTTGATGGCGACTTATGAGAGGATGGGCTAAGTAGGTGGGATTTGAAGGGGCTGGCTGCATGAGGTGAATTTAGGTCCGAGGATAGACAGTGGGTGATCCATGAGGAGGAGTAGAGTGCTGGTGTTCATTCTAACTCTCCTGTGTGATGTGCAGAAATCGTATGGATACAAGGATGGAAAAAAGACGGCGGCCCTTGGTGACGCTTTGGCTCGTTTTGATATTCTTTCTACTTATATTCTAGTCCTCATTTTACCAGATCAGGTCCAGATTCAACCGATTTTTCTTATCGCCGCCCTGTTCTGTTTGTCCGTGCAGTGGCATTCTGTCATGTACACATGTGCTGAGATTGAAAGCTACAGGAGCGGGCAGCTATGACACCAGCAGATTTTAGAAAGATTCCGCATGAGAACTTGCAGAACTTAGAAGTTCCAAGAGCAGAATATCACATGCAATTCCTCCCGGCAAACCCTCCAGGACCTAACCCCCCTTGCCTTTTACTTCCTCGCTTTCTTCCTCCACCCAACTCTCAGATTAAACAGACCTGCAATAAGTCTGTACGCGTTCCACACCATGGTGCCCGCTAAAAGTCGAGGTAATCAGCTACATAAGTCTCTGGTTTCTTTTTCCATCCATATAACTCGCAACTTGAACAGTTTTGAAATTAAGCTCTGTCGATTTTCCACTCATGGATTCCTCTATAATAGCAACAGCTGAAGAAATATAGGGTTCCGCATCTGGGTCTAGATGATGAAGGGGTAAACACCACGTTGGACGACATTATTGGGATGAAGTAATAAAAACAAGGCAGAGTATAACGATAGTGAGCGTTTCTCTGAGAGAGGGTAGGGGCAAAATGAAACCCTCAATAGCGTCGAGTTATGATCCACTGTAAGAATATGAGAAAGGAGGTGCGTGTGGAATTTTGCTTCTGGATGTAGAGAAACAGGGTGAAAAAATCGCAAAAGAGGCTTCGTGGGGAGAAGAAATAAAGCTACGACTGTATGATTGCACAAAGGACGGAAGTGGAACTCGGAGAATTTGAGTACATGGATTTAGATCGCGATCGCGACTACCTAAATCTACCATCCAGATCCAGGCGCTCAACTGCATGTAGTTCTGGTTCCATTCTTTTGCGGAAACCATATGTCTTCTTCCGGGAACTTTAGTCACATGTCTGTCCGCTCCAACTTCTCTCCTAAGACAGATACCTGCATTTGCACTATTTTTTACGATTTATTGCTGGTTTTACGAGCATAAATTAGACCCTCGCTTCATAAAGCACCTTCAGTGGATATATGTGGAAGGAAAAAAAGACATCCCAGAAATCTGCGGTGATGGTTTCCGCTAAAAGAACGGGAACTAAGCCGATGGAGTGCTACTATTTGATCTGTATAGCTGCTTATCAAACGCCTTCGAGGGGATATATGTAGAAGGGGGCAATACAATCATGGTGGTTATAATAAATGATGAGTGCTGGGTCTGGACAGGAGGTTGTGTGTTGGAGGTTGGAGGACTAAAACCGTGCAAGGAGTGGCTCATGTTAGGCGTGATGGTTTCGAGAAAAAAGCTAGAAAATATGATAGAATTGGTAAACGGAGTGGAGTCGGGAGTGAAATTGATTGCGGAGCGATTTTCACGCCTGGCAGAGAGAGTGGATCGAATAACAATCACGTGCTTTCAGGCTTCCTACCCAGGTATATAAATACCGCTTTGCCTCGCCTTGTGGGGCCTGATTATTTTCGCTCCCTCCTTGCTCGGTGGATTAAAATCGAGTGGCCTCTACTTCATGGGAGATGTAGCATAAAACATTAGAAGTTCTCACTTGTGTTGTGCGCTCTGTGGTGCTTGAAGAACTGGTCAGGTAAGCAAGAGATGGTGTCTGGATTGGTGACGTTTGGCGGATTGAATGTTAGATTGAATGTTAGGTAGTGCGAGAGTAGAGGGGGTGCTGTCAGCACAGCGTGAATAATTAAAAGATGAAAAGGTAGATGGCAAGGCTGTGGGCTATGGGGCTTGGTGTGTAGAGTGGGGTATGGGTTTCTTGAGAGCTTTCATGATGTGATGAATGTAGTGAGATGGTTGAAGAGAAGAAAGTGATACGATGCCTAGGTAAAGGCTGCGCGGAGTTGAAGGGTGTTTGAGCTGTTGAAAAATAGGCGAATGAGGCTATAGTGTGTGTTGCATGCTGTTGGAATGGCAGGGGAAATAAAGTAAGGGTTTGGTGACAGTCTTCGTGAATTTGTGAGTATACGATCACTGAATGTTCATACTCCTTCCAGCTTACCCCTAATCACTTCAAGTCTACGACTTGATTATGAATATCTGCTCACCAAGCCTACGGATCGATCTAAAATGGATCGTCGAGGAATTTGTATGTTCGTTCTGCGTGGACGAGAGTCTTTATGAAAATGATTGAAGTTTTTGGCTATGGTCTCTATAGCAGAGATCTGAGAGACTCTACTGGTAGTTATGATACTTAGATATCGGGCACTCAGCGCACCTGAAGGAGGGCTAGCGTGGACGAACGAATCGTTGCTGGTGAAAATGAATGATGTTGGTACTATGCTCTCTCCGTTCGGGTGTGTCGAAAAAAACTTCGTGGGTATCAATCATCCTCTTCCCAACTGTTCCGTTTCCGCAGAATGCCTGCTCTGATTGCACGTAGATAAACACCCCCCTCTACTTCCTAACTCTCACAACTTAGCTGCCGCATCAGGAAAAGAAAAGATGGTCATAGTCCTGCCGGGTTCTTAAAATCTCGGCAAGGATTGAATAGACTGCTTCAAGTCAGCTTGATATGTATCTTAATTAAAGTGAAGCATAATGAGGTATGAATTCTGAGTTTTCGTGCCGAAGGCAAATCTTGCGCTTTTATGTAGATTTTTACTTGTGAATGCAGTTGATTTCTAAGTGTGTGTGGCGGTGGTACCCAAATAGGCGTAGGGTAGTCGGCCCTACCCCTGTCGTCTGACATAAAATTCGAAATTAATATTGTGGCGTTACAACCAAACAATATAAGGTACAGTGAATTCCATTATTTTGCAACCGTGAGTGTGTCCACTTTCTTTCAACTCTCTCACCAAATGCCCTACTGCAAGACACAATGGCTCTCGAAACCATGGGCAGCACGTAGGATATCATCATTGTAAGATCCCCTCTAGTTTTCATGCCTGCGTTCTAAACGCCATATTCAAGGTTGGTAGCTCTCTAGCTAGCCTAATGCACGCGATTGTCCTCGCCTCACTGGGCCACAACGTCTACGTCCTTGGAAAGTCCCACCGCAGGTCCTTTAAAGTCAAGCAGCTAGCCCTGGAACTGGTGTAGATGTCAGGAAATTCATCGAGCAGTGCAAAGCGCAAAGACTCTTACGCAACAATCTTGAAAGCAGCGGAGATTGTGCGTGAGCAGGTATAAATCTTTAATTAGTTTCCGCTGAGTCAACCGTCATTTCATACAATGTAGTGTATCCTGTATAGAACGTTTCAAGGATGTGTTGATGGAGAAAGATAAGGAGGGATCACAGCAATCTATGAAACCAATAAACGGATGACAAGCGTAGATGTGTCTGGGGAGAAAGTCAAGGTAGAATACGTCGACATACTCACCGATCAAACTACATCCTGGAGGCAGAAATGGTTATCGCTGCCAATGGCGTCCACTTTACCATCCGGAAGTTGTTGTGTTCAGACATTGTTCCCTAACATGCGGGATACGTTATGTGGAGAGAGTCGCATCAGAAAACAAGGTCCAGGAGGCTACTAGGAAAAATTCTACAAACGAGTCAAATTTGTGCAGGGTTTATCGATCGATGTACATTGGGTTGGCCTCTATCTTTGCTGGAAAAGCTGTTGAAGAGCTGGAAGAAGTCTAGGCTAAGGCTCTAGAGCGTGGAATCACTTTTGACACCAACTTTCACGGATATGTTCGAAAACAGGCAGGATCCGTTCTTTTCAGGAATTATACCTTGCATATCGGCAAGGATTTTTTGCTTGGTGGAAAGTTATTGCTTGTCGGTGATGCCTTCGCACTCTTCCGGCCTCGCCCGGCTGCCAGCACTAATCAAGCTGCTAGGCAGACTTGAGGGCTAGAAAAAGTATTTGTGAGTGAAATCAGCTTGGAGGAATGGGGGAGGCACTTGATTGACTACGCGGAGAAACTCGCAGAGAGGAGTGTGTCTCTTGGGGAGTATTGTTTTACGGGAGTTGTGCCGCCATTGTTGCGAGGGCAGATTCTGACAATAAATAAGACTCCCCAGTGATAGGTTTAGGGATCCGGACTGCCTGTGGAGACTCATGTGGGAGGAACCCGATCCACTACTTAGCTGCTGCCTTTTTGGCTCTTACTTTAGTATCTCGGATCGCACGTAACGGCAACGGTTTGATCCGGACTGAAAACGACACACATTTGACCCATTTGTTTCAATGGCTGGCTTTCATCCTTTTCCGTTAACACTCAATGCAACCAAACTACCTCTTGAACCTGTGAATATAGAGTATGGAATACAACGGGAGCAATCGGAACGTGCGTGCGGGTGTGGGCGTCAGGCAGTACCTCGTCCGCTGCGCAATTTTAGTGACCTCGATGAGGCATTTATGCGCTGGTCCGGAATTACTGGCGTTAATCCCTGTTGTTAGTACCGTAGTTTGTAGTAGGCACCAGCACGGGATCATGATTGGCACGCAGTTAGTTGGTTACGAAGAGCACTGTTCCTTTTTCATTTTATCGAGTAATTTGGAGATGTGGGCTTAGCGGAGACTATCTGGGAGAATACACTTCATAGTCTGTTCAGGACAGCATCCAAAAGGTATTGTACGTCAAGGATATGGCGGGTATATAAGTTTGAGATCAAAGACATACATTGAAGAGAGTAAAGTTGAATGTTTGATCGAGGGCTGACTACTCTTCGCGAATTTTCACTGGATGTGCCCATTGAAAATGTTTAGCCAAAGTTGCGAGGTGAAATCGGAGTCTCAACGACTACAGCCTTATGCATCAAGTTATGAGGCATGATCCTTGCTGTTTGCCTCGACGACGGTGGGCAAATCGAACGGAAAGTGGGGTTAATTGTCCCACAGCATCTCTCGTGATGGTTCCGAAAGGGCGTTTAGCTCTGCTACTCCTGTTCCGCTACTCCGGTTCCGCTACTCCGATACTTCCTTGAGCTGAGATGAAAGATTTAGTTGCCTCGATGTTGTTCTCTTGAAAATTGACGATGGATGTGGTGGCTGTAAGTGAAGAGGGCAATGCGAAGTTCCAATTGCACGAACCTCGACTTTTCGCTAGACCGGAGTATCTAATAATCCGAGCATCACCTAACCTTGGAATACAAATGTCGCCGTAGATATACTATTGATATTCAGGCTTGTTACACTGTATCTCCTGAACGCTCCTCAGACAAGAGCGGCCAGCCACCACCCGGCTTGATTCTGCAACTGTTTGCACTCCTCGTTCACTTTAACTACTTTCGCAGCTTATTGGACATGAGTGTTTTTCTATGTCCAAGGTGTACGGAATGGACGTTTCGATAGTTATACATATGAATTGCTCAGATGCCACCGTAGGATGCTCGAGGGTAGGCCAATGCAAGTGATGAAATATGTACTACCCACTTCCCGCATTATCTCCTCGTAACTGTCCGCTCGCACGGCACATGACTCAAGCCCGAACGTTTATTGGTTGCTTTTCAGGCAGTTTATCTCTCAGTCACTAAGTAAAATATCCACAATTTGCCCCTTTCCGATCTTCTCGTAGCTTTGCAAACTCCCATATATATTCAATCAATCACTTCCGATAAAGACTGCAGCCTAGAAACCATGGCCACAAAGTCTTCTGTTCAAACTACAGAGGCCTCCTCATCCGACAAGAGGAACCTCCCAAACATCAATTCTATGCTCTGTATAGCCAAAGAATTCTCAAATCCGTCGCAGGGGGTTATTACCGAGACCGCAAAAGATGACATCATCTGCCCTGGAGATATCACGCTTGCCACGCTTAAGTTGAGAGCAAAGCTCTTACCCGAAAGCACCGTATGCGAAACCGCCTAGGAAACAGCTCGGGATTGGCTGAACAAGTGCCTTGATTGTCATCCCCTCTGTCGGGCTTATAAAAAGGTGGGCCACCAGGATTTTCTTCCTGCGAGACTGACCGACATTGGGACTCCCAGAAGACCCGACTGTCGGCTTGTATATTCATATCATGATATCTTGAGTTTGAATCCCATTCGGTATCTGACCTGTAACCATAGGTGGCAATCGAGGACATGCCATACCCAAACTAGTTGATCGAACCCGAACAACGCGAAGACACCGATAAGTGCTAGCTCCTTCCCAAAGAGCTTCCAGGACGCCTAAATCTTACTCGGGGGCATGGTGCCCGATCGCATTGCATTGATGCACTCTCAACAGTCTTGCTAATAAGCAAGTTTGGCGTTTTCAAGGTCCTGGCTTGACTTGATTGATTACTTATTTGGGTTAGTAACCTTCCTGTATAGGTTTAAAGTGTCCTAAATAGGCATAGCACTTATCTCTGATAGTATACTTAGCTTGCTTGCTGATAAGTCTGGTTCTGTATTATCCAAGATGGTGAGGGCGACTGGCAGAAGGAAATTTCGAGCTTTGTCTACCAGAATGCGTAGTGCAACATTGGAGCAATTAGCGTTTCCCCCGTTGGAAGCCCCTCTTTTGGGTTATTTCTCAACAGCTGCCCGGTCCAAAACTTTGAAACTTACCGCAAACGGTGTCGCCAAACGTATTATGCATACACTCGGATATATTCACCCCTCCCAACTCGTTTGCTCTCAACAAAAGTGGCGGGGGATTTGAAGAGCGTTTACTTAGTCATCGAACCATTCACTTTAAGCAATTGTTAAGCTAGGAATAATCTCACGTTGCTGCATGTGAAGGATTTCTAGATTTAAGGTGTAGGACGGGCTCAGGTGGAAGCCTATATGCGCTAGAGAGACGACTGAATTGTTAATTCCGGCGAGGTTATGTGGAAAGCCGCTAGCAATAGGAGGAAATAGTGGAAAACTACAGCGCATGTGAGTTGATAGTTGAGTCTGGCACACTTGCCGCTTTCCCTAGTCTAGTAAGCCGATATCTGGAGATATTAGGTGAGAACTAACATTCTAGGCATTGAAAAAAAAATTACAGGATCTGCCAGCTTCATAGGTTGGTCACAAAAATTATTACAGTAGATCTCAAATTGATGAGTCGGTGAACTGCCCAAGCTCCCAAGCTCATATAGAGGTGGGTGGAATCTGGGATCTGTGCTTTGATCTACCATCTGCTGATTCTTCGTTTAGCGTCCTCTTGGTCTTGCGGAATCTGCTAGCATCTAGGCATTATTTACTCTTCGTGAGCTCGAATGAGTCGAGCACTTCCTCATTGATGTAGAGGAAACATCTATTTCTCCTTATACGTTAGATTTCTTTAGCCAGACCAATTCGGCATACTCCTTGCTATCGGGTCACGTGAGGCTCACCAATATACGGCCAGTGGTTATAGGCGCCCCGGACTCGAAAAGGGCATCGGCAAATTTTATAATCTCCACGACGAAGGGAGGCATCAGGAAACGTCGAAACCGGATATGCCGAACTAGTCAAAGACGCGTTACTAAGTGCAGGTACTTAGTTTCTCCGGGGTGAGCAAGGAGCCTTATTATGCAGGTTGTAGGTTGAAAACCCCACGAATATTCTTGAACTAGGATTTTCATGCATCCTTGGGGTACCAAACGTACAGGCAGTCCTGAATCCTACCTAGACTTCATTGACTTCGATTCTGTCAATTTTGAGACGCAGACAATTACAATAGTTTGGATTATCTGTTTAACGCATTAATTTGGGATATCAATAATGCCGGTACTAGTATTCTGCCTACTCGTATTCTCCTTACCACTCCTATAGACCTCTAGCCATGTATGATCGAGCTCAGCCCCAGAGCTGAACTATGACTTGCTGTATTCAGGAAAGTCAAACTTACTAATTAGTTCTCAGCCTCGGTTCGGAGCCTTGTTCTGGTGAGATTAGGCGCCCAGCGATCAACAACTTCCAGGCACCCAACAGTCTACTTATGTTTCTCCAAGGTAGCGCACAGAACAGAGTGTGGATGACTTAATTTTGTTCCATTTTTTCATCATTGGGATTGAATAAGAAACTGGTAGAAGCGCTTCTTCTCTTGCCTTCGATTTCCTTGGCCGGGTTGTGGTTTGCATCTTTGTTACCTACTGAACAAGTCTTAGGTAGGTATCTATTTCGTTGAATGCTCTAAAGGAATTTTATCTGCCCCTTTCTACCTGGTTAATGTCGCTTACGTCTCAAAATTTCCATTTGGGTGAGTTGTAGCTTCCTTTCATCCCCCATCGTACTAGACTCTAGACGAAAGTAATTAAATCAGAGCTTCTATATTCTCGTTACATAAAACGCATCAACTAATCCTAGAAGATAGTTTAAAATCGGTAGAGCATGATTAAGTCATCAATATGCTCCGTCTGCAAAGACCTCCTAATCCGCCCTGAGGAGCCCCTTGACCAAGAGGTTCGAATACCCTACGAGCGGGAGACCATACGTACTTCAGCAAGCGAGGGTTGCCCTATATGTCTCATACTCTGGGATCGAATGTGCTCTTTGAAATCCACACTTTCTCCGGATGAACCTATTCACGGAGTTATGTGTTTCTACGATCCAATGTACGCTAACCACGATATTGGGAATGAGAAAGAAGACCCTGTGCGCCTCTACTTCGGGGTCGGAGATGGGACGGGCTGGGAATACTTCTTTTCGGCTTTTCTCAAGATTTATCTAAGGTTGCAATCTGAAGTTTCGGATCGAGAGGAGATGATTATCAAAGAGGGAAGTGATGCGTACGAACGACCCTCGATTGCCGTCTCCTCAGCTATTCCATCAAGCAATACCGGCGATGATTTATGCCTAGAGCGAATGAAGGGGTGGCTCCAAAAGTGTCTACGAGATCATAAGCTGTGTTGTCTCAATGATGCAAACAAAGAATCCCTACCAACGAGGCTGATCGACATGGGCAACATTGACGGGCCCCGACTCGTTGTATGCAAAGAGGAAGGTATGGACATTCAGAAAGCCCAATATGTCACAGTCAGTCATCGGTGGCGTCAGGAGGGCATGCCAAAGTTGCTTAGATCGAACGCCGAAACTTTGAAACAGCGAATCGACCCGACCATTCTGCCTTTGGCTTTTCAAGACTCTCTTATCCTAGCGAAGCGTCTTGATATTCGATACATATGGATTGACGCCCTGTGCATCTTACAGGATGACGAAAGCGATTGGGAGAGAGAGTCATCTATCATGGGCCAAGTCTATCGCAATGCAGTGTGCAACTTTGGGGCCTCCGCTGCGGCGAAGAAACCTGTTGGGCTGTTCATTGATCGAGACCCTCGATTAGCGTCCGCGTTTTCAGTATCCATTCATCGAAAAGGCCATGAAGAAAAATACTTTGGATACACGGAGCAGATGCACGATGACGTCCTAAAGACAAATCTCTCAGACCGTGGCTGGATCCTGCAGGAACGTTTACTGAGTCCTCGCTCCGTTTATTTCGGTCAACAGCTCACATGGGAGTGTTCCGAGCTAGTAGCCTGCGAAACCTTCCCCGAAGGCACCCCTGCAACAAGATATCTGTCGCCGTGGGGTAGATCTGGCTACCCCTTTAGAATGACAAACCTGCTGCTAAAGAATCTCAAATATACGCACAAGGATGAAGAGCAACATGAAACCAAAGAGATCTATCGAAAATGGTTATATATCGCCGAGGAATTTATGAAGTGCCGACTTACATACGAAGACGACAGATTTCCTGCATTGTCTGGCCTTGCAAAATGCTTTCAACAGGTTTTGAACGACGAGTATGTCGCTGGGCTGTGGAGAAATGATCTTTTACGTGGACTGCTTTGGCGTACACGCCCTAACACTAGAAATCTGCCACTCAAAGGTCATGCACCATACCCTTCGACATATCGTGGTAAGCCCACAATGATTGCAAGCCCAAAGGTCTAGCTAACTCCTCCGTAAGCACCTTCATGGTCTTGGGGTTCCGTAGCTTTTGAGACTTTCAATGAGCATGTCCATCACATGCTCCCGATCAGATATTATGCAGACATAGAAGAAGTATCAGTGACTTTGGCTGGATCTGATCCAATGGGGAAAGTATCGGGAGGATACATTCGCATCTCTGCCTATATGAAAAAAAATTGCACGCCAGTATCCTGGGCGGTGGACCGTTATCCTAAAAGAAGTCCCGATCATTTCGACGATCGGGAACGCCCGCAAGGGAAAGCACCACCCTCGGGCGCCCTACATCTTATTCTCGGCTATAGCGAAGTTTCCGTATGCAATCAGAACAAGGGAGAAAGTGGCACGTTTAAGGACGCAACCCTTTCCGGATTGATCCTCGAACCGACTAGAGAAAACGTGGACGAATACCGAAGAATTGGCATGTTCACTCATGCATGGGGACCGGGGCGTCGGAACGATCCCGACCACTTTCCTGAATCTGTTGACTTCGAGAACGAGGGTTTTGAGAGACATTCTGTAACGATTATTTGAATTTTGTACGGTATGATATCCACATCCAGCACACCTTCAAAGTTTTGTGGGTATGTACAAAGTGTCCAGGTTGTCACTTTCCGCGCGAGGTTGACTGTGGCTCTCACATATTATATCAGCCTATTCAGCACCATTATTTCGAATTCTCCTCAATAGCCTTCCTTAGCTCTTTCGCCTTCGCTCCCGTGACTCCTTCCATAATATCGCCGTCCTTGAAAACACTGAATGTCGGCATCTGACTGACACCTAGCTCCTGTGCGATGTCCGGCGTCTCCTCCACATCATACGTGTAGAAATGCACATCCGGGAATTCGGAAACCATCTTTTGAACTTCAGGGGCGATGGCCTTGCATTGCGAACACCACGCGGCAGTCCCTTCGAGGACAGTGACACCTTCGTACATTACGGCTTTGAGATAGGCAGTTTTGGAGTCCAGTATTGGAATTGTGGTGGAGTTGGATGCCATTTGGAAGTTGTTCACGTGGTCTTGATGGGTGAGATGATGTGGTCCCGATGGTTGAGGTGGGTGGGGAGGTTGGAGCTGACGTTTGAAATACCTCGGCAAATGATGTCATTCACCACGTGTCGGACGGCGCTAACCTATTTTGGCGCGACTTCTTTCCGTATCAAAAGTCTATCCCTCCAACCCATTTGCAATTATTCCAAGCCCTAGCCGCATAATGGCTCTGATCTTGCGTGCCCTAGTGATGCAACGGTCTAATTGCTCTTCATTCAGTCCAAAATGAGGCGCTTCCTGCTCTAGATACTTGCAACAAACTTCGCCACTGCGCAATACCCATTCTTCGACACTACCTGGGCCGGTGCAGTCGTTCAACACTCTAACGCATCTTCCGCTGCGAATTTCACCTCTATCTCCGCAACTCTTATCATTCCTTCTCTGCAGCTTCCACAACATCCGCACATGATTGCTGATGAGTACTTGGCTTCCTTTTGGGCTGGGCTGGATGGGTACCAAAATCCAGATGCGCCCGCATTAGCGCCTTGTGTCAGAGCGGCGTTGTAGGAAATATTTTCTCTAACGGAACTTCGGGATGGGTTGGATTCTACGAATGGTACTACCTTGTCTTTTGTTACTTAAGGGAGTTGGTGCTCATGTGCGAATAGGATCCCGGAGGACCCCATCTATGTTTCCGCGAACGACCTGACCATCCTCGCTAACCACCATGTCTCCATTAGCATCAACACAACGAACGGAAGGCATAATGGCACCGCCACCCTTACGAACGAAAACATAGCCCAAACCTTCACCATTAGTCGCGCAGCGCCTACGACTTGGCAGGGCCCTAATGGGTTTACACCAGGATACTCCGCTGAGGTGGTTGTGGAAGCTGGAACGTATTTAAAATATACCCAAGTCGTTCTTCCGGGCTGGGGAAATGCAACGTTCTTGAATGCGCGGAAACACATTGGAGAAGATGTCGTAGTTGAGTACGTGGAAGAGAGTGTGTCATGATACTAATTGTACCGACCGTGGCCATCGCATTTCTGGCCAAGCCAATGTTCGTCGAGGCTAACTAGCGAAGGCTTGATTTAGTCGAATTTGTGCTCAGATCTAAAGGACGAGCCGATCGAAAGGCATCTTATAAAGATGTCTCACCTGTCTTCTACCGTTTCCAGGATAAAAAGGAATGATTAGAGTGAGATGAAGGGTAGCAAGAAACCTTAACACTCCCCGAAAGCCACGTCACTGATCTGCGAACTGCTGAATAATGATTGATGGACGAGGTTTAGCAAAACCTGCCTCTAATCAGTTCGCAGTTTCTAGAGTACGGCGCTATGAACGTCATTACATTTTTACAGAGTATCTGCCACATCAGTCATTCATTTTATATTCTGCTGGATTGAGCACATACTAATTCCGCTGCTTTCTCATGCTATCCAACAGCGCACCGTTCTAGGAAGCACTCCAATCCGCCATGGTCAGACGGGCTCTGTGGAACACCCAGGTCTCCCCAATCTTAAAATCCCACCGATTCTTCGGAAATGAGAGGCTTATTCCCTGCTAACTAGTTGCTGATAGTTCAAATCTGCGATTTCCGGAGCTGCTGTTACTCGATATGGCCATAGTATCCTTCGAGTAAAGCATCTTGCATCCAGTAAGCCTCTGCTAGTGTGCAGATGCCAGAATCGCTTAATATTGCGCTCAATCAACTTCGCACCTAGACTTGCCAATAAGCTTTGCCCACGAGTGTTCCGGCCACGTCGCCGCGTGTAGAGAAGTATTCTGTTTTCTCGTTTCGGTCAAGATAATCGAGCTGTCTAAGCATTTCGAGAATCTCGCCTTGTTTGCATAGAAGGATTCGTACGTGTAGGCGGTCAAACTGTGTGAATGCGCAGTGGCTTCGATTGTTATTTTGGAAGGTTTCCACGTGTGCGTAGCTGATTCGGAAGGCCTCGATTATTCGGGCTGTGTATGGGTAATAAAATAATTGTGATAAGGAAGGAGGGAGGTGAAATACGTCCTAGTGCAGTCCCTGTACTTAAAATATGTTGTGTTGCCGAAGAGTGATGCCAGTTGAAGGGCTTCGTAATGCTAAACTAGAAGGGCGGCTTAGGCATGCTAAGGCAAGATGTTCACATCTTGATAACCTGCTGAACCTTTTGGAGGGATAGCTGCTAGTCACCATCTTTTCGCTTATGTGTGCCGATTCTCGACTCACGGGACATTACAAGATCAGTGGCGCTGCGAGTTCCGACAGTGTGTAATATTAGAGGCCGGGCAAAGAGAAATTTCTCGGCGAGCATATAAATCGGTTAGTTGTATACTTGTTCCGTTCATTTGAGGTGGGGCCAACCACATAGCGCTATGAACGAGTGCGACGTCACAGTCTTACAATTGGTTTTGGAACATACATCGATCATCTTCCTTCTGCATTTACTTATTCATAATATTACAGCAGCGTATCGGCCCCCCCGCAATTCCTCAGCTTTATCGTTCGCCAATCACTAGAAAGCCTGTCGCAACCATTTCCTTCTGAACATAGAAAGGTATTACGATGAGAGCCCTAGTGAGTCTAGCACAAGGGAATGGTATTCAGTCACACTGCCTAGCCATTTAGTCTGCACATATTTCCATGGCCAGTGGTCTTGATAACCAATGGTCCTTTCGGGCTGAATCTAGGTCTCGCGCAACGTGTACGATTTTGTCGATGGAATATAGCGAATCACTAGGGAACTACGGTTTATTTAAGCGAAATGAGTCTAGGCGAGTGAGGGATTTATTATTGCTGGGCCTGATTTGCAGAGGAGTCCATATGGGCTTGCCTGGACTTGGATACAGCCGATATTTATGCATCAGTCGCGGGTTAAGAGTTTCTTTTGCTACGGGTTGCAAGACGGAGATATGCCTGTGGGTTCTGTTACGATATAGTTCTGGTTATTTACAGCTAGTGTTGGCCTAGCATATCCTTGATGACTTGTGGAAAGGGCGGTTGCAGTGGGGTAAAAGGCTAAGAGCCCAAAAAGATGCGGGTGCATATCGCAGCCATAGTCCCTCAAATATAAGCTGGTCTTGTTTACTTCAATTAGGTATCTGGTAGTGTCGACAACCGGCTGCTTTACTGGACAGAGAGGGGGCTGGACTTCGGGGCACGAACTTATGGCCTTTTAGACCCTCTTTAGATTGAAGCTAAATTATCTCGTCGTCTCGTGTCTAATTCCTGGTACTGAATTGCAGCTCTCACTTCCTATTGGGGTATTTGTTAGAAAAAGATATAGAGGCTAAGCCATGATATCGCCGGATATCCAGTCACTCTGCTTTGATGTTTATCGGACTGGCATCGAAACTCAGCCAAATTCATTTGCAGCCGGTTACACCTCACTACATACAAGCTATAGACGCGTATCGTTAAGTTAGTGTGTCGAGGTGGCTTGCGAGCTTGTGGCTACGTTGGAAAACGTCCCCGTGCCGACTATGTCTTAAAGAAGTCTGAAGTGACAGTATCTGCTTTCTCATCTCTCTAAATAGCAAGACCGACGAAACAGGGAATTATACTCAGACGAGCATTAAATTCTCCTTTTCATAACACTTTAGGTTCCAATATGCGCATACTACCAGAGTCGAACAAGGATACCGAAGGATAGTGTAAGGTGTGAGGAGCTCGAAAGGGCTCCAGGGTGGCTATATAGCGTACAGAAAAGGAGCTAGCCTTAGTGAGTGAATAGCAGAGAGCAGTGGTACGATATCACGCGTGACAGTCGCTCCTATCAAAACGCGCCCGATACATACGCTTATTCAGACGTCCAGATAAAATTTGCTCTATTTCGAGATTGATCAAGAGTTCAATTCTATCGTACAGCTTTCTCGCTATGATCTTTCGTTTCAGCTTACCTTACTGAGACAAAACTGACAAGCTTGCTCGATTGATCGTATTGCTAACGCGAGAGTTGCCCCATTGTCGGGTGTAGGTTCTATGCCTTAGGTGATGTTCCAGGCCCACCAGCTCAGGTAAATCACCGAGAAGCAGCTCGATATCATTCCTATCACTAGCAGTTCTGTTATCTGAAATATGCAGGTTACGGCGGAAAATTCTCCCTTAGTCGCGGTTCTAAGTCCAGTATGGTCTCCATCCATCGCAGTACCAACACACCAATTGGAATCGTCGGTCCGATCTGTTTCAGAGAACCCGTGCCAAACAATAATTTCCATGTTCCATCATCCCAAGTCGCACCACATTATCTGCATGCATTGCCGATTGGACTAGTATAGGTTTTGCTGCTCTCTTGTAAGGACGAGTTGTTTTGGTGTATAAGTGACGCATTCGGAGACGATAGTTACAACTCCAGTACGATGTAACGAATGTCGATAGACGAATCCACCGTTGGCCATGCCTTGTCCTATGGGGGTCTAATAGTGTGATTCTTATCGAAGTCGATTTTAATACTATTAGGAATGTACTTGATGTCCTGGACCAGTGTTCGGATGCTAGGGCCGCCTTCGCGGCAGGTGACGGCTCGCGGAAACATCAGGCCGTGGTCTTTTCCAGAAAACCAGAATCAGTATTTTGGATGAATGTAGTATCTAACTCTACGTGGACGAAAAACACACGGCCATTTGAGTGGCCCATATTAACGGTCTGCGTTGGACTTTCTCAATTGCTTTGTTTGTTGCCGATGGTGGCGACGTCTCCTGAAAATGAAAAGTAGTTTAATAAGAGTCTTGAATTTTGAATGGATTCGTTATTTAGTTAATGAGCACGGCGATATGAACGGAAATAATTCGAGGATGTGGAGCCGTAATATTTCGATGGAACAATCCCAAGAAACCAAATCCGTACACCAACATAAAATCGGTCCTAGAAATCTGTAGTGGCGTTTTTGGAGTAGGTCTCACAGACTTTAACGACCAAATTCAGCAGTTATCATATCATATATCTTTCTTTTCCTGATCCTTCAAGTAAAACTGACGCTGGAACGCAAACATATCCTCAAACCTACAAAATTCTGGAGGGCCAAGCTCAAACTCAACCGGAAAATTTTGGAAATGCCCGTTAAGAAGCGCCAACAGCTCGCTCTTCTGCCTTTCTGTCAGATGTCGCACCAAGTACGCCATACTCAAATGCAGACTATAGGAATCATGGCCAGGATGGCGGATCTGAAGTAAATCAGCGAGCCTATCACGCAGCTGTCGCAACCTTGCTGCCTCATCCGAAGTGCTAGGCTCCACGTGTAGTCCGATTCCGACTTCAAGCGGCTCAAAGCCTGTGATGGACATTCGGTATGGTGGGTTGCATTGCAGATCGAACAAGGCGAGCTTTTCTGTAAATGTAGCGTCACATTCTTCTAAGTGGGCGTCCGCAGCCAGGTCACTGGGCCAGAAACCTGGCTTGCGGATTTGGTCGCAGACGCCTTCGAAGACTGTCATATGCCAACTCGAGGGTGGGAGTAAAGCAAAAAGGGATGAGAGGGGACTTTGGCGCAGCTTTTCATAGAGAGAGAGGAGGGACGCGTATAGGTCGCTGGATGGAGAAAGGTGAGAGATGATTGTGTTGCCAGGGAAGGGTTGCACTTTGCCGTCGATGTCGAACTTGCTGGGAATGCCAAGCGGATATCGTGGTTGAGGAACATTAGCGTTTTGTTGATGTTCCATTTGGTTGGATGAAGATTCCATGTTCGAGTCCAGTCCACAATGATACTCTTTCTTCGTTGACTTTCCCTCAGGATGGAAGTGTGCAAAGGCTGTGAGGCTGAGGCTTGTCCTCCCAAGATATGCTGGTGGATATGGCCTGATGGCCCACGCTAGCTGAAGTAGCTTACCGAGATGCGCTCGTATTCCATTCCAAGGTTGTCTGTGCAATACCCAACCTCAACCTCAGCGCTACAGTACATAGTAAAATAATTAAGTACCTCCATCACTCTCAACCACATACTGAACACTGGCGCTCGTATCTCTCCGATGTCGCACTTCTTGACGATGCCGGGCGTCTCTGGGGTACATGCACATTATCCTACAGCCCACGATGATTGGTGTTTTTGAGCTCAATCTTCCGCTGTGCCGTATTGAGGTTTCAGGGACCCAAGGCGGCAAATGCAGCATGTCTCACAATCACTGGTCTGGTACATTGAAGTCACATGGCTGATTGATTGATTTAGCATTTGGTGGCACTACTTATATGAACCACCCTTCTACTCACTTTTTGCTTGATCTCTGGTAACAACTGACTCTATCTGCTATCTCGCTCTGCTACGCAGTCCTTGCCACCGTCTATTATCGTCCCTCAATACCTCAGGAGATAGGTAGCTGACTTTCCGTTCACAAAACGAACACCGCAAAGCATATCTAATGCCGTCATATCCGCGTCTCCTGCGGTAGGGCCCCACAGGTTGCCCTGGCATCTGCTGAACTTACCACTGGAGACCTGCTGCCAGATATTCTTTGAAGACCTTATGTGCGAAATCGAAGAGGGCCATCCATATCCGCTAGGGCACATATCCCTTCTCTTTGACGGACAATTGCACCCGATCGTCTTGTGGGGCCTCAGGAGCGAACTAGAAACATTGGAGAAAAGAGTCTGGAGGCGCTTAGCATTTTTGGGGGAAAAAGCTAATGACTCGACTCATGCGTACTAGCAAAGGGCTCCATAAAGAAGTCTCTTACATCTTATGATCAGACTTTGTGCTACCTTTCGCACTTTGAGATCCGATAAAGAGAGAGGACTAGCTAGGCTGAGATTTCATAATCAATCCAGCTAAGCCCCTTCTTTTTTCACTTGGGTTTAGTGGCAGAGTTCCCGATACCTTTCTGGTAGAAACAATGAGGACAGGAAGGAGGAAGCTGGTATCATGAAAGATGTCCGCATCTTCCCTGGAGTAGTCATCATTCGATTTCAGATCCTCTAGATCGGAGGCAAAAAAATTAAATCGACAGCAGCTAAAACTGCGACTGTCGAGAGAATAAATCGATATGGATGCCAAATATCTGGATGGCCAGCTGGGATCTCCTTAAGCGGTAATAACACCCCATAATAGGAGGGTGATGGATCAAACTTCTACGAGCATTGCATCTCCATGAGATGCTCGAACACCCTGAGTCGAGCCACGGAATTACAACCCTGATTTAAATCGCTCTACCATATCTTCCACTTCGAGTTGAAACTCATGAAGTGGACCGCGAAGCCTTCGAATGGGACAGATGCTTCTTGTGGAGTTCCATCAAAGTCACCCGTCTTGTAAATCCGGAAACACTTCGATTGCACGTCTTCGCTAGTCTGAGGGTCGTCTGGACTCGCGATTTGAATTTAGCTGTCAGAATAACGCCTAGGCCAAATGTTTCGGATCGTAGATCATTCACGCGCAATGCCTCCCAGGGTAAAATCCCGCATGTTGTCATTATTTGAAGGCGTGACCGCCACGTTTATGACATAGAGGGCATCAGGGCTGCTAGAGATTACGGTATGTACGCCAGGTCTTCCGTCTGCCTTCGTTGGAATAGTCGACCATGATATCGTGAGGCGTATTATAGTCCATTTCCTCATCCCCACCGTAGTTTCAGGAATAGCCAGCTCGATCCCCGTTTGTATTGAGAAGGGCAGTATTTGGCACGACGCCCCTTTACTCTCTTCATCGTAGATCTGATTTCTTTGCTCCTCGCTGACTCCTGGAGCATGGTCCATGCCATTCCCGATTTGGACTCAGATTTTCGGACTGTCAGTCAGCAATTGATGTGGAACAGTTCCATATTAGGCTATAATATCTTTTCAGAGTAAGCCGTTGAAACGAGACAACGATCGAAATAAGTACGGAGGTGTATGTGTCCGATCCCAGGTGGAGACGAGAGTTCTAAAGTTCCTCTAGCTATCGGCTAGATTTAGTATTCAATCTATACCCAGATTCGCTATCGAGATGTGACAAAGTGGAAGGACTAATCCGCCTATTAATGGCTTTGACTTCGATCCGCAGTGTGTGAAGGGGCTTTAAAAACAAAAAACCCGAATTCGCAGATGCTCGACCCACCAAGTTTCTCGCTGTATATCCCCGGGCATAGCTACGTGGTTTCGCTTTTGTCCTTAAGCGGTGTATGTAAAGACCTGGGAATAAAAGCCAAAAATAACTTGGCAAGTTTGATTGCATTCAGAGCCTGTAGTGGAAGTATCAGGAATATGACAGCGCAGCAAAGCATTCCGTCTTCTGGTCGGTAAGGCACGCTTCTGATTCTGGAACTTTTTTGCCCAGAAGCAAAGTGAACTTCCAATATGGGGGTTAATTCTAGTATCAATTCCTTCTAAGAACATAGTCACCGTATGCTTTTTCTCTGGTTAAAGGGGACGCCGTGTAGCGCTCCGTTAGATGTGTTATATTTCGAAAGCTGACTGCTTGGAGAGTCAACTTTGGAGTTCTCTACTAATTTCCACTGCTTCGAAGAACACATTCACTGCGTAAATTTTCTCCTGAGTGAAGATGACACTCAATTGCATGGCATTCGATGTACCAAGATTCAACTTGGCATTTTAGCCACTGATTCCTTTCCTGCATGCGTAGAGGTGACAACTTTCAGGGCAGATGTGCTTTGTATAAGCAGTCCAATAATATTAAGTCGTAGCCAGAGAGTTATCATAGAGGCCAGCACAGTCACAAGTCGACTCTCATTACAGCCGCCACTTTAAATCTACATCTCATTTTGCAATCTATGTACTTCCTCTGGTCCAGTTTATTTCTGTTCCCTATATCTACAAAATGCTTCATCTCATCCATCTTCCTTGGATCGAAGGCACGCGTACCTGCTTGCGTTCCTGGACGCTACGGTGACAAAGCATTAAAATCCGGATTTTCTGAATCCATGACCCTGCAAAATCAGTAGAAAGACGTAAGGGTGGTAGCAAAGGTGGTGGTGGCAACAGCCCAAACTTGTATGATGGTCATGGGAGTTCCTGGTGGAGGTGGGCCAGGAGGCCAAATTAAAAGTTCACCTAGCAACTCGACAGACTCGGGTAGACTCGATAGTCCAAATAGTGGGACCCAGGGAGGCCTTGGATGCTAGAAAAGAGGGTGGCGTCCGAGGTGGATTCCCTGTGTCGAACGTGTGAACCGGGATCGTCAAACAACAACCAGCAATAGAAATAGGATCGGCAATCTGAAGCAAACAAAGATCAGACGCCAGCAGGGCAGGTTCCGCCAGACGATCTCCAAGAGGTGCCACTGCCTCAAGAGCTAGAGCATATTCGCCCTTCGCTTGACGATATAGAGACGAGAATGGAAATATCGCTTAAGAAGAATGGGAAAGAACTCGACACAAATTGGATTTACTGGAGCCGGTTTCAATGGCATGATAGGATTGACCAGATTGGAAAGGCGATAAATGCGAATCAAATGAGCAATACATGGGTCAGCGAGGCCCAGAAACTGAAACTTTTCGATCCATATGAAAAGACTGGAGAGGAATGACGGGTCTGGTCCCACTCTAAGGTTTTAGCACAGATCGTAAATGTAGATATATACTTACTGATTCCGAGGGTGCGGCCTATTGAACAAGCCTTAAGCTGATGGATCCGATTCCAATTTCTTGACGCACAGACTTTCGAATTGGCACATCGCCCCGGAGATATCAAAGCAATCCGAAGTGTGTATGTGGGCCGAAATTGGAGAAATTGGACTAGGCCCAGATATCAAGCCTCCTTGAGATTCATAAACAATCTGGGAGAGTTCTTGGGTCAGCGCGAAGAAACCATATTTTTATGGTACGCCCAGAAACCCCCATATTCCTACTTCACAGCCTCAAAGCAAAGATCTCATGACCCCGACATACGGAGTGCCTAGGAAAGCCTTTTGTGTTGTACAGCAATATGGTAATCATGATAGGACCTGAAATTACCCCGGTGGTTAGATATAATTGTGTTTATTGTGTCTTACTAGTATCGTCACTTTTCAGCCTGATACCTTTTTTTTTTCTGGTCTTGTTGTTATCTTCGTACCTATAAAACTTCATGAATTTGGATAAAGGCATGTAGAGCAGCAAATGGCGAAACTGCGTCTTTTCTAAGCCTTGACTTGTCCGGTAACCGCGTCTTTAACAGCTGGCAGATCGTTGGGCACCAAAACTCGTATCCCGCATGGCAAATAGTGTAATTTTAAGAAGAGATAATTGCTCTCAGCTGGATCCACGAATTGACGACAGTGGGAAGTGGAGGATGCAATGGCACGATCTATTGTAGGTACAGCTTGTCATCCATCTACCCTCGCCCCATTGTAGCGCCAACATTCTCCTTCAGACAGTGTTCGTTCGGCAACGGTGGACCCACTTAAAGAACCTTGAACCTCCATTTCGCACGGCTAGCTCTACATTTTTCTCGTCCCCAGCAGAACGCCAGCGAATTTTGCCAAATACATCCGTCATTTGGTGAAGATTGGCCATGTCGGTATTAGGCCATTCATCATGTGTGAACTAACCTTAAGTACATGTTCCCCGAGGAGGGAGACAATCGCTATATATTCAGCCAAAACAGTGACAAAGGCCGACACCACTTCTGATATATATTTGGGAATATAGGAGGTAGCACTAGGATCATGTTAATATAGGGACCGAACCCGCTGAGGGGGATGCACTGATGAGGGCCATCGGGAGCAGAGCGATGACGGGGTAACGGTTGCACGTTCGAAGGCTTTGAAAGTCTTCGCTGAGGTAAAGAAGCTCGCTGTGATTTCCATATGCGAAGACTAGTGCTACAATAATACTTCGCTCCAAATACTGCACCTGATGTGGAATTAAGTTCAGAAATTCAGACTCTGTTGACTTCCTCCTTAATTGTAGCAAGTAGTTTCATAAATAGATCCTATTATAATCACTGTACAGAACGTTTTCATAACACGTGGAACATAATTGGGGTGGGCTCTATCTATTAAACTTCTTACTACAATTAGGTAGATATTAATAAGATACAAAATCTTGTCTCAAATTACCGCTTTCAGGTTCCACGTCTGGCGACCAGATGCAGTATTTCAGTGGCTTGCCACATGTTAAGCGGTCCTTTCAGAGGCGGAGCTGGCGGGCATTTGCCGCTATGACTTGCAAGAAAGCTAGGTGGCATCCTCAGAGCTATTGCGGCACATAGCCACGTAACCATGACTAGTAAGATTGAGGTGAAAGGTGGGAGAAAGGCAATAAGGTTCGCATCAGGCCGCATTGACCCCTCTCAGCCTCACACATCTGTCTCAGGGGCGGCTTCCAGAAATGCAGCACTTCGCCACCCTCTGTAAGGCACAAATCGCGTATTCATAGGCCGATCGCTGACAGCACACTCGAGTCTTGGAGGACAGCTGAAAGTACACATGGTAGTTCCAGTTACTACACTTTTCTACATAATTTACAAGAAATTCTATCAGTAAACAATAAACTACTGAGTCGCTTGGACAGGATATCAGGAATTATATAACGTTAGGATGAACAAGGCCTATTGAATGATCCAAAGATTCTGTCAAAATCCATCAAATATTCAAGAGAATGCAAGCTTAATATATTCGAAAGTCACGGGACCCATAAAGGCAGTAGTTATCAAGAAACTCTGCACACTACCAGGCATTTAATGAAACCCCAAAGTAGTTCTCTAGTGCAGCATTGGTCCAGGTCAACTAATCAAGATAAACCGAGGTCGGTACAATGCATAGCATGGAGAGTATATTAAAGGCAGGGACTTGGTGCAAGTGATTTAACAATGTGTCAAAGGAAGCCGTAACTATAACCTACCAGCAGACGTTTTTGACGGCAGGGCCAGGGGAAGCAATATTCAACACTACGAGGACACTGTAGAGGCCATTAGAAATTCACTGCAGGGGCGGGACAGTTCGGGGAGGCGGGTTGCCTCATCTGCGGAGGGGATTAGTGGGGTGAAGTGACCGTAACTCGCCTTTCAGGTATCTGCGGAAGCACATTTGGAGCTCACGGGCCTGCATCTTGAACGAAGACATTCATATTAATCTCGGCGTCTCTTGTACTATGATTGAGTAAAACTTACATCCAGAAGAGAGTCCTCCGAGCCTCAGTAGCAAGTTCCAGATAAACGCCTTACAGGCTTGCGCTTCGCCGAGCGAAATGGTATTCAACATGTTCCCAAATCCGATGTCCCCCTTGGTGTACAATTTGTGGTGATTGGTATCTAGGAATCGGTAAATCATGCCATGAGTGGTAGAATCAAGCATTGTGATTCCTCGATGACAATGATCGGTAAACTTATAGGGGCTTTGTGGCGATGAATCTCCTGAAGAGAGGCGTTCACACTGTGAAGGATAATGGTGACGACGGTGTAATCCTCAATCAGAGCTCTTAGCGAGCGCCCACAAGCTGTCCAGCTTGGACCGGGCAAGAACCTCCTTCGCCTCACCATCCGTTTCGCAAATCTTCTCTCCCCACTTGCGGAAGGCTCGTTGCTTGAGTTGACCTTCAAAAATGAGCGAACACTTATTGTACGAAAGGTCTTTCAAATTGTCGTCGTCGTCAACCGATTTCATCCAGGGAGGATTGCCTTGTTGCTTCTCGGCCTGCTTCTCCGTTGGTAGGGCGTTCTCACTCCATTTGATTCGGTGGAGCAGCAGTTTCTTGTATTTTTGCATGGAATGAAGACCCCCCTCCACAATCACCAGATTCAAGTTTGGATTGAATATGGTGATGCCAGTAAAGCTATGCTCTTTCGCATTGTGATCTATCAGGTATCGGTGTTTGCCAAAGGAAAGGGTCTCAATCTTGAAAACACACATATGGAGTCCTTTCTTGGCATCCTTTTGCTGGTTCTCAGTGAGCTTTGCGTGACGTTCATCTTTGGTTAGTTTCCGTTCCTCATTAGATTTGACATGGGTGTCATGGCGTTCCTGGATCTGCTTCTCAACCAGCATCTCGACAGCCGTTGGATCAGCAATAGCCTGTTCACCCATTACGCGCATCATGTTGCCGCGTTTGACCTTTGGCGGTGGTGGAGGCTCGAGACCCAGACGGATCTTTGCCTGATGTTCTTTAAGGTCGGCGGCGCGACGCATCCTTCGGACCTTGGCTTGCTCCTTCGTAGTGAGATACATAGGCTTCACTTGGACAAGGAGTTGATCCTGCGGTGCCTTCAAGATGACGGGGTGTTGAATGTAGTTAGTGATGAGAGAGTCATCCCCGTCGATCTTAACCTTGGTCGGATCGTCAATGCAATTGTAACTCTTCTCTTCCAGCAGTCCTTCATCCCACCATTCAACATCCGGCGGTCGCTGAACGAGGAAACCGCGCTCGGTGTTTTCGTCCAGTCCTGCTTGGCGCGCCTGCTTGGAGATCTGCTTTTTGATCTGCTCCAGCCTCTCCTGCTGGCGCATCTTGCTAGCCTGGGCAAGATATTTGCCTCTCTGGTTGAACACCAAGGCACGGGGCAATCGGTCGCGCTTGGTTGGACGATAGTGGGGATCAAAGTACGGATTCTCCTTAGTCTCCTCCGTATCCGGTCCAGCATGCTCAGTCTCCTTCTTCTCGGATATAGGGGAGTCGGTCCGTCGGTTGGCTAGAGTGGTGGCGAATCGAGGGGCCATGGGCTCCCTCTTCTTTGACCGACCATCGTCTCCTCTCCTGCGCGACTCTTCGAGGCCTGGTTCTAGGGATGGGCGGGAAATAGGCGGGGTACTCGACGCGGGCGGGCGAACTGGAGGCGCGTCAGTCGAGGCCGGAGGCGTAGATGTGCCTTTCAGAGCAGCGATGCGCGCCTTCATGGCAGCAAGCTTGTCCGCGGGGGGGCCGGACAGTGGAGACTGATTCGGCGGGGGGGGCGTTGCAGAGGCATTCTGTGCAGGCGATAGAGATGCTCCATTGGTAGCGGGGCGGGCAGCAGCTTTCTTCGCCTGCATCGCAGCCGCGATTTCAGCAGCCCTGGCTTTAGCGGCCGCGAGAGCATCCTGGGCAGTTGCTTTGGTCGCCAGACGCTTGTTGCTGCCGTTTGCGACGCCGTGGTCGCCAGGGTGTGGGCGCTTTTCGACCATATTGGCGTCGATGGGGGACGGTTGCTGGTGGTCGAGGGAGATGTTCGTTGTGTCGTGTGTCAAACGTGAGAGACGGAGGAGAGAGTGAGGGTGACGCGAAGTGCAAAACCAGGCTAGCGGTCTTGGCACTTGGCACCTCGCATGCAGCGGCCGGCCAAACTCCGGCCGAACTTTTTTTCGAGCTCTAGAAACCATCCCCGCAGACATTCACCTTCGTTCCTTCTTTCGCTCAAGTGTTTCCCTGGACGGAAGGCGCACTCTGGCGCTTGCTCCATACACACAATGAACCCCTCCCAGCCCGTGTCCTCTGCCATCAAAGGCGTAGATTTTGGATTCTTGACCACAGAAGACGTGCGGACCATTTCCGTCAAGCGCATCACGAATCCTACGACATTCGATTCTTTGCTTCACCCAGTTCGCGGGGGATTACATGATGCTGCGCTCGGCGCTTTCTTAGACAATCCGTGAGTCTTATTTTTTTCACAGTCAAGCAATTGCGCAAACTCCAACGCTTCCTAGCTAATGCTAGTCGCACCGCAGCTGCTCGACCTGTAACTTGACATGGATGAATGGATGTCCCGGTCATTGCGGTCATATCGAGCTCCCTGCTCCCGTATACCACGTGACCTTCATCGATCAGCTTCTACGTCTACTTCGAGGCAGATGTGGCTACTGCCAACACTTCAAGCTTCCCCGCGTTCAGGTCAACGAATACGTCTGCAAGCTCCGACTAATACGATGCGGCCTAGTTCAAGAGGCGAACGATATGCACGAGCATATAGATTTGACTGGGGGAAAGAACTCCAAGCCTGCCGACAACGATTCGGATGAGGGAGGCGAAGGCATCATTGGCCAGAGGAACGACTATGTGAGGAAGGCTATGAAAAACGCAGGCATATCCAAAACCAACGCACACTCCCTGAGGTGTAAGACGGAAGCTGTAAGCGACGCAAGACGGCAAGTCATCAAACAGTTCTACGCCGAGATGAGCAAGAGCAAGAAGTGCAGGAATTGCGGAGGGTACGTATCCTTGGTTTGCAAAGGACGCGCGGCTAACGGCCATTAGAATTAATCCAACATACCGTAAAGACCGAGCAATTAAGATTTTCCGCAAGAACTTATCAGCAAAGGAGAAAGCCCTCATGGCCCAGGCAGAAAAACGAATTCAGAATCCGCTGGATATCCTCGCAAAGAGAGAAGAGAGGGGTAGCAAACGGCAGCCTCATGCCGACGAGGGGGTCGCAGATCTCGACCCTCCCACATCGGAAGACGATGATGACGTTGATATGCTGGATGCGCAAGAGGCAAATGGTACGCTTGTCGCCCCCGAAACCATGATAACATCAAGCAGAAGATCCGAAGCCAGACCAGAGCCCCCTGAAAATTCCCAAGAATATCTGACTGCTGTGGAAGTGAGAGCAGCACTTGTTCTTCTTTTTGAAAGGGAGACAGAAATTTTGCGATTAGTGTATAACCCTTACTCGCGGTCGAAAAGCCAGGCGGATATCAGTCCGGACATGTTTTTCTTCAACTGCGTTGTAGTTCCCCCCAACCGATACAGGATGGAAGACAGAACCGGCGACTCGATTGCCGAATCCCCGAAAAATTCACTCTACAAGAACATCCTGAATGCCTGTGATGCGATGCGCCAAATCAGCAATGAAATGAAGGGCCAGGAGAATGAATCGGGCTATCGGAGACGAGACTTTGGAGATCTACAAACTGCGTGGGTCAACCTTCAAGGAGCAGTCAATGCGCTCGTTGACCGCGACGCGAATCCAGTCCAGGGCCTGGCTGGGAGAATCAATGCGGACGGTATCAAGCAAAATCTAGAGAAAAAGGAAGGTCTCTTCCGGAAGAACATGATGGGCAAGCGTGTCAATTTTGCCGCTCGCAGTGTCATCTCCCCCGATCCGAACATTGAGACAAACGAAATCGGCGTTCCTCCGGTGTTCGCGATGAAGTTGACATATCCGGAGCCGGTGACGAATCATAACTTCTACGATCTAAAAGAGGCGGTGCTAAACGGTCCAGACAAATGGCCCGGTGCTGTTGCGATTGAAAATGAATATGGCCAGGTCATGAATTTGAGGAAAAAGAATTTCGAAGAGCGACAGGCTCTGGCAAACCAGCTACTTGCACCCTCAAGCACCAGTGTAAATGGATCGAGGAACAAAAAGGTTCATCGGCATCTCAATAACGGCGATATTGTCATTATGAACCGGCAGCCGACACTTCACAAACCGTCCATGATGGCGCATCGTGCTCGAGTTCTGCCAGGAGAGAAAACAATTCGTATGCACTATGCCAATTGTAACACCTACAACGCGGATTTTGATGGTGACGAAATGAATATGCACTTTCCCCAAAACGAGATCGCTCGAGCAGAGGCGGCAACAATTGCGGACACTGATCACCAGTATCTTTCAGCGACTGCTGGAAAGCCTCTCAGAGGGTTGATTCAGGATCATATTTCTATGGGAGTATGGCTCACGAACCGGGACACGTTCTTTACCCGAGAAGAGTATCAGCAGCTTATGTACGCCTCGCTAAGACCTGAAGATGGACACACGACTTCTGGCACTCTTCTCACCGTTTCCCCCGCAATTTGGAGACCGCAGCCTCTGTGGACTGGCAAACAGATTATTACAACTGTTTTGAAGAACATTCAGCCTCCCGAATACCCAGGGGTGACTTTATCATCCAAATCCCAAACGAGCTTTAAGATGTGGGGTCCAGATTCAGAAGAGCAAAAAGTCATCATTAGAGATGGGGATTTACTCTGCGGGATCATGGACAAAAGCCAAATTGGCTCCGCTGGTGGTGGGCTTGTGAACGGTATCTATGAGACGTATGGCCATACGACAGCAGGGCGGCTTCTTAGCGTGCTTGGACGTCTGCTCACCAAGCTCCTTCACATGCGTGCGTTCTCTTGTGGTGTCGAAGATCTTATTCTCACCAAAGAAGGAGACCAGGCTAGACTAGAGGAGTTGAAAGAGGCGGAAAAGGCTGGCTTCGAAGTTGCATCAAAGTATGTTACTCTCGATGTCCAAAAGATCGACCCGAATAGCCGGGAGTTGCGAAAGAGACTAGAGCAGGTATTGCGCGATGAGTCGAACCAGCATGGCCTTGATGTGCTCACCAATAGTGCAACCGCGCGGATTTCTTCGGCGGTCACAATTGCTTGTTTGCCCAAGAAACTCATCAAACCTTTCCCAAAGAACCAGATGCAGACCATGACAGGCTCTGGTGCAAAGGGTAGCATTGTCAATGCTAATCAGATTTCATGCAATCTTGGTCAGCAGGTTCTGGAAGGGCGACGTGTACCGGTCATGGTTAGTGGAAAGACACTACCATGTTTTAAACCATTCGAGACAAATGTTCGCGCTGGTGGATATGTTGTCAATCGCTTCTTAACGGGAATTCGACCGCAGGAATACTACTTTCACACCATGGCCGGTCGGGAAGGTCTTATCGATACTGCAGTCAAGACTTCCCGTTCGGGTTATCTTCAGCGATGTATTATCAAAGGTATGGAAGGTCTTCGCGTCGAGTACGATACGTCAGTGCGCGACTCAGACGGCAGCATGGTCCAGTTTCTATACGGGGAGGATGGTCTTGACACAACGAAGCACAAATACCTGAACGATTTCAGGTTTCAGGCAGAGAACTTGATGTCATTGTCGCAGTCACTAAACCTTGCTGAGGGCTTCACTGAGGTTTGGAGCGAAAGGGCGACAGAGTACACCAAGAGTGCGTACAAGAAGTTCAGGAAGACTGGCGACACCACGGCAATGGATCCTGCATTAGCAGTATACACGCCTAGTCGCTACGCTGGCAGTGTATCTGAAAAATTTTATGCTGCTAAGCGAGCGGTACGACTACGTTCTCCTAGAATTAACTAATTGCTAACTCTTACCTAGTATTGCGAGAATAACCCTGATAAACTTATCAAAAAGAAGAAAAGCGATCCTAATGGCGAGGTACTGCGAAGGAACTTTGACCGAGCGCTCGATGTCAAATATCTTAAATCCCTCGTCGAGCCCGGGGAAGCAGTGGGTGTTGTTGCTGGCCAGTCCATAGGAGAACCTTCCACTCAGATGACGCTCAACACTTTCCATTTAGCAGGTCACTCTGCAAAGAACGTTACCCTCGGTATTCCTCGATTACGAGAAATTGTCATGACCGCTAGCTCAAAGATCTCTACGCCTGCGATGACGCTGTACCCACATCCAGAGCTTTCTAATGAGGACAACGAGAAATTTGTGAAGAGTATCAGTCGACTTTCACTTTCGTCTGTTCTCGATAAGGTTACGATTACCGAAAAGCTAGGCCCCGGCAACCACTTCGCGCAGGCTCGAAAGTACAAGATTCGTCTAGACTTCTACCCGGCCAAAGAATACTGTGAAGAATATGCTATAAAAGTCCGAGATGTAGCCGAATCGTTGGAGAAGAAATTCTGCCCTCGCCTCCAAAAGGTCGTTCGCACAGAGCTCAAAAAGAAGGCAAATCAGCGATCACTCTCCAGTGCCTCTGCCGCCAACTCAGCAGCCGTTCCCACTATTGGAGAGGCAGTAGGTACCACTGAGCAACCGACAGTTCGCACCACACGAGCCGGTAACGAAGGTGGCAACGAAGATGAGGAAAGTGATGATGGCGACGATGAGGGCGATGCTACCTACGCGAAGCAACGTGGTAACAGGGAAGAAAGCGTTGAATTCGACGACCCAGATGATGAAGAACAAGCGTTCGCAGAAGGCCTCCGTCGCGAAGATTCCCCAGTTATCTCAGAAGACGAGACCTACGGCAGCAGTCCCAAACCATCCCGCAACTCGACACCAGATCCCGATACAGGCGCGGAGGAAGACGATGAATTGCTTGTCGCACTCGAAGAAGCCTCCGCCATCCGTCGCGAACGCATCTGCAAAGACTGCAGTGATATCTCCGACTTCAAATTCGATGACAAAAGCGGTGGATACTGCGAGATCGAATTCGAGTTCACTGCCTTCACCGCGAAACTGCTGATGCTGCATCATGTCGAATACGCTGCGGACTTTGCTACTATTCACGTCATTCCCGGCATCAAGCAAGCTTTGCTCTCGTCCGAAAAAAACCCAGACCCGCTCACAGGTGAAGACGTCGACATCCCCGTCGTCGTAACCGAAGGCGCCAATCTCACAGCCATGCGTGAATACCCTCATATCATCGACACCTCCCGCCTCTTCACTAACGACATCGTTGCAATGCTCAATCTCTACGGCGTAGAAGCCTGCCGCGCGACCATCATCCGCGAAATGCACGCGGTTTTCCATGGCCACAGTATCAGTGTCGACAATCGACATCTCAACCTCATCGCGGACACGATGACCAAAGGCGGGGGCTTCACTCCGTTTAATCGCATTGGCCTGAAGGGGAATGTGAGTCCGTTCATGAAAATGAGCTTTGAGACAACAGTCGCTTTTTTGAGAGATGCGGTGTTGGAGAGGGATACCGAGGAGTTGAAAAACCCGAGTGCGAGAATTGTGGTCGGGAGATTGGGGACAGTGGGGACGGGGGCGTTTGATGTGCTGGCGCCGGTGGTGGTAAGGGACCCGCTGAAGGCTGGGGTGGAGGTTAATCCTGAGAATACGATCGACAGCGCGCAGGAGGATGTTGAGATGGAGGTGGAGAAGGAAGTAGAAGTTGAGGTTGTGGAAAAGAGTCCGAAGAAGAAGAGGAAGAGGGATCAGAAGAGGGGCGGGTAGACATTTGAGCGCTATTGTCAAGCGGTGTAGTTCACATGGAAAATAGGCGGCGCTTTTGGGAGAATGTTGAAGGGCCCGGAGTTCAAACTAGTTCAACATGTGTAGTTGTCCGAGCATTCAGAAAAGTTGAAAGTGCCCCATAAGCATGCTAGGTTGATTTCTGCTGTAGTATTTAAGTCGGTGTAAGGGTGCAGTTCTGTCACCCAACTTAACACTACAATGCAGAGCAGCATAACAAAATGAAAACGACAGAACGCCCAGACATCCCGTCCAACCCACCAAACTCACAAGCTAGCAATTTCCCCGCTAATTACCTTCCTGCATGCTGCATCATCCCCCTTCACTCTCACTCTCACCCACACCTACTTCACAACTGCCCCATCAACCTTGACTCTCTTAACCCCCTTCCTCTTACCCCCACACTTCATTAAATTCCGCATTGCTTCCCCGAGATCCCTACCATACAGTCATAAGCCCAACCCCCCCCTAACCCTCTGCCCCTTCGCCCACTGACTCTCAGGCCAAGCCATCTTCCTCTCCAACTGCTTATCCATCGGCCCAGTCGGACCCCCAACATACTTCCGATTTCCGGCCAGCTGCGTTTGCCGCTTGTCTTTGTCCGGGTATTGTTCGTCGCCCCAGCGGCCACGGTAGTTGAGGTAGCCAACTGGGTCGGAGGGGTTGTATGGGGAGATGGAATGTGAGGAGGTGGAGTATTGGTAGTAGTAGGAGCAGGGGAGGGGGTCGTAGAGAGGACCGGTGTCGGTTTGGTCAACGAGGAGGAATTTGAAGGGGAGGTTGAAGTTAGGAATGGTGTGGTCGTGGGTTCCGGCCGTGGGGTAGAGTGCGTGGGAACCATGAGCACAGAAGGCAAGAGGCTGGGTAGGGGGGTGGTTAGTTAGGCTGTGCTTAGATTCGCTAGACTTGGTATAGACGAGCATTGAATGGATATGGTAGGGATGGAGGAGGGAAAGAAGAACGGTGTGGGAGAGCGTTGGGTGAGACAAGAACTAAGAAATTGTATCAACGTACCCTCTTCCCGGACTTGTCTTTCTTGAGGACTTCATATTTGAAAGCCTCCCCATTTGCATGCTGAGAGAACCATACCACCTTAGGGACGCCGTTTTCAAAGCGGATCATATTATGTTCCCTTCTCCCCATTAGTCTAAAGCAAATGCGCAACTTACCCGGCAACTTACCAATCACCTACATGGTCGCCTATGCACAAAGATTAGCCTTTACGACCCAAAACGCTAATCCGAGAGGGACCAAAGGGGAATAATTACCAAGCTGTTTCTCCAGCACAACCCCGCCCCAATTAAACGCAAAGAAATACATATAAAACGCATCCACGGTCCCGTTCCCCTTATCTACGACGATTACAACTGAGCTCTTCTCTCCAGTACCCACAGTCATTCCACTTGCATCGGTCTTTGCGCCGTTTAGCCATTGTGGATTGGTGGTGATATCGACGGTGCTGGTTAGGTAGACGTCGCTGCCGCCTTTTGTGCCCACGGAGTTTAGCTGGTCGAGGTTGGAAAGGGTTAGGGGCGGGGAGGGGATTTGGACGTCTTTGAAGGAAATTTGTGGGCGTGTGTTAGCGATTTGTGCGGAGATGGCGGAGGGGCCGTAGGGGTCTTTGGTGTAGAGGTGGACGAGTGGCGCTGGGAGGGTTGGTTAGTGGGAGATTTTGGTAGCTTGAAGTTCTTTCTTCGTAGAGGAAGAAAAATCATCCTCAGCCGCAGAACTGGAACTGAAATTGGGGTTCAGGGGCCCCAAGGAAAAATGGTAGAGAAATCCGAGTATATGATTGAAACCCGCAGACTGAAAATTGCCCCGAACAGTGAAACTGTAATTCATCCTTGAAAACCTTACCATAATCTAAAACATACTGCGGCACACCAGCTGGAGCCGGCGACTTATTCGACTCGCTGCTGTCAACCTGTGCCTGTGCTTGTGCCATGATAAGTTCTTGATGCGATGTGATCGTTAGCAAAAAAAAAAGACACTCTTCGACGATTCAGGCGGTCACAGCGTTCAAATAGAGCAGACAGCTGGAGCAGTTCGCGAGGCTGGGCTGGCTGTAAATTATCAGCTGTGAGGCAGAAGAAAAGACATCAGCTGGACTAGATAAACGCCACTCGTTTGAACCACGCGATGCTGGAATGAGCAATAGAATTTGTACAGCATCAAACGTGTATCTTGAGCGTCCTGCGCTGTGGATATAAAGGTTAGTTAGGATGGAGTGTTGATTCAGATAGGCGTGGTGACGATAGGAGATGGTATTCGATAGGAGTCGTTGGGTGTGATTTTGTGACGGTTGAGCCTGATCGACCCGGTCCGACCCGCCAAGCATTCAGCGGCTTCCTCCACGGTTTGTGCTGACAGTGGCTGCAGTTACGGACTCGGGCAACGATGCAGTGGCTTTCAGCTGTGCCTTCGAGTCCTCAGCTTTGAGGCTCTCACTACGGGCATGCCGCAATCGGCTCGAATTGCAGACGCCCGGAACGGAGCATAGGAGAAGGCATCGAACGATATCACCTCTTCTAAACGGTGAGATGCATGCAGCCACATGCATCCGGAACCTGACCTCCCTCATCCAGCCTTGTGAGGTCCGAACAAGCAAGCTGTCAACGTGACAGCTAGATTATTCGCGTCTCGAATGGGAGTGTGGTGCACGACAGGGGTCGATACGAACCAGGTGCTCTCAGGAAGTTTAGCGAAGGCACCAACTGAAGTCCGCCGGGTCTTTTCTGATTGGCTGGATGACATTCATTTCCCGTGACAAGTTTTGCTCCACGGACAGTCGTTCAATATATCGTTAATTTTCGATGCAGGGTGGGCTTAAGGCATGCTGAAGCGAGCATAGCTTGGCAGGGTGCGGGGTATGTCGGTATTTTTAGGAGATGGCGCATTGGGGAAGCGCTGGAAGGATAACATGGTGTTTTCTTTGATCGATCCTCGATGTTGAAGCCCGAAGCTGTGGCCATCTCAAAGTCCCCGCTGACTGAGGCCACTAGGAATAAAATTATTGGAACTGTGGAAGCAGTGTCGTATGGCGTCACTCCACAGCATGTTTGAGACTGATTTGAAATACACCTGGATCCGGTGATAGTGGTACTAAAAGTCCGGATTACCGAATGCAGCACAGTATCTGTTGCGCTTCGCGGCGGGTAGAGTTACGGGATTGCGCCATCATAATGTTTGATCTTCTGTTGGAACCGTATTATCGGAATGCTCTGTTGGAGATTGGTCGTGTGACAAGTCATTCAGGCATTCCATAGAACGGATCCTCGACACTATTTCGATGTGGAGAGCTTGGGTTCAACCTCTTACGTACCCTGAGCCGTAGGTTAGTTGACTAGCGTAACCATACCAACATCTTCGCTGTGAGGGACATGATGGACCACACGGCAGGTTTCACAGCGCCGACCGAGTCCGAAAGGAACAGAAGGCTTCCCCACCAACATGTTGTCTTTCAGGCCTCTGCCCTGTCTTTTGAGCGCGAAGCAGATAAGGTCGCACGCGGGTGTCAAGCAGCGGCACGGAAGCGTGACGTACAGTCAGCGCGGGAAGATCACTTTTGATTAGGTTGTCAAGCGCAGCTGCGCCACAAAGCCACTCAGCGATAGTGAAATGCGGCTCCTGGCGCATGATTCGGACATCCGCAACTTACCGCATGTTCTGAATACGCCGTTGGATCCAAGAAGACGCGTCGCTGGGTTAGTGGAGCCCTTGTTATCATTTTCGGACTCGAAGGTCGCTCTAGCGTTCGAATTTTGGGAATTCGGAGCGGAGCATCGCGATGGTCCGAAAGCTTGGAGCTATTGTTGGCGCCTGTAGCCGAATTCGGATATCGAATGCCTCGCCATTAACGTACTTTATGGAAACGAGCAATCGGAGGCCTGAGGACCCTCAGTAAGTCGAAGTGGATCGATACGAGAGTATTTTGTTCAGGCGGACGCCTCTCTCATTGAGCCACGTATTCGCAATCGTATCTCGGGCTGGTTCAATAACGAAAGTCATGCAGAAAAGATAGATGAGACTGAACGAGGGATGAGGCTGAGCAGTAATGCTGTTGGGAACTTAGGAGTCTGGGGAAGGGAACGACTCGTTTGTTTCGAGTTTCCAAAAGAAGAAAGCTAAAGCATGCGAAAGCTTTTCCAGCCAGAGGGCGACGCTGCGCTCCGTCCTTTGGCATGCTCTGTGCTAGGCTTTCCAAAATTTGTCTCTTGGATCAAAGAGGTTATGATACGAAGATGCCACAACTCTTTGGAATCGTATTCACCAACTGAACACAGAACGCGGCTCCGCCCTGCGCCCGGGCCAACAATCCAATTTTGAACTCATCGTGTAAGACAGTTGGCACATCTGTAGTGTGAGCCTTATAGTACACTATGGCAGAATTTCTCGTTCTATTCGACGTTTTGCTATCATTGTGAGACTTCATCAACGAGTCTAGGAGAACAATTGGAGTTAAAGTTGCGGACTTCGGCGGTCGACTGGGAAATGCTGTCTGCGCACCTTCCGGAAAGAGGAGTTTCTCCGATCGGAGAATGTCACTGAACTCCAATTTTAATTATTAGTAGAATGCTTAAAGCAACGTTCCAGGAGAAGTGTACAGAACAACCCTTACGCTGCTTCTGTGTTTACTTACATTGGCGCCTTTGTGTGCAGGATGTACAAATGTCGCATTCGTTCGAGATGGTCGTCATGCTCATTCATACGATGTGCAGCCTTATTCATTACTCACAAGGGGCCGGAATCCTAGGCATTGTTTAAGGAATTGGGGCGATGTCGGAGGATGCAAAGGTAAGATCGACGTTTGCTCATTGCTTTACTGAAACCTTGCGGTCACCTATCCTTCGACTATAAGCAGAAGGTCTAACAAGCGCATCATGTAAACCTGCTTGGGATCGGATGTGAAGGCAGGATCACATAGGGCAACATTCCAAGAGAAGGTTTAACTTGGTGTAGTTGCGAGGGGACAGGAGCCCGACTGCTAATAATTTGCGATCGAACACGGTTGGAGTCGGCATGGGGAAATCTATGCTTGATGGCGGGCTGTCGTGGACGTCCTAGGCCCTGCGGTGAGCGGTGAGGATAGGGAAAGCTCGTCCAGTTTGGAGTTACCACTGATGCATTGCGAGCACTCGTTTTATGACTCCTGTGGTTGAAACGAGCCAGTAGAAAAGAAAGGATTCACATTTCCCCATTATCTAGTATCTGATTTAGCTTTGTATCACTCTTTTCCATTCCTTCCGTCTGTGCAGCTCGAGTATCTGCCTCGCAAGATCTGTCAACGTCTCTTCGGCCATTCGGTATCGCACCAGCCCGAGTATGGAGGCAGCAAGATGTGTATCAACGAAATCAATAGGCGGATCCCCTGATATTGGCTGACGAGGCGGTGAGCTATCTGGGCGAATGCGGCTTCCGAACTCGGGGAACTGATTCCTGAGGAACTCTGCAATCACCGAACCTGCTGGCATTGCCCCGGCCGATATGAGGAATCTCTTGTTGCGTGCCTCAGGCATGAACACCGCTTGCACATTGGCGAAAGCAAGATCCTGAAGGAGAAGAATAAGCTTGTAAGATCTGTATGCCCCTAAACGAGATCGCGATCTGACTCACTCTGACGTCCGTATAATAGTCGATTCCATAAGGGGGTGAAGTGACCAGTTCACTGAAATTGTTGGAGCATATGTTCCATATCCTTCTGTTTGCGTCTTCAAGGTCCGACGAGTTGCTCAGTGGTCGTATTGAAGGACCATATATGCTCGGAGCAGCAAGAGAGACAAGATCGAATCCAACAGGAGTGTCTTTGGACCATTTCCAGACGGCATCGCAGACGATGTTGTCGCTTGCTCGGCTGGTTGCTAGCACGTACTCGGAATCAATCTCTGCGGCTGTGGGTGACGAGGGGTTACCTATCCGAGGAATTCGCTCCACTTGGGGGTCAACAAGCCAGCGAGCGAATGGTGTAAGAGATGTTGTTACAATCACTCTCTGAACTCTAGGGGCGACCTCCTTGATACTTCTCAGGAAGCTAATCAAAGCCTCGGTCTCCACGTTGATGAAGCGGGATAGACAGTCGGCTTCCTCGGATGGGTCTGGCGGAACTGTATGGATAACAGTATCGAAAGGTTCCTGGGATCCACTCAAGGCAAGATCGTATGCGCCTGGCACGGCGATGTCCTTTTGGGGAACGATTGCAAAGTCGAGCGTAGGATGTCCAGTTACGGGATATTGCTGTTGTAGGGACAGTGCCTCATCTCTTGACCCCACAACTGCGCGGACCGCCACATTGCGGGTTAGGAGTTGGTCGAGGATGTGGGAACCGATTAAGTTGTTTGCGCCGGTTAACAGAACCCGCTTCATTGGCATATTTCGAGGGTATCTGTTGTAGATGAGGGTCGGAGTCCGAAAGGTGTGGGGATCGTTGGCGAGATCAAGGCTTTTACGTGGAGGAGGGGTTGGCGAGTCTGTGGGTATAGCATTCCCAAAACGAGGGTTAGAACGTGATATGTACGAGTTTGTAGGTGCTATTCAGAGAGTGTGAGCCACGCTTCAGGTCGATTCGGTCGTCAGCACCTTGTTTCTAGCTGGCGCGGACGGCAGCACAAGCCTAAGCGTGGGTCGTGATGAACAGGCGTCAATCACAGTGTCATCATCCGGGGCTTAAGGCAGGTCCCGAGTTTGAAGTGAGTGCTAGCAAAATGAAACGAGCATTCATCGGCGAAACAGTCACTGCGCAAGGCGACCAAGCAACCGTTCGGGAATCGCCTCACAGTATTAACATAATCGTGCCCACTCACCTCTATCCTAGAAGGATCTTGCTTTCGTATAGGCTAGGCCATCGCGAGGCATGGCAGCCGCCATTGAGAACAAGCAGGGTGGTGGTACCTACTAAGTGGGACCGCTGTTCAGGAATGGTTGGCTATCGTGCCTCCATGCCCTCGAAGGGTTCAACCTTCCGCTGCCGCTAGCACACGAACATTCACTGACAGGAATGGGTGAGGCGAAGCCTCATCAGCTACTATTGGCGAAGGAATACTTGCCGACATGGCCTATCTGTGAGTTAAGCCATTTTCCACATGGCTTCATGCAGAGACAGGGTAGCACAGAAGTTCCACGTGGTGGACAGTTTTCCTGGTCAATCCAAAGTAAGGGGACAGATCGTAAGGTTGGACGCCTAGACAACAAGGCGCGGAGATGCTCAGTCGATGCTACAGGTTGAGAAGAGGGGCTGATGGTGAACTTGGCGTGGAGGATCCTGAGGCACACACTAAGGAAACTACACCGGATGCGGAGCAGCATCGGCCATGAGTTAAGCCATAAATTGGCCTCGCGGACTTCGACTGAAGAGAAACCTGGTACATGGATCATCTAGCGGAAAGCTTGCGGACCTGTGAGCGATTACGCCCCGTTTGATGGAGGGCTGATGTTGGAGTCGAAGGCAGGCTTACCCATTCGGAGGTCTGTTCTGCCAACAGCCATCCAACCACAGCATCGGATTGGAAGAATCTAGCATAAGTAAGTTGTTTTCGAGACGAAAGTCCAACATTCATGGTTCTTTTCAGGCCTAGCGACTAACAAGAAAGGTCGGAGAACTCGTTGCAAAGGACGGATGAAGCCGATCAGAGTTTGTGAGGTCGTTAGCCTTGGCGTGCTGAGTGTCGTCGGTTCAAGATGATGCGGACGGCAAGGATAGCCTCTCCGTTTCAACTACAGGCGCAGGTTCATCCGTCGGGGGCCGAAATGTATTAGCTGCATCGTCATCCAAAGGGTCCGACCATTAAAGAGGTCTAGTGCAGCCGGGATAAAGATCTGCCCTTGTGTGGGGAGGTGCATGAGCCTCGTGGAGAGGGTTTTAGCCTGTCTTGGCTTCAAGATAGTGGCCGTTGTCCCTAAATGCAACACTCACAAAGCCAAGTGCTTATTTTATCTACTGTGGCTCGCAGAGTACTGCACCACTGCAAGGAGGGTACGGAGGAGGCTTGTCGTGTCGTGTTGAAAAGCAATGATGATTGGGCGTGGCTGGGCGAAACCCGAGCCCGAGCACCGACAGGAACATGGCTCCAGGACACTCTTGGCTATGCTCGTGGCCCTACTGTCGGATGTTCCATTGTATCCGCTCGCCTCACTAGGACGACAGGGAAGAAGTTCTAGAAGAATAGAGAGAAGCGTGCATGCTTAGTCCAAGGAGCCGCTACCTCAAAAAGACCCGAAGCCAACTGCTGCAAGGTAAGCATGCAAACCGCTGTGCAGCCCCTGTAATTCTCACCACCATACCTGACTCGAAACAGTTGGTGCAGGGAAGTTAATATCAAGTCAAATCGTCAATAATCCGCGCGCGTCAGACGCGCATAGCAGAGGGGAAGGCATCGCGTTTGAGTGCTTATGTTTTCATATATCTGAAGAATGTCTCCCAGCCCACTTGGGGAGAAAGGTTGGGCGGTGAAACCAGGGTGCAAGCAGGGCAATATGGCGAGCAGATTGAGACCGTATTGAAATCAGGGAGACTGGTTGATGAGCTTTCATCGGCCGTCGCCATGCTTCTGCAGTACGCCGTGCCGTCTATGCTATATTACATAGCTTCCAGATAGTTCCCGAAGCAGGATGAGGAGACACCCTCCTGACGCCATCTTCCTCCATCGCTTCCATCACACACTCCTGACCATTTCCTCATTTCCTTATTCCAGCAGAGACGCCTGGTTCGTGTAGAGAACGTCCACGACGTTGCTCAACTTCTCAATTGTTTCCAGCGCTGCGTCGTAGCCCTGATCTCGCTCTGATTCGTCATAGACAATCAAACAGCCAGCCCCTTGATCAAGGACTCCAATGATGACCTTGTCAAGGATCATCTGCGAGAGCTTGCGCTCCACCTGCACCGTGTCGAGCCCAACCATCTTAGCGACATGGTCGATCTCGACTCTGCTGAATGGCTCGATCACTTTGATAAGGTTCTGCTCAAGCATGTTGTCGTACAAGCGTCGGAGATGGCTAGTGATGAAGCGATCGCTACCCAGCTCCTGTCGATAGTCGGTTAGCGCCGTCTCATATTCCTCCAAGCTACGGTTCGTGTGTGCTCTAGCTACAGCCTTCATTGCGTCCAAGCTCTTGCCTGCATACTTGATAGCCTGTTTCGAGGTCATAAGCGACGTCACGTCGTCGCCAAGATTCAGCATGATCTTGCAGAGAAGCATGTACTGCAGTGCTGACGTCGCCTTCTGCGCCTCATCCTGAGAATGGTAACCATCCATGGCCTCGATGAAATACGAGAAGGCCGTGTTGAAGTCGCTATCCTCGGCATGAAGCATCCCGCTCTGCATATCCAGCCCGGCCTGAAGAAGTGGCGGCGTATATACTGAAGCGGCCGAGGTCCGGGCAGAGGTGAGGGCAGCCCGTCCCTTGGGTATGTTCCCAAGCGCGTGGTAGACCCTCGACTCGAGAAGCTGCACCTCGACGAGCACGAGCTTGTCATCTAACCGCTTGAGCTCCTTGAGCAGGCTGTTGATAAGAGTGAGAGCTTCGTAGTAGGACTGCTTCTGCATGTACAAAGAGACGAGCCGAGTCTCGAGGTTCTGCCGTAAGAACCCTCGGCGCTCCGAGATTGCCCACTCGATGCACGATTTTGTGACAGAGATTTGGATATCGGTGGTGTTGGGGATCGTGGTGAAAAGCTCGAGAAGCTGCCGCACTGCAGAAGTTTCCAGTCAGAGCAAGCTCCTGGCGGATTTGCTTGATACGTGCCTAGCTTTGCCGTCTTTGCCTTGGCGAATGAGGACAATACAGAGCGGGTTTGCCTGACCAGCTCGGCGAGGGCATCGACTCGCCTCTGATCGCGGAAAAGCTCGCCCAAGCCGACGAGGGCAGTTTCATAGTTCTTGATGGCGGCTTCGTTGGAGCCCGGGTTTGTCGACAGGACCTCTTTGTAGAGCTTCTCGGCCTTGGAGGGCTCGGTCGTTGCGAGCTTTTGCGCCTCCGCTATCCGTTTGCTACTGTCCGGGACAGCCATAATGATAGTCGTGGAGAGGAGATGGGAGAGACTTGGGGTGCAGAGAAAAGAGGTATTAGAGTCGAGTGGAGAGAGGGCAGCAGGAGTTTCAAAATGAGGTTGATTATTATGTTCACGCAGAGCTCCAGGTCGCAATGAGGGCGCGGGGACAGGTAACGCCGCTCCGAAGGCTTGGCATACAGACTCTGCCCTGGCAACCGCGCGGGTGATCCCGCTCCCGGAAGCTGGAATATAGGACTCGACGCGCACCCTTGGGACGCGCCGAGTTAGGTTTTTGAACGTGTATCTCTTCTATTTGCGAGGCCTTTGTGTGGTATGTTCGTGTTCTAAGCGCTTGGCGTGCTGCCGGGGTGATGAGAGGGTGTGCTGTGGAAGGCGTGGCCCAATGACGTTGGGCGACAGCGATGCGCACAGGCCAGGTCTAATAGTAAACAACCCCGGAGCGTTTTTATCAACACACACAACTCCACCTTCCATCCCACCTCACTTTTGCGCACTCTCATACAATCACGACTACCATCTCTTATACCCCACTCGCGCTGGATCGCTGAAGCCCCTTGAAGCGCGATCAGACAATTATGCAATTGTACTAGACGCGCTTACCTTGGCCTGATTCTGCTTCACATTCTGGTGCTGTCCTTTGAGTGCGAATATTACCACAGAATCTACGATATGCCCTCTGTCGACAGGGAGGACTCTCGCGACCGAGAGCTCGTCAGACACCAGCATTCATTCTCCTCTGACATAAGCCTGAGGTCATCTATTCCGATGTATGCTCCATCCTCTCTGAGCCCTCAAAACAATAAACATAATCCCCTCAATCGAGAGTAATGCCGCTGACAAAACACCCCGCTGTGCAGGTGGGACAGCTCTGATCCCAGTCGTGCACCTGCACCTCTCCCATTGAATCCAGGCTCTTCGAGCCCTACTACCCGGCCAAACACGTCCGCTGCCATTGCGAAGGCGGCAAAGGCGTTGGAAGATAAAGCACGGGAGAGCATGCCATCAAGCTCATACACGACTAACCCGATGCCGCAGAGGTCTCCCGAACGGTCGCTGATCAAAGGCGCACAGCATAAGCGCATGCAGTCGCTGCAGACCACTAGCGTCAGGGACCTTAGGAGTTTCCTCGATGGCGTCAGGTCGCCAGAACGCTCACCCGAACGGTCGCAAGAACGATCGCCTGAGCGGTCCAGCACAAGGGGTGGAACGCCAGCCCGAGATGGCGAGAAGGACTACTTTGCGACTTCGGGGGATCACAGCCCGTCACGAACCGGCACTCCGACCCCATCAAGCCGCGATGTTCTCAAGGATACGCCTGCGCTACGGCCCTCTACCCGCCCTCTGCAGAGGGCTATCTTGGGAGAGAACACTCCGCCGTCAGCGACCATGCTTGCGCTTCAGACCATGACGGTGCCTCGCGAGCATCTCGACCCCCCTCTTGCAAACATTACCAACTCTTCGACCAGGGCTCCTCAGACCGGCCAGACCTTTGATGCCATATCAAATCAGCTGTTAGGCATCACCACCATTGTGTCCAATCTCCAGAAAGAAATGTCGCAACTCAGCCGCCGGAGTAAGGACAATGCGACTGACCTGGTGAGCTTGAAGGAGGCGACAAGCTCTCGAGATGAGGACATTCGAAAATCGTTGAAGGATTTGCTGAAAACTATGAACGAAGCACACACGGTTGGTACCCCAGGTGACATTTTTCGTTCTGGCAGTGGCTTAGGCGTGAAGGACCCGCACATGACACCGACGAAGCAATTTACACTCCCTCGAATACCGTCTCCAAGCAGCTTCTTGTTGGACGAACGGATCGGCAGCCCGAATCCCTACTCGGTCGAAGGTGCTGCCAGTGTGGCGATGCTCGAAAAAATTATCCGTGAAATGGTTACAAAAGATGGGCAGGAACGACTCCTGGGCAGCTTGCAGAAACTGGTGGACAAGGCGACCGGCGACACAGCAAAGAAGGTTAGCGAACTAGTAGAGTTTGTAAAGCAAGGTTCGGCCAATAACCCCCTTGGATCAAACGCTACACCAGGATCAGCGTCGTTTCAACCATCACCAGGAACAGGCCCCCTGACCCTAAAGAGTCGGGATCTCAACCAGAATATCTCCGTCCCTAAGACGGGAGATGGGACCAAGCCATACTCTAGCCCCAAGGCAGCTGACTTCGTCAGCGACGAGATGCTTAAATTCTTGCGAAAGATTAAGGACAGCGTTGCGGAATCAGGCTGTGTGACTATGGAAACTAAGACACTCGTCCGAGACCTTCGTGGCGAGGTTCTCGGAATGGGTAGAGAACTCGCTCGCAAGGTTGACGATGCGATGCAATCAGCGAATTCTCAAGGCGCCATTGAATCCGGCCGACCCAACCAGGAGATGAGTCTCATCGTTCAAGAGGGTCTCTCAGAGATCAAACAGCATCTGGATCAGGTGATGCGTCAGAGGAGACGCCAATCTACTTCTTCCACTATGACCCGGAACACCGTCGACAGCAATGAAGTGTACGATGTTGTCAAGCATGCTTTGGCAGAGCGTGGGCTTGATCACTTCTCCGCACAAGGTGCACTTCTCGACAAAGAGGCCATTATTTCCGCAGTTCGGGAAGCACACGAAGCGTACAAGCCAGAAATAGAAGTCCAGCAGTTTGGCCTTGAGCGAGATGAAATCCTTCAATGCATTAAGGAAGGTCTAGAAGATTCCCGAGCACCTAGCGGTGCTACAAAGGAGGAAATCATGAATATTATCCAGGATTCAATTCAGCACCTCAAACTTCCACCACCAATCAATGAAGCTCACGAGATACGAGAGGAGGTGTTGATGGCTGTGCGGGAATGCCTTGACGAGTTCAAGCCTGCCCTGGTCCCCCATACATCCCAAGCGGATAGCATATCCAGAGACTTCATTTTGAACGCCATCAGGGAAGGCCTGGTGAGTGCGGATTTGAGTGGGCCCCGGGAGATCGAGATCAACCGAGACGACCTCTTTGAGGCTGTAAGGGCTGGCTTGGAAGGTTCACAACCGCAGAATGAAGCGCACGGCAACGAAATCTTGGGGCGCTTGCAGGGCCTAGTGGACAAAATGCATTTAGAGTTCAAGGCATACTCCTCTGCCAATGGCCGCGACACGGAACAGGTACTCGATGCACTCCGGGATGGGCTGGACAGCTTACGCGCCGAGATCGAGAGCTACGTCGACAAAGCTCAGGATGTCACTCAGAAAGATGAACTCGTCGAAACGATGCGTAACGAGCTTGATCGCTTGCGAGTCGACGTCCAAGGATTCGTGGCCGAAGGACCTCGCGGTGATCATGCCTGGAGCCGAGGTGACATGGTTGGCTACATCAAGTCCGAATTCGAGCATCTCCATGAGGAGCTAAGTTCGCAATTCTTGCCAGCTGCCAAGGACAAGGAACAGATTCTGAGTGCACTCACTATCGGCTTTGAAGACATGAAATCCCAAGTCGCAACCCGTGGCTTAGATCTTGACTCTAACGAAGAGATGAATGAGGCCATGAGGCAAGAATTCGACCAATTGAAGGATGTCATTCTTGGGGACGCTGCCAACCACAAGGACGATGTTTTGGAAAAGCTACAGGTTGGATTCGGTGAATTGAGTGCGAAACTAGGCGAGAACCGCACGTTGGAGAATTCTAATGAGGATATCATCTCCACGATGAAGGAAGAATTTGATCATTTACGAGAGACTCTGGGTGGGGCGTTGGTACGATCCGGTGGCACGGCTGAGAAGGACGACATTATTGACGCAGTACGTGAACTCGTAGACGGTCTTCGTTCCCAGATTGCAATTTCACACGATGATGCCTCAAAGGAGAACCTCACCTCGATCCAAGGAGAGTTGGAACATTTGCGCGAGACTCTTGGAAACACGCTTGTCCGCTCTGGGGGGTCTGCCGACAAGGAAGAGATCCTTGAAGCCCTGAAGTCCGGTTTAGAGGAGATCAAGGAAAGCTCCGGATCGATGAGCATCAATCAAGAACTTGTTGAGGCATTCCGTGGCGAGTTGGAGCAACTTCGTTCTTCTAATGGGCTCACTCGCCAGCACTCCCGTGCTGATACCGAAGAGGTCCTTGAAGCTGTTCGACTTGGCCTTGATGACCTTCGATCGCATCTGGAAAAGAAGATCGACAACCCTGACCGTCACATGTCGGCAACCGGCGAGATTCTCGACGCTTTGAATGAAGGTCTTGAGGGCCTCCGGTCTGATGTTACAAAAATGGTTGATAAGCCGGTCGATATGACCGTCTCCTACGAAATCCTAGACACCCTCAAAGGTGGTCTTGCGAGCCTGCGCGAAGACGTCGATAAACTGAAGGGTAGGAGGGTAGAGGAAGAGGAAGAGGAAGAGGAAGAGACAGTACCAACTGGCAACGAAGTTGTGCTTGCCGAAGATCTCGAGGCCCCAATCACCCGAGATATAGCTGTAGATCCTCCACGCCGGAATGATCTAGAGAAGGTAGAAGTCATGCTAGGGCAGCTCCAGATCAAGGTGGAGGCCATAGATGCCAACTTTCAACATGCACCGCCTGCTCCTGAATCTAACGTCGCACCCGGATCTGCAATGCAAAGCGACCTCGTTGGGATCGAGGAGTTGCTGAAGGATCTTCAAGCCGCGGTTTTCCAACTCCAAGATCGTGAGCAGCCTGCCCTTAATATGGAAGGAATAGCGACCAAGGAAGATACCGATGCCATTGAGACTCTTCTTGGGAACATGAAAGCTAAGATTGAGGAGATTGCCGTCCCTGACCCTGCAACCACGATCTCGAAAGAAAACCTTGAAGACATCGAGCTAGTGGTTCAAACAACTTCAGAAGCGATTGAAGCACTTTCAAAGAAGATTGAAGAAGAAGGTGCCACCAAGGGAGATGTCGCAGTGATCCAGGTAATTGCGGATGACATCAAGAATGCGCTGGATGAAATGAAGTCTGCAAAGCTGGAGGAGACAGAGGAAGAAGTTGTTGAAAAAGCAACCAAAGCTGATATTGACAGTCTTGCCGTCCTCGTCTGCGATATTAAGGCCAAGATCGAAGAGATGAAGATTCCTGATGGAAATGAACTTCCTTCTAAGGCCGACGTTGAGCAGCTCACTGGGCTCATTCACGATTTCCGCGACAGCCATGACAAAATGAAAGATAGCTACGAATCCGACATCGCAATTACTGCGAAGGCATTTGATGATCGTAAGAAGGAGGCAGAGGATCTTGTGGAGAGCATGAATGATGTCAAGCTCGCGATTGATGATATTAAGGAGGAGATCAAGACGAACCTCACTGAAGGTGGGCCGATGGAAGGTCTCAGGGATTCCTTCAAGAGTCTAGAGGACACAATTGGATCGAACTTTAGCATCACCGCAGATGTCAAAGAGCTCATGGAAATTGTTTCTCGTGAGTTTGAGCGGGCACATGGTTCCATCGAAGGGCTTCGAAATGACCAAGAGGAGAGGTCGGCCCTGACTGCGGAGAAACACGACGAAGCCAAGGATGCTATCATCGCCGGACTTGTCGAAACGATCGACGACCGCTTCAATACCCTCATGGCAAAGTACGATGATGCACAGCTGCTTGCCGACGAGCAAGCTAAGGTCATGAAGGAAAAGGCCGAGGAGCAGGAGAGGATCTTGGAGAACACCAAGGGAATGACTGACGAACTCCGTCTCACCATGGATACTCTCGGTGCAACCATCACGGGTATGAAGGATCAATTTGAGGAAGCAGCGCAGAAGCTGTCGGCAGAGTCTACTACTGTTATCCAAAAGATCGATAGTGCCATGGTGAAGCTCCAGGAGCATCAGGAAGATGGCAAGACGGAGCATTCACATACCCGAGATGAGATTGCTAATGTCGAACGGATCTTCAACGGCCTTCAGGACAACATTACTGAATATCATCCTAAGTTCATGGTCACCCTTCGCGAGATCCAAGCCTTGGTTAGTCAGCACTACGAGCATTCACAGAAAGCCAAGGAAACTGCCGATGAACAGACCCGCGTGTGGAATGAGGAAGCTAAGGCACGTGCACAAGAGATTTCAAACCACTTCTCCAATATACCGGCCCTCCTTCCAGCGCCACCTGCTGCCATTGAATCTGTCCAGATATACGACGATAAGCAAGTCCAGGAAAAGCTCGACAAGCTCCTTGGTGATGTCGACGAAGCCAAAAACTCTACCCCGCAACTTGAGCGTCTCGATCAGATCCACAAACAGGTCATGGCCACCGCTGCTGAGGTCAGCGAGTTCGTTGCCAAACAAACTCAGCTCATCACCGACGGGAACGAGACCAAGGAACGAGAGGCTGAAGAAATTGCCCTGTTGGTTGAGCGTCGTCACGCGCAGAAGGAGCAACTCGAAGCTGACATCCGGGGACTCAAGGATGAGAGGGAGCGTGTTTTACAGGAACTGAAAGAGGAGAAAGACCGTGTCGTGCAAGAGCTCAAGGATGAGAAGGAGCGCACCATTCTCGAGGTCAAGGAAGAGAAGGACCAACTCCTCGCCATCGTTGCAGCATTGCAGGTCGAGCGCGAAAATCTTGCTAACCAGAAGGTTCGGCTGACGGGTGAGGTCTCCTCTCTTCATACGGCGCTTGAGATTCGACGAGAAGAGCTACATGTCATGGACGCCAAGGCCGATGCTCTGGAACGCAGGATTCTGAACGGTATCATGGATCACTCACGGGCCCTTATGATGTCTAAAGGAAGGAAGAACCCGGCCAAAGCCAAGAAGCGAATGAGCGCAGATGTCACAAGCGACGCTAGCAAGCTCATGCCTCCTCCGAGCACCGCTGCGAGTGGCCTTTCCATGGCGTTGAAATCTCGCCCTGCCATTCGCCGCAATGGGCCGCCTCCCAACCCGGCCAGTCGTCGAATTCACTCCCTTAGCCAGATCAGTGGCAATTCATCAGCAGGAGCACAGACATATTCAATACCCGGTAGCACGATGTCTACTTCCGGAAACCTTAAACGCAGCCACTCTGTCAAGACCAACTACTTGCGTAAGAGTTCTTGGGCAGGTAGACCCAGCGTCGCAGAAGTCAACAAGGAAAACGAGACATTGAGCGAGGAGAGCGAAACCGAGACTGAACATACTCCAGCTCACTTAGCGATTGAGGATAACCATTCCATTGCCGAAGAAAATCATGATGACATGCACAGTGAGACCGGCACCGAGCGGCGATATAGCTACGGCACAGGGAGTTACGCTGAGAGCTATGGTGAAGGCGAGACGCCTAGCGAATACACGTACGCCTCTGGATCCTCGTACATGACAGGCAGCGATGTTGATCGTCGCACATCCTACGGCTCCACTGTTCACTCCACGCTCCTGGGTGGTGCGGAAACCATCGATGAAGGCAGCGAAGACGAGGGTTCCGACCACTCTGACTACTCCGGCAATGAGGATGACACGGAAACAGGCCCCGTCCTACCATCCGAGATCACAGCGTCCGAAGTCTCGACTTCAGTCCTCGATCCCACAGCCTCAGAAGTCGAGCGCGCAGTCGAGGAAGTCAAGAAAGATCTGTGTCTCTACGCTTTGCCCAGTGATTCAGGCGTGGGCACGGATCTCGCGACTGCAGCGCTTGAACCTCCGGCTAGTGATGCGGATTATTTCAGACGTGCAGCGGAGGAAGAGAGTACGGTTGGGTGAGTGATGTGTATGCGTGCCCCCGCGACAATTATGGTATGCTCTTGCCTTTCTTTGGCCTTGTTGATGGGAAGAGAGAATCTAGCTGACGAGATTGATAGCGGTTTCAGGGGTCTGGTGAAATTTTCTGCCGTCAGGGATGCTTTGGCTTTGTTGGGGGTTTGGGATAGTGGGTTGTTGTAGAGCCAGTTGGCTCACTTGGGGCTGATTGGTATGGAGTACGGTGGGTGGATGGGACGGCGTTTAGCGGCATTACTATGGTTGGCTTTCATGGTTTGTGGATGGTCAGTGTTATGATTTGGACGATGAGCAAATTGTTATTGTCCTGACGGGTTGTGGTGTAACCAACTGTTTACGAAAATGTAATGCCCGTCTGTAATCAGAACTATAAATGTTGACGTTTTAATTTTGCTTTCGAATACGTCCACCGTTGCAACAGTCTGCATCCTCCTGTCGTCCTCCGCAGTTTTAGCAAGGGCGTTAGCGGGCGCAATATTCTCTCTTGTCATGTATCGTGGTGTCATAGGTACTGTGCATTGTAATGGTATCGGGTGACTATCTTTAACCCTCTCCACCGACCTAAAAACCCCAATTTTTTATATCTGCAGGAAATCCATTAAAGAAGTTCGAATGTGTCACTATCCGCAGCAAGTTAGTCTAGCCTGAAATTTCCCCCCCAAAAAAATTCTTTGTTAAAAATGCCCAATGCTTCTAACAATCGCACAAATTCATAGCCTTCTCCACCAGATCCGCTAACTTCGGATTCCACTCACTTGCAGCTCTTATGAATAGGGCCAAGAAACGGGTTCAAGAACTCTACATTTCCATGCCCTCCACTCACCGTGGTAGGGATATTTACGCGATACTAGAGGGTTTGCCTTGGTGTGTTGAGACTCCCCTTTCAAATTTAATAATTGAAACTAGTCGATTTTGTAAGTCTAAGATGATTTTGAGATGTGGGGTTGGGCTTGGTAGTGGCAATCTTAGTTCCAAGGTTGAGTCGGTAGGCCCTGGTCCGTTCAAGTGGAAGAATTACTGCATTTTGTCGCATTCTGTGGGAATTAGCTCAGCAAATGCAGGACACAAATTTGGACTTAAATTAAGCACAACCCATTTTAACATAAATATCCTACTATATTTTCCTCTATATCTAGATATATGTGGTAGTCCGTAGGGGCTGTTGCTGTGATGAAAGATATGTGGACAGGGGCCCTGGAGCCGAAGTTGTAATCGCCTTGGTGATGAGAGGGGCCCCCTTGAGGGCCCACAGTCCATAGCGAATTGGATGGGAGATGGGGTGGGGTCCAAAGGGTTTGGTGGAGTAGATCTGAAGCCTAATAGTCGGAGATTCACCCAAATTGCGCCTGAGTGTTAAAGCAAATCAATATAAATCCGAAGTTGATTGCAATACTCGGGCAACAGCAGCGCACGCCAAGCCAAAGCACCAGTGAACATCTGGACACATGACGGATAGCCACAGCACATGACATAGGCCAATCTACTTTCATATCTTGGCAATACTCGAAACATATGTTTTGGACTTGTTTTCGGCTCGACCCTGCATAATACCACATGCCTGTTGAAGCAAGAGCTTGGGCGGGAACTGTTCGCTGGCTTCGCATGGGCGGGTGAGAAATATATGTCTGGGTGGAGGTGATCGATGAGTGATGTAGGCCCCGTGCTAGGTTGCTGGTAAGTGTGAATCTCTCTTGTGTTTGCGGGGCTGGGGGAGTTTTTCTTTAGACAACTTGGTCAGGAGGGATAGCAAGCAATTACAACTTCAATAGACATCATGTTATGACCCAACGTAGAAATTGATAGTGTAGGTTATACTAGTTAGGTCCCTTGTTGGAACCAGTAAGAATGTGAACAGAATATCGATGCCTGACCTGGATAGCCCCTGTCATGTTCCACGTTTAGTGACAAGGTGCAATAGACTGGTGGGCGCTGTGCAGGGAAGGTTTCTCATTGCGGATCCTTTCGGGACTTTTCACAACTGGTATCAATGGTATGAAATCAGAAGTTATGACAGGTGCCCTGGGCCAGTAAACCACTGGCAGAGAAAATCAGTGGTCATCTATGAATAAAAATTTGACATCGCAAACTTCACTTATATACTGTTATATGATTTAGTGTATCGACATGTGATCCTCCAAAATTACCCGATACTCTACGCCGCGAGGCTCGAAAGGGCTTCTGAAGGTAAAGAGAGGACGGATTGATATTCGCCGTCCGAGTGGAGTCAATCATTCATGGGAGAGCCGAATGAGAACCCAAAGAAGAGGGCGTTATGACGTCGTCACGCTCAGACCTTGACAAATTTGGTATGAGATCCGGTGGCGATGATCGGACCGGGCTTGCCGTCTACAACCTTTGTTATCGTGGCGGTTGTGAACGCTAGCGTGCCTCCGACTTTGCCTGCCTTTCCTTCAACCTCGATCCAGTCTCCGTCTTTGGCGGAGCTCGCATATGAAATATGAATATCGGTGCTGACGCCCGTCTTCACCCTGTTGTCCCACGCAGCAATGGCCATGCCGCCGACCCAATCGATCAAGGTTGCAGAGACAGAGCCGTGAATACCACCGTGGGCGTTGACATGGTTGGTGGTTAGCAACAGGCGAGCCCGCACAAGACCTTTGGAAGCATGGGTAAGCTTGATGTCGGAAAGTAGAAATTGGTAGATGGGACTGTGAGGCTTCCGGCCTTCCCAAAATCTCTCTACATGAGTGAGGATATCAGGATTGGATGCTTCGGCGGCCATGACGAGGGGTACGCAGTCAATTGGACTTGGCGCGGCCATCCGAAGTTGGGATGAAGTGAGGGGTCGTTATAGATGAGACGAGGTAGTGGCACTCTGAGGTTCTGTTCCCAGGATTTTGGTGGTGGCTATCGGCAACTTGGTTTCTCCGACGCCGGTGTCAACGAGAACTCCCAACGTCAGCTTGAAACAGTCGCGCCACGGAACCGGAGCAGGAGACGCCACCGTTGCTTTTGGGCTCTTGATATAGCAATACTGTTTTGGCGAGGACATCTGTCCCCTCCCCCGCTCTATGTGTGCGACGACGCGTCGGCAGACAATATGAGCGATTCCGTGCAGACACCCCCGAGCGCCCCCGATGCTGCCGAACAGCATCCTCCCGAGTTGATGGCTCCCGAGGTTGCGGAGAAGGCTGACCTGAGGAAGGATGCATCGACACCTGCGGATACCCCCTCGATCAACCTGAAAACGCTCACAGACCGGACCTTACATTTCTTAGCGACGGCGAGCAATGAAACCCTCGGGGCGTGCTTGATAGGGCTCGGCGCTGGAACATATCTTGTGCTGGGGAGAGTTGGGCTCCTGCTAATTGGCGTCATGGGCGGGGTTGTCTTGCATGCATCTTGGGAGGGCCACGTGAACAGCATTGGTGAGAACAAAGGTCAAAGCCAGGAGGCGCGAAAGCGAGAGCTGGGCATCGATGTGGTTCACCGCGTGCTCGATTGGCGGGACATTGCAGTGAAGGGAAATGAGAAGAGCTCGGATGACGATTCCAATATGGATGTGAAGCTATACTCCGGGAAGGAGTTAGACTATTCCGAGTTCCGACCAGAGACCGCTGCCGCCCTCACAGAGCTCACCGATGCGGTTATCAGAGACTACGTCAAGTACGTTCACTTGTGGCTGAGACATGGCATATCTAATCGCACGCAGGTGGTGGTACTCGCCCATTCTACCAACTGAATTATCATTCCCTTCCGCCTGCCGCCAGACCTTGACAGCCTTTCTCCTTTCCATTTCCGCGCACCTTTCAAGAAAGCGTCCGGCTGACACGTTCGTCGATTTTGTAACCAACTCGTCCTCGATTATGATCGTGTTCTTCAACGAGCTTTCCGTCGCGCTAGCAGCTACCCCAGGAACATCCGCCTCCGAAGCCATCGATGCATACCTTGAATCTAAGCCCGAAAGCAGCTTGGGAAATATTCTTGACACACAAAATCAGTCCAAGAAGTTGGATATGGTTGCCGAAGATATCTTACAGAACTATTTAGACCCAAAGACGTACAATTGCAAGCCTGCACAAATCTTCTTGAGGAAGGTCCTTGCGCAGCTTATCTTGGATATGACAATTTCGACCTGTTCGAAACCCGACTGGATTAATGGCTGGATAGTTTATCTCCTTGAAGACGGTGAGCCGGATCTCATCAATGTCATCGACGCAGGCGTTGAAGGCTCTTCTGGTCAGCTAGAGAATGTAAAAAATGCAGTCGAGAAACAGGAGAAGGCTGTAGAGACCGAGGCCTCACTGGAGGAAAAGAGAAACGTCGCGAATCACAAGCGAGTGGTAAGCAGAGCGCAGGAAGCTATGGATGAAGCCATGCGGGAAGCGCAAAGGCTCAGCCAAATGATCGCAGAGGATGATGCGAGAAGATTGAAAGAGCTGCGGAACACTTCCAGTACTACCTCGAATGATGATCAATCCGAAAGTACGACCCAGGGCATTGCCACACCAACATCATCGCAGAGCGAGACGCTGGCGGACAACGATGTCACGGATCTCGGCATATCAAACATTCCCTCCATGGCTTCGTCACAGGTTGGGCCACCATCACCTAACATGCCAGAGGAACCACCTAAGCAAGAGCCCAAACATTCCTTCACAAGCTTCGATCAACTAGTGCCAAGCCAACCACCCACGGCTCTTATGGCCAACCCCCCGCCAGTCGAGAAGCCTCCTCCATTAACCCTTCACAACTCGAAGATGTCCATTTTCGACGACTCAATGCCCGGAGAAAAAGCGATCATCAAAAACAAGCCCACAGCTGAGTATCTTATCCAGATCGAACCGGCTTCGCAATATCACTCCGGATGGATGACCGCCCGAAAATTTACCGATTTTGAAACACTGCACGAAGTCTTACGCCGCATTGCTGCTATTACGGGCACTACGGGTTTCACAGAGGCGCATTCTACGCTTCCGGCGTGGAAAGGCCATACTAAAGCGTCACTTCGTGGAGAGCTCGAGAGGTACCTCAATGATGCTGTTCGATTCAAACCTCTTGCGGAAAGCGAGGGCATGAAACGCTTCTTGGAGAAAGAGACTGGCCTCCAAAAATCCTCCGGAGGGAAAGGGGGGTTCCCTGGAATTGGTTGGCCTGGCCAAACCTTTGAGAACATGGGCAAAGGCATGATTGATGTCCTAACTAAAGCTCCTAAAGAAGTAGCTGGTGGGGGAAAGGCTCTCTTTGGGGGCGTTACTGGAGTTCTAGGCAATGTGGCCTCACCTCTTGGGGGGAACAAAAAGAATAGGGGGGACTCAGTATCCAATAGCCCTGGTACCCTATCTCGCTCTGTCACAACACCTACTCCAAGGCACGGACGCGCTGAAAGTACCGTGTCAGAACTTCCGTCGCATATTCGCACCGAAAGTACGATGTCCTCCTTAAAGCGCCCCAGCACAGACTCGCTTCGAAACCCCAATTCCCCAATCATTGATCAACAACCCGGCCGAGAGGCACCAATGGAACGCCGTCCGAGCTACAACCCCGACGGCGACGGCAAACGATCCGGTCGCTCTTCCATCTACGGCCAATCCCGCAGTAACAGCCGCGCGCCTTCAGTAAGAGAAAGCATGGATCTCTCCCCCGTCATGGGCGGCGACCAGCTCATGAATCTCCCACCCATGCCCTCCGACATTCCTGATGACTACACTAGCTCTCCCGTCCGCTCATCTCTCGACCCCTATCACTCGCGGCACCCATCCCGTGCATCCACAACCTCCCTTCCTCTCCCTAACGAACCTGTTCCACCGTTCCCACGCCGTCCATCGGCAACATCAACCACCTCCTCCAACCCTACCAAACCCCAACCCAAACCCACATCTCCAAAATCCTGCCCTCCGCTTTCTGAACAAGAAACCACTGTCCTAGTCGAACTCTTCTTCGCTGTAATCAACGAACTCTACACGCTATCTTCTGCCTGGCAAATCCGCCGCACCCTCCTTAACGCAGCAAAAACTTTTCTCTTACGCCCGGGAAACCCGCAACTCGAATCCATCCGCCAGCTCATTTCCACCACCGTTCTCGACGACAACACATCTGATGCTGGCCTCGCGTACCATTTACGCAAAATTAGGGAGAACACGCTGCCGACGGAGGACGAATTAAAGGCGTGGCCGAAGGAGATGAGTGGCGAAGAGAAGGAACGGTTGAAGGTGAAGGCAAGGAAATTGCTTGTTGAGAAGGGCATGCCTCAGGCTTTGACCAGTGTGATGGGTCAGGCGGCGAGTGGAGAGGCCGTTGGGAAGGTTTTTGATTGTTTACAGGATAGGAGGGTCGCGAGAGGGATGGTGTTTGGGTTGCTTTTGCAGGGGATGCGGGCAGTGACGCAGTAGGAAGGGCGGGTACGTGGAGTGGGTTTCATTGGATTGTGTCATAGAATGTTAATAGTGGTGTGGGGTTGGGTTAGCTTGTACACTTACTATTTGGATTTTGGATAGCAGGGATTCGGAGCTACGGCTATTATATTAAGGATGCGGAGCATGAATATGTGGGCTTTGGGGTGTTGGCTTCACCATTTTAGTTATTTAACATGATACAATGTTGAGTTCAGGTAGTACTTCTAATTATACTATCAGAGAGCAAGCTAGCTAGATGCTATGCTACATATTATCACACAACGTAGAACATAACTTGGGTGGGGTCTATGGAATAAGAAGAAAGAAGAACGCTATCCGCACATCTTGAACCTTAAAATCTGTACGAAGTATGGAGGGAAGACATTGGTCAGGCTAATGTGGAGTTCCCCGTATTGTTCACCAAAGAGGCTGCTACAACTACCTTGAGACTGGACTCATGATTCCACAAGGGCCCACGTGCCCCCAGAACGAAGAACAAGCGCGGGGACCAACTGTGAAGCTGTTAAAGGCATCACCGATCACGAACAACCCGATCTGCTGCACTCTAGGAAAGTCGATGTCGCTAATTCGAACTACTCTGCAACAGTCTCTATGCTCCAGGCCCCTCTCAAACCAATCAGACGACGAGACGTCCCATGACGTACAATGTGCAGTTTCTTCAGATGTGTCAACGTGCGGCTAAGAATTGTGATTGTGTCGATGTCCGCCTCGCCCTTCCATATAACCAGCACACAGTTATCTACATGATGGCATAAGGGGGTGAAAAAGCAATTAGAGACCTTTCTCACGCCCATATCAGCATTTCGCAGCCCATATGGGCAGTACGAAAAAGGCATCGACCCGAATCCAATCCTCAACGTTGGATTCGCATAATGGTTCGAGGGCTAATTAAGGAAGCATTCGAGATACTTGCTGCGGGCCTGAAGCAGAGAAAATCCGTGCATAAATACATAGACTCTGTTTCAGGTCTATATGTGGTTGTATAACTCGTTTGGACACATGCTACTTGCTGAACAACTACAAGACCGTTCGCTCTCACCATGCACTCGGAATATATAGCTTGATGAGGGTTTCTTCGAATAGAACGAAAAGAAATATAGAAATGCGGTGGTGTTGTGTTAAGGGTCTAAGGGATAATGCTGTCACAAGATCTACACGAAAGGGACGGTTTACGGAATGCTTGACTAGGTCTAGTATTCAGGATAGGGACGCTTCGGCAAGATATAGAGCTGACAGAAAACTTCGAGCTTTAGTCAACTAAGAAATCAGGGCATGAAATATGTAGCCTGCAAGTTACGAGCCAGTACTTTCTCGAACATTTTACATCTTCCGAATGTTCAGGGAAAGCATTAAAATGCATTTCTTGGACAGTTATGCTCGTGGATTTAGAGCAGTCAAAATATTGAAGCTTACACCTAAATTCCGAACGTGCGAAAGTGAGAGATTGAAAACAATAGCACCCACTTTTTTTTTTAAGCATGTGTGCCATGATTGGGCAGCGTGAAGGTACGTCTACAGTTAGGCCAAGGTAGGGGAATGAAGTTGAGTGCTTCCCCAGCATAACAAAACGATGATGACCATCCCCCTCACTCTAGAAAACTAGTCAACTCGCCATTCTTAGACCCCTACACCCAACTCCTCAAGCCACTCCCTGATAACCTTCGCCGTCTCCTGCGGTGCTTCCTCAGGTAAAAAATGCCCAATCCCATTACCTAGCCCAGAACTCTTCACATGCGTCCCCTCCTCCACCCAACCCCTCCACTCACTCTCTACATCATGCCTCCTTCCAATGTAATCACTACTATAAACTAACAACACACCCAAATTCCTCGCAATCTTTCGTCCCGCCTTCTGATCCTCTGTCTGCATATCTACATCCTCAAACGCACCAGCTCTATAGTCCTCATTGCTCGCACGAATTGTTTCGGGATTTGTGAAGAACTCGCCGTAGACTTCGAGTGCATTGTCTGATTTAAGCGATGCGAGGCCGACGGGGTTTTTACCTGCCCAGCGTAGGATCATGTCGTTGCACCAGCGGGAGCCGCCGTAGGCGGTAATCATGTCGAATGCGAGAGAGACGTTGGCGAGGAAGGGCCAGTGGAAGTAGCCAACCATATCCGGGACGGAGGATGAGGCGGCCCATTGGGTGGAAGTGGGGACCTGATGGGGCGAAGGTTAAGTTTTAATTTTCGGAATGTAGAACAGGATGCATGAATGTCAGATAAGAAAGAAGATAGAAGAGAACGACAGTGTGAGGAGAATGTCCATACGATATCCATCAAACAAACACCTAGGATCTTGAATCCCTCCACCCCGCTTACGGAAAGCCGATGGCAAATCCTTGCACCGCGATCGTGTCCGATCAGGACCACAGGGATATCCGAGGACGGTGATTTGCTTGTGGATCTCTTTATTTGAGTGTGAAGTGCGGACATCAGTGTTTTTCCAACGGTGAGTTTATCATTCTGCTTAATAGGAGTGCTAGAACCATAGCCCGGGAGATCTGGAGCGAAGAGCGGAGCACTGGAGGGAAGAAACGGAACCAGCTAGTAGCCGATAGGTTTAGAATTCATCCGGCAGGTTGTTTGAAGATAGGGATTTTTTGCTCACTTGACGCCACCTTGGAATCTCATCAACATGTGGAATTAATAGATAGAGTGGGACTCACATATACGAGGATTGAGGATATCCATGAATAAGCACCAAAATCGGGTTTTTCTCTGAGACAGAACCCAAGCCGCGGCTGTAGCAGCATACTTGGGTATCATTGACTAACGTCTTTGATAGGCCGAGGCTGGAGAATTTCTCATCCTGGATCTGGATCGCGGAGGCGGACATCCTCGCAATTTAGACCTATAACTGACACGAATGAAATGAAACAATCGCTATAACTTCAGGCCCAATTGAAGTCTTAGAAAGATTGGGCAAGAATGGACGTTTACGATGGAGGCTTTATATGATGCCAGTGCGCCCTTCGGGATGCACTTGTAACTAACTTATGACGTGATGAACTAGTGATAAACGCTAAAAGTGCACCATCGGAGGCACGGCATTGCACCAGCCCGACGACCTCCGATGCCCCTGCAATAAAACGGGAAAAGGTAACTGGGGATCACGTGGGATGAAGAGCAACAAGAGAAAAGAAATACCAGGATTGTAGGAACGGGTGGACACTCAGGTAGCAAGGTGGAGGCGATGCCATTATTGGTGTGATGTTTAGACATTTGCCGAGGTATTTGTCTCGGTCAACCATGCACCTGATAGGTAGGCAAGCCTAGTACAAGCCCGACTTGGCTATATCCATATGCTAAAAGACCAGCAATGAGCCCACCCAAACTCCAAGGACATGTTCTGCATCTTGATTGAAACGCCGTCGCTATGCTGAAACGAAATCAGTCGAACAATGCCCATGAAAGTATCACTGTTCCCTCGCCAAGACCATTTTCTCTCGTTCAGCTTTTCGCCTCACTCTGCCCTTCTTAGTGTGTTTCCTCTCGTTCTCTTCCCTCCTCTTAATAGCCTTCAATTCCTCTTTCTTGATCTCTTCAGCCTTCATCACCTGTTTGGGTACATGCCTATGCCTTGCAATCCGTCGAATCTCGGGCATGTGCTTGTATCTTTCCTTCAAAGCATCGTCATATTGCAACTTCTGCCGCAGAGCGAACGACTTGACTCCCTGCCGGTCAGACGCTTTGGCGCGCCAGAGACGGATGTTGCCATCGTCAGATCCTGAGAGCACGTAATTGTTGTCAGGGGACCAAGCGACGGAAAAGACTCGCTGCATGCGCTTTGTGTGGTATATGTCTCGAGAGTGTCCCTTTGCACGCTCCCAGATTCGGATTGTCCGATCATATGATCCACTGATCAGCTCCTCTCCCGTGGGACTGAAGTCCACGCTCATCACCGCGGCGACGTGCCCTTTCAGGACATTGAGAGACCGCTTCATGTTCCGCATATCGAATATGTAGATATTGTGGTCTTCGCTTCCCACGGCAAAGTTGAAGGCTTCCATGGGATTCCAAGAGATGGCATTGGAGGCAAATGTGAGGACATTTCGATGAAGCGGAGAACTTGTGCGGAGGTCGTAGAGTATGACAGCACGGTCGGTAGCGCATGAGGCCAGTATTGAGGTTTCTGTCTGGTTGAAAGCGACCGCATTAATGGTCTCGATGGTGGTAGGCCACGATAGGGTTTGGACAGGCGTTCCAGAGGCGCGAGAGGTGTCGTAGATGGCGATGTTGCTGCTTGCAGCAGCAAAGGAGGGGATTAAGCGATGATGGGAGACTGATGTGAAAGCATGCTGGCCTAGCCACGTCGATGTGGGCGGGCTCTTGGAAGGCGTAGTGTAGGGATCGAACATTTTAACGGTTCGGTCGCTTCCGCAGGTAATCAGCCGCTTGTCCCTGGTCCAACACATGCCCTTGACGATGGTGTCGTGCGCCTGGCTCTGCCATTTCTCCTCTCGGCTCGTGAGGTCCCACACCTTTACCACGCCGTCGCCACTGCCAGAGGCAAGATGCTCGAGTCTGGGTGAAATATTAGCCGCAGACTCGTGCTTTTATATTGACTCAATCTTACGATTCGGGATCTTTGGCAAAGGAATACACCCCATCTACATGGCCGGGCTCGAAACTCCCGAGGAATGGCTGCGCGAACATGCGCTCGATTTTTGTTGCATTGAGAGCTCTGGTATACTCTCGCGCTCGCTCAAACGGATGAAGGTCTGGATCTAAGTTTCTGGGTAGGCGTGCAACATTTGACCCCGGGGCCTGCGCTGAGGCAGCCGACCTGCTGAGTGCCTTGATCTTCATTATGGAATTGGATGTTCTCCGAGCACTCTTGCGGGGGAAATCTCAAGAAAGTTTCCCTTTGCCAAGCTCGCTTATATTTTAGCGCCGATGTTCTGCCGACCTCGCCCACATCGACATTTTGTGATCCAACCCCGACTAAGAACGACATCACCAATCCACCCACTGCCGTGAGAAACAGCCACGATGAAGTTGTGAGTGCACCAAGATTCTCTGACAGATGGTTTACCAGCAATACGATCGAGAGACTTCGAGCGATTACGGCAGTCTAGGCTGTCCACTCACTCTGCAACTATTTACTCCCCAGAACACCCATGAAACTCTATTCGGACCTTGCTAACTTTGATTCTTCTACAGCCTTAAGGTCGGACGCGTTGTCGTACGTTTGAAACCATTCGAATCCAACCCCTTCACACCCGCTCACAATGCGAATAGATCATCACCCGGGGCCGGTATGCGGGCAAGAAATGCGTCATCATCCAGCCGCTCGACAATGGAACTAAATCACACCCCTTTCCCCACGCTCTCGTCGCCGGCATTGAGCGCTACCCGTCACAAGTCACCCGCCGCATGTCGAAAGCGAAGCAGACGAAGAAGTCCAAGGTCAAGCCTTTCGTCAAGCAGGTCAACTGTACGTGACAGCAACACGGAAGGATCGGATGAGTTCTGATAGTGGACAGACACCCACCTTATGCCCACCCGGTACACGCTCGAACTCGAGAACCTGAAGGGCGTCGTTTCGGCCGACACATTCAAGGAGGTTTCGCAGCGAGAGGAGGCCAAGAAGACGGTGAAGAAGGCTTTTGAGGAGCGATACCAGTCGGGAAAGAACAGGTGGTTCTTTACTCCCTTGCGATTCTAGGCTTTCCTTTCTATCATGGCTGGGCGTAGGCTGGAATGTTTGACCCGGGTGGAGACCCTACACAAGCATGACGGTGGATATTACAGGGTGGAGAGGCAAAATCGCCCTTGCATCCGAGCATGTACTTCGGGTTGATAAATGAAGCATCAAAAGACTTTTTAGGCGCCAATACCACAACCATCAAATCTTAGTCTTGCGTTTTCTCCCGACTGAATGTCGTTCACGTGTAAACCTTAATCTCGTGTTTCTCGTCTGACTTGATATCCTTCACTAATAGCATGGCTAGAGGTTGATATCCGAATTTTTCCGACTAAAGGATGGGCGAAGCCGATTGCGATGAAGTCGCCTCCTCCACTAGCTGACGTCCGAATCACAAACGACACAGCATTAGTCCGTGCAGCGGAAAAAAGCATAGGAAATACAGCATTATTGTGACATTACATATCAAATCTATCCCTAGGTTCGTAATACAGACGCTAAGAAAGAAGAAAGACGACCACACCCATGATTGATATGAGATGATCACTCGAGACTGAAATCTGTTGCCCAAAGAAGAAGCTGAAAGGTATCATAGGTATGCGAGGGCCCATGGATATCCCATTCCCACCACTCAACCCTCCACACCATTCCGGATGGTGTACACACGCGCGCGCACGCACACACACGCACACACAACACACACACACACACCGGCCTCCACCATCTACTCTACTCACTCTACTGCTTGACCTCATCAGCCTTCTTGCTCGCCTCCTGCTTCCCCTTGCTCAAATACTGCATCACCAGCGTGTATCCATCATGTCCGATCTTCAACTCAGTGCTCACAATCGCCTTCGCGCTCTTCAGAAGTCCCTTCTCGCCTCTCGTCTTGCTGTACTCGTCATTCCACGTACTGAGCAGATAGGCCTTCCCCTGTCCGGCAAGCTTCAGCGGCAAGAACGCATAGCTCTGCACCGTCTCCTTCAGCTTGGATGTGTCTTCCTTCACGATGGGGAACTTGTCCTCAACTTTGGAGAGCCCTGTGTCGCCGAGCTCGTCGGCTCGGGTTAGGTACGGGGAGAGGTACGAGTACGGTGTTTGCAGGTATGGGTGCAGCGGCGCGATGAAGCGGGCGTAGGTGTTGTGGACCAGGGACAGCGATTTTGCACCATACGGGTGTGTTTTGTAGAATTCGACTGAGTCGTGGACGACGGGGTAGGATTGGAGATGCTAGACGGGCCGTTAGTTAAAGTTTAGGGTGGAGGGGTGGTGGGGCGGGCTCTGCAAGGTACGTACCGACAAGACCTTGGAATGCGGCTTCTCGCCGTTAGTCATTGGTGAGCTGCTCATTTCGCCGTTGGTTGTCGGAGCAGTGTCCTGTTCAGCGTGCGGCATTGGGGTGTCGAAGTATGTCGTGTCTGGTTGTATGGGTGGTCAGACAGGCCGCTGGAGGCACGAGGAAAGGCAGGGCGTTGGGGGAAAGGCAATGCAGAGTAACGGTCAGGTGCGATCCACACACACCTTGTTTTTGGTGCACGGGAAGTGATGACGGTGCGTCTGTGGCTGCGCTGTCTGGGCGCGGCGCTGTATTTGTGTTAATGGTGAATGGCATGTGAAAGACCCGTTATCGATAACATACAGGGTGATTTCCTAGTTCGCAAGAGACGCAGAGCTGGGAAAGAGGGAAGGAGGATCTGGAAGGAGGCTTGGAAGTAATGGGAGGAAGAGGAGAGGGTAGATTAAAGGTCTCAGATGAATATAGACTAATCAATTAGTGGGCAAAAAGTTGGGTGATATTGCGGGAGGGAAATCATTCCAGGCGCCCCAGCATGTGAAAGGAGCTTGGACCACTCGCGCAGTCGAACGTCACGATAAGGCTATCCCGTTGGCGAGCATCGCGTCTCATCCGCGAACAGTTCGAAAATCTGCAGGCGAAGACCCAATTATCATGCATGTTAACTGCACGAACTGGCCCGGTGCCTTGTTGACAAGTCGGAAGCTTTTGGACCCAACAGCCGCACCAATCTAAGCACCACGGAGGCACTCACCTGCCAGGGTACATGGTTCCAGGAGCCCTCTTTGCGAGCACTGCAAAGGCAAACTTCTGTTTCCGTTTCTCGGCGGGAGCGTTTACAGAGCCGTGTTGAGTGCCGTGTTACGTACAACATGGAGATGGCCATTACGAAGCTAATGCCCATTGCTAAATCAATCAAAATTACCATCGCCCTGCCTTAACCCCCTGTTCGGACACCCGGCGGCGGTACAGCATCTTTATTCCTGATGAATGCGATAAAATACCAAGGAGGGGTATGCATGGCGTCTGCTCTCCAGGCTTCCAGCGTGGAGGCGTCGAGTCCAATTGGCTGCAAATTGTCCTTATCGTGGCAGGGGCCTACCAGTCTCGATATCGGCGTTGCGCCCACGTTCTGTGGGCGACGAGTAAAACAATGGAGAGCAAGACGGGGCATGCATGTGCGTCAACGGTCGTCGTTGTTGAGAGATGAGAGTCAGTTTTGGGTATGACGCATGCATGTGAAAGCAGATGCCAGAGACCCGATTCTGGCCCACCCCTGCCGGCATCTCGCTCCCGCGGCCGTGGCGTCGCGCGGCTCGTGAATCAAACCTTGGATTATTGCGGGCTGATTCATCAAGCAAACTTTCAACACCTGGATTGCGGCTGAGAAAATTCCATGTTTTTCTTCATGGTCCTCAGCTGTCAAATGCTGCCGAATGCACGCCTCGGCATGGCGAAGAATTATCCGAGGACTGCTGAGGTTACATCCCCGATGCTTCAGTGCCGTATGGCGAGATCGAGATATCTGCGGATGGACCTCTGACTCTTCACACCACACTTGCGTGAAATTTCTTTCACGTGCGAATGCAGCGTGGCTGATCTATCGACATCAAGCGAGCTCAACGTACTAGGATGTGACGGGGATGAGTGCTGGCGATCTTCCTTGTTGTTGAGACTAGTTTGACGACATGCGACATCCTGCTATTCACCTTGACGAAGGTGAGAATGTTATCTGATGAGATCGAGCGGTGTCGCGAGCTGACGTGTCTGAAAGATTCCGTTGATGCTTTTGCGGGGTGCAGGAGGCCGTTCTCTCTCCCGTCCAAAGCATTGTCACTGAAGAGAAGTCTCAGGGTCAGTCAACTGATGAAAGAAATGAAAGATGCATTACACAAGACCTCAAAATTCGTCTCAATTTACAACTAGGTGACCCATTTTGGCGTGTTCAATAGCGATAGTTGTTGCGTGGCGGCCACGCCCGAGGACACTCTTTCCCAGTCTCTCTCCACTCTCTTGGCAGTCATCTACTCCATCTTCTCCGCGTCTCTACTCCACTGTTTGACTTTTCATTTCTCCACTCTGCTCCTGCACGTCAAGAAGCCCCCAGTCTCATTCTCTGACAAGGCCGGCTAGCCTCTCAGCGTAAAGAGAGACGGGAGCACGCAACCGCCCGCTAGCGTCCGGAGGTTCCCATTCTTCCACTCATATTGGACAATCAGACTGCCCGGTGAAGAACTTCGGGCGGCAGCGCACTGTCAGCTCAGACATGTCAGGCATTTGGTGTTGAAGCAGAAACACGAGAATGACGTGTTCAGTCTCATAAGGTTTAAGAGTTATGCGTGCCTCATGTAAATGTACAATCATTGGCGCATATAGAGTTCTTTCATTAGGATCTTCGGTCTTACTCGGTGTCTCAGTGTCGTACTCAATGTACTCCCTCGAAAACATGAAGTTTCCGTTCTTAGCCCTTACCCCTACCACTCCAAGTCCTTGACTATGCATGGTCTAGAGTTTATGCTCTAAGGATGAGGCGATGCTCTCTGGAGTTTCGAATCTACTCGAGTTCGCACTTTTGAATTCCGCTCCGTTTTCGTGGTTTATGCACTCAAAGTTCTCCGTTGATATACGGAGCCGAGGCGAATCGATTAGTTTGCTTGTGTGGATGCTGTTCTTCTCGGGGCCGATATCCTGGATTACAGAAGTAGAAGAGGGGAATTAATACCACGGTTCCATGCTCACATCACGGCTTCCCCACGTCTGGCAAAGAAAGGTAGCCTCACTGTTGTTCTAGCTCTAGCACTTCTCTTGCTAGCACACATAGATCCCATCGAGCAAATAACTCGAACTCTCTTGATGACCAATGCCATTGTCCTCCTCGGAGTAAGTATCCGTTAAGTTGGTAAGCATATTTGTGTGCTATGTCGTCATGGTGAACACATGCACATCAGGTTTCCCGCCTCTGTGACGAAGTTCTTCGCGTCACAAGTGCTATCTTGAGGGTGGGTCCTCGTGAGCACAATTCCTTCTATCTCTTCATCGGTTGGCCCGCTTGTTTAAATACGGAGTTGCGGGGACCTTGCTAGTCGTTGCTTAATACTCACTCAAGCCCCCTTGCCGTAGAATGGGAATTTGACCCAGACCTCTCCACTTTTTCCCCAATTCATGTAGACAGTCAACATCCTCCTCATGCACAGCTCTACTAGGATCTACCCGACCAGGAAACTCACTGTGCCCTTATGATCTGTCGACCTCTTTCTAACGGCGCCAGTGCTATCTATCATGTGTTTGGTCCTTTGCTATCATGCAGCGACTATTTGAGGACCGGATTTCGTCATCATGAGGAAAGTATCACTTGAAATGGCCTAGTGAAATGCAATTGGAAATAAGAAACGTCATTGCCATGCTCCACCCACCCCCTTGCTCTCCCTCCCCATCCGTCCTCACATGATGATTCCATAGAACATACACCTACAACTGCCCTCTGAAGATCACCCTCCAAGAAATCCAACCCAAAGCCGTCTCCACATTCTCCTCCGAGGCCCAATCAGGTATGCTGATCTTCCTGCCTACACGCCAATTCTTGCGGGCTTTGCCATGGTGACTAACTCTCCCCTGCAGGTAGTGTAGCAGGAGGTGTTGCTTTCCCCCAGATACATTCAATAAGTAAATCTTCGTCCGTAGTGAACACCACGTGAGACCTTTGCGTGGTTGTAAGTGTATAGCGCAAGGCCTCTGAAAAGAAATATGGTTAGAATCTCAGGGTTCTTGATGCACGCGATCTCAAATTATAAAAGATCTCCTCGGTCAACTAAGGCCCGGCGGCAACCGACTCCCGACTGATCCTCTGTACTACAAGTCGAGGTTCGTCTTGAGTGACATTGCTAGACGGATGAAGTTGGAAGGTCGTGGTCCAACAGTACCTTATGATACGTGGGCAAACAACGACTTAGCAAAGTATTGTGACGTGATAAGAAATATAAAATAGCAACGACAGATTCAGTAAAATAAACACAGCTATTCTCGCGAAGACCACTTCAAGGGATTCGGAAAGCATCATGTATGTTTCTAGGTAGTTTCATTCTGCGACGGGGGGCTTGCGGTTAAAGAAGTGCTTGAGCTAACACAACATACGGTGGTACTCTACTTAATACCAGGGCCGATTTGTTCTCAGACAATAGCTGGATGGCTCGTTTCGCCAGTTAGAATGGTAGACTGAAAAGCGGTTAGGGAATATGAGATGTAGAAGACTTCCAGGGGATCAAACCTTACAATACGGCCCATATTGGTGGGAAGCCTTCCTGCCAGGACAAGGCGAGACCCTTGAGGAGTATATCTTTTGGATTTGATCCCCAACCCAGTTCAACTCTTATGGATGGGGCTCAGGCAGTCTCTGCAGGATAGTCCACGGATCAAAGATTTGACAGCTCATGATTGCTTCGTCGAACAGATGAAACTTACATACCTGCCGACGGAGTATAAAGGCATTTTCAAGGTCCATTGGCACCACGGGTTCCTCCTTCTCTGAATCGATTAGCTCCTTTCTAGACCGTATCTAGAGAGGAATTCAGCAATTGATATGAATCGGGCAAGGAGTGAGTGAGTTGGTGACGATTCCAATCCCATATTGTGTAGGATGTGGAGCGCTTTTGAAGCAATAATCAGCAAGAACTCGAGCCGTTCCATTTATAGAGCCTAAAGGCCAATAAATTAAAGGGGGAGAGAACATACCCAAAAGAGCTCTCAGGAGACGACCTCTGCCACCAGGTTTCTCGTCAAATAGGCAGAGATCTTGACAGCCAGAGACAAGGGGGTCAGGCTACATCCAGAGAGAGGGAGTGCGGTTGACCACGACCTATCGGAGGTAAACACTACCATTAGTGAGGACCCACGGGGAAAACACAGTCTTGAGAGAAATTTCTTAAATGGCTGATTGAGAACAGCTTTAAATTCATGACAAAAAAACTTTTTTAGAAAAAAAAACCCCCCAGAGCGCCGTTAAAGAGACAAGATGAAGAACTCACCTGCAGGGAAATGAGATGGCCCGCCATTGTTTATTGTTTCTGTGGGACAGAACTTGCACTCTACTTTCCCGATTTTTAAGCCAGGAAGGTGGTTGTTGCTTTCAATCATGCTTAGCAGTGACCTGTCCAACAGGTCTCAGCCCACCTTCCCAGCTTGCAACCCCTCGGCCTTCGAGGTATGGGCAGTTAATAGCTATTCTCCTTTCAGGTTTTGCTTCTCTTTTTTTTACCGAACTGCTCGATTGCTCCAAAAGAACGCTATGTCGGATTACTAGGTCTTTGTCTCAGAACGAGCCCGTTACTCCTCGCGGTGCATTGAGGTGCACATGGACCTGCAAGATAAATTTAATAATATCTTCGGGGAACCAAGATTCCATTCTCCGCATGGGGTGTGCTTAGAATCATCGGTGCATTTCACAGCATCATCACAACCCTAGCGCTTCCCTCAGCGTCTTAACACTCAATCCATATGCCTCCTCGCGCAGATCCCAATCATGGGTCCCCTTCTTACAACCCTTATCGAAGCCATGATGAGCATCCTCAAGAGTGAGATTGACGACCTTCCTTTTCCCATCATCTAGCCGATTCGCCAAGTCTCTCGCCTCGGGCATTAATGTGTCGCCCTCACACGTCAAAATAGCCACAGTTGGCGGAAAATCCGCCGTGTCAGCCTTGGACGGCGACACGCGTGGATCCTTTCTTGAGACTACGTCGGGAGTGTAGCAATCATTAAACAAGCGGAACATGAAAGGCGGTAATGGACTCTTTGGCTTCGGCACCGCTCTAGCATCAGGCGCAATCGTGAAATCCGTGACTGGGTATATAGCAATCACAACGGGAACCGTGAGGTCGAGCAGCGTCTTCTTCACCGCTGATGCCGCAACGAGTGCGAGATTCGCACCCGCGCTGAAGCCAGAGACGGCAATGCGAGATAAATCGAACCGCCCTGGTTGCGCCGCGATCCATATCAACGTATCCTCCACGTCTTGGATCGCAGCGGGAAACGGGGTCTCGGGCGCTTTGCGGTAGTCTGCGTCTATCACGATGATTCCCATATCACGCGCCATGCGGCTGCAGAATAACATGTCGCTGCCTAGCATTGGGATTATGAATCCGCTCCCGTGCCAATTGACTAGAACTGGTTTTTTGGACGTGGCCAGCGAGGATGCTGAGTGTCCAGGTGGGTAGTAGAAGTCTGCGTCGATGAAGCGTCCTCTGTCCCGTGACGGTATTGCCACGCGTCGTCGTTGGACATCTATCTCATCTGCGATAGCCTTGTCGCGCCGTCTAGAGGAGAAAGCGATTACGCGAGCTATCATTCGAATCAGGGTGACGGTCAATTTTAGGCGTAGGTATGTAAGGAAACCGAATTGTGCCATGTTTGTGATGCTGGAGGATCCGATGGTGCAAGCTGGTTCCCAATTAATTTGTTATCTGTGGACGGAGCACGACTTTCAGGTCAAGGAGAATAAACTGCCGGGAACAAGTGGGTAAGGAAAGCGTCTTGATTTTTGATGCTAGCTGCGGGGTAGGAAAGTTTGAGGTCTCAGGTATAGGGCTGCAAATCCTCGAGGTTACAACTCAGCTGGCCAACGCTAAAGGTAGGGCGGCCATGCCAAGCATCGTTAAAGGTCAGCCGTCCATCGGAAACCTCGCCCGGCCACACACAAACCAAAATCCCTCCGACCTCTCACTACCTCTCGACAACACATTGCGAACATGTCTAAACAACTTCTAATGAGCGTAAGTAACCCCTAATTACGTTGTATAACTCATCTGAACGTGTTCCAGGAAGCCTACAAGGCGTACAGCCGCCTCGGTTGCTTGCCCTTTGGCGCTAAGCCTTTCCCTGCGGTACACATCTCAATCTAATCGCAACGGGTTTCTAACGCGTTCAGGACGAAGATGGTACTATTAACGTCTACCTTGGGGAGATATATTGCAGGGTGAAGGTGGGCGATGAGCTGTGCGGGGTGAGTGACATTCTGTCCTCAACCTGTTGTAAACATGTTGATTTCTCTTCTAAACAATTTGCTAACGGGTTCAGAATATGTTCCAAACGCGAGGCGCACTGGTCAATCACATCAAGAAGTACCATCCAGAGGTCGAAGTAAAGGCAGCAGATAAGACTGGGAACCCTTCTATGGCAAAGATCAGTGCCGCTCGTGGTAAGCTCTTGAGAAGCCATTCACAACACGTTCCTAACAGCATACTAGTGTTCTTTTCAGCACTCATGAAGACGCATAACGATATCGCCGACAGAAAGCGTTCTGAACCTGTTCCGAACGTGCCTGAGCCTCCGCTGGTACCTCGTCGTCGCACATCTCGAGTCCAACCTGATCCGAAGGAGATCCCAACAGGTTCTGATCGGTTTGAGCTTCCTCTCTACAGGGAGACAAACAGCAAGAAGGGTCAGAAATCTGGAGATGTAGGTTTCTACCCTACTAAGCTATTAATAACCTGTTAAGGATATGTTCAGGTTAACTTTACTGCGGCTGGAAATATGATCAAGAAGGCAGGTGGGGAATTTCCTTGTAAGGTTTGCAATAGCCTTGCTGCTATCAAGGGCAAGGGAAACCTAAAAGGTAATTTACTTTTCCTTGTATTTTTCTAACCTGTTCTTAACACGTTTAGAATGCAAATGGGACGATGCCTGTCGGAGCACTAAGTGGTTCAAAGGCTGGGATGACTCAGAGGGCGAGGATGATGAGGAATAAGTTCACATATGGTCCGAATTCAATTCTGAACATGTTAGAGGCATATCATGATGATTAGATGCCCAGTTCATTTCTGTTCTCGAGGTGTTCGGAAGGTGTTCTCGAGGTGCTAGGAATAGGTCTTCCCTTAATCAAATGGAAGTAACAACTTATGTCCTTGAGGTTGGAACTGTACAACCTCACCACATGCTCTTTAGAACATGATCTCAACGTAATGAAGTCATTTTATGGACCCACATCTCTGCGGTAACGTGAGTATCCGAAGGCGTTTTTAACGTATTTTTAACGTGTTGTTAACAAGTTCGCAATAGCATCAGTTCAATTTCTTTCTCTAAAGGGCAACATAATTGTAACATATCCATAACATGTTTATATTACAATCTTAACTTGGCCTTTCTCTCCTCTAGGTCTAACCCAGGGCTTCCAACGAGGCGTAGTACTGTACGATTGGGCGATTTTGAGGCCTGTACGGGTGAGATTTTGGGTACGTTCGTACGGCAGGGAGGAGGAGAGGTAGGTGTACGTATCGTAACTGTTACGGCTCACGTGATCTGTACAAGTAGTACAATTCAATTAAAGTACGCCGTACTCTAGTCAAAACAGCTAAGATTATAGGTCTCTAGAGACGCAAGATTAAGGTCTAATTAACCATAAAATAACTAATTCTCCCTAGTAACAAAAGCAGAGAGGTCTAAAAGCTCGCTGCTCACTACCTTGTGCCGTAGCCAGTTCTTCTGGAGTTGAATAGCCTCAATCATCGCACTTTTTAGTAAGCCTCAATCGTCAGTTACCGTACAACCAGCCGCGCTAAAACACCTCTCACACTCGCAACTAGTAGCTGGGATAGTAAGGAAATCAAGGGCAATCTTAAAGAGGATAGGATAGGCTGTTTTGCCTCTAGTAAGCCACTATTGTAGGGGTTCTCCGCGTAGTAAGGGGTAATCTTTGTAGTAATCAGCTCTTATAGAGTCATAGTAAAGCTGCAGCTCATTTAACACCTTCTTACGCTTATGTAAGCGCTAATTCATCATAAGAGAGAGGTTAACAGAGAGGCAAGCCTTATAATTGTTGTCATAATAGTCGCCACCTGGCAGCTTACAACGCCTAGGAGATAATAGCTCATCCTTAACCTTATGCTTATCCTCAGCATCTAAATACTAGTTAAAGATCGTCTCCATCAACCTAGTTACCTTATCCACCCAGCTCTTATAATGCCGCCAGTAATCTTAAAACTAAAGTAAGCGCAATTAAGGGTTAAGGATAGTAGCAACTGCGTAGTACAAGACTAGCAGATTAAGAATTAGTTTACCCCAGTAAGTAGTAAGCTTTTAATAGCCAAACTTAACAGCGTTTTTAAGGTACAAGTCACTTAGCTTGTCAGCAGTAATTACTCTCATTCAATTAAGGTAGATTTAGAGGCACTAAAGCTCTGTTATAGTCCTCCATAGTAAGCCAGATAAGCCCTAGCCCTTAAGTCTCTTTGTTATCTAATAAAACTTCTCTAAAAAGTCCTTAAGGCGCTTAATCTCATCCTAATCATCTTCAGTAATAAGATCTGCTAGGGCATCAAAGCCAGCTCATCAAGTCTCCTCATCAGCATTAGAAGAGCCTCTCCATTGCTGTTAGAAGCAACTAATAGCCTCTCTAAGCTCATAACAGCGTAATAGCATAAGGTAAACTAAGTGCCAGCGTACTCCGCCATCACGCACTAGATTAAGCGTGCTAAACTACCAAATTAAGTCCTTCTCTGCAATGTTAATTTAGAGAGTCTTAAAAAGCCTCATGCGCTTATGTGATGCCAGCACGCCGTTTACAAAGTTATAGAGTTGTCTAACAACTCCACACTTTCTATATAGCTCAAATTAATCGCGTAGAGCAGCTCTAGCAAGCTCCTGCTCAAATTTTATAACACCTTTGCTGTATATAATAGCTTTGACAACTACCTAGATTATATAGGCAGCGCAGCAGATTCAGTGCTGTCCATCAAGCTCGTACAGCAGGTTAAGCTCCTCATTAAGGCTCTAGATAAGCTTATTGTCGTTATTTAACGCGTTATCCCTAACAAAGCAGCTAAATTTTAACGTAATATCATACTTGTTAATAATAGCAGCTATCTCAGAGGCTTGCGCACTGCCAGTATAGTCACTGTATAGGTTTTTAAAGCCAATTAAGAGGTCTCGCTAAGCGTGTGAGGCATCTAGCTGTCGTCAGTTACAGAGTTCTCACAATAGTGGCCCGTGCGCGCATACCAACAAAGTGAGCCACTACTGCGAGGAAGGAAAGGTGGTTTCCAGAACACCACATATCTACGCTTAGCGCAATTTTTAACAGCGCAGTAATTAGTATTGTTTAAATCTCCTTCTTTCGCTGCACAAGTGCAGCGTGGATATCCTTAGAGAGCGTGGTGGCGGAATGTGGTAGGGCAGCAAGAAGATCTATGCAATTCTAGCTAATAAGACTACAGGTCTCTAATAAAATAGCCTTTTTAAACAACTAATCCTGCACTATAACCTAGTCAACTAGGGCACTGCGCAGAGGACCCTCCTGCCATAGTGTATAAGATAACCCCCGCGACAAGCCTGCTGCTCCTCTAGCTGCCTCCCATGGGTGCTGCGGTAGCCGTACGCCATCAAGTAAGAGCTCTCCATCAACGTTAACCTTATGCTCCCTTAGTAGGTGCCAAACAATATAGTTATAGCCATCCACCACCTTTGCAGCGCCTTAAGAGCCCTGCTCATGACACCAACAGCAGAGCCAGAGGCAGATTACCTTGCCCTGCTCCTCTAGGAGCGTTATATCCGCGCCATAAGCCCACACCTTTAACAGCGTACAATTACCTCGCAAGGTAGTCTTGTTCTTTACTCAGTAACCTAATTGCGCTAAGGGCAACGCCTGTTTTAAGTCCAATAGCCATATATTATTCCAATTAATTGCAAACTCAACACCAGCGTTACAATTGCAGTCCTCTAGGAACTGCTGCAATTAATCTTCAGCCACAGACAGTGTACTATCGCGGGATAAGGCAGAAGACGCGGTGTAGAGGGCTTTCAACTTCTACAGCCTACAAGACTGCGCAAAATAGACAACAGAGGGATCTAATCAACTAGATAAGGCCTGTAAGGCGGCAAGACGCGTAGATGGATAACTCTGCAATAGAAAATAGTCTGTAATAGGCATTTTTAAGACAACAGACCGCAGATGGATAGATCAAACCCCTTAGAAAGAGATTTAAGCGCCCTCACAAAACTTTCAGCCAATCAGAGCTCTAGAAGCTCTCCCCGCAGACCTCCTGCTCACCAGAGTCCTCCTACTCCTCCAGAATCGCTATAAAAACTTCCCAAAAGGGTAATACGATCCGTACTACGTACCGTACCTAGGGCATCATTAACCGTACGGTGCGGCTCACGAACTCAGTACGTTCGTACTGAACACGTGACCGTTACGGTTCACTTTGTACGGACCGTAGTACGGCCCGTTGGAAGCCCTGGTCTAACCTTTCCCTCATATTTGCAAGTTCCTTTCTCTCAATTTCTGCTGCCTTCTCACGAAGCTCAAGCTTCTCCCGCTGAAGTTGAAGCTCTTGATTATTTTCAATAGCTTGACGCTTAAGGCCCTGACTAGTAGCAGTGACAGGACTAGACTAATTAGGCCAGAATAGATTCATAACAGGTTGTGAACATACCTTGAGTTCCTTGGACACTGAGCTACTGATGGCGAGTGTGATCGTGATCGTGATCGTGATGCTGTCGACCTTGAACGGCCCCGTATAGTACCAGATGAGTTTGAACGCCTTAGTAACTCGTTTGTAGGGACTAGAGATGAGGCTCTGCTGGAGCTGCTTGTACGTATATCTTCAAGCTCCATTTCACGCTTTCGTTCTACACATTAGAGTAAATAAGCTATTACTAACACGTTGTGAAGACGTTATGAGGATGTTATCTTACTCTCTCTTCCTAAGCTTGCAATATAGCGGTTTGTTATTGATGTAGATTTTGAGACGTGCCGTACGTCGTCCTCTCTTGCTCCTAGTTGGTCGATATCTCTCTGGTCAAGCTTCATTCCACTGAAGATGTTTAGAACATATTTCTATCATAATATGTAACGTTCACAAACCTGAGGACTGCAGAAAGTACTGGAAGCCCTTTCCCGTAGGAGTATGACTTCTCTGCAGCCTGTTCTGCTGCGTTTGAATTTGGTGACATTGTATTCCAAACATCTTTTGGAATTAATGAGCAATGTTGGTTTAAACCAGCTGCTATAACAGGGATCAACTTGTGAGCTGCCCAGTTAGCAATAGGTGCGCTCTCTTGAGCTAAAGAAATTAGCAACGTAATGTCAATATGTTCTCAAAGTCTTTATTTACCTCGAAGCAGATTACCAAGCGTATGATAGTCTTCCATGCTCTCACAAGTAAGAAGAGCTTGCATACGGGTGCAGACACTGTCCTGATGGCGTTCTGAGCCTGGTGTTGCTTGGGTAATACTCCGCTTAAAGTGTACAACACAGAACCGAATACAATTCTGTAGCTGCCAGTCCCAGGGACGTCGACTTGTATCCAGTTCTGTTAGGTACAATCCAAAGCCTTAGTAACACGTTAGGAACGCGTTCATATTATGTTGATAAATGTATTATACCTTCCATCCGCTTCCAGTCCATATCAACTGTCATTCCATCAAACCCCTCATTATGGAGGTGTCGCCAGCAGTTAAGATTCTTCCCAGTACGTTCAGAAAGTAATGTAAATAGTCTCTGAAAGCACCGCATATACATCTGTGGACTGTCGCTATTGACAAAGATGCGCGCAAGAGTAAAAACTAAAACAGGTTAGTATTAAGTATAGAAAGCGTTTAGAACATGTTATCATACGCTTGCCATGTGATTCGTTAAAGAATGCAAAGGTAATCTCACGAAACCCGTTCTTAAAGGTCCTCTTGAATGACATATCACATTGGAATGTCTTTAGGGAGGCAAAGACCTCAGCTTGCTCTGTAAAAAAACATATAATCATAGTCCTACCATCCTCAACAAAAATTTCTCGGATATAGGCCTAGAAGAAGTAAGTGTTGCGTTCTGAAAGCGTTCTAATCACGTTCTGATTAGGTTACCAACACGCTCAGGGTTCTGGTGCTTTGTCATATGCTCTACAATAACACCCTGTACATGCTGCCCTGCAGGGAACATAGCCAGGCGCTCTCTCCAAAGGATCCGTGTGATCCGATCCATATTAGCAAAAGATTGATGGATTTGGATGAGAGAGACAGCGTTATTTTGACGGCAGAACTCCTTAAGGGCAGGGGAACTGAGAAACTGGGCTTTAACAAGTTAACAACATGTTACAAACACCTTAAGACATACTTACCTTGTGTAACTGTTGGATCCCTCTCTCTCTGGATTAATTTGGTAATTCCTTGTATAATTTCTTCAGGGGGGCGATGGGGAGGAGGAGGTAGATGCGTATGCTCGCCATGAGAGCAGAAGAGGAAGAACGGAATACGTTCTAAATGTAATGGGATGATGATATCAAACTCAACAGGACACGTCCACTGTAGGAAGTGGGCGTGGCCTTGCGGGTGGTTAACGTCTTTAGAACGAATTAGTATAGTATTAAGAATAAGTTTAAGAGGGGATAACTTGCCACACTTTGGTAATCGCGACGTATTTGGTTCAACAGTACAGCAAGTTTCTGTAGTCTCTGGGACATGTTCAAAACCCTCTCTAAACAGCTTCTGAAGGTGTTCATGATCATGCTTCTCTGTAATCCTTCTAAAGAAATGGTCCTCAGTGCGTTGCGTCTGCTGCCGCCATTCTGAGCAGCTAATATACCAATATTGAACTCCGGACACGCTCTAAACTAATTACTATCACGTTACAAACACGTTATGAACGTATTGCTTACAGGGAAGCTTGTTTGGCGTAAAATTGGGCTGCACCGTACTGTGTGAGTCTCACAAGCAACTCCTATACTAAACCGATGTTGAACTGACAGATACAGACCTAGAGAGTGTCTCTTCTTCTTATTAGTCTCTTCTCTAAGAGGAGTTCGTCGATATTGACGAAGCTCCTCCCAGAGTTGTGCGCTTGCATGACAATGTGAACGTGTTCGTAAGCTGTTTTCAAGGTATTGACAATACTTTGCCCCAGTGCATTGGTATTTCCACCGCAAAGCCTGGCCGCCGAGGTAGAGGCAAGTAGTGCCTTTCTTCTTCGCTTTATTCTTGCGGCAGTATTGAAACTGAAGGTCAGCAAAAGATGTTTAGAACATGTTAGGAATATATTGCTCACTGCTAATGCTTCTTGAAGCACCTCCTTAATATCCCTCTTATCTGTACTAACACAATATGTATACCCTCTAGGTAGTGTTTGCGGATACTCAGGAAGGACTTGAGCTTGCTGGATTCTAGCTGTACGTAGAGGTGCTGCGGCAGACGACGTAAGAATTGTGAGCTCCTGATTTTGCTAATAGCATGTTACCAACGTCTTGTTAACCTATTGTGAACATGTTTATACCTCATCATCAACCTCACTACCTTCTTCGTCCTCCACTCCTACCCAATCTTGCTCATCTTGATTTTGGGGCTGAGCAGTCTGTTGTAGCAAGTTAAAATCTAGGTTTTGCATGGCTAGTAAGTAAGTAGTAGGAACGGAAGAGGATTTGAAGAGACCAGTCCAGCAGAGATTTCATCAGGCCAACAAAATCCTGCCAAGACGTTAGTATGCATTAGCGTGTAGCTGCCCCACCTTTAGCGTTGGCCTGCTGACGTGTAACCTCCAAATTCTCCTCGCAAGGCTTCCCGCATTAGGACCCCCCCAACTTTGTGCTGTGGTATCATGTGTTATGGGCATTTTCAGGAGCCATTTAAAGATGAAATGGTCATAAGTCTCTTAGAGAGAACAGGGAAGAAGCGTGCTGTTTTCCGAATGTTGTTTCTTCCATAGTTAAAGGGATCGGCACCTGAGCTAGTGAGCCAGTAGAAATTTTACGCGGGGAATGACGAATGGTACCGAGAGTGGGATTAACAGCTGCACAAATTAAGCAAACTGATACAGATTTGATCATGCCATCAGAAAAACCTGCGTCTAGTGTTGCAGGCAGCTTTTCTAGTTTTATTTGCAATTGTTGCAAGGTGTCGCCCTAGCAGAAGGCAAATGGAATTCTGTTGAAGTGAAATGCCTGGCAGTGGAAAGAGAGTGTAAGAGTAGACTGAGGCGCTTCCGGATGGAGTTCCTACATTTATTGACGTCCAACACGAAGCTATTACCTAAAGTACGCAGCCCACTCAAGCCGTTGAAAGGTGTCGAGAAGGTCTAGTGCAATCTTGGTGTCTAATCAAATATGTCAACATTATTATGAGAATTAGTGAGCAAGACTTATATATTGACGTTGGAGTGTTGATGGTGGGTGATCCCTGAACATGATATGGCGGAATGGCGGTGTTGGGTTTTTCTAACGGCAATACAGCAATGCTGAGTTTGCCGTCCCACCCTCATGTAATTTCCATTATTTTCATCCAGAACATAATCCTTTTTTAAATCGCTCTAGTTCCGGCACTCTTTATTACCTGTATGGGTCTTTTCTTTGCAGGTCTATGAGCTGAACAAAACAAACGAATGTACACGCAGTATATGCTATATGCACGACTTTACTATCCTCTCTATGAAGACTAGATGTAGAGGGCTGATGGCGAGTAGATTTCCCCATTTCTTTCAGGCTTCATAATGCTTCAGCGGAGTTCCTCTTCCCCGGGACATGTGTATGGTCTTCCAGGGAAGCGGGCAGTCAGAATCGTTGTTTCAGGCAGTGGCCACTTCTGATGTTAACATTCTGTAACTGCGCCAGAGCCTACAAATAAATAGATAACGAGAACAAGAAATAATACTCAGTAGCTATTCTCTGCGCATTCTAACTCCCACCTAGCTTCGCCCCAATTTTGAAAACTCCAACGAAATGGCCAAGACTATTCACTGTCTGATATAGATAAAAGGCTCATGGGGAGAGTAGTTCATGTTTCCACTGTAGTCTAGAAGCCAAGCAGGGATTTCAAGTACGAGCTGACTATTATAGAAGACTCGAACTAGGTTTCATAACGGGGATTCTCGACAGTTTTTAGTCTAAACCAGGGACCAAGAAAGAATTCCAAGTTTAGGTGCGAACTTTGTGTAGGCCTCGGGTTACGTCCTTATTTGGTGAATACTATTGTTTTTATTCGGCTCCGAGGTCAAATCGTGTCTAGCAGGGTTAGAAAATTTTTAAGACCCAGAGCAGAATCTTATGATAGGAGGTCGTTTATATTCTTAGCCCAAACCAGGAGTCAAGCAAGTATTCTGGTTATTCTCAGTCTTTTGAGAGGACTTAAACTAGGATTGCGTAGGAGCCGAGTACTAGCCTTTTAGTCCGCACCAGGATCTCACCGTTGCCGACGTAGACCGACATTTTTAGCAGACCCCATCCCAGCTCTCTTGCCGATTGAGTATGTCTTTTGGGCGCAAGCAAGCATTTCAGGTGACGCCTGAGAGATTGAGAAGTTCCCAACTCAACTCTTATAATGATTCAGTTTTACCATTTTATGTGATTCCCAACCTGTTTAGAAGGCCTAGGCCAAGATGAGCTCTTGGTCTGGGGCTCCCTTCGCTGCTTACTTCACCATCTTCTTTTTGGTGGAGGATTGGAGCTAAGCAAGCATTGGACGGCAGGTTGGCCTCATATCCACGAATTCAACAGCTTTTTTAGAGCACTCATCATAGTTGGTGGTAGCGTTATTTTTAGAATACTTAAATTATCTCTCACGAAGTGGTTTCTAAAGCGTTATTAGAGGACTAGTTGTATTATTTTGCTACGGCTAGTTTGTTTTAAGACACCCCAAACGAAGTGCCCACAACTAGCTTGTTCCCCCACTCATGTTTTCAATTTTAAGTGGAGAGTGTACGTAGCACCCAAAGGGTTTGTGTGGGGAGGCCGAGAGAGGGTTGAGAGAGGGTTGAGAGAGGGCTGGTGTCGCAGGCAAGCGATTCTATGACCACCATATTGTAGCTATTTTTGTTCCTGGCGGCGGTAGAGTAGAATACAGGAGGATTGGACATCTAGCCCAGTCCCCAGGCGCCAACGTATGGGGCTCACAGAGTATTTCCATTTGAGAGTCTAGTCACAGGTCTTCCATCCTTAGTAACAGTTTGGGATTTTTTCCACGCCCGCTGGACAGCCTAGGGTCACTTGCGTACCCAATTTTGAGGCTCTACGCTCATAAAACCAATCAATTTACCGAGTGGACCATTACAGAGGAGATGTATTCCTCTAAGACAGTATGGAGGAAGGAAGAGTGCGAGGGTTGGCGTGATTTATATACCCTAACCTACTAACTGCCTACCTGACAAAAGGGGGGATAATGTACGGGATGGTCTATGTGCCCATAGCATATTTGCACCCAAGGCGGAACATGGTCAGGGAAGGTTTAATCCCTGTTAGTTCTTGCTGAAATTAGCAATTAATAGAATGCAGACTTTTAACAAAAAAAGAATCTCAGGGTCGAGTACTTCAAACACGACAGACAGAAAGTGGAGCTCAAGGGAGTTTTCCATAAAGGTGGACAGAAAAATCATTATATGCATTCATGACAACGGATATGTGTCAATGTCATCACTAGTATAACGATGCAAGATGTATGCTCCCACTCTAACACCCTACTCCTTTCCTATCCCCTCCTCACCATATCCGAGCGCCTCGGATCGCTATCCAATCCAATTTCTCTTTGGTATATCCAAATCCATCTCCCAATACTAAAACACCGCTAGCGATCATAAACGTCGGTATCATGTAATATACAAGACAGGATCCTCGCAAAAACTCATACACAATGCTCTATCCAAGTTCAGGACCCAGGGCTCCAGCCTCGTCCAAAAATGCATGTATGCAAACAAGACCAAAAATCGGCGCCTGATGTATCCAAGCCAGGGCCGACAGATAGAGAAGCAGCGTAAAGTATGGACAGACGTGAACTTGCCAGACACCCATAGGAAAGTGACAAGGAGACTTACGCCTAGCCCAGCTCAGGCATCGCATCCAGAACCAAGTCTCGCTTAGATAAAAGCGCCCGAACCCCCATCCCCTCCCTTCTCAACATCCTTGTCATATTCCCTTCCGCTTCCACTATCACTCTCCTCCGTCTCGACCCTCCTCGCCGTCCTCTGGCCCCTCCCCTCGAATGCGAAATCCGGAAGACTAGATCCACTAGGCACGGTAACCAAGCCTCCACCTCTGGGACTCAAATTCCCGCGTGCAGGTGAGGTGTCTCGACTTGCTATCTGCCAATCTTCGTCTATGTCGGAGTACGCGGCGGGGCTGTGTTCTCGCCGCGGTATCGAAAGAAGGTTTTGTGAATCTCCTTTTACAAGGCCAAGCCGCTCCTCTTCGGTCGCGAGGGTGCTCTTATCTCGACTCGTTTTGCGACTATGTCTGCTCGTTGGCCTCACTCCACTGGTCTCGCCTTCACCCGTGGACCCCGAGCGGTGGCGATGAAATACATTCTGGAATGAAAATTGACGCTTCGCCGTATGAGGTGGAGGTTTTGGCGGATGGAGCGAATCGCGGGATTTCTGGCCATCTTGGTTTGGTGGGGAAGCAATGGGTGCGAATTGGATAGTTGTTTCGTGGGGTTTGTATGAGGTGTCTGCTTGCAGTTCTTTCTGTAGGCCGGGGGGTAGGCCGTATATGTGTTCTTTCTCTGAATTTGAGTCTGCGGCTCCATCGGTGGATCCTGGTTGCGGGGGAAGAGAACTGAGTCCAATTGGGGATGGTTGCACGGGGTGGTGGCCATCCCTTGATTTCCCTCTCGATCGCAGGCGCCGGAAGAAGCCGGGGTGGATGTCGGATTCGTTGTCTGACTCGTCATCTGAAGTAGGGAAGTGCGTCATTCCTAGGGGTGGATGGATCGTCTTATGTCGAATGAGAGTTTGTGTTTGACCGGGTTCCACGACAGTTTTCCGCCTACGCAGGCCGTCCCACTCGACCTGTTCATTTTCTCCAATGGGCTCCATCTGCTCTTCGTGAAGCCTCTTTGCCTCCATGGCTTGCTTCTCGGTCCTCGCCTTGGAGAGCGACCGCAGGATCGCACCGCCACCACGAATTGTATCTGCTCTTGGCTCATACTCCGGCTCTTCTTGCTCGGCAACGGTTCGAACCTGGTCGAGATCGCCCTTGAACACAGCGGCGTCAGGAACATCTTTGGCTGATTTGGAGAGCTGCAGTAAGACTACTCCAGTGCAGATTTGCAGGAAGCCCATAATGACGGTGGAGATGGTTGCAGCAGTGCCCTTGAAGCCCTGGAAAAGGATGGCGGAGGTGACGATAGTGGACGAGGTAAAGAAGACATAATAGGTAGGGGTGACGAGGGCGGCGTTGAAGAGATTCAGAGCTTTCTGAACAAGTGTTAGGGATGCTGAGGCAAGGATTACGAAGAAGACTTACATTGAGATAGATGATCTCGGTAACTAATGTCGAGATCACGAATACGAGCAGAACATACAGGAACCACTCCTTGAACTGCGACTTTCCTCCAATCTGAGCCACAATTGCAGCACCGAGACCTTGGGTAGCCACAACGCTCAGTCCTCCAATGAGACTGCAAATGCTGAGATAGACCATCATGGACCTCTTGCCGTACTTGGGTCCTAACCAGAGAGCAATAACAACACATCCAACGATGATAACTCCTGCGTAGCTGAGGAATCCAGGGGCGATGACCAGCTTCTTCATGTCCTGAATATCGGCAACGGCCGACTGTGACGGCGCGTTGATAACGATGACGACGGATCCAATTATGCAATTGAAGCATCCAACCTTCCCCACGAAACTCAGCCGCTCTTTGAGAAATATGGCAGATAGAATTGTGGTAACGACGACTGACAAAGCCCCTAGCGGAGTAACGAGAATAGCGTCAACGAATGCGTAGGCGACGAAGTTGCAGATTTCTCCGATGATCATCAGGGTCATGCCAGACCACCACCAGACATTCTTGAGGTAGCCGTAGCCCTCACCGGCCTCTTCATTGTACTTGACATTGGCCTTGAGCAAGCCAAGCTTCTTCAGAACGAAGGAGACTCCAATGAATAGGCCAGAGGAGATTGCTAGTATTAGTCCGACGATTTTGTATATGGGAGGTCGTTTGGAGGCGTCAGAGCTCACGCCGCCGCTCCGGGCATAGACATCGTGGGCGACGAGGATGAGGTTGCCAGCGGAGTCCATGGTGGGAGGCGCGCAACGTGGACCCACGGTGCGGATGTGGGGTTGCTGCGAAAGACGACGGAGGATTCGCAGCGTCGCCGTGGAGAGCAACCAGCCAACTCGAGACTCGACCTCAACGACTGACAGAGGAATTAAAACTTTGAAGAGGTCGGCAATTGTGGTAGAGGCATGGGGGTGGGCTAACAAAAGGTTTCATGGGCCGACAAAAGGTTTCAGCTGCGGAAAGATATGCTCGCTGTGGCGGAAATGAGAACGAGTGCCCCTGCCGTGGTGGATGGAAGAGGCAGTTTGTTTTGGGCAAGGGCTCCACAGTGACACCGCGCTCGAGCCTGCGACTGAGAATGCGACTGCCTGCGACAGTTCAATTGAGGCAATTGGATTTGGGGAGCTCGAGGGGCCGTCAGATTGCTTTGTTCTCCGCCCTCGTCGTTGGTGTGCAGGAGTGGTACTGTCGACTCGTAATCAGCGTGCGTCGTTTGAGCGCAATCTAGGCCTGTGGGGGGGGGGGGAGGGAGGCGGTGCACCAAAAGCAGATGTTTTGGTGAGGTCTCCCCGTCTGAACGTCTCAATGTCTGAACGAAGACTTTGGAGTATTTTGCAGAGAAAAACGAAGAATCAGGGCGCGATGGGATGTAGCGTCGCTTGTGCGACAATGCGCTGTTCAAGTGTGCAAAGACACTGGACCTGGTGGTTGGAGGAGGGTTTTGCCAGCCATTTTCATGGTTTGGGCTGAGGTGCCCCTGCAGCACCGGAGCGACGTCACCAAATCAACTCCCCCAGCCGCTGGCAGCTCGCGACACAAGCCCACATATCACCGTCGCCGATCAGCGCCCCAAAAATACTCCTCCCTTTGCGCGCGATCCAGCTTCCCAGCGCTTCTCCCCCCCCCCTCATGCCGTCATGTCAATATGATGCGAAATGGCCACCCTGAACTTGCGTATCCCATGTATGCCGCCGCCTCTGTGGCTGACATCCACGCCACCCTGGCCCTCCTGCACCATCAAGAGACCACCGTCACCCAGCGACTGGACGACCTGATCGCATCGCAGAAGGACCTGTCCCGTGACCTCGGCCGGCTCGATCTGCTCCGCGCCCACCTCGGCTCCCACGTCGTCAACACCCGGTCCATCAGCAATGGCATGCTTTCAGATGCTGCATCCACCGCACATCGAATTTCGAGCGCCGTCAAGCGGCTGGACTATGAGCAATCTAACGTCAAGGCCACCCTCGAGGTGGTGGAGCAGGTGGCCGAACTGAAGGCCTGCGTGCTTGGCGTAGATGGCTCAATGGGTGCCCCGCAGGATTGGGAAACCGCGGCTGCCTATCTCAGTCGAGCCTCCAAGATCCCCGACGACGTCATAGATGGGAGCTTTGCGGAAGAGATTGTGCCAACGGTGGAGGTCCCTGACCCTCCCCGCGTGACGCTGGATGCTGCGGCAGAGTCTTTGTGCGGCCTGTTCCTGCGCGAGTTTGAGAAGGCCGCAAAGGAAGGAGATGGATCGAGAGTAACAAGATTCTTCAAGCTCTTCCCCTTAATTGGGCGGGCTGATACAGGCCTTGATGCCTATGGTCGATATGTCTGCCAGGGCGTGGCGGCAAGAGCCCGGGCAAACTTCAATTCTCCCCCCCCCGGCCAGAGGAAGGAAGGCTTCTTTTATACCAACACAATCACAAAACTATTCGAGCACATAGCCCAGATTGTCGATGGCCATGAGCCTCTCGTCGAGCAACACTATGGCCCTGGCATGATGGCCAAGGTCATTGAACGTCTCCAGATTGAAGCCGATGTTCAAGGCGGCATCATTCTCGACACCTGGCAGGATGAACGATTGATCAATCGAAAACTGACCGACATCAAATCATATGCCTTTTCTTTCCTAGTTCAGAGCTTTGCTTCGAAGCCTGCAATAGGCACCCCACGCTCGAATTCGCCCGCCAATGCCGCGCGATCAAGTGAGGATGAGGGCGTCAACATGAAGGAAGTGGATGGATTACTTGGAGAGAGCTCACTGATGCTTGGACGTTGGGCCTTGTACTCGCGGTTCCTCTCCTCCAAGTGCGCTGTAGGTCTTCTCATGAATTCATTTACAGCACCTGCTCACCAAGCTAGCCACAAGAGCGTGAAGATGCTACTGGTATTGACCATGGCTTGGTCATGCCTCATTTCTTAGCTACCAGCAACCTCCACAAGAAGGTCTCGTCCCATCTGGTCGAGCCCTTCAACATCATGACAACCTTCTTCTTCCGACGTTCTGTAGAAAAGGCCTTTCAGCTGGACGAATCACCATCCGACCTGAATCTCAATCCAGCTAAACCGCTCGGTGCAAACCCTCCTTTCATTTCTTCAGCAGTAGACGATGTCATGTACATCGTTAATCAGATCCTTCAAAGGTCATTGGCGACATCTCAGCGCGCTGTTGTGGCTAGTGTTGTCCCTGATGTTGGACGTGTGTTAAGCTCCGACTTCATAGGGATGATCCAACGAAAGATGAGAGATGAGTGTTATCTTAAGCCTATCATCCAAGGTGCACTACCTCCAGAGGATAAAGTAATTGCATTCCTCGTCCAGATCAACAACCTGGACGTGGCAAACGACTACATCAAGCGCATAATGACCCGAATAGGCGGGCAACCCCAAACCGCCACTAGTCAGGACGGCCCCTCCCCTTCTTCGCTCCACGATCTCTTCCCCTTTGGCCATGATGCAGTCTTTGTCGAGAATATCTTGAAATCCATGGAACATTCTTTCTCTTCCAAGAGCACCGAGCTGCTTCGTGACCTCATCCGAGAAACCTTCCATCAAGTTCTGAAACCTCGTGTTCGCCCAATTCTGGCAGATGCTTTTCGCGACATCGACTACGCCCCATCAGATGATTCTGGCGCCCAGGACGAAGAAGCCGAGGGCGATGACACAGACCTAGTGAAATCTCGCTTCGATCGGAGCTGGGGTGCTTTGATTCGTCCTATCAAACGCATCCTAACTCCCGCAAACTTTGATCGTCTTCTCACGGTCGCAATGAACTATCTCGCAACCACACTTGAAAAGCGAATCAAGAGTTACTACGGAAGGGTTAACGAATTGGGCGCAGGTAGACTTGAGCGAGACATTGCTGGAATTATCAACGCAGCAGTCGCAGGTGGAAAATACGGACTCCGTGATGCGTTCACAAAATGCACGCAGATGACGCTGATCATGAATATGGAGGATGATGAATGGGACGATGTCGTCAATGAAGAGGCCGGTGGTGAATTAGGTATTCCTTGGGTACTGGATGCGGAGGAGAGAAGGAGAGTAAGGGCTATTGTGAAAGGATGATTGAAAACGATAGAGAGTCACGATAAATATCTTGGGATTGATAGACATGCATGATTGTGGTGTTCACTAATGTCGGCACGGCTCGTTTGAGGCTTGGCGATTAATCTATTTAGATGTGGGAAGATCAGCGGACTCCAATGCATTGCTCGAACCACCATCTTCAATTCTTGTTGGTGTGTGTAGTTAAGAGTTCTATTTCCATGTTGCTTGTCACTGCATCCTTCGTGCCTATAGGTTTCGGCGAGTCACAATTCACCCTGGTGAATTACGCCTTCTTGATTCGCCATCCGCCGTGAACGTGACACAGAAAGCGCCAATTCTTGGCTCCGCGCCACCTGTTCACGAACCTCAAACTCCACATTCCTCGGACTGACCTTTCACCTTTCTTTCCACGTCGGTCCCTGATTTCTGGAGTATGGTCATTCAATCATTCACTTTGGGTCTTCCAGCATGAAGTAACGAGCACCTCCAGTGCCCCCACTAGCCACTATGATGTTGCTGCGCCTCTCAAACCTCGCCATCTTGGCATTATCAGGGGCACTCGCCGATGCGCAATGTCCATTCTACTCGTCCTACGCATATCAGAAACATGGCCCTTTCTCCACCGGCCGCTGGAATCTCTCATTTGCAAGGCCGATTCAATCATGTCGGACTTTTCCATCCCAGGAAGTTGAGGACACGATCGCGCGGTTGAAGAAGGAAATTGTGGATCCGGACCTCTTCCGTGTTTTCGAAAATTCTTGGCCAAGCACCCTGGACACGACGATTGGATGGCGGGGCCTTGCGAATCGGACTGATGGAGAAGAGGAGGAATTAACGTTTGTGGTCACAGGTGATATTGAGGCGATGTGGTTGCGAGATTCGGCGAACCAACTCCAAGCCTATCTACCCGTTCTCCGTGCAAATGAATCGAGAGACTCGCTGGCTAGTGTGTTTCGTGGCGCGATTAATCTTCAAGCAAGATATATCCTGACTGCCCCATTTTGTAACGCCTTCCAAGCGCCGGATGAAAGTGGGATCCCAACGAAGAGTAGTATAAACAGCGACTCCATCTCCCCTGCCTACGACTACTTCAAGGTCTTCTCATGTAATTGGGAACTTGATTCCCTAGCCTCGTTTCTCCAGCTCAGCAACGACTACGTAAACGCTACGCAGGACTACGCTTTCTTCGGGAAATTCAACTGGACAGCTGCAGTTTCAAAGGTTCTCGAAACCGCGCAGAGTATGACGATGGACAGCTATGCCGATGACGGGACCTGGCTACACACACCATACACATATTGCGCACCATACGGTGGAACCCCAATCAACGATTGCAACGGCTCGCCGCATAGAGGCAACATTGGTCTCATCCGCTCATTCCACCGCCCTAGCGACGACGCGTGTACGTATCAATATCTCATCCCATCTAACATGATGTTCAGCCACGCACTCAATACCTCCGCGGCCATCATGGCCAAGGTCGAGCCCGCGGGTGGGAATTTGACTGACTGGATGCGCACAATGTCAACGGGGATCCGCACGGGTATTGATAAGTACGGCGTTGTCCGGGACGCTAAATATGGCGATATTTTCGCGTATGAAGTCGACGGCTACGGCAGTGCGAACATGATGGATGACCCTAACATCCCCTCCCTACTCTCCGCGCCATTCCTCGGATATCTTCCGCGCAACGATAAAGTCTACCAAAACACACGCAAAAGGTTATTATCGAGAGATAATCCGTACTTCTCCTGGGGTCCTGCGATCACGGGGATTGGCAGTCCGCATACGCTTCCGGGACGTGCGTGGCCAATGGCTAGTATTATGACGATTTTGACGAGCGATAGCGATGACGAGATTGTGCGGAATTTGAGGGATTTGGTGGGGAGTACGGATGGGTTTGGGTTGATGCATGAGAGTGTGCATAGCCATAGGGATGGGGATTGGACGAGGCAGTGGTGAGTCTTTATTTTCCTTTTCTTCCCCTCTGCTTCCTTCCCAACATCTTAAATCAAGGACTACAAAAGAAGAGTGAGGCGCTAGGCCGTGCTAATTGAAGTTCCAGGTTCTCATGGGCGAATGGAATGTTCGGTCAAGCTATTCTTGATCTTGAAAAACGCAAACCGCATATTCTGAAAATGGGCTTTCAGTAGCGGTAGTCTTTCTCCGAATGCGAGAGTCCCGGGTGGGTGGCGTAATGGGTAGCTATTGGTTTTGATTTCTCAAGCCGCTTTTATGCTTATGTACTTCTACCTGTGCCGTTTGGAAGACAGCCTTGGTGCAGGCAATGCACTGGAATGGATTAGGTTGGCATCGTCCAGGCGTTGGAAGTTTTCGACATATTTTTTGGAGTTGGACTTTTGAGTATCCCCATGTCAAGATATCCCCCACATTTTTTTTTGCTTTCTATTGTGAAAACCAATTGATCAGACCACCATGTACCATAATATGACAGCAGTTTGATAACTGCACTCTCTATAGTCTCGCTGTCCACCAACTTTAGAGCAACTCCCAACTCCACAGGCAGCGTAATTCTATCAACCCACTACACCCATCCGGCTTCACACCTCCAAAATCCTATCTAATATCGGCATCTCACAAAATTCTCCGAGCATGGGCATGCACTCCGACCCGATGCGATCGATCCCATCCTAGTTAATTAGCATCAGTTCTTGGCGGAGGATTTCAGCCCCTTCATCGAACTCTCTTCGTGCGAAAAACGTGATCTGAAACGTAGCCTAGAGCTCCGGGTCCTTGACTCCGGGCAAGCAGGGGCTACGGCGATCGTTATGAAGACAAGTTGGGGATAAAGGTATAGTGGACTCTTGGTCTTGGGAAGGGGGCTAAGGAGAGAATGGCTGTGCTACGCATATTGTCGTGTGCGGCGCAGACAAGACATGTGGATGTGATTTAACATGTGTTTGTTCGTAGAGAAATATTGGTATTCTTGTTAATAGTAGCGGAGGGAGCAGCATTGCCGCTTCCCATGGAGGACCCAAGACAAGAGGAATAGTGAAAATATCGTGCGAAAAGGCAACTACGAGCTGAAAGTTCGAGTAGTTTGAATATTCGATCAGTTGTAGAGAATGTTACTACATAACATAGGACATAGATAGGGTAACTTTTTCTGTCACACTTCTTGCCAGATTATTAGAGAGCGTTAGTGAAGTACAAAATTATGTCCTACAATACCTTATTATGTTCCACGCTAGGTAACAAGAAACAGTATCTATCGAAGCAGGTGTTCATAAGAGTGCAGCCTATAAGAAGCAATTGTTGATAGTACGTCAACCACTTGGAGAGCGCGTTGATGAATGCATGTGGCGGCAGGCGCCTGTTGCTAGAATTGTCAGAATACTTGAGTATCGAATAGATGCTTCGCCGCCTCCTTGCAGAAAACACAAGGACAGGTGTCGCGGAATGGCGGGGCGGGGCGGGAGGGCTTATGTATGCTTGCGGCGAGGCTTTCGGTGGATGAGGGAGAGGATGAAGGACTGCAAGCGCGCGACTGTTGCCAGGTGCGACTTTGCTCTCGATGGAGGAGTGGGAGTGGCGTCTTGCGTGAGAATTCGGGAGAACCCCGGGGCCGGGGCTTGCCTTTGGAGGTTGGTTGGAGATTGAACAAGAGGAGGCCTGGTGGCGAAGTCCGTCGTCGGAAGCCCGAACTTTCCAAGTGCTGGAAAGAACCCGTGCAGTACTCTCAGCGATTGTTTTCTGTTCAAAACATTGCTCTTTGTAACAAATGGTTCGCTCACAACCGATACATCTTAACCCTTTGCATTGCACAGCAGGCCTAAAAATATCAGTCGAAGGTGTTCCTTCATGCACCGCAAGGCTGATCCCGCTAACAACGTCCCTCCCGCTAGTCTCCTTCCGGTACTAGCGCCAGGAGTCCGTACCTCGCACGTACCCTGCACGCCCTTCGTATCCTGCGGCGGTAATGTACGTTCGCGGCTCTATACGTTTCACCCTCTTCTCCACAAAGAAAAGATCCGGTCCTTCTCTATTTTCCTCCTATAGCAATCCAGTAAGTATTGCTGAGCCTCGATTTTACACAACATGTTAGCCCCCACTGTGCGAGATGCTAGATGGTCTGGGATTGTGAGACGAGATTTGGAGAGGAAGGACTAAGGCAACCAACGGGCCAATGTAAACGTCGTGTGATTTCTTGGTGGTCAAGGGTAGAGAGACGTGGATGCGGTGTTGGTAGTCCGCGGGCGGAGGAGTGAGCCATTTGCCTGTACCGTCTGCAGGGTGATGAGATTGTTTATCTAGCAGATGTCGGCCCCAGTTACTGACACTCTAGGTCTTGTGAGATATAGTCCTTCTTTAAGTCTGTTTTCTCTTTGTGGGACTTTGTCTGCCTCTTTCTTTCTGCATACCTACGATATTTTGTCATGCTCTAAGAGAGTATTGTCGGCTTTCGTTCGAGGGTTCGTTGAAGCAGGCCCTTATTCTTAGTCCTGATTCCTATCTTCTTCTCTTTCGCATAGCCTCCGGTAGCCATTCAGCATGGGTTTCTTCCAACTCCCAAAAGTCTATATTCTCCTCTTAGCTGGATACCTGAGTACCGAAGTATTAGCAAAATATGCCGCTCCTCCACCTCCAGACCGAGTGCTACGGGCGGCTACCAAACGGTCCGATTTATTCCGACGCAGCATGAGAATTGAGAAGAGATATGATGCTGAGTTGGCGTATATCGAAAGTGAGTGCTAAATCCTAACTCTATGCCGACCTTAGCTTACATTGATCAGAGGAGAACGGTTGGCAGAGCGATTCAATATTCGCATCTCAGGTTCGAGTAAGCTCCGAAGCTCCTGTTTTCAATTTGGAAGACTTTGAGCACCACCTACAAGATGTGAAGTGTGAAGACGGCAAAATGAGACTAGATTTTGTCGATACTGTTTCGGCTAGGGACGCTAGACATGCTTGTTCTGGAGACAACGGAGGACTGATTATTACTTCACATGCGAGTTGTAACCAGGAGGGAGAACGATCCGTCTTCGAGTAAGATCACTGGATACTCTCAGGATTCTGATATCATATTAACTTCCGTAGGGTTCGTAACGTCGCCGTCTCCGCAGACGAGTTTTCCCTCGAGCTCTCGATCGTAGAATCGTCGTGGAAGCGAGCCTTCACAAGGTTCAACATTGATTTTGGATACACCACTGAGGGCCATCTCCTCCGGCGGCATTCGGATTTCCAGAAGGTACGCAGGCGAAGACAAGTCTCTGCTCCAACTACGACCGTGCCAGCCCAAACAACTGCTTCAGGCCCTCTCTCAGTTATAGCAGAAACACCCGTCTCTTTCGCCGCCACGAATATAACTGCCGCTCCCCCGGTCCCAACCAACATCCCGGATGACGTAAACTCCGCGTCCTTTAACCTCGCCTTCCAAACTTTGAATTCTACCTTCAGCGCCCCCAGTTTTCTAAGTGGGCTTGAAGATCTGGTCGGCATCCCAACTCTTCCTGTCGAAGTAGGCTGCAAAAACTGTACCACAACCGGCTATATACTCCTCACGCAGGGTAACTTCGACGTAAATTCCGGTTTCATCCCAACAGCCCTTGGCAATCCAGAGGGTTTAGCACTACAAGCGTTTCATAGTGGGTTTATAGAGCTAGAAGCGAACGGCTTGACTGCCCATATTGAATTGTTCAGTAAGCCAAAAGTGAGCGGGCAGTTTGCTCTCTCACTGTTCGACCTCCCGATTGTGGGATTTTCTATCCCGAAGCTGGGGAAAGCGGGTGTGTCTTTCAACGCGACGATTCAGGCTTCGTATGAGGTGTCGGGTGGTATCGAAGCTACGTATGGCTTCGATCTATGGGTGAGTGCATTTCCATCCACCTGGGCTACATTATCACATAGCATGGAACATGACCACGATGGAGCCTGTCTGTTGAAACTCTTGGAATTAGGGACAACGTCAACAGGATGCTAAATTCTGCCCTAAGCTAACCCCTGAAATATCCCACGTTATATGATAATACTAGATTCGAAAGTATCGAAACGAGACTTGCTAACGCTGCAGCAAAGGTACCTACCAACTCCAAAATCAACATCCCCTTCCCTGACCTCGGCAATGCAAGTAAAGCCGGTTTCGATGGTGCCGAAATCTCCGCCCTACCTTTCACAGCAAACATCTCTGATGTCGAGCTCACTCTCGGCCTCGGCTTCCGCCCTATCATCCCTGTCGGCTTCGAATTTATAGACGGCTTCATCGAAAGTCAAGTCTCCGTATTCATGGACCTACCGAGTCTCGAAGCCAAATTCTCTACGAAGAAAGATGGCGCAGATTCGGAGTGCAATGCCCTCCCTTCCAACAACTCAACCAACCCCGCGAACAGCACATCTCCGCATTGGACAAATCAAACATCTCCCAGTCTAACATCGAACTCATCATTTCTCCCGGCTTCCGTCATCCCTAGCCTGGTATCCGAAATCGGTCCTCTTGTTCTAGTTGAAGCCTCTATCAACCTCGCCATCGGCGTTGGCGCCGCCTTCAGAGTCCCTAACATCTTTGATGGTATCCCATTTGAGACCTCTGTCAACGTTTTCGAAACAAATTTCCCACTGCCAACAGCTTGCTTAGCAGCAAATTCAGGGTTTAAGCCCGCCTCCGAGATCCTACAGAGTAAAGAGGCTTCGTTTATCTCTAGTGCGAGTAGCGCGAGTGTGGCAAGTAGCCAGAGCCAAGCAGCAGAAGCGAGTCGAACGACAGGAGCTGGTGGCGGAACTCCGAATGCATCGATTACTGAGGGTGGAGGGCAGGCGAGACAGAGCGATCCTCCTGGGAATTCAGGAGGTGTGAGGGGTTTGGGGACGGGATTCGAGAGGTGGCAACTTGTTGTGTTGGCGTTGTGTTTGGTAACAGGTGGGATTATTATATTTCGATGAAAAAAGGAGTGGTAAGGAGTGATGTTGCTTTTCTTTCCTCTAATATGTTTTTATACCCCAATTTAGACTCTGAACGCTAGGAGGTGGGTTTTTCATCATTTCCTTAAGGGGGAGCGCATGTTTGGCGTTAAGGAGAGGTTTTATGTCTCGACGTCGTAAAATTTGTCATTCACTGCGTCGTATACACTTCCTCCTCAAAGATTCTTAAATGCCTCATGTGCTCATACATCAGTTTATGTGATGTGGTGATGGTGAGAAGTATCATGGGAGCAGAGATAACCAGAAGATCCGATTTCGGGATGCTATCCTCGTGACCACAAACTACTCTCTCGCTGGATATAGATGGGTGGCATCTACTGTGTATTCGCCCCTTACTATATAATAGCATAGGAGATGGTTTGATCAATTTGATCTCTTGATGGATTTAAAGAAACTACTCACAGGTTATCAGCCTATGCCGAAATTAATTGGGCTCAGGTTTAGGCATATTGCAAAACGACATGTTTACACAGGATACATTTTTCGTTCAATTATCAGGACGCCATTTTCCTCGTGAATTGTCGCTACTTCTACTCGCCTTGCTTATCCATTCACAAATGAATACATCTCCCCATCCCTCGTTCAACCACCTCCTTCGCTTCATTTACTAACCCCATGTCCAAAAGCAACTGCCACTGCGGAGTCTAGCGCTGAGAAGATCCATGTGTGGGTGTAGTTCCTGCGCTTTCCCACGAATATGGTCTTGAACTCGGTTTCATAGTATGCTGGAAGGTAGAGGCCCTCTTAACTTAAGTTTAGAGCTGCCTAGGTGCCGGCATGATGCTTATCGACTTCCCAGCATTGTCGATCACAGCAGCCGGTGAATTGCTAGCGGCAATCAGAGATTAGCCCGGAGTGCCACTGGAATACGATGCGAGTACTACGCCTGGCCATGACGAGTTGATCGCATATGCTGGATAGCATACTGGCCGGATCCCCGGAATATGACTTGCACCACAACCGCTGATAATGGGAGAGTCCAACTTCTCTCAGAATCCCGTCTTGTAATATAGTGCGAATTTGCAAGACTTTTGATAGCACATTGTTGATATGGCTTGGCTTAGGAGAGATGAGTACTTTGGCATCCGTGAGTCCGACTTTGGAAAATGGCAATGCGATTACAACATAGTCATATTCTCCACTTTCTGTCACAGTTGTTACATCTATCCAACCCTGAGTACCCTAAGGGCTTGGCACGGGGTATATAGGCTCCTCGGCCTCCGTACCTCTGCCTCCGACCCTAAGGTTTACTCTCGTTACCCCCCTATCCTGCATTCCCTCTCTGTGACCTGTGTTTCCTGCTCGATACCTCTCACACTTTCCTGCTTCATCGCAAATGCGTCTTCTATCTATGTAATTGAGATCTTATCGGTATCATTGTTGTACACAAGGTTGTCGACATTATGACCTAAAGCCAGCTTCATGATGTTTAATAGAACGTAGTACTGTTCCTACTGTTACTAATAGTAGCAACTCTTAGCAGTTAGAACAAAAGTGAATTAACATCTGTTACAGCACGGTTAATAAGGCTATAGTTGCTGTAATAGCTGCCTGTACTAATTTATTTCTTAGCGTTTTAGTAACGCGTTCGCAGAGGACGTTTTCACGCGTAGTAGTACAAGGGCTGCTGTGAAACAGGAGGCACGGCTGGCAAATAAGCTGTAGCAGTGCATTAACACTGCTTAATCTAACTTTTTTTATTCCAGCTAAAGAGAATATAATCTACTGTAGAATTAGGCATAAGTAGTGTACATAGCTAGTGTCACAGTTATGTTACAGCTATCCAACCCCTGAGTACCCTGGGTTTGGCACGGGGTATATAGGCTCCTTGGCCTCCGTACCTCTGCCTCCGACCCTAAGGTTTACTCTCTCGTTACCCCCCTATCCTGCATTCCCTCTCTCTGTGCCTCGTGCTTCTTGCTCTATACCTCTCACAGTTAGTACCTGTAGGGAACTCTAACACAATGCATCTAAACAATAGTAAGATAGTAAGGCTAGCGCAACTTTCTCTGCACACATTCTATAACTAATTAGACTAGACTAGCATGCATAGCTCTTACAGAACACTAATAATGTACACTACTTATGCTTAATACGATAGTATAGAGATCTACTTAGTAGCATTAAATTAGATCCTTGCGGAGCAAAGGTGAGGTAGTGGTGTATGGGAGGGAGGTGGAGTAAAGAGGGAGTAAGATGACCGATGTGTTTATACTATCGTGAATGGAGAATAATCTTCACACGCTTCTGATTAGGAAGGATATCAAGTATATTGCTATACCTAGGACTGTGTCACGTGTTGAAGAATAACCACGACCTTCCACCAGAAGTGGGAAGTCGAGACTATATACCTAAGGATGGTCACAGACTTCCTTAGGGTGGTGGCAACCTAAACCTGCGACCACTCTTCTGATCCCTAGTATGCGCTATACCTGTCCTGAAGCATCACGTGATATGACCTCTGCGGGCCGTGCCCTCACCGGCATCGGTCTGTCCTTCCTCCCTGGCCCAGCCAGCGGTCGTAACACTAGCATCTTATAAATAATGTAAGTGTCACGATCGGCATGCTCAAGCTACAAGCAAGAGGGGGTGTAACCTAAATAGATTGAAGGAGCAGAAGAGCTGCTTCGCCAGTTTAAAGATATAACTCTTGTCAAGGTGCTAAGCGCAGTGGCAAAAGGGGAACTGATACCACAAACATGTGATGCGGGCACGCGCCGTCACAGTAAGACTTTTATAACTTTTTAAGCTTTTTTTTTTAATAATAACTCCCTCTAAAGCTTTAGCACCCTTAACCTTATATAATACAGTGGTGTACGCTAGCTGTAAGGCCGGATGTCCCAGAACGGGAGTGTATGGCCTCAGCTGACCTGTTTGGAGGTCACATGACCTGTGCTTCATACATAAGCACGAATCCTGACAAGCGAGGCTTGGCAGCAATTCGTCTCTCCTACAATACACTCCTATCTCTCCAAGACCTTGCTCTCAGTGCTATCCGTGCTATCTACTATCCCACCTTTACATTCAAATTGCTCACACAAGCCAGTATACCGCTCGAGAGCAACCCTCCCACGCGATGGTGTTAACCTTGGTTGGGTATTACCAGGAGCAGCTGTGTCAATCGGCTCCTCAGGCGGTCCCAGAGTGCCGGTTGCATCCGATCGCGTCGACACCATTGCGTGGGAATGTTGCTCTCGAGCGGTATACTGGCTTGTGAGCGATTTGAATGTAAAGATGGGATAGTAGATAGCACGGATAGCACTGAGAGCAAGGTCTTGGAGAGATAGGAGTGTATTGTAGGAGAGACGAATTGCTGCCAAGCCTCGCTTGTCAGGATTCGTGCTTATGTATGAAGCACAGGTCATGTGACCTCCAAACAGGTCAGCTGAGGCCATACACTCCCGTTCTGGGACATCCGGCCTTACAGCTAGCGTACACCACTGTATTATATAAGGTTAAGGGTGCTAAAGCTTTAGAGGGAGTTATTATTAAAAAAAAAAGCTTAAAAAGTTATAAAAGTCTTACTGTGACGGCGCGTGCCCGCATCACATGTTTGTGGTATCAGTTCCCCTTTTGCCACTGCGCTTAGCACCTTGACAAGAGTTATATCTTTAAACTGGCGAAGCAGCTCTTCTGCTCCTTCAATCTATTTAGGTTACACCCCCTCTTGCTTGTAGCTTGAGCATGCCGATCGTGACACTTACATTATTTATAAGATGCTAGTGTTACGACCGCTGGCTGGGCCAGGGAGGAAGGACAGACCGATGCCGGTGAGGGCACGGCCCGCAGAGGTCATATCACGTGATGCTTCAGGACAGGTATAGCGCATACTAGGGATCAGAAGAGTGGTCGCAGGTTTAGGTTGCCACCACCCTAAGGAAGTCTGTGACCATCCTTAGGTATATAGTCTCGACTTCCCACTTCTGGTGGAAGGTCGTGGTTATTCTTCAACACGTGACACAGTCCTAGGTATAGCAATATACTTGATATCCTTCCTAATCAGAAGCGTGTGAAGATTATTCTCCATTCACGATAGTATAAACACATCGGTCATCTTACTCCCTCTTTACTCCACCTCCCTCCCATACACCACTACCTCACCTTTGCTCCGCAAGGATCTAATTTAATGCTACTAAGTAGATCTCTATACTATCGTATTAAGCATAAGTAGTGTACATTATTAGTGTTCTGTAAGAGCTATGCATGCTAGTCTAGTCTAATTAGTTATAGAATGTGTGCAGAGAAAGTTGCGCTAGCCTTACTATCTTACTATTGTTTAGATGCATTGTGTTAGAGTTCCCTACAGGTACTAACTGTGAGAGGTATAGAGCAAGAAGCACGAGGCACAGAGAGAGGGAATGCAGGATAGGGGGGTAACGAGAGAGTAAACCTTAGGGTCGGAGGCAGAGGTACGGAGGCCAAGGAGCCTATATACCCCGTGCCAAACCCAGGGTACTCAGGGGTTGGATAGCTGTAACATAACTGTGACACTAGCTATGTACACTACTTATGCCTAATTCTACAGTAGATTATATTCTCTTTAGCTGGAATAAAAAAAGTTAGATTAAGCAGTGTTAATGCACTGCTACAGCTTATTTGCCAGCCGTGCCTCCTGTTTCACAGCAGCCCTTGTACTACTACGCGTGAAAACGTCCTCTGCGAACGCGTTACTAAAACGCTAAGAAATAAATTAGTACAGGCAGCTATTACAGCAACTATAGCCTTATTAACCGTGCTGTAACAGATGTTAATTCACTTTTGTTCTAACTGCTAAGAGTTGCTACTATTAGTAACAGTAGGAACAGTACTACGTTCTATTAAACATCATGAAGCTGGCTTTAGGTCATAATGTCGACAACCTTGTGTACAACAATGATACCGATAAGATCTCAATTACATAGATAGAAGACGCATTTGCGATGAAGCAGGAAAGTGTGAGAGGTATCGAGCAGGAAACACAGGTCACAGAGAGGGAATGCAGGATAGGGGGGTAACGAGAGTAAACCTTAGGGTCGGAGGCAGAGGTA